CACCCTCCCACCCCCAGCACCTTCTCCAAACACCTCTTCCCCTCCACCCCCTTCCCATCCAACCAAATCACCAGTTTACTCAGATCGCTCTTCCTGCCTCTGTCCGCACCTCTCTCGACCTCTGGCCAATCGGTGATATCGTGGAATCCATCGAACGCTTTTGCTACCGCAGGTTGGATGAGTTTTTCCGAGATCTTCTTGTGCGACGAAGGGATGTCTGACCAAGACTGAGTTTTGATCGTCGACCAGAACGACGATAGATTGGAGGATGCGGTGGGGGAAGAAGGGTGTTCGAGGATGATCAACCCGGGTTTTCCGGCGAGGAGAAAACCGGTGAGTGGAGGGGTGTGGGTGAGGGCGAGGTGGACGATGTCGAGACGTTTGGATTTGGTGGACAGCGAGGGGAGGTAGTACCATATTCGAAGGACGCTTTCTTCTTTCGTTTCCTCTTTCGGTATCGAATCCGTGGAGATTGGAGCAGTTGTGGTAGTCGTGAGGGATGTGGGGGTGATGGTGAGTAGGACTTCGGAAACCAACTCGATAGCGTTCAAGATCATCCCTACCATATCCTCCTCCTCCTCCTCCGCCAAACTTTTCTCAAGCAGTCCATTCACCTCCTCCACCTTGTCCCTACCGAGCCACGCTGGAGCATCCACCCCGCTCGTCCACATCCGTACACATCCTCCTTGCTTCCCCCTCAACCTGAAACCTACGTTCACCCAAATCCCATTTTCCGGCAACGAAGGATCACCTCTCACCCTCAAACCCAAACACACCTCCTCCGCCAGACTCTCCTTCACCCGCACCGAGGTTTCGTCCCCCAACGTCTCCAGTTCGAGCTGCAGGTATTCCGCGATTTGTTTTATCGATGACTCGTCGGTGGGGGAAAGCAGCAGTTCGTTTTCACCGGACCACATGGCGGAGAGCAGTTCGATGGACGAAAGGATCGAGTGCAGGGTTTCCGGTGGAAGCACCGGTGATTTGGTTGACGATGAGGAGGTCGACATGGTGAATCCGAAAGGTTGCACCGCTGGTCGAGAGCGGCTGAGATTCGTCGTAAGGCGAGGAAGGGGGAGAGAAGGAGGAAGAGGAGTTTGATGGGGGTGCGAGAAGGAGACATGTGCGGTTCTTCTTACGTACCGAGATCCGATAAGATAAAAAGTGGCCTTTCGCGTCGATCTAACAGAAATTTTTCAGCCTGCCTCCGATTGAGTTCTTCTCAACGTCATCGAGAGACCCTCCTCGCGATCGAAAGCCTCGCATCCTTCTCAGAACACCACATTCGCGCACACAAAACCACAATCCCTGACACCGCTGCTTCTTTTGAAATCTATGCCATTGACATCCAACCTTCGCCCTATAAACCCGCATTTTCACTGGCTCTTGATCGTCTCCTTGCTGGGTTCCTGCGGTACAAACTCCCTCCAACTATGATCCGCTGCCTCCTTGTGCTGCTTGATGATCCTATCTCCCTTACTCGGGATCTGCGTGATCGCTGCCATCCCCACCAAACTAGCCAGTGTGATACCCTGAGCCCACACTCTCGCCTGGACCAGCTTCTGGGCAAACGTCATGGGTTGTGTGTGGATGTACGCGAAGATGCCGCCCATGCTGGTGGCCCACGTGGCGGCGACGACGGAGAACTTGTTCTCTTTGGCCCAGGTCAGCGCTTTGTCGCGTGGGGAGAGGGAGGACCATTCTTGCTCCTCGCGCGAGGCATAACGACGTTGGACGGCGGCGCCGGCGTCGGTGTAGTGGTCCTGGTCGAATTTGATGCCGGCCTTGTCGGCGGAGATGACGCCGGCGCCGATGGCGATGGACGAGACGAAGAAGAGTTTGATGGCGGGCGTGAGGGAGCGGAAGGCGGGCCAGCTGCGGTTGAGCACGTACGCGGTGGGGGCCGAGAAGGCGAGCCCCGTGCCGAAGCCTCGCGCTGCAGCGGAGACGGAAGCGTTGTATTGACTGCAAGGAGGAAAGAAGGGAGGGGAGGTGGGGTCAGGCGTGAGACGCAAAGGATGAATGAGAGGGATGGAGTGATACTTACGCTTCTCTTCGCTCCACGTCGCCGACGTCTCGATGGGTTCCGTAGGACATGATTGTGGTGCTGCGATGCGAATTCTTCTTCTTGATCTGGAGCTGAGTAACTGCGTGAAATAGGACCGAGGAGGATGGAGGTCTTCCTTGTGATGACTGCGCCGTTTCGCGATGGCTACCAGTTGATGTTCTCGCAGCGAAGAGGTCGTTGATGATGGAAGAAAGGGATAAGGTGGTTCGGACTCTTGTTCCGACTTGATCAATCATCCAAACCCACCACACCAATCGGCGCAACCCGTGTCGCCCATCAACTTTTGCGGCTTGCAGCTGCCTCAGTCACCAAGAACGTCAGCAAAAACATACATTGTACGCGGAGCAGCCGAAGCGAGTTTCTCAAAATGATGCAAAAGTGGAGGTTCACGAGCTTAATTTTCTTCTGTAATTTTATCCCGCCATAAGGAAATCAAGCCCAATTGCTCAGTCTTCCCGTATCTTGCCGTGTTGGTGCTTGGTCATAGCCGATTATCTGCGATACCAAGATCGCCGTCTCTGTCCGCGTTGAGACATGTGCTCAATAAAAGGGTCTCTCTACTTTTCAGTCCAATCTGATTCGACCACCGTTTGTAGCATGCGACCAGCCTGTCCCGGTTCGAGGTAGAGCTCAACACTTTTTTTCATGTCTATCTTTCAACGTCACAACTGCAAGCAGCCTTGATGATTTTGATGTACCAAAAGAATGTGGTTCCATTGACAGTGAGATCAATTGTAAATATCAATAGCAAAGACGTGTGTATGTGTAGCAGAAAAGGAGCGTGGGAGAAGCAACGAAAGCAAGGTAAGACAAGACACAGCAGAATGAATGTTTGGTGGGGAAAGGTGCATGCAGTAGCGAGAAAGAGAGGGAGAGAAGGGGAGTGAGCCAACATGGAAGTGACCGAAAAGGAGAATGCGGACCAAGGAGTCGCCGGAATACGTGTGGAGCGAGACGAGCTCGAGAACAGAAGTCGAAGATGATACAGCATTGGCAAAGCCAGCATCGCAGATGGTGAGGAAGGTTGGCACTCAGATGATGGCGGAAGCAACGTCGAGCGACCATTCGCGGCGCAAACGACCGTGGATCAGCTTGAACGTGCTCAGCGCGCCCTTCTCTTGCACCACCAGCACCGACGTAGCGAACGTGACGCCTGTCGCGCTGCTTCCCCTCGAGTAGGTGCTCAGTGCAGGGCTCGGCAGACCGTGGCTCATGACGCTTCCACCACCGCCCACCGCACCTGCACCGTTGAGCGACAACCCCAATCCACCGCCCATGTACGGCGAGTTGACTGCGGGAGATCCCACCGGCAAGATGTTGAGTTCCACGCGGAATCGCAACGGTTTCGCCGCCGTGGTGACGCCGTTGGATTCGCGGTACTCGTTGACGCTGCACTTGAGCGTAGTGTGGTGCACGTCGGACGAGTCGTCCATGGCGACGCGTACGCCGTAGCTCTGCAGACGACGGACGCACTCGCTGAGCGTCTCGGAGAAATTCTCCGTCGACATGAGCGTGAACGTCGCGGGCTTCCAGTTGAAGAGACCGGCGAACCAGCTGTCCTTCTTGCCCGGTGCCGAACTGGTCGAACCGCTGCTGGAAACGGGAGCGGTAGCCAGAGTGGCAGAGTACTGCGATTGCGGTGTGGTGGGTGGAGAGATGACTCCAGCAGCAGATGCAGCGCCCATGTCGAGACCAAGTCCCGCATTCTTCTGCGTACGCGTAGAAGCTGCCGCAGTCTGGCTCGATCGTCCGGCCGCGGGTGCAGCAAAGATGCTGGCGAGTGCGGGTGGAGCGTGCGTCTGATCGTACGCGATGGATCGGATCGTGTTGGCATCCGCAGCAGTGGCGTACTGCTGCTGCTGCTGCTGCTGCTGCTGCTGCTGGTGCTGCTGGTGCTTGTCGCCACGACGAAGTCCCAGCAACGAACGTTTCCTGCCCAGACCGGTGCTGCCCGTGCTGATATTGCTGAAGACGCTCGTCGGTCGCGAAGCGGCGCCAGAGGTGGTCGCTTCCGTGGCCGATCGAGCGCTTCGCACCGAGTTCCTCGCACTGGCATTCGAGCTGGCAACACTCGTTCTGACACCGGTGCCCGTCTTGTCCGTCAGCGAGAGAGGCGCGATGAGCTCGGCGGGGCTGAGAGGCGTCATCGGCGTCGAGGGAGTGTACGTCTGCTGGTGCGACGAGGCTTGCGAGACCGAACGCATGCTCTCGCCTTCGCTCACGTCGTCCTCGGCGTCTTCGAACTGGTTCATCTCCGAATTCTTGGTGCGGGGGCCGGGGGCAGAAGACGTGACGGCCATGGGCTGCGACTGGAGCTGCTGCTGCTGTTGCTGTTGCAAGGCAACCGAGTTCTTGAGCTGCTCGATCTTCGACTGCAACGCGTCCGGCTTCTCGCCTGTGGCACGGATCGAGGCGAGCTCGTCAGCGATCTCTTGGAAAAATCGCTGCATGGTAGCGTCGCCCACCTGTGGCACCTGGATCGAGGGCGTCGCCTGCGTCGTGTACGCACGAGCAGTCGACGGCCTTTGCGTTGCGGGCTGAGCAGCAGGTTGCGGCGCTTGAGTGGCAGCAGCACCAAACGTCGACTTGGTCGGCGACACGGGTCGCGAAGAGGCGCGTCCAGGAAGCGCAAGCGGCGGCATCATTTCAGACCCCGAGCCTCTGTTGGCCCGGCCGCGAGCCGCCGTGACCGACGAGGTGGACGAGGTCGACGACGACGAAGCCGTGGCGGTGTGCTGCGACGATGTCGGTGCGTCGTACAGGTTGGCGAGAGCGATGCGAGCGGAGGGAGGCGCCGAGGTGGCGTTGCTCTTGGTGGGCGAAGTGTTGCGTCGTTGCAGGTCGACGGAAGGTCGCTCGTTGCGCTGAGGCGAGGCGGTCTGGAGCGAGATCTGCGGCAGAACGTAGCTTGCAGCCTTATCCGCGCGGGGACTCGAACCGGATGCGGCTGACTTGGCCGGAGAAGGTGCCTTGAGCTTGGAAGGGGAAGCAAACGAACCATCCAAGGTCGTAGCAGGCGAGTCCAGCGGCGAAGGTCGCAGCCTCGGCGAAGGGTTGGCAGGACGAACGTGCGGCGAAGGGACTTTGGTGGGTGTGACGTCCCTGGGACGAGTCGGCGTCGTGTGGTACGCCGAGCCTTTCTCGGGGGTGCTGTGCCTTCGATCCATCTCGACGCCTCCAAGCTGCGGAGAGGCCGGTGCCGAAGTGGCGGCAGCAGCATCGCTCGTACGACGAGGACGAGCTTTTTCGAGCGTCTTGGCGGCGCCGGCAGCGGTCAAGAGCGCATGCGCAGGTACAGCGCTTGCTGTGACGATCTGCTGGTTCATAATGTCGTCGTCCATGTCGTCTTCATCGTCTGCCGAGTGGTTCTCGCGATGCGCTACCAACAGCGAGTAGAAGGTCTTTTGCCAGCTTTGGCCAGGCGACAGAAGCTCCCTGATGATGTCTTCCTCGCTCAACTCGAACCACAACGTCTTGAGGTTGCCGAGGATGTCGATGTCGATGGTGTCGAGCGTCAGCTGCTCCATCTGCAAGGTGTCGAGCGAGGTGGACACGGGGTTGGACGAAGACTCGACGCCGTTGTTGGTGAACCAGGGGTGACGCATGATGTCGGCCATCTTGATACGCTTTTCCGGGTCTACTTCGAGCATCCTCCAGATCAAGTCCTTCGAGGCAGGCTCGAGCCATTCGGGCATCATGAATTTGCCGGCACGCACCTTGCCAAGCAGCTGCTGGATGTTAGGATCGTCGAACGGCAGCCTTCCGCAGAGCAAGGCGAACAGGATGATACCACAACTCCAGATATCGCTGGCGGTACCCTTGTACCTCTTTCCGCTGACGATCTCGGGACTGGCGTAGTGCGGGGAGCCGCAGCTGGTCTCGAGCATCTTCTCTGTAGGCTGAAGGGCGGCCATGCCAAAGTCGGCGACCTTGACGATCTTTTTGGTCTCGTCGAGGAGCAAGTTCTCGGGTTTGAGGTCGCGATGGCAGATGTTGAAGCGGTGGCAGTAGTCCATGCCGAAGATGATCTGACGGAAGTAGCCTCGAGCATCGCGAGGAGTGAGCTTGCCCTGAGCGACGAGGTGGTCGAAGAGCTCACCGCCGGCAACGTATTCCATGATGAGGAAGCTGTAGGGGAAGAAGCAGAAGAAATGGTCAGAATCAGCATGTCCTTCAGAAAAGCTCGTCGCGATGCTGGCCTGTCGTTGCACTCACAGATCTTTGGATGTCTCGTACACGTCCCAGAGACCGAGCAGGTTGGGATGCTCGATGAGCTTCATGATGACAATTTCCCTCTCAATACCCAGGATCATCTTGTTTGCCTTGACATCGGCATCACGCAAGCTCATGCGACTTGCATTGATGAGCGTCCTTGGAATGATCTTGACCGCCGCCTTTTGACCTGTCTGATCGTGCACCGCGAGACGGACACGACCGGAAGCACCCTGACCGATGAGCTTGTCTAGCCTCCAGTGTCCGATGTTTTTGGGATCATTGTGTTGGCGTTTCTTCTCCCTCTCGAGGCGTGAGACTGGCTTGGGTCGCTCGGACTGTTGCTGCTGTGGTGGTCTGCGGTCCACGGCTGGGGCGGGCTGCTGTCGCTGAGAGGCGTGGTGGCTGGTAGCCTGGTGCTGGGATGGACGGTAGTTTTCGGAGCCGGTGGCACGGGTGGAGACGACGTTGGCACCGGCTTTTCGGTTGGCGAGCGCGACGTAGGCCTCGGCCGCTGTTGGTCTACGGTTCTGCACATCTGTCGCCTGAAGTGGGCCACCTTTGTAAGGCGGGATGGCCTGGACGACGGGACGATGTGAAGAAGACATGATGCCTTCTGCTCTGTCCAAAAGCTAAGATGGACAAAGGTGTCGCGCGTACGACTATATGGGTTTGTCGAGCCGATTCAAGCTACTGTTGGCAAATGTGCTTAGTTGCGGCTGGTAGTTGATTTGGTGTGAGCTTCGTGAATGTCGATCGATGCAAGTGATAGTGTTGAAAGATTGTGATGGTCGATAGTGGATGGCTGTGCTGGTCGCCAGTGTCGATGCTAGAGATATAATCGAGCCGCTTCGTCAAGGAAAAGGGAGGGAAACAGAACAGGGGAGGGGGGCTTCGAGTGGGGAGAGTGGAGAGGAGTGGTATGGATAGTAGTCAAGACGAAAGATGATGTCGAGAGAGCAGAGACGACGGCAGCGAAGGGCGAGGGCGCGAACAACAGTGATGAAGGAGAGGAGGGGGGATGAGTGCCAAACAGGGGCTGGACAGATTCCCGGCAGCAGACAGAGACGAGGCCGGAACAGGGGCGAAGACAGCCTCTCCAGAGCGACAAATTTGCCAGCTTGAGCCACCTGCCCGTCGGGCTGGGAGACGGCGAGAGCTTTGGTGCCCTTCGGCCAGACACGAACGAGCAGAGTTCAGCCTCGAGGAGGCAGCAGCCTGCAGTGATCTGACGAAAGCCGCGATCAGGCACCGCAGAACAACAATGTTTTTCGCAGAATGGAATTATTGCTGCCGACGAGGCTGGCTCGAGCCAGATACACATCAACACTGGCAGCGGTGGCAGTTCGGTCAGCTGAGCAGCGGCAGAGGACGAAGAGGAGGGCGGGCGGAGCAGGAGCGGGAAGTGCGTAGAGGACAGAGAGAGTGATGGATTGCGGAGCGAAGGAAAGCAAGCGGCGAACCGGGTGACAGATCAAAACACGCGCAGAGACCGGAAGAACAACACTCTTGTCGTCGCTGGAACACCAGTCAAGCGGAGTTTGCCAAACGATCGACAGTATGCATGATGATTTGCAAACGACACAGCTTTGCCCTGTGTTGGCCTCGTTTGCCCTCGTCTGATGCTCGGTACAGCCTCACTCTGCTCTCACTGCGAGCTTGACTGGGCTCATGCTGGCTCCATACCCTCAAGCTGGTCGCCCTCACTCATGCACATCCGTGCTTCGATCCGAAACAGAATCCTTGAGTTGCTTTGTCCCGCAACCAAACAGAAGCTCACAGCTCAGACGTTGAATCTGCCTTGGTGCTTATGCGATGCCGCTCTCATCGACACATGGGACCAGTGCGTCCTCTAATGACGATAGCTGCAGCAGCACAGAGACGATCTGCAACTGCCAACGCATGCTGCAAGGCAAAGTACCATGCCAGCCGCCGAGCCACAAGCGCAGTACAGTAGGTGGCTCAGCCTGAGCAACCGCTTGCAGATTCCGGACGACACCATTGTTGAAGCTCATAGCCGAGCCTTTGATCAGCCTCAAAAGCCTTGACTGCAGGGACATTGACATGACAGGCAGGTTGCGGACGGCAAAGATGGGATTCGCTGCAGAAAGCGTCAGGCAGCTCGGCTAGAGAAGGACCGGGCCAAACGGGTTGATCAGCTGGCTCTCGAGAGGGAACGCCACCCAAGCAGAGTGATATGGCGCTACTGATAGACGAAGCAGATGGCATCAGGACAACACGAGACGAAATATAGCGGCACGATGGCTCGAAACTCTTTGCACTAGGTCGGTCGCCTTGGCTGCAGGCGGACATGGCCTGCTGGTTGCGTCCAAGATTTGGCGCACAGCTCGCAGCGGGCAGGCAGGATGGTCACTCGACCCGGAAGACGTTTGCGGCGAGTGTAGCTCGCGATGCAATGTCTTGGTTCAGCAGCAGCAGCAGCATGCTGCAAGCCAGCTTCGACGCTTCGATCCTGCTGACCGAATCGAGAAACTCGAGGTGAGAGCGGCTCAACGGCTTTCGCTTCGTGGGCATCAATTACATTTACAGACGAAACCGGAGCGGGGCGAGAGCAGCAGCAGCATGACAGCAGGTCTTGAAATGGCGGTTGCATCGGCTTCGGCGATGTTGGCAGCGAGAGCCAGGCAGGGATTATGCAGCTCGGAATGCCAAACATGGCGGCCAAGGTGCACTGTGGCTGTCTCGCGCGTCTCTCCAGATGCACAATTCTGCAATCCGCTGCACACTGCGACGTGGGTCCAGATGCGCGTCAGCTGGCATGCCGCCGACTCACAGCCTCGAAAAAGTGTTGGTCTCGGGAAAAGCGAGTTTGGATTGCAGAGCGACGCGGAAGGCGAGACGGCGCACAAATAAACACACAAGTTAAGCCGCTCTCAGCTGTCCAAGGAAGGAGTGCACTGCTGTTGGTCGTTCCGATGCATCCGTCTCATCTCAAGAACAGGATCGCGCAGGAAGGGACGGCAGTCCGATCTTTATCACGCCAATGAAGGGAAGCGGCGCACGATGATGGAGTTTGGCATGTCATCAACACTGGGCTCAATGATGAATCTTGGTAAAGGAATCCAGGTTGCCAAGGGCTCGAATCTGTTTGTTCTTCGATCGAACATTCTCTTAGTGCCTCTTTCGAGGTGATCGAGGTGTCAAGGCATGCTTAGGCTTGACGACATTTCACGCTGCTTGAAATACTGTAACAGGGTTGAAGAGCGGCAGATGGCAGATGCGCCTCGGCGATGCTGGAGAATTCAGCTTCCGCTCGACTCCATGCCCGAGCCTCTTGCTGTCTGAGCTTTGCACCTGGTTTGCCCCTCATTTTCGTTGATAGCCAGGGAGCAGCGTCGGCTACTTGCTCGTCATCCAGTCCCTCCGACAAGTAGGCCGATGCCGATGATCCGTCACTGGTTAACCCGATACATCAGGCAAGCAGATCCGACCGCTTTGCAAGGCGCGGTCCCCACTCGGCTACCGTCCAAATTCCGTCAGCTTCGAGCTTAACGAAGTCTCTTGAGTCAGACATCAGGCGGGAGGTCGACCGCATCGGCTCAGACGACGCTTTGCGACATTGACGTGATTCGCAGACAGTGCAGTGTATTTCCTCGTCGCAATTTGTTGGCGCCTTTTTGCTCCAGAAATCAGGCTTGACCTTGCACCGAAAATTGTGGAAGAGCATTTGTTGCCGCTCAAGCCGTTCGGTCCAGCCGCGTCGCGTGAAGCTCGACCGACACCCGAGAACATCACACGCACAACTCAGCTTCGACACCATCGTCACGACCAAAACTATCACCAACCTCTCCTTCTAATCAGAGGCTACATCTTGACTCTGCGCGGTCCTTCGCGCGCGTCCGATCACCGTCATGAGCTGGAGCAATCTCGCGTCAGCCTCGACCGACGAGCTCCGCTCCAAGCTCACCCAGCTCCGAGCAGACAAGGCCCTCCTCACGTCGCAGCTCTCCTCCCTACGTGCCATTCCCGACCCTTCCACCGACCCACGCAGTACGCTCTCCACCCAGAACCAAGACCTCGCACGTCAACTTCGCTTGCTCGAGGAACAATCCATCCTCTATCGTTCCGCGGCATGGACGTGTTTCGAACTCGATCTGGACGTCGGTCGTCGTGCGCGTCAAGCTCGCGACCCTGCGTCCGCTGACAAGGACGGCGACCTCGCTCTCGGCATACGTCTCGATACTTCCTGGAGGGGCCGTTTCTACGAGCCTTACTATCTCGTCTTTGCGAGGCCGAGTCAGCTGCTCGATTCCATGCCGCAGCTCGCCGGCACAGCAGTGGGTGACGTGGAGGCCAACTCGCTTGCGGATGGGCTTCGACTCATCAGGCACACGGTCCCACACTTTGTGCCCCTGGGGAAGCTCGTAGAAAAGTATCTGCCCAGCGTTGTGGGAGGTCAAGTGTCCGGTGGAGCTGGAAGCAAGGGTAGAGATAACGAGGCGGGCGGGCTGACCATGTTGACCCAATTCAACGAGCTGCCAGGAGTGCACGCGTTCTTGTCGGATCTGCACTGCCATTTGCAGGCGTACGTATCGAGGAGGCAGCAGGCAATGGCGTTGCAGCAGCTCGAACTCCCCGCCAAGAGCCTAGGAACTGATGCGGGCCTGGAGGCACTCGGCACCGAAGCGTTTGACCTGGTCAAAGTGACCTGGCGCATCCCTTCCTCGACAGCTGCCTCTACCGACCAGGAAAACGAAGACGCAGACGAAGAGACCACGGATCCAACCGCCCTAGCCCTGAAAGCCGCAGCAAAACGCAAACGAGACAATCCCGACTACGAGCCGTCGCAACACCTCGAAGTCATCGTCCAATACAACAACCTTCAAAGCGATCGTCTCGTCGACGACACCCGTCCCACCGGCATCTTCGCCCAGCTGCCATCCCAAATCGCTGATGCAGAAGACGCCATCCAGGGCCTTCGCAAGCCGTACGGTCAAGTGCGGGTACAGCTGCTCGAATACGCGCCCGAATCGGACACGCGTCAACGTCGCGCACCAGGCATCTCGAAAGCTGACCTGAAAGCGCTTCGACCGGAGATCACGCGAAGAGAAGATCTGGAGCAAGAGTATGCACGGCAACACGATGGAGAATCGCTCGATATGGACGAGGCGTTCCAACGCATCGCGGAGAAGATGTGGGGTCAGGTGAGAGGGAAGCGTGGGGTGCGTTGATTGTCACCATTTCTGCTCGGAGAAAACGATGTAATCGGTTCTGACATGTATACATCTTCTGTCAATGCATTTTATACCCTTGAAATCTGATTGTACAGGTATGTGAGACGAATCGGATGGCTGGGTGGAGGAGATCTGGATGGGAGTGGTCGACGATTGGGATGAGGATGGTGAGACGTCTGTTGCGGCCGAACATAGGTGAGTTTCAGTGCATATGGTGCCGAGAAGACGCGTGCTGACCGAGTCTGAATGGTGATGACAGATCCGAGGATGTATCGTAGCAAGACACCTGACTTCCGATCGTTGGCAGCAAAGTACCCGCAGACGTTTGGCACTTTGTAAGTCGACTTGTAGTCACCTCTTGACGCGTACACAAGGGATCTCAAAGGCTGATGTTTTGGTGTGTCCCGATCGTTCAGTGTCAAGGATGACGGAGGGTACGAGGCCAAGATTGATTTTCAAGACGCCGAGGCTGTCAGGTAAGGGTCGATCGAGCATCACAACAAGGCCCTTGGTAAGGATGAGTCGAGCTGATCGCGTTGCATCGTGTTCATAGGTGCTTGGCGGAGACGTTGCTGGTGGAAGACTTTGGTATTCGTGCACGGCTTTCGGATCGGAACCTTTGCCCTATGGTAAGCATCTGACGGAACCCACAGACGACCTATGATGATTGCTCACGACTGATTTTTTTGCATCTCGAGCACTGACAGATTCCCAACAGGTAAGAGCGCTTGTGGTTTTCGCTCAACTGATGCCGAGCGTGACTGACGCATTCGGTGTCCTCGGAAACAGACTGGCGTACATCGCCCTCATCCACGAGCTGCTCTCGTCCACCCTTCCGACCCTGCATCTCCTCCACCACCACACTTCGCAATCACCTTTCCCTTTCTCGGCCTCCCGCATTTCCGGGCTGGACATCGGCACCGGAGCATCCGCGATCTACCCAATCCTCGGCGTACGATGTTTTCCCACATGGTCGTTCGTCGCCACGGACATTGACGGTGAGAGTCTTGACTATGCTCGTACGCATCTTGTCTCGCCGAACAAAATGGAGGATGGGATAACGTTGATTGGCGTGGACGGAAACAACGCCTTTGTTCCGTGGAAAACGAACGAATCGGGGGCGACGTTCACGATGTGCAACCCACCGTTCTATACGAGTCGAGAAGAGATGGACGAGTTGGCTGGGAAGAAAAAGGCGCCGGCGAATGCTGTAAGTTTCCCATCGCAACCCTTTATCCTCTTACCAAGCGCTTACTGATACAGCTTTGTACGGCTCTGAGGGTATTGCAGGTATGTCAAGGAACACCGAGGGAAATGATCACCAAGGGAGGCGAAGTAGCCTTCGTTCGACGGATGATCGAGGAGAGCCTTTCGATCGAAAACGTCCTGTGGTGGACGTGTATGCTAGGCCGGCTGTCGAGCGTTGCTTTGCTAGGCCAAGACCTGAAGGAAAAGGCGAAGGAGGGGAAGATGGGGAGTTGGGGTGTGAAGGAGCTGCAAACGGGCGGTGGAAGGACCAAGAGGTGGGTGCTGATCTGGGCGGGTAGGGCGAACGGATTGAGGATCCCTGATGTAAGTGTTGAAGAGGTTGAGTGGTCGAAGAGAAAACGAGAAAATGCTGACGAGAAAGAAATGTTTTGCACAGCGTATGAGTCGGGAAGGCTTGGTGGGTGGGTTGGAGAGGGTGGTGCAGGTGTCTGGGGAGAGGAGTGGGAAGGTGTTGAGGGGAGGAGTGGGGTGGACGAGAAGGGAGGTGTTGGAGACGACGGTAAAAGTCTTGCAGGGATTGGACGGGTGTTCTGTGTATCCGTCAGCTTTCCAGCAGCCGGATGACCTCGACACACCTCCTCTGAGGACCGGTGGCGAAAGCGCAGAGACGTACCAAGACATATTCAAGACATCCATGACAGCCGGCACGGGCACGATCGAGGTCATCCTAAAGCAGGAAAGCTGGACACGCAAAGTTCGACGTGCCAGACTGCACGCCCCACACCTCTCTGAAAATTCTCCGCCAACGGCGCACGATATTCTTCCACTCCTCATGGCTCGCATCTCGGTCAACGAACGGACGACATCCAGCCAGCAAAGCGCTTCAGAGACGGGTCTGGTGGTGAAGGTCACTTGGACATATGGATTTGATGCGGTCAGGTTTGAATCCTTTGCCATGTTCTTGCTCGCTGCTGTTCAACGCAGTGTCAATGACTCTGGGAACGATCAAGAGCAATGAAGAGTGTTGTTGCTGTTCACGATGCTTGCCTGCGATGCTGGCTGTGTATGAGCAGGATTATGAGTCTTTCAGTCGTCGCGTTGATGGCGACACGCCACGTCTCGAAGGGTGCGAGAGAGAGAAAAATAAGCGGGTGCAGAGGCACTGTCGAGGTCGAAATGCGGGGTCCTTTTCAGCCAGACAGCCGCGGAAAATTGCAAATCGCTGTTTTGACCGTGCACACTGCATTCTCATCCCAAAACCATCATCACCATCCACATCCTCACCGCTGACCTCGCGTACCATCGCCAAGCCTCTCAAACCCGAGAGAGCTTGTGCCTCGGCCCAACCATGACACCCCCGCCACCAGCCGGAGGCGCTTCCACATCCCAACCCTTCGACCCACGCAGTCTCTACTCCTCCTCCTCTCCATCCAATCCCAAACCCTCCGCCACCACACAGACCACTTCGTCCACTTCCATCCCCGCACCACCGGTCAAACGCGAACCCAGCAACAGCCACTCCACCCATGATGAGGCCGACGACAGTTCGCCTAGCGCATCCTCTCCAGCTGGCGGCAAGAAGAAGCCTTCCAAGAGGAGAAAGGTGAACCTGGCGTGCATATACTGTCGTCGATCGCACATGACCTGCGACGAGGGTAGACCGTGTCAACGGTGCATCAAGAGGGATATCGGGCATCTTTGTCACGACGAGGCTACGCCGGCGAAGGCGAACGATAAGGACGATCAGCAGTCCGGTGGTGCGGTGGCGAGTGGGACGCCGTCCAAACCGGCGGCGAAGGCGAAACCGCCAGCGATCAAGGCTGCTAGTCCATCCACAGCTCCAGCAACAGCAACGACAGCGCCGAACGTGCAAGAGCAGGTGGCGTCGACCTCAGCAGCGAATATCTTTCCAACCTTGGGTCTGGCTGGTTCAGCAACACCCGCGAATGCCGTGTTCGGCAGCAGCTCAGCAGGTCCGTATTCGTCGATGAACAGCGCGCCGGGAGAGTTCAATGCGGCCAACATGTTCAAACCTCAAGCAGGCGGTGGAGGGGCAGCCATGCAGCAGTCCAATTCTTCATCCGGCGGCAATGCGGCAGGTCTTCTCTCCATCGCTTCGCTCTTCAACAACGACACCAACAACAACAACAACAACAACAACGGCATTCCAAATCAGTCCGTACAGGCGAATCAGCAACAGCAGCAGCAGCAGGCAGGTGGAGAGATGACAGGGTTGGGAGGTGCAGGCTGGCTCGGGCTGGGAGGTGGACCGGGTGGGTACGAGGGTGGAGGAAGCGGGTTCGGCGGTGACTCTGCGGGTGGGAATGAGTTTACGCTGCTGAGCGAGTTCTTGGAGAGTCTGGATGGGCCTGGGTTTGGGGCGGGTGCGACGCCGGGCATGTCCGGTACGAGTGCGATCGGTGCGGGGACTGGAAGTGGATTTACGCCGTCTCAGAGCAGGAGAAATACGATCTCCGGACTGGGCGGGATGGATGGGTTGACGGCGTTGACCTCGATCAATGGGGGCAACGCTGCCGTGTCGTCCACGGTGGGAGGCGGTGGTGCGGGTACGATGTACAATTCCGGCTCTTTCGGCAGCGGAGTAATCAACGCCACCAACAACAACACGGGCGATACGGGGTCGGGGAAACGATCGCGACGATCATCGTTTTCCGCTGCGCCGACCGCTGGCGCCAATTCGTCCACCAGCACATCCTCCACCCTCGCATCTGGTTCTTACATCCCCTCGCTGCAAGGCGGGTCGACCAAGCAGGAACGATTCTTCCTCACAGCGGCGGATCAAAAGGACGGAACACGAGACGAACGCCTCGCGCGCGTCATCCAAGCCAAGTACGAAGCTGGCCTTCTTCGACCGTACAACCACGTCAACGGCTACGCACGCTTGAACCGGTGGATGGAGCGAAACGTATCCGCCGCATCCAAGCGTCGAATCCTCAAGCCGTTGTCCGTGTTTCGACCTGCCTTCCGAGCGGTTGCGCAGTCGTTGACGACGATCGACCTCGTGTTTATCGAGGAGGCGTTCGAGCGGTTGCTGTTGGACTACGATCGCGTGTTTTCCACGCAAGGGATTCCGGCGTGTTTGTGGAGGAGGACGGGGGAGATTTATAAGGGAAACAAGGAGTTTGCCGAGCTCGTAGGTGTACCGATCGAATCGCTTCGCGAAGGGAGGCTGTGCATCTACGAGCTTATGGCGGAAGAAAGCGCGGTCAACTACTGGGAGAAGTACGGAGCGGTGAGTTTCGACCCGGGACAGAAAGCGGTGTTGACGAGCTGCGTGCTCAGGACGAAGAACAAGAGTATCGTCGCCAACAGTGGGAGGGATGGGAAGAAGGGTGGTGGTGGTCAGCAGACGGAGGGTGGGGGTGTGGCGGCGGGAACGGGTGCGACGAGCACGAGTGGTGTGCTCAAGGATCCGGCGAATCCGAAGGCTGCGTTTATCCACTGTTGCTTCAGCTTTACTATTCGGAGGGACCAGTGGAACATTCCGCACTTGATCGTCGGGAACTTCTTGCCCACGAATCCCACTTGATGGAGGGCAAGGACGGGAGGAATATGAAACGTGGTTTTGGAAAGAGAAAACCAGGTGTGTTTGGGATGTGTCCAAGTGTCAGAGGGGTGAGAGTGCGTGTGGTCCGATTGTGTAAGGTTGAGAGGTTTTGAGAGCGAGAGGGCAAGACGGAATGCTTTCGAAGCCTGTCGATGTCCTTCCGACGATGCTAGCAGACTCGAGTTGAGACGAGTGCAGAAGATCGACAAGTCACGCAGACGTGAATCGGAGCCCACCGTTCACTGACTTTTTCCGACAGGGACAAGTGATGATTGGCTACCCGGAATCCACGAAGCGGAATCCACGCTGGTTCAAAAAGGACATCTGACGAAGCTCCGAGCCAGCTGCCCACTCACGACAGCCCAAAGACAGCAACACAGCAACACAACCCTCCGAGAAAAAAAAGAGAGAACGAATGAGTGTGTTATATTGTCCTTTCCAGGGTTACCGAAGCCAACGGTCACAGTGGATAAGAGAGACAAAAGAGAGAATCTAGCCAGAAACGATCGGAACAAAAAGAGAATGTACTGTGTGATGGATGATTTGGGATCTCCGGGTGGGGAGATGCCAAAGTGAGGAAGCAAAAGCACGGTGACTTGGAGAACGGGTCGAAAGGGTGGGGGAAAGGAAGAAGAGAAGAGTGGGTGGTTTTGCCACCTTGGTCCCGTCTATGAAGAAGGGGACATGCAAAGGGTTGCAAAACCGAACAAATGCCACTCTCTTTCTCCTCTCTCCTCAAGGAAGAAAACCTAACCAGAGATTTTCCCGAGCCCTTTAGAGGATGTCGAGACCGAGGTTGAGACCGCCCAGGTCGATACCCGTGTTCGTGTTGGTCGACTGAACGTTGTGTCCACCGTTGTAGTAGTACACCGACTTGGAAACGCAGCAGCCCTCCTTGGCGGTGCAGGTTGAGTCGGCAGGTACCTCCTTGGTCTTCTTTCCACCGAACAGACCATCGAGGAGACCGATGTTGATGGTGATGTTGGAGAGGTCGAGGAGCTTGTTCTCGTTGGTGGAGACGACGTTGTGGCCCTCGTCGACGTAGACCTCGTCGTCACCGCAGGTGGCCTTGGCAGGGGGAGCGGGCTTGTCCGAAGGCTTGGGTGCGGGAGGAGCAGGCTTGTCCGATGGCTTGGGAGAAGGTGCAGGTGCCTTGGGAGTCTCCTTGGCAGGAGGGGTAACGGTGGTAGTCGAGGTCGAGGTCGAAGGCGTAGGCTTGGGGTGGTGGTGGTGAGGCTTGGGCTTGGGCGTGTTCACAGCGGGGGCAGGAGTAGTAGGCGCGTCGCAGTCAGATGCAGGAGGCTTGGTGGCAGTCTGCTTGGGAGGAGTAGGCTTGGTCTTCTTAACACAGGTGCAGTCCTCATCGTCGTTGGTGCGACGGTAAAGGTCCTCCGCGATGTCGCGAGCGTGGATCTGCGATCCGTAGCCCTTGACGCTCCTCTTGCTGAGAACGTTGACGAGCGCAGTGAGGTCCGAAAGGTCGATCAGCTTGTTCTCGTTGTCAGACTCGACGTTGTGGCCACCGTTGTAGGAAGAGAACTCGGGAGCCTTGCGCTTGTGGATGCGCGAGGGCCTGCTGAGCACACTGATGAGAGCGGTGAGGTCCGAGAGATCAATGAGCTTGTTCTCGTTCGTCGAGGCGACGTTGTGACCGCCGTTGTACGACGTGACCTTGGCACCACGCTTGCGGAGGATGCCGTCGAGGATGTCGACGTTGGCGGTCAGGTCAGAGAGGTCGAGGAGCTTGTTCTCGTTGGTAGACTCGACGTTGTGTCCGCCGTTGTAGTACGAGAACTCGGGAGCCTTACGCTTGCGGAGGATGCCGTCAAGGATGCCGACATCGAGGTCAAGACCAGAGGCATCGATCAGCTTGTTCTCGTTGTCGGACTCGACGTTGTGACCACCGTTGTAGTAAGAGTACTTGTCGCCGCGCTTGCCGATGATGCCGTCAAGGATGTCGACGTTGGCAGTGAGGTCCGAAAGGTCGATCAACTTGTTCTCGTTGGTGGACTCGACGTTGTGGCCGCCGTTGTAGTACGAGAACTCGGGAGCCTTGCGCTTGAGAAGGTCGATGCCGAGGTTGAGGCCGGACAGGTCAATGAGCTTGTTCTCGTTGTCGACAATGACGTTGTGGCCGCCGTTGTAGCTCTTGATGTACTCGAGACAGTAGCGAGGAGCCTTGTTCCATGTCTTGACCTTGCGTCCGTTGTTGGTGAGCAGGCTGAGGTTGACGGTGGCATCGCTGAGATCAATGAGCTTGTTCTCGTTGATCGAGTAGACGTTGTGACCACCGTTGTACGACGAGACGTACTTCTTGCAGGCGCTGTAGTCGGTGCGCTTGAGAATGTCGATGCCAAGGTCGAGATCGGAGGCGTCGATGAGCTTGTTCTCGTTGGTGGACTCAACATTGTGGCCACCGTTGTACGAAGCGTACTGGTAGTGAGGAGCAGCGCTGACCATGCTGAGAGCGGCGGTCAGCACGCTGAGGGAGAGAGCGATCTTGGAGGGCATCTTTGCTTGTGAAAGCTGAAGCTGTGTAGAGACGACAGAGGAGGTGGCTACAATTGGAAAGAGAGTGGGGTTCCTGGAGGCGGTGAAGACCGAGTGGAAGAGATGCGACGCAACAGGGGACCGAGGGGAGGGGAAGGCTTCTGGCTAGAAAGCTTTGGAGAGAGGGGGAGAGAATATATGAGTCTGGATGATGAGAAGAGAAAGGAAGGAGAGGGAGACGTCGGGGGGTTCTTTATATCTATTGGCGGTTCTTGAAAGCGGAGTCTGTAAAGGTCAGCCGTCATCATGTACCCGCCATAGGGCGCTGGAGGAAGAGCTCAAAGATTGTTCCAAGAAAGGCAAGAGCGGTATGTCGGAGGGATGGATCCGGTTGGCTCAGCGAGAGAGCCTGCTCGGAATCCCCTGCGATCCACAGCACAGGGGGAGAGGGAGAACGACGAAGCTGTCGTGATCTGAGGTGGGTGCCAGCGGGACACGGAAAGCGATTCAAGCTCGGTACCTGGAGACACTCGCCAAGCCCAGCGCTTCGCTATTCCATCGGCGTATTGCCCGTCGAATCAGACAAGATGCGCAATGCGAGCGAAGTATTCCGAAGGAACATCTCAGCGTCACTTGCCACAATAGGACAGGAAACAGCCTAGAAAGGCAGTGAAGTGGTCCAGAAGCAGTCAGGCACTGTCTCGAAGCCATTCGAGAGACGACGCAAGATGGCACCGGAGGACGAAGCATGGATCGCAGGGCTTGCTACCAGTCAGGGTGCGTGGGACGAAGCATGGAACAAGCTCGCGGCAGGGGCTGACAAGCAGTAAAGCTAAAGCGCGTCAAGGCGAGGCCACAAGCAGGGGACTAAGTGCGGCATGCTCTAGGACAGCAGGTGAACTAGTATAGGTGTCCTGCGCCGAACGGCAAGGGTGTTGGCTAGGTGGTTCTGCCACTGTCAGCGCGTTTCCGGTCAAGAGCGGTCCGTTGCTTCTGCTAAGAGAGCTTGGACCGCCTTGCTGGACAAGCAGACAGAGGGACGTCAGGAATTGTAAGGACATGCGTGTCATATGCAGGGCAGACGAGAGGGAAGCAGATCGAGGTGCCGTAAAGAGGAAGGGTGCAAGCAGAGGGGCGCCACGAGCCAGGTGTCGGAAGAGTGGCTGAGGCACATCGAAAAGAGCGAGCGGAGTTCGGTTAAGTGGGTGTGACAGGGAGGAGCTGTCGATCAGCGCTCCTCGGACAGGAGCTACCGTGCATGCGCGGTATGGGATCGACAGAAAAGGGTTCCTAAGTTTCGGTTAGAGATTTTCGCGTAACGGAGCGGCAGCGACAGAATAATGGCAGACCTGCATCAGCGCAAGCGAGTTCCCTGGACAAGGGAGAGACCAAGCTTTGAAACTACAATCTGCTCCCTTGCTGCTTGGCATGTTGGGGAGCGCAGCAACATGCACTGGTTCGGCAGCGGCTGCACCGTAAAACTGAGACACCGCATTGTGCTGCGAACGGCGAGTAAAGGTGAGCCCCTTGCGTTGTGGCTCTCTCTTGGACGCTCTTCGTCGATCGCTTCCATGATGACGGATGATCGACTCCCATCGTGATGACCACCGAAAATAGCATCAGTCATCATCGCAGCCTTACCGGCGACGTCTGCCTCGTTCGCAACGTGAAGCTCCTTTCGGGACGAAGACTCCGGGAATACGCTTCTGTACAATACCTTGCCGCTGCAAGGCGAGTAGTGTCAACGAGAGGTAGTTTAGCGTGGGAATCATGAAGAGGCTAGGTGGGCCAAGACAAAGAGAAGGTTGAGCGCCACAGAAGCAGCATGCGAGAGATGCCAAGCTCAGCGAGTGATGCCGAGACAGGCAGGTCAAAGCGGTGGCGAACGCAGTCAGACTGACATGTGGGCGAGCTCAGTCCATAATTCATGACAAACGACAAGTTCCCAGGCTGTGCAGGGGCCGTCGGTTTCGCAACAAGACGGAAGGGCGAAGTTTCGAGCTCGGGCCGTGTGTAGTCATGAGCTTATTCGTGGCCGTCCGATGTGTTTGAAACAAGCATAGCAAAGAGAGCGCCATCGTCGATCCCTGCAGGCACAAAGGAGGCTTGAATCAAGGAGGCTGAGAGACAAGCAAAGATCTGAAACGCACCTCGATCGCACATGGGTCTGCGCCGGGATGAGTCGAGAGAGACCGAATCGCGGAAAAGGTCGTCCTCGAAGCGGTAAGCTATGCCATCCTTACAGGCATAGCGCGAAACACGGGCGTCTCTGTTAGGCAAGGGCAAGTCAAAAATGCCGGTCGGGCGCAGGCCATCCGAGTCCAAGATCAAAGAAGGGCTGAAGCGGCGGTCAAGGCGAGGAGAAGCAGGAGCACAAGGGCAGGTTTCAGCGGTAAGGAGGCGATGGAAGGCCATCGTCAAGCAAAGACGGGCGATGATGGCCGCAGGAACGGTTTCAGATGCGCATCACATTGTCATCAGCAAGGGGTCTTCTCTGCTCCATCGAACCAGATAGGCACTTGCATCGCCTTCTTTGGCAGGAGAGAGATGGCAAGCGCGCACTTCGTATGTAAGGGGCGCTTTTCGCTCAGCTTTTCAATAAATTTATTTTCTCCTTTTCTTTTCCGGCTTGCTCTGTTTCTGGAACAGGAAGGCACATCTTTTCTTTTCCCCTGCAGCTTACGGTATGCACTCCCGCAATTAACGGAAAAAACAAATCGAAAGAATCTGTAATATCGGCAGGTTCCTGCAGACGCAAGCTATTGTCCTGTCTTCCCGTCACACCAGCTCATCAGATTCTTGCGCTGCACATCACGGTACACAGTATTCCTTCAATTGTCATAGAGCTGAAGGCGACTTGGATGGTGGTGTCACCGTTCTGATCAGAACAATCGTGCGGCGAGGGGATGCATAGAACAGAAGTGTTTCTGATCGGTCACGACAATCGTGTTCTGGTGTGGTGACATCGCGAATTCGGGAGAACGCGATGTCAGCTGAACAGGCTTCGTGTGCTATTGGCGCAGGCTAATCTCCGAGAAGAGTCCTCGGACTTTACGGCCTCTGAAGGCTGGAGGTAAGGTTTGGCTGCATTGGTCGCCTTGATGTCAAACCCACCAAAAGTGTATACTAATGGCTTTCATATCGACTTTCCTTAGCCCTTCGCCCTGCAGACTGGTTCCAGCACGCGGAGACCCAGAACAAGGGCGTCAAGATCACAGCACCCTTGCTCCCAGCACAGATCCGTGCAATGCTGGATCGGCGTAGCTAAGTGCGATCGGAGCGCTAGAGATGAGGGGTCAACCCTCTGCACGGGGACCGATGGTCCTGATTTTGCGTTCTGTCACGTTCCTTCATGAAGAACAGATCGGTGAAAGCAGGTCCCGCGGCGCGCCGTCGGAGGCTTTGCTTCACGCATCGAAGTCAGGTCATCCATGTGGGCCTTCGGTAGCATCTCCAGGCTCTCTCGACGATTCTGGGATGTCGATGCCGAAGCCCGCTCGGGCCTGTTGTTGTCGTTCTTGTCTCGAAATGTTCTTCAAAGAAGCTGCGACGGGAACGCTCTGATTGTGGTCGCCTCCAGACGCCGTCCGTCGCGGGTTAAACGGTCCATGTGAACGGCTCGCAGGCGTGTCGGTGTCGCACGAAGAGCATCGGCAAGACCTGCGATGAATGGCGATGCGTCAATCCACTCGCGGATCTCGATCATGACGGAAGCCGCAGCCGATATCGATCCATTTCTCCCTCTTTTTCAAGCGTCCATTTAGACGTGGCTTTTTGTCGGGCTACATTTCGTCTTGCCATCCAAATTGATGACTTACATTCTTCAGCATCTCGATGAGTTATCGGATCTCGTCGAGTGCAGGCGACGCGTCCAAGCGAGAAAAAAGCGCGCTTACACTTTCCATGCAAGGAGGCGATCGCTACGAGGCGCGTAACGAGAAACGTGCGAAGTGTCCGTCTTGCGCATATCACATGCCTCGTGAAGCGACGGGGTGACAAGTCGCCGTCAAAGGTCCTCATTCCTGCTACCTGAGATGCTCTGTGATGCAAGTTGACTGTTGCTCGCCGACAGAGAGGTTTGGAGAGGAAGAGGCGAATTCCAGCGGGGAAGTACGGAGTTGGAAATACAAGCTGCTGGTCGAATCTGCCCGTGTTTGACAGCAGCCGTTACGCGCAACTCCGACATCGAGCTGTGCAACGCAATCGGGAAACATTAGAGCACAGCGAACACGTCTCGTTCACATCCGCTCTTTCGGTTGAGCAGCCCCGTCGTCCCGTCACACGCTGGGGCGCGATTCAATGCCTCCCATGCTACTGATAGTGACAAGGAGAAACTCTCAGCAGGGGTTGTTTCTGTTTCGCTAACGACAGGAGGGGTCCTACAGCAAGGGTCGTCGCTTAACGACTCTAAGGTTTTCGCGCTTACGATGCGAGACATGTCAAGGAGGAAAAAGAGCTAGACGAGGACGCGTCAGGAGAAACGGATGGAGACTCATGCGAGGGGACTCTTCCATCATCCTTTGTCGGTCGATGCCTTTCCGAATGCAGCAGTCGGCCGAAAGCCGGTAGTGGTCCACGATTGGTACAAGTTCAGCCTGATGCACAGAAGGCCCTCGAGCAACAGCAGAGGGTAGTTGCCGAAGGGATAGGTCGGTAGAGAAGAGGCAACGTGTTCGTCCTGCGGAAACAGGGCATCGAGGTAAGATATTCAGCGGAATTGCAAACGGGTCTCACACTTTTCTGCAAGAAGTCGGATCGAAGGAGGTCGTCTCTGGCCCAACGTGCTGTAGGACTCGGTCAAACGAATATACACGCCGAGAAGCTACGTCGAGCACGAGAGTGATCGCTTGCCGCCGTGAATCGACGGGCGAAGACTCCGGAACTCGGCCCCCCTACAGCCCAACCTCAAGCTCAATGCAAGATAGCGTCGGATGATGTATCTGTGCAGTCGGCGACTTCCCACCTGCTGTCGAAGGAGGTCGGCTGATTGTATGCGCATCAAGACCGCATCGAGAAGCTGAACGGCAAGATGCCTCGGAGCTGCGCGTCCATAAGCGCGACAAGCTCCAGCCTGCGTTAGCTTTGACTCTGGTCTTGCAAGCCCTTCGTTACTCGCTTGTGCTCGTCCTCGTATTGCTCTCGAATGTACCAGTACATCAAGAGCTTCTGAGGTCTCGGCATGGAGCCGACCGCACCGGCTGGCCCTTGATCAACGCCGGTTTCTGCTGCACGCATGTAGCGTCGCGTTGGTCCGCATTTTGATGGAAAACGTGAGCAGGTTCGGATGCGCAGCCGAGCACGCTTCGCGACTGCACGAAATACGAACTAGCATGCTCGCGAACAAAAGCAACACTCACACGCGCTTTCTATGCATGTATGAACACCGACTCGACAAAGGGTTGAGCTCAAAGAAGAATTTTTTCGTACTCGTCAATGCAGAGTCAATGCATCTCGTGGGGCGCTTGGATCACTTTTATTGCGCACGGTGCTTGTCCATGCAATGCGTGTATGAGAGAGAGAGCTGCTCGCTTCAGTCCATTGTTTCTACGGGCGTGTCATCAATGGCGGAGAAGATCAAGTGACCCGTCGGCAAGAAGCGACTCAGAAGCGAGAGCGCCGGCCGCATACGAGCAGGCGTGCACACGCCGCATGAAGCTTGGCAACTCGCTTTCGCGTTAGCAGTAGCGATTGTCGAGGGTCGACCACATCCGAAAGCCTATCGCGGAGTGTCACTGCGTGAAGTTGTAGCTTGAGACAACCTCAACTCCGGGATTGCGACGTCCTAGGACACGCCCGAACGCCATTTTGCCGATACTCCTTTGGGAAAGCGTGATGTCAACGGACCTCTTAGCGTGTCCGGCTAGAATATTCCGTATCGGTCGAATCCTTTTGTCTCCAGAGATGTCTTTGTCCTTCGGCGTCTTCCGATTCTCTCTGAGAGCGACAGAGGGCTTCGAGGACCTGTGACCAATGAGCCTCAATCACAGATGGCGTCGGTGACGCTTTCCAGCCCAGCCTGGCGGAGCAGAAGCGGATTCCAGCGGTTTCGTGTCCTTTCTTCATCTTTCGTCATCCGGCTCGTTTGATGCACGGAACGAATTGCAAGACGCAGAGCCAAGCCATTTTTTTCGTTTTAGCGCGAAGGGTGCAGCAACGCTCGCATTGCGCCGGTTCCCCGCTTTTGCCTACGGAATCTAAGCGAGACAGCCAGTCTGCACCAACCCAAGCGCGTTGTCAGGGTTCAAGGCCTTGACAGGTTGCAGCTGGGCAAGCAGCGCAAAGTGGCGGCGAGGTGTGCGTGCCGTTCCAACCGATTCGCGATTCGATGCGGCTCGAATGACAGAGCAACGACCTCATGCCTCTTTTGGCGCTTGCCTATCTCCCTCTCCGTCTGTCTCTGGCTCCCTCTTGCCCTTCCTGGCAACGCATGACCCCACTGAACGGCACCAGACAAGGCAGTTGACCGCTGCTCGTTCCGGAACTTTGGCACAAGGAGCTTAGAGACATAGGGGCGTTCGAGCTCACCGCATGACATCTGCGTCCGGACGGAACAAACACGAGCCAGCCGTTTGGTTACGGCGTTGCGCGAAAGTCGCCGACGGCTGCTGTGTCGCGGTGAGATGAGAGTGCATTCCTCGACCGAAAAGTTGCCTCGAGCACTCTCTCATCTCTTATAAGGACGGCTTCAATCATCCTGACCCGGTCCTCCTTTCCTTTCTCAGCTCCCTCGAACTTCTCATTCCTCGTCGTAAAGATCGCTCCTCCTCTTCATCACATCGTGCTCTCCTATCGACCTAGAGTCCTTTCATCCTTCTATTCCCAAGTCCCCACATTCGTAATATGCAGCTCTCATCACTGTTGCTCGCAGCTTCGCTGCTGGTCTCGTCGGTCGTATCCGCACCCGCGACCGTGGGCAGCTTCGGCACGTCTTCCGATGCCGAGCTCATGCTCAAGCGTCAGTACGAAAACACCAACTGGGACAACGTCATGCTCGGACGCGACACGATGGAGGAGCTCGAGAAGCGACTCGTGTACAACCCACACATCACCTCCCCTACCGCCGATACCGTCTGGACCGCGGGTAAGACGTACACCGTCACATGGGATGCCTCTGACCTTCCAACAGAGGCCGAGAACTACACGGGCGAGATTAAGCTCGGATATCTCCCTGCGGATGGAAGTGGAGGCGAGAACCTGCACTGGACGCTTGCCGATGGGTTCCTCATCAAGGACGAACAGACCAGCATCACTCTTCCCGCCGACCTGGGCCAGAGGAGCGACTACATCGTCGTGGTTTTGGGTGACTCGGGGAACGCCAGTCCCAAGTTCAGCATCAACAGCGCCGCTAGCAAAGCGACCGACCTTGGAGACAGAATCCAGCAGAAGATCAACAAGGCTTTCGCCGAAGCTGGCATGTGAACGCCGCGTAGAACGGTTCTCTGCTCTTGACCTCTTGCCCGTAGCATGGTCCACAGTGCCTTGACGGCACACGTCGGGCCTCGCATTCACTTCACACTTTGCATCCGCTGTACATAGTCCTGTCCTTTCTTTGCCTCTTGTCTTTTTCGGCCCCGGTTCGGCACCACTTGCATTCTTCCTTTAGCATATAACGGTTGTGCATGTACTCATGCTTGCCATCAAAGAATCAATGAACAATGACTTTTGCTGATTATGTACTCATGCGACCTGTGCCTGAGTGCGGGTGAGACCGAAGAGAATGTTTCGGAAGCGATCCGATTCAGCACAACAGGGCACAGCCAATAAAATCTTGAAAGGCAGAACACACACTGCACTGCAAGCCACGATCGCGCGCCTCTACGAAGTAATGCGATTTGCAAAACCACCTTACACTGCGCTGTAATCGATCTTGGACTCGTGTCTCTTTGCCTCCTGCAACTTTCTTACCGCCTTCATAAAGTCCTCCTGAACACAGTAGTCCCTATCATCCCTAATAGCGAACATGCCGGCTTCCGTAGCAACGTTTCTCAAATCAGCACCGTTGAATCCATCGCTGAGCTTGACGATGGCTTCGTAGTCGAGCTCCTCCTTCTTGGCTACGGGTCTGGTGTGGATCTTGAGGATCTCCAATCTGGACTGTTCGTTGGGGAGAGGGATTTCGATCTTTCGATCGATTCTGCCGGGACGCATGAGCGCAGGGTCGAGGGTGTCGGGTCGATTGGTGGCCATGATGACCTTGGTTTTGCCGAGGTAGTCGAAGCCATCCATCTGGTTGAGCAGCTCCATGAGGGTACGTTGGATCTCTCGGTCGGCCGAAGTGCCTTCGCTGAAACGTCGTCCTCCGATGGCGTCGATCTCGTCCATGAAGATGATGCATGGTTCGTGTTCCTTTGCGTATCCGAACATCTCGCGGATCAATCGCGCGCTCTCTCCGATGTACTTGTCGACGATGGCGCTGGAGACGACTTTGAGGAAGTTGGTCTCGAGTGTGCTTGCTACGGCACGGGCGAGCAACGTCTTTCCGGTTCCGGGCGGGCCGTACAGCAAGACACCTTTGGGAGGCTTGATACCGACGCGCATGAACAGTTCTGGGTTGAGCAAAGGCAACTCGATCACCTCTCGCAACTCCCGGATCTGATCCGACAAGCCTCCGATACCTGCAAAACTGGCAGCGCCCGGGTCTTCCATGCTCATGTTGTAGACGAGTGGATCGACCTCTCTGGGCAAGATGCGCATGATGGTGAGCGTGGTCATGTCGAGAGAGACGCGGACACCTTGCTTGAGCTTGTGCTTGGGGACACTTGCACGGATGCCGACGACATAGCGTGGACCCGAAGAAGCCTTGACAATGTATCGTTCTTCATCCAGCTGTTTGAGCACTTCGCCGATAATCTGACCGACAGACTGGAGCGCTTTGATGTCATCTTCGGTCTTGTCGTATGCTTTCTCGAGGTCTTTCAAACCGAAACGAAGCTTCTTGAGGTTCTCGGAGAGTTCGTTGTGCTGTTTGAGTGCCTTTTTGTACGCTTTCAGCGCCTTGTCCTTGGCTGGGTCGGTGGAGAGCACAGATTCGGACGGAGGCTGGGTGGATGTGGATGGTGTTGGGTCGGCCATTGTGGATAGGGAGGCTCTGATTGTGAAGCCGTGACGGGTGTGGTTGGAGCGGAAGTAACAGATGTGTCAAGATGATGGCTGAGCGTTGATTTCAAAGTGGAGCAGTGACGCGCGTCGCTGCCTTGTAGCGCACTTACTCGGCCCAGAAGCACGCACACTGCATGAGAAGCTGTCGATCAAGCAACTCGAAGCTTCCTGTTCGATCAAACAGACAAAACCGAATTTTCTCCCGACGAGAATACAAGGGCCAAGGCTGTGAAGGGGCACTCTCGCTCGAAATTCCAATAATGTCATGAATACATTCTCCGATCTTCCGCCTGCGAATTGTATTTCAGATTGTGATCAAGAAAGGGCTCAACAGCCAGCCAGCCAGCCAGCAGCGAGAAGATTGTTTGTGTGTGTGTGTGTCTCTGGCCGACGGAGAGGCGCGTCGGGTGTCCTGTGCGCAACACGCAAAGCGCTTGGGCGAAGTCCGAGTGAGAATACAACGCTTACTGTGCTGAGCCGTGCGGCGCTGTGCTGTGCTGTGCTTCACGAGCAAAGCCACGTCGAGGCTTGCTGAGAAGGTTGCTGGCGAGTTCCACTTGATCCTATCCGAGCTCGACGTCGTCCCCTTCGCCGTCACCATCACCCTCCTTGTGTATATTCTTTCTTTGTCTCTTCTTTGTTTCAACCCTTCCTCCGTCCTAACGTCTTGACGCCCAGATCTCTTCGACGCAAATCCTAGCATACCACGTCGCACCCCGGTCTCGGTCGTCGCCAATTCGGTGCACGCACCCTTCGCAATTCACCTCTGCACCTCGTCCATCCAAAAACGTAGCGCGGTCCGCCGAGCTACATCATACCTCGCTCCATCATGGCGGACAAGCCCATCAACTTCTCCGAGCATGTTCAGCTCACCAACGTCGGCATCGCTGCCGAGAGCATCTCGTTCGCAAACGTCACCCTCGAGTCCGAAAACTTTGTCTGCGTTCGTGAAAGCGTCAATGGTCAGAACTCGGTCGTCATCGTCAACCTCAATGATATCAGCGATGTCATGAGAAGACCCATCACCGCCGACTCGGCCATCATGAACCCCATCCAGAAGATCATCGCCCTCAAGTCGGCGCGGCAGCTCCAGATTTTCAACATCGAAGCCAAATCCAAAGTCAAGTCGCATCTCATGCAGGAGGACGTCACCTTCTGGAAATGGATCAACAACACCACCCTCGGTATCGTCACAGAAAATGCAGTATACCACTGGTCCATGGAAGGCGAAGCCGCTCCAGCAAAGGTCTTTGATCGTCACGTCAGCTTGCAAGGTACACAGATCATCAACTACCGTGCCAGTCAAGACGAAAAGTGGCTCGTCCTCGTCGGTATCTCTGGCAACACCACCGGCGCACCCAACGCCTTCCGTGTCAAGGGCTCCATGCAGCTCTACTCTCGCGACCGTGGTGTCTCGCAGCCCATCGAGGGTCACGCTGCCGCCTTTGCAGAGCTCAAGTCCGACACGGCGCCAAGTCCCTTCAAGCTCTTCACCTTTGCCAACCGCACAGCCACCGGCGCCAAGCTTCACGTCGTCGAGATCGACCACCAGAACGGCCAGCCCGCCTTCACTAAGAAGGCCGTCGACGTCTTCTTCCCACCAGAGGCCACCAACGACTTCCCCGTCGCCATGCAGGTCAGCAAGCGCTACGGCATCGTCTATCTCGTCACAAAGTACGGCTTCATCCACCTCTACGATCTTGAGAGCGGCGCTTGCATCTACATGAACCGCATCTCGGGCGACACCATCTTTGTCACCGCAGAGCACGAGTCCACCAGCGGTATCATCGGCATCAACCGAAAGGGCCAGGTCCTCTCCGTCTCCGTCGACGAGAGCACCGTCATTCCTTACATTCTCCGCACCCTCAACAACTCGGAGCTCGCCTTCAAACTCGCTTCTCGCGGTGATCTGCCAGGCGCCGACGACCTCTACCTCCAGCAATTCCACTCGCTCTTCTCCACAGGCCAGTATGGCGAAGCTGCCAAGATCGCAGCCAATTCGCCACGCGGCATCCTTCGTACCTCGCAGACCATCGAGCAGTTCAAGCAGGTGCCCAATCAGCCCGGTACCCTCTCGCCCATCTTGCAATACTTTGGCATCCTCCTCGAGAAGGGCTCGCTCAACAAATTCGAGTCGCTCGAACTCGCTCGTCCTGTGCTCAGCCAGGGCCGCAAGCACCTCCTCGAGAAGTGGCTCAAGGAGAGCAAGATCGAATGCAGTGAAGAGCTTGGTGACATTGTCCGCCAGCACGACATGAACCTCGCGCTCAGCGTCTACCTCCGCGCCAACGTGCCCAACAAGGTCGTCGCCTGCTTCGCCGAGACCGGTCAGTTCGACAAAATTGTCCTCTACGCCAAAAAGGTCGGCTACACCCCCGACTACGCCTCTCTGCTTCAGCACATTGTCCGCACCAACCCCGAGAAGGGTGCCGAGTTTGCCAGCAGCTTGGTCGGCGACGAGTCCGGTCCTCTGGTCGACATTGAGCGCGTCACCGACATCTTCATGAGCCAAAACATGATCCAGCAGGCAACCAGCTTCCTCCTCGACGCCCTCAAGGACAACAAGCCCGAGCAGGCGCATCTTCAGACTCGTCTTCTCGAGATGAACCTCGTCAACGCTCCGCAGGTAGCCGACGCCATCCTCGGCAACGAGATGTTCACCCACTACGACCGTCCGCGCATCGCCAACCTCTGCGAGAAGGCAGGCCTGCTCCAGCGTGCCCTCGAGCACTACGAGGAAAACGCCGACATCAAGCGTGTCGTGGTGCACACCAACCTTCTCCAGGCAGACTGGCTCGTCAGCTACTTTGGAAAGCTCACCGTGGAGCAGTCGCTCGAGTGCCTGCGTGAGATGCTCAAGGTCAACATCCGCCAGAACCTGCAGGTGGTCGTTCAGATCGCCACCAAGTACTCGGATCTGCTCGGCCCCGTCAAGCTTATCGAGATGTTCGAGTCGTTCAAGTCGTTCGAGGGTCTCTACTACTATCTCGGCTCTGTCGTCAACCTCTCCACCGACGCCGAGGTGCACTTCAAGTACATCCAGGCTGCCACGCGCACCGGTCAGATCCGAGAAGTGGAACGCATCTGCCGAGAGTCCAACTACTACAACCCCGAGAAGGTCAAGAACTTCCTCAAGGAGGCCAAGCTCTCGGACCAGCTGCCGCTCATCATCGTCTGCGACCGATTCGACTTCGTCCACGACCTCGTGCTCTACCTCTACCAGAACATGCTGATCAACTTTATCGAAGTGTACGTGCAGCGCGTCAACTCTTCGCGCACGCCCCAGGTCATCGGTGGTCTGCTTGACGTCGACTGCGACGAGGGTGTTATCAAGAACCTTCTCCAGTCCGTCACCGGCCCGATCCCTGTCGACGAGCTCGTCGAAGAGGCCGAGAAGCGCAACCGTCTCAAGCTCATCCTGCCCTGGCTTCAGTCCAAGATCGAGGCTGGATCCCAGGATCAGCCTCTGTACAACGCCATGGCCAAGATCGCCATCGACAGCAACAACAACCCCGAGGCTTTCCTCAAGGACAACAACCTCTACGACCCACGCGTCGTCGGAAAGTACTGCGAGAAGCGCGACCCTTACCTCGCCTACATCGCCTACGCCAAGGGCTTCTGTGATGACGAGCTCATCTCGATCACCAACGACAACTCGATGTTCAAGCACCAGGCTCGCTACCTCGTCAAGAGACGCCAGCTCGACCTGTGGGCTCAGGTGCTCACCTCGGACAACGTGCATCGACGCCAGCTCGTCGAGCAGGTCACGTCGACCGCCGTCCCCGAGTCGACCAACCCCGATGACGTCTCGGCCACCGTCAAGGCTTTCATGGCTGCCGACATGCCTCACGAGCTCATCGAGCTGCTCGAGAAGATCATCCTCGAGCCCTCGGCCTTCAGCGACAACCGCAGTCTGCAGAATCTGCTCCTTCTCACCGCCGTGCGCACCGACAAGGGCAAGGTCATGAACTACATCGACCGCCTCGACGGCTACGATGTCGATGAGATCGCCAAGATCGCCATCGACCACGGTCTCTACGAGGAGGCCTTCCGCATCCACTCCAAGGCCGAGCAGCACGAGGAAGCCATGAACGTCCTCGTCGAGCACGTCGTCTCCATCGATCGCGGTCAGCAGTACGCCAACAAGCTCAACAAGCCCGCCATCTGGTCGCGCCTCGGTAAGGCTCAGCTCGACGGTCTGCGTGTCAAGGATGCCATCGACTCGTACGTCAAGGCTGAGGACCCTTCGAACTACGAAGAGGTCATTGAGATCGCCGAGCACGCCGGTCGCGAGGAGGAGCTCATCCGCTACCTGCAGATGGCCCGCAAGAAGGCTCGCGAGCCCAAGATCGACACCGAGTACGCCTACTGCCTCGCCAAGGCCAACCGCCTCGGCGACATGGAGGAGTTCCTGGGCATGACCAATGTAGCCGACATCCTCAGCGTCGGTGAAAAGTGCTTCAACGACGAGCTGTACGAGGCTGCCAAGCTGCTCTTCACCAGCGTCTCCAACTATGCGCGTCTCGCTACTACGCTCGTCTACCTCGGCGACTATCAGGGCGCTGTCGATGCGGCTCGCAAGGCAGGCAACACGAGCGTGTGGAAGCAGGTGCACGCCGCCTGTCTGAGCAAGCGCGAGTTCAAGCTTTCGCAGATCGCCGGTCTCGCCATCATCCCTCACGCCGAGGAGCTTCCTGGCCTGATTAGGTCGTACGAGGCCGAGGGTTTCTTTGACGAGTTGCTCACGTTGCTCGAGCAGGCGCTGGGTCTCGAGCGCGCCCACATGGGTGTCTTCACCCAGACGGGTGTCGCGCTCGCCAAGTACCGCCCGGAGCGTCTCATGGAGCACCTCAAGCTGTACTGGTCGCGTTCCAACCTGCCTCAGCTCATCAAGGTGGCAGAGCAGTGCCATCTGTGGTCGGAGCTCGTCTATCTGTACACCAAGTACGACGAGATGGACAACGCTGCGCTCGCCACCATGGAGCACGCCGCCGCTGCGTGGGATCACGACCAATTCAAGGCCATCCTGCCCAAGGTGGCCAACGTCGAGATCTACTACCGTGCACTGACGTTCTACCTGGAGCAGCACCCGTTGTTGCTCAACGACCTGCTCACCGTGTTGGCCAAGAGGATAGACCATGGTCGTGTGGTGCGCATGTTCAAGAAGAAGGACAACGACAACGTGCCGCTGATCCGCAGCTACCTCATGTCGGTGCAGCACCACAACCTCGAAGGTGTCAACGACGCCTACAACGACCTGTTGATCGAGGAGGAGGACTACGAGACGCTGCGATCTTCGATCGATGGCTACGACAACTTTGACACGATCTCGCTCGCAGCTCGATTGGAGAAGCACGACCTGCTCGAGTTCCGCCGTCTTGCGGCTCACCTGTACAAGAAGAACGAACGATGGAACGAGTCGATCGCGCTGTCCAAGACGGACAAGCTGTTCAGGGATGCCATCGAGACGGCTGCCGTTTCGGGTGTTGAGGCGGTGGCGGAGGAGTTGCTCGAGTACTTTGTCGAGATCGGCAACAAGGAGTGCTATGCAGCGACGTTGTTCGCGTGCTACGATCTGGTTCGACCGGACGTGGTGATGGAGTTGTCGTGGAGGCATGGGTTGGGCGACTTTACGATGCCGTACCAGTTGCAGAGCATGCGTGATCAGAGCGACAAGTTGAAGAAGCTGGAGAAGGAGGTGAGGGAGAGGGCGAAGAAGGATAGTGATAAGGAGAAGGAGGAGGAGGATGCACCGATTATTGGGCCTGGTGGATTGGGCGGTCCGAAGCTGATCACGGCGGGTGTGACGGGGTTGGGCGCGCCGGGAGGTGGGTATCCGAACAACCTGAATGGTGGAATGTACATGCAGCCTACGGGTATGTTTTAGAAAAAGGCGTGGGGAAGAGATGTATATATTTCGAGTTGCGGCATGTCAAGAAGAGTTTTCGAGTCCATAACTGTGCGAGAAAGATGTGTCGCAAACGGTCGTGTGTCATGGCTGTGACGATGTCCTTGATGTCATGTTCAGGTGACGAGATAGACGTTGAGCGACGACACACCAATCGCACGTCGAGCACACAACTCTCTCTCACTTCAATCTTCACGCTCGCACGCATTCTGTCCGTGGGCTGATCACACTGGTTCATTGCATCTACCCGACCCTGATCCTCTCCAACTGCGGGATCAACTGATCAAACACCCCCACCAGACCCTCGTACAGCTCGATCTGACCATCCGCATGCGTAGCCAGCACATCCTTCAACTCCTGCTCCTTGGCCAGATGGAAGATGCGATTCTCGACCATCACCTCTCCATTGAACGCCTGACTTGTATCGTGTGCGCTGGTCACCGCATCCTGCAACTCTTTGATCTTTCCATCCAACCTCTGCATTCTTCCGACTCTCGTCCTCTCCTCATCCACACCCCTAAGATGGTCCACCTTGTCCTTGAGGTAGCCAGAGATGCCGGCACCTCGTACACCTCCATGACCATGACCCGCACCGTACGGCGATGACAGGGAGGCCAGACGATCACGTTCCGACACGACTCCGGACAGGTAGTCTGTAAGTTCTTCGAAATCCACCTGCTTGGTATCCCTCAACTTGAGGACGGATTTGTGCGACCTGGCGTACGAGAGCAACGCTTGCATCTGCGAAAGCATCGCATCCGTCGACTTTGCAGACTGTGTAAACCACATCGAATCAAAGCTCACCACCAGTCAGCATTGATTCCCCCTCAGAAGCCCGTCAACCCACAACTACTTACAGTAACCCTCTCCAACCGAGCAAACTCGAGCATCGCAGCGGCAAACTTGTTCAACGGCTCGGTGATCCCGCTCTCCAAATACCCGAGGCCTTCGATGCTCGTGGCGAAATCCTCGTAGTCGGTGGAAAGATCTTCGAGGCCGGTTCCGAGTTGGGGAGCATAGACGTCGCCAAACGGCAGAGCTAGGAAGCGAAGGTCAGCATGCGGCCCCGTTACGGTATTATGATAGTTGGTTTTTTTCAGTGTCAGATGCGAATGTTGTTTAACGGACGAGCGGGCGGGCGAAGGATGTTGGGACCAAAGACAAGGACAAAGAGCAGGGAACGAAGGAAGGATAGGACAAGGGAGGAGAAAACAACTTACCAGCTATGCGATTCCTGTTGCGAGAGAGCACGCGCTCTGTTCCAGCCAGCCCTTCTTCGAGCTTGTCGATGCTCTCTCTGATCTCTTCGAACCGTTCGTCGGGCTTGCGTACTTTGGAAAATGCGTTGAGAAAGTGATCGCTGAGGCTGTCTAGCAAGCTAGGTGGACCTGCGTTTTCAACCTGCGATCCAGAAACGAGGGTGGAAGCGCCGGCTGCAGAGTTGGTGCCGCTGTGGGACGAGTTGTGCGCGTGCATGTCGACCTGCCATTCTGAGCTCTCGAGGAAGTTGCGAAGCAGCTGGCTGCGTTGCAGTGTTGGATGACGGCAGATGCGTTCGAGGAAGAGCTGAAGGTCCTGGGTGCGCCTCTCGATGAACTCGGGGCTGAAACGGTCTCCTGTCAGATACTCGAGACGATGCTTGTCCGGCAGCGGCGCAACGACGCACGCGGGGAAGTCGCGTTTGAGACCTTCGCGAAGGAAAGTGAAGTCGTTGAAGCGACGACGGGTGGCCATGTATGTGCGTGAGAAGTGCGGGAGGTTGGTCTCTGCACGGATGCCGTAGCTGATGAAAGCATCCTTTTGACCTTCGAGCTCCTTGCGTGGTTCTACGACCTGGACCATCAGATAGCCAGCCCACGAGAGCTGTGCGGGATCGTCGGAAGCGTGGACGTCTCGTGCCAGCGCATTGGCGGAAGAAGATGCGCCCAAGTGAGATGGACCTGCGATGGCATTGCTGTTGGAGAAGGAGGGAGTGGTTGAGAAGGTAGGTTGTGAGCCTGAGGATGTGTCACGGTTCTCCCAGGTGACCGAGGTGAAGGTGTCCTCTTCGGTATCCATGGTTGCGAGGACGCGGTACCGATAGAGCAAAGTAATGGGATGATGGAAGAGACTGACGTGAATGCAAGGGTGCCGAGAGTCTCCACTTTGAGAGAGTGCTGAGTTTGAGTCGACTGTCCGCTTTTGGCTGTGCTTTGCAAGCACTTCTGCCGCGTGGGAATGACACTCAACTCGATCCAAATGCGCACGGATCCAGCTCCTCTGATTTTCCCGATCTAACATAGCTGCGCTGCGCGTGAAATGTGCCAAATGGTGCCGAAGCTGTTTCGCTCTCATTTCTCCACCTCGTATCAAGCTTCTCGACCCTCGCTCGCCGCCGCCACCTCATTCAAGACCTTCCATACCTGGTCCTCCTCATACGACATCATCAAGAGCACAATACAGCACCAGCGCAACCTTTTCACCACTCCATCCAATCGCTCCCTTCACCACACGCACACACACAATGTCTCTTCCGTACGCAGCGGACGCAGAGACCTCGCTCTCACCCTCCGAGCTCCAGGTGCTCAAATCCCAGTACGAGACCGAACTCGCCGCCGGCCACGTCACCACCCAGACCAAGTTCAACTACGCATGGGGCCTCGTGAAGAGCAAGCAGAGAGCAGAGATGAGCATCGGCGTCGGTCTGTTGACCGAGATCTACCGCGCAGATCCTCCCCGGAGGCGAGAGTGTCTCTACTACCTCTCGCTCGGTCACTACAAGATGGGCAACTATGACGAGGCGCGCAGATTCAACGGTGAGTGTAGGGCCTGCTTTTGATATGAGAAAGATGGTGGTTGGTTCTGACCTGTATCGTTCTTCCTTGGACATCGCACGATAGCACTGCTAATTGAACGAGAACCAAACAACCTGCAAGCACAAAGTCTCAACCAGCTTATCGAGAAGGGTGTTGCTCGAGGTGAGTTCCCCCTCAATCATGACATGAACACACATTTGTCGCGACCCGACATGCTGACAATCCTCTTTGTACTGTTCCCGCCTTTGGTTTCATGCAGAGGGTTACATCGGTATGGCGTTGATCGGCGGTGCAGCTGCCGTAGCGAGTATCGCCATCGCAGGTCTCATGCGTCGCGGACGTCGCTAGCCCCTCCCCTCGCTTCCCGTCGCTTCCTGTACATCCTCCGCTTCGCCTTTCCTTTTCGCATCTCTGTACTCTATCTTGGTCTCAATGTGCATCCATAACACGCCAACCTGCGACTCACCCTCTCCAGCACACCGAAACCACACACACACCCGACACACAACGGCACACACCAAAGGATCCCTTCACCAACGCGTGTATTGTCCCTTACATGGCAAGTCTATCACATGTCGTCCACAGCTGGCAACTCATTCTCCAGATAGCGGGAACCTACTCCGGACCTCGCCACTGCACCGCTGGAACGGGAGGGATCTTGCTCGTTGAGCCGGACCCAGTCGAGTGTCTTCTGTTCTCGTTGACGTGAACGACGATCGACCTTTTGCTTTTCTTGCTGCTCTTCGAGTTGTTTCGAGAGATCAGCGTCGCGTCGGTTTCGATCATCCTGGACTTGACCTCCGGGGCTGCAGGTGCGACAGAGGTAGAAGCGGCTGGTGGTGGTACAGCTGCTGTCGTTGATGTTGCGTTGTGCGTCGATGCCGACGGTGCAGGCTGTGCGACCGGAACAGCCGCCACAGCGGGTGCGGTTGCTGACGTCGACGATGCCGTTTGCTGCTGCTGCTGCTGCTGCTGCTGCTGCTGCGTAGCGGCTGGCGGAACAGCCGCCGCATCGTTCGAATCAACCTTTGTCACCTCGGACGCTCTCGTCGTTCTGCCATCCTCTCCATTCCCGCCTGCCCCTGCTCCGAGCGACTGCTTCGATCCAGCCTGAACTTGCGATCCCAATGATTCCATGTGACGCACCCTCCCCGCACCTCCCATGCTGTGCGACGCCACACCTCCCGCCCCAGTCGCCGTCTGCCTCGGCTGCGGTTCCACCTGACCCTTTGCCGTACCACCGAAACCATGCGTCACCTTCGCGCCTGAATCCGGCACCCTGTAAAACCCTTTCTCCTCCGCGTCCCCTCCTTGCCTACCGCCACCACGCTTCCTCTTCTGCCTGTAACTCGAAGGCGGGAGCTGGTACGGCGAGTTGCTGAACGGCAGCTTCTCCGGTCCAATAATTGGAGGCTCCGCGAACGCGTTCATATAGAACCAGTTTTCCGGATACCTCCTCCCACCAACATTGTTGATGATCAAGGCCCATCCAATCACAATCAGGGTACTGATGATAACAACCGGAACCAGCCACCAGTCCAAATCGTGCGTTCTCTGATCTGTAATAGCCAACAGCGCGATAGCTGCACCCGGCGGATGCGTGAATCCAAAGATCTGCATCGCAAACACGGCCGCACTGACCGCTGTAGCCGCAGCGATCCAATCGATTCCATACACTCCGCTTACGCTGTAGTTGGTCCCCGCGAATGCCTTTTCCATCGCAACACCCATGACTGCAGAGATGGTGTTTCCGAACAAGATGTTCTTCGGTTGAGCTAGAGGAGTGCGAAAGGCGAAGAAGGTGACGACGGCTTCGGTAGCAAACGCACCGATGATCAGAGGCGCATCGTGAGCTCGATGGAAGGGTGATCTGCTGACCAGGCTGAGAAGGGCGATGAGGACCCAGGCAGCGATGACAGAGTGGATCGAGTTGACAATCTTGGCTCCAACTTGATGTTTGTACATGCGAACGAGCTCGATCTCGCCCGTGTGAGGGTCGCGGTATCTAGCGATCTCTCCCGTGTCACCGGACACTGGCAAACCCAGGCTGAAGATGCAGCCGCAGATGTAGTGGAAGCGATTGAATTTGGGATGCTTGGGCGTTCGGCGTCGTTCGGACGGCGTATGAGGGTGCGAGAGCGGTCTATAGCCGATGAAGTTGGTCAGGGGATAGAGCGCTGCCAGGATGGGATGCTCCTCGTCATCATGATCGTGGTCGTTGTCGTCCTCCTGCTTGGCGTCCTCTTGCGCATCGGATCCCCCGCCTTTGACCTTCTTGAAAGCCCTGTTGTGGTGCCCACTTTCGTCTGATGGCGAGCTGAGATCGTTGGGATGCGGACTTGCCTTTTGAGTGCTGCCTTCCGTGCTCGGCGAAACGTACTGATCGTGTCCGTGTGTGGGCTGTGTAGGTTGAGAGGTCGAAGCTGTAGTGTCTATTCTATCTGACTGAGCTGTCTTTTTCTTTGATCCTCGTCGAAGCACATTCGAGGCTGGCTTGATGGAGCGAGCTTGCCTCATCTGCGTCTCTGGAGTGTCTTGCGACGCTGCGACGACCTGCTTGGGTTCAGCATCGGCGTCGTCCTCGGCAGAAGCGCGGGAGCCATCGGTGGAGATGTTCTCGATGAAGCGGCCTACTGGCTGCTTAGTTTGCTGCTGCGTTGTTTGATTCACTTGCTGAGCTGCGTCGGTTTCCTCCGATTCCAGGGGGATGGGGGGCGAGGCTGGCGAGACGGGTGTCGGTTCCTCCGGGATGGTAGTCGGCGCATTCACCGATGAAAGCTCAGCGCCGCTGCCTGTTTCGTCGACTACCGGCATGACCGACCGCACCTCGAAGGTCAAGGACGGCGGTCTGCGTGCTGTCTTTGCTGCCTCAAAGCGTGGCTTGCCGCGCTACTGAGCACAGTTGATCGAAAGGCGCGACGAAATCTTGCTTTCCGCGTCTTCTACGTCGACAGCGAACACGACGAACGGGTCCGAGTGGTATGTGAGAGAACGCAATGCTCTACGAAAGCACCGTCGGGAAGGTCTCGGAGTGTGGATGGACAAGATAGAAGGGGGAGACGGCACGATCGAGGAGCGGCAAGGTAACGGATGACTTTTGGCGTAGGCACCCTTGGGACCTTTTCGAGGGGACAGTCTCAAAAGCCAAGCTCTGCTCGGATCGAGGGTGCAGTAATCGACGGACCCTGTTCGTCAGCAGAGCTCGACGCTGCTCTTTCGAATCCTTTCCTCTTCCACTCTCGTCATCGCACAGTATTGCCTGCTTCGACCGGGGAGAGTCACTCCCACATCGATCAGGTTGGCACAAGATGCCTTTCATACGGTCTCGTGGAACGTGGCTTTGGAAGCGAACCATGCAAGCAATTTAGGCAGGGACAGCGAGCGCAGCGATGGCTGGAGGTTCTACTGGCTGTCTGGCTCCACTAGCCGAGCAAGGACTCGATCGGCCGGCACGCGAGCCATTTCCAGCCAATCCGGCAACGCAACGGCATACTGTGAAGTACGTAGCAATATCATGACCATTCAGAAGAGATACGAGCATGTAGAAGCCGAGGGCTGCGGCCCGTATATGCTGTGCAGCCGCTCAAGCCTACTCGAATCATCTCTGCCATGTTGCAGAGGGCTACGGGTGGAACCAGACACAAGTGCAGGCCCGGGTTTGCAACTCCGCCGCAACGCTGCCGCTCAGCATGGCATGCTATCTCATCCATACACTGCACCTGTAGCGTTGATCACCTCTCACCCAAAGCAGCCGTCTCGAAGCCAATCTGAACAGTGCAAGAGCGCGACTCGACAACCTAGACTTGACATGAATGGCATCGAAGCCGGATTCATCTTCTTGTCTTTCTTTCGGGAATTCGACCTTGTCGTCATTGCGCGCTGTCCTGCAGAAGATGGTGGAGAAAAATTGTCCGATCTGTGTGGACTTTCCCAGTGCGGACTTTCCCAATCTGCCCGCCTGTCGACGTTGACAAAATTGGAAAAATGGGCCTGACGAGCTGACCAAACTTGTCGAACCGACAAATATCGCCAAGTGGCCGGAAAGGAGAAAGCTCTGCTCGCGATTTTCCCCCACTTGCGGATGTACGAGCCGCGATGCTGCGACTGCAGGCTTCGGCTCAGTGGGGACTGCGCTCTCGATCTTGTGCGCAGTTTTCGGTCCTGGGAACACCGAACACTAGTGGCAGAGATGTGGTGGACTCGAGCCATCGAGCCACAGTAGGCATCGCTCTCGACTGCTGGACGACGTCTGCAATAGGTATCATTGGTATATGTGAGAAGGCAATGGCTAACATAGATACAGCAGAGCATAAATGGTAATGTCGACAGGGGCGCAAAGCCGGATGGCGCTTCGAGCATCATCGCAGCTTGGCGAATGGATTGAAGGCATTCGCTTCTCGTCGCTTGTCGTTCTGCGTCCTGTGCGAAGTGTTGAGATCCCAAAATCGCAGCGTCTCGTCGCCCGCTCCCGTCACAATCGTGTCGCCGGTCGGGTTCATCGAGAGGTAGAGCACTCGCATCGTATGGCCCGTCAAGGTGGCGATCTGCTGCATCGACGGATACTTCCACACCTGGATCTGGTTCTGAATGGCTCCACCCGAGTATCCGTGCGTGCTGATCAGCTCGTTGGCCGTCTTGCTCCACATGAGGTTGCACACCTGGCTGCCCGTATCCACCTCGTTGAGCATCTGACCTGTGCTCGCGTTCCAGAATCGGATCTTCATATCCACCGTTCCTCCTCCCGATGCGAGGATGCCCTGCTGATGCGGGTTCCAGGCGATCGCTTTGACAGCAGCCGTGTGTTCCGTGAACCGATGTAGCGGCGCCTCGTTGAGCGCGTCCCAGACGATGAGCCGGTTATCGTTGCCACCGCTCGCCAGCTGGTTCGTCTCCGTGTTCCACTTGAGACCGCAAATTTCCTGTCGATGCGCACGTAGTGTGCGGATGTGCTGGTCAGGCGCGCGCACATCGCGATGGTAGATGACCCTGTCACGCGAACCCGAGGTCAAGATCACCTCGTTCCAAGCCAGCGAACCGACGCGCTGCGTGTGCCCACGCATGGTGCGCAGCAGCTTCTGATTCTCCACGTCCCAGATCTGCACCAAGCCCTTTTGCGTGCCGATCGCCAAGTGATTGCCCGAGTCGGCCCAATTGATGCCTGTCACAACGTCGTTGCCGTGTTCTTTGAGGTCGCACAATTTCGTGACGGACGAGTTGGCAGCAGACCACAGGTATACACACGTGCCCAGCCCCACTCCGAGCACATTCTTGCTAGACCAATCGACGAGGTTGAGGTAGAAGTCGTTGGCCAGGTCCGGTGCGTCGAGCACCTTATATGGCACTTTGCTGAGTACGCGCGCAGGTTTGCGAGGGCTGAGCAACAGGCTTCGGCTTTCGGGCTTGACTGGCGACAGGCTGTACGCACGGTGATTAGGAGAGTCGAGCGACTCGACCGAATGGGATGCCAGGCCACCAAAGAGACCGCCGGTGCGAGATGTGCCGGCGCCTAGCTCGTCGTCGGTGATGCCAAAGTCGACCACTCTTCCCATGCCCGAGCCGCTGCGACCGGGTGTGCGGCTATGCGATGGACTGTAGCTGAAGAGGTTCCTCTTTGTTGGTGTCGCAGGAGATGCATGGCCGGTGTGACTGGAATGGCGTGTCGCAGACGAGCCGCCGCTGGTATGTACCGAGGAAGAGGAGCTGGATGCAAAGTTGGAGAAGCCGTTGGCACGCTGGCCTCGGCTGGGAGATGTGCTCAGGCCCGCATCGGCCCCGAACAGCTCGGATGAGAGCAGCGACGAGAAGGCCTGGTTCGCCTCTTCCTTTTGCGCGTCCGTGTCGACGGCAACTTTGCGCTTGTGGCGATGTGGAGTTGTTGGTTCGTCGCCTATCAATTGGTATGCAGTGTGCAAGTCTGTGCCGTCCCTTTGTGGGATGAATCGGTCGACGTAGCTGCTGGCAAGAAGCTTCTTGGATGGCGAGGATGACTTGATGCTCGACGAAGCCGACATGACGGAGCGTGATGATTCGCCACGCGACGTGGCTGCAATGTTTGTCAAGCTGGAAGATCGATGCGCACTCGATTTCCGTGCGACGTCTCTAGACGAGCCTGGTATCGAGAGGGGTGGGCTAATAATGCTAGATGCAGAGCCTGCGATAAGTCTGTCGGAGGTGGATCCGAGCAGAGCGTCCGTTGTTCTGCTCTCCCGTTTCGAAGACGAAGGCGCCGAGCCACCTGAGCTTTGGCTACGCAGCCGCCGCCCGAATTCGGTGTTGTACATGTTGAACCGAGGCCAGATGCGACCAGATTTGCCTTGCGGAGCTTCCAGTGGATCAGATGTCTGGCTGAGATGATGTCAGATGTGAGGGCGACGTGCCCGAACGAGACTCGGTGTGTCGGTCTTCTCTGACGGGCGATGATGCTGTGCTTCAGCACGTAGATAGAGATGATATGCTTTCAATGTTGTGCCTTGCTCATGATAGCATCAACAGTAAGGTCGGAACGATGCCGGGTTGTCCCTGTACTATGATGTTGTGTGATGGCTGCCGAATGTACCTTTGCCGATAAGTGGAGGTGGGTCGCACGACTCGTTTCGAGATGCTTTCGTGGGAGACGGGGACAGCTTCGACACGGACGCGGTCGATTGGGTATCCGCTGTGTCGTATGTGAGGTGTCGGATGCTACTGAATGAGTGGGTTGGGGTTGAGGGGACGTGAGGCTACGGATGGAGGAGGATGTCGACGATGTGGTTTTTGCGACCGAGCGAGGGTCTGAATAACGCTGCTGCTGCTTGTGCTTTTGTTGTGTCCGTTTGCCGGGAGAGCGAGAGCTTTAGCCATCGGGCCCTCGATGCGCGCTCAGCTCTGATCCATCCAAACAACCTCGACGACGGCGTGCACTCGCAGGCGAACCAGCTGTCTTCCGCGGCCAGCTGGTCCAGACTGTATTTTTGCAATAATAGCAGCCGATCCGCTGCGTGTTTTCTTGGTCGACCCAGACTCGCATTTTCGCCTTGTTCTATTGATACAACCGTGTATATTTCGAAGCCACGTGTGTTAGACCCTGCTGCTTCGAAGCCACACCAAAAGGACCCGATGCGGCAAATTGAGCATCGTCGTCTGCTGGTCGTCAGATCGGGATTGTGTCGACAGTTCGCTAGCTGCTGCTACCGCAGCCTGTGGATGGCGTGCGCCTACAACTTCGGACCGGCACTAGTCATACTGCCCGTTAGTGGGGCCGACGTCTTCCTAGCGCTTGCTCTTTGGGTGATTGCAGATAGTTCCGCTTTTCGCGTCCATCATTGTTGCGTTGAATTTTGGGAGAAGGAAGACGGCCGTGATGATTCTGTCCGTCAATTGCCTTCTGGTCTAGCCCTGCTACCCAAGACTGAACCGACCTCAAACCACAACCCTATCCAGGCTTCGTACTGCATGCCACTGCGTGAGTCACTCACGCCCTTGCAGCCCAGCGTGAATGTTGGGCATCAAAAGGGACGCGGGCCTTAGTATGGCTTGACGAGCGAACCGGCGGTGTCACGCTATGTAAGGCACTGGAGCTGTGCCAGTCCTGTCCGGTCTCCGCGCCTGGATCCAGGCCGAGGGCGGTCGGTCTGATTTTCTTGGATTTCCCCCGTGAACGAGAGGGCAGGCAGATGGCCTTCACGTCAAACAGAGGTCAGAAAATAGTTCATCCGCGACACTGGCGCATTGCCCTCGGGAATTCTCGCCCAGGGTCTCGCCTCTCGCAAAGAACTCTCCGATGCCTGCGTCCGAATCAGCGCCTCCAGTACTCGGTTCATCGTTTCGAGATCAACGCTGCTTGCTCGTATAACAACCCTTCACAGCTATTGATCCGGATGCATGTACGGGATGGCAAAGAAGTTGGAGGCATTGGGACGCCATGGCTGCGACAAGAAGCCTCGAGGTGTACTGAGTAAGCCTTGGAGGACATCAAAGCATCGCCTCTCGCTCCATCTTGACTTCCGTCGAGGTCGCAGACGTGGCAACGGACAAAGCCTCGTGTCGGCCGTAACAAGTTCCACCCTGCTGTCGATTGCAGACGGCAAGGATCGATACTTTCGGATGCTGTTGCAGCACCGCCAGTTGATGTCAAAGCTTGTTAGATTCTGATATCAGAATCTGCATACGCGTTGAAGTGCCCGCCCTTTTCCATTCTGTCCCGGAGTTTTTTGACAATTCCTCCTGCGCTACCCCGCCCTCTGCTCCAGCGCCTGGACTCGGGAACGATTTTCGACAATTTCGACACGACACCGCTCAAGTGCCCATTTGGATTTGCTTGGCTCTCCCGCTCGAGGCCCTGTTTGTCAGCTGCTCAGCTTCTGCAGGGCGACTGCGCATCCATTCTGGCGTGGCACTCGCATGCAAACGATTTTTGAGTTTTCGAAACGAGGATGCCGATCTTTCTTTCTATTTTCTCGGGGCGCAGCACCACACGGCCGCGGCGCCTGTTGAGCGGAGGGCGATGTCACGTCTGCCCTGCATCGCAAATGCCGCACACTGCTCCTGTGCCTGGTACCCTCGATCCGGATTATCCGTTCGCCTCTGTTCTTTCATGCTTCCATATCTTGTCGTTGCCACGATTCCGCTCGCCGATGGCCTCCTCTCGGAAGAGTCATACGGTATCGGGACAAGTCAAAGACATGAATGCCACTGCAGTCGACAAGAAGATAGCGAGTATGTTCCAACATATATGCTGAGTCGCGCAAAGAAGCGAGATCATTGCAGAAGTGACCGGGCAACGCGCTGATAGCCAACCGCACCATCGACGCCTGGTTCTGCCCTGAGAAAGAGCAGCATCGCTCCCGCCCACCCCTTCACAGCTCTACTCGGTCGAGTCAGCTTCTACGTAGGCCATTCTAGCATGTGCCGATAGAGCGGATCGAGACAGAGAGAGGTGCGCCTAGCACGACTTGCCGTATTGGCGTGTCACTGAGCTGATCTCACGAGTCACATGGCCCTGTTCGCGCATGCATCCGCAATTCACAACGCTTGATCAAGCTCAAGCTCGACCTGGCAAAGGTAAAAGGATGAAGCTGCGCTAGTAGCGTTCAGCAGAAGCATCATCAAGGTGTTCAACAGTGTTGTCATGGCTCGAAAGCGTTGAAGGTTCGTTCTGAGCTTCTTGTGTAGTATGCTTGCAGCCCATTTTTGACAGCGGATCCTACAGGGCTTAGCCTAGAATGACAAGAGGCCTTTTGTTCCAACCGCCCAGTCATCGCTGCGCCTTAGCCAGCCACCGGCGCTCGTCTCTCTGGCCCTTTCCAATGCCTGGTCGGACTCGCCGACAAACGCACAAACCTCATTTTCTTTGGACCCCCAAAAGTCTCCTACACTGTATGCACCTTCGACTAGGGTCTTCAAAGTCGAATCTGGCGCATTTTCTCCATCCGAAAATGCCTCTTCTGGCTCGCTTCACCACCGCGCGACCAGCGCAGTCCGAGCGCAGTGGGTCACATCGCATCATCTCATCCGGTCGGCCATCCACAATCACAACACACACAACACATCGACCCGACCGAAAAAGGTCTTGCTTCACCTCTATGCCGGCTCCACGCTTCTCGTCTGCTCCGCCCCGTTAGTCAATCGGTCCTGTCGATTCGACTTTTTCGATAATCTCCAATAAACCATCCTTTTCGCACCTCGTTCCCTCCTGTTTCCCCCCGGGCCGTCCCTGCCCTTGAAGCATCATCCGCCACCTCTTTTCTGGTGTTCGGTCGCTCCCCTTGCTGCGCCAATTATCTACGCTTTCCATTTACGTTACCGCTGATCCGTTTCTACGACCCTGGTGCGCACGTCTTGGCCGTGAGACTCGAAATAACGTATAAAGACACCCCTTTCCCCTTCGCCATCACCCCGTTCCCCTTTTCTCTCCTACAACCATCACCTCAAGTAAAACCTGAACGTATGTACTCGCCATCCATTGTCTTCTACCTCTCTCTCGACTATTGGCTCGTCGTCTGCCACACTCCTCGCAGTGCATGCTCGACGTTGAAGTCGTACATTGGCGTTCGCTTTGATCAGGATGCTGACATGCTATCTGTCTTTTATGTCTCCTCTCCTGACCTGATACATGGCTCGTTTCGACGATGATGTGCTCCTGCTCCCTGCCGTGTTTTGATCCTCGCTGCTCTCCGCCAACCCGACACCGCCTCCGACCGCCTCTCGCCCGCCTGCCCCTCGCCTCCGCCCTCGCGTCCCTTATTTTCTTCCCTCGCTCCGTCAATTTCCCTTGAATTTCCCGCGCTGCTCTGGTGCCCGCTCCTCCCACTACGCCGCGTCCCAATTTCCCTCGCTCCCCTCTGCTCTCGTGCCGCCATTTCTCTGATCCTGCCTCTCATCGCCGCCCGCCCTCCGCCACCGTCACGTATTTTCCCTCTCGTATCGTCATCACCGTCGCCTCTGCTGGTGGGACTGCTACCCAAATTTCGGATCCGATTTTTGCATCCGCGCCGCGCCTTTTCGCCTGTCTCTCCACACCGCTTTGTTCCATCCGCACCACGCGCTTCACCTTTGTTCATCACCACCACCGCCATCACCATCATCGTCGCTCATTGTCGTCGTCACCGTCATCGCCATCGTACCTCTTTCGACGTGATCACCATCACACCACCACAGCAAGATGGCTCGTACCAAGCAGACAGCCCGAAAGTCCACCGGTGGTAAGGCTCCCCGTAAGCAGCTTGCCACCAAAGCCGCCCGTAAGTCGGCCCCCGCCGCCGGTGGTGTCAAGAAGCCTCACCGTTACAAGCCCGGTACCGTCGCTCTTCGTGAGATTCGTCGCTACCAGAAGTCGACCGAGCTCCTCATCCGAAAGCTCCCCTTCCAGCGTCTCGTCCGTGAGATCGCCCAGGACTTCAAGACTGACCTCCGATTCCAGTCGTCCGCCATTGGCGCTCTCCAGGAGGCCGCCGAGGCCTACCTCGTCTCGCTCTTCGAGGACACCAACCTGGCTGCTATCCACGCCAAGCGTGTTACTATCCAGCCCAAGGACATCGCCCTTGCCCGCCGTCTCCGTGGCGAGCGCTCCTAATCGGTTTCTCGCTTTGCACAGCCTGTAGCGGCCAGCGGTTGCACGCAGAATCGTCTGCTGCCGTTGCTGCTTTCGTTGTGAAGATGTACCATTAGTTGTTCGGCCTCCCTGTCCTCGTCGTTGTTTGTCTCTCTGTCGTCTCGTAATCTCGTCTATTTCGCATCGCTCATCGGCTTGGTCTTTTGTGCGCCTAGATCGTCGTCTGTCGCAGTCTCTGCTTCGGTCGCGTCTGGCGCGACTGGTCTTTGACGCTTGAGCGCCTTGTATACCTCTCTACTCGACTTGCTCTGAGCAGTCCAATAGTAATTTGTTCCTCGCTTGACCTGAACTGACTGCGGATTGTGAGCTGATCATGCTAGTGACTGAGGTATGCTGTGTTGTGCGCTTCGATGATATATGGCTGAGTTGGTCTCGGTGGTTGACAGCTGAGGAAAACACGTCGCAGTCTGCTGTTGATTTTTTAAAACTGAGCCTCCGTTGCGTCACTGGGTCAAAATGACACACACACGCACACAGAACACGCAGGCACACGACAAGCCTCGCTCGCGTGTTGAAGAATTGTCGGACAGCCAAAGGCGCAAGGACCACGAAGATTTCGTCCTCGACAACGCCTCTACTGTCTCGGCACGCCATCGTCGCCGCTCATCGACCTGCTTTCCTCTATCGGCGATGGGTGTCTTCAACGCCCTAGTCAGCGGCTCCTTTCTGCCGTGGAAGCGAGCCAACCGCGAAACCGACTACGAGACAGTGCTTTCCCGCCTCGAAGGCGAGATCAACGACGTCCAGTCTCGTCTCACCCAGATCCGTCTTCGCGAGCGACGGGCTTCGGTGACGCTCACACTGCAAGCGTTCTTGCTGTGGGCCATCTACACGTTTGTCTGTTGGTTCTTTGGACTGTTGTCGTTGCGACGGGCGCATCGGTACGATTCGCATGCAGGGTGGGAAAACACCCGGTTGCTGGGTGTGTGGGTGCCGGTCGTGGGTAGTCCCGTGCTGATCATTTCGACGAGGAGGATCGTCAGGTGGTGGTATAGGAGGATCGGAGCGGCAGAGGACAAGCATCTGATCGATCTCAAGAGGCAAAAGCGCGAGAAGGTCGACGAGATCAAGCGTGCCACCAAGTACGATCATCTGCGGATGCTGCTCGAAAAGTACGATGAAGCCAGTGCAAAGGGTGTCACGCCAAACGTTGCTTCGACGCCGACGAAAGGAAAGGCGGGATCCAAATCAGGCTCACCGTCGTCGTCCAAGACTGCTTCTCCCGCATCGACCACTCCCCAACGATCCGGCGGCGCCGCACCACCCGCACCCGCTCCAACGACACCAGAAGCCCAAGCGCTCCAAGCACAGCGAATGGCGCTCATGCGACAGCAAGGAAACGTCATCCAGCCCCCCCGACCGTTCCCCGTCGCAGCCGCGCCGCCGATGCCAAAGACGTGGATGGACAAGGTGGCAGATGCTATCCTCGGCGCCGACCCTTCTGCCACGGGACCGGAGCAAAAGTATGCGCTCGTCTGCGCGCGCTGTCACGCGCACAACGGTCTGGCGCTCAAGGAGGAGTTCAACGAGGTGCAGTACATCTGCCCACACTGCGGTCATTTCAATTCGCGTCGGCCCAGCTCGGCGCCCGTCGGTTCGCCGTTCAACAGCAACGTCAGTGGTGCTCAGGGAGGCGGCAGGGCGAGGGTTTCGGATCAGGGTGTGAATTCGGCGGTCGACACGACACCGTCCAAGCCGAGCAGGACCGAGAGGGGCAGCAGCAGACTCAAGCTGCGAGCGGACGAGAGCGACGCTGATGAAGATGAGGACAAACCACCGGTCGCAACGCTGCAGGAGGAAAGGGGGGCGGAGGGAAACGACTCCGTATCGATCGATAGCAAGGCAGAGGATGCGAGGGAGGAGAGGAAAAAGTCGTTGCGCTCACGCAAGTCGCATTCGAACAGGTCTGGAGAGGACGGTATGGATCTCGATGACGATTGATGTCTGGCTCAATGGATGCATCGCCTCATTGGGCATCAGACTGGTTCTCAGCGCTTTCTCCATGCTCGGCAAAGCGGTCGTGAACTGCAGATGAATACAAGGTCAACATTTTCACAGATGGACAAAACAACTTTCGAGTGGACAAAGACTGAACTGGACTGAGGGTGTTGATCACAACCTCTGTTGAGGTAGTCACTCGTATACGCTATCGAGGATGCCCTTGACACCGTGCCAGTACTCGCTTCCCTTCTTTGCCTCTCCCGTGGTCTTTGTCGCTACGATTTCGGGTTGCTGCGCATCCAAACCGCAACCCTTGAGCGTCGAGTGCAGACCGAGGTCGTCGACGAGTTTCTGCACCGCGTCTCCCACCGCGGTAGCCTTCTCCCGCAGAACCTTCAGCTCTGATTCTGTCGGATCAGTGCTACCTGAGCCTACGGAGGGACCGAGCGGGGTGGGGTTGGGGTTGTAAGGTGCAGGGATGAAGGGGAGCGTATCTGCGAGGTTTTGCAGGTGCAGCAGGGGTGTGTTTAGGAAGTTGGCGGTGAAGCGGATGGTGGCGCCGAGAGTGATGCAGCTGGTGATGCCGTGACCGATGCCGTAGGTTGCACCGAGCTTGTGGCCGAGTCCGTGGGAGAGACCAAGTGCTCCGGACCTTGCTTCAGGCCAGAGGGAGTTGAAGCATGCCAGCTGCAGTTTTTGCCTGACATCGAGGTTTTGCGGTTCGGTCTTGGAGAGTGGCAGGTAGGTGAAGATGTCGCGGATGGCGGATTGAACGCTAGGACGGAGCAAGGGGTGTGTGTCGGGTCGGTAGAGGTACTCGACCGCGTGGTCGAGAGCACGGATACCGGTGGACAACCACAGACGTTCGGGCGTATCGAGCGTCAGTTCGGCATCGTAGATGATGGCGCGCGGGACGAGGTTCTTGGAGGAAACGCCGATCTTATGTCCTTCTTCCGACTTGAAACCCGCATTCTGGGTGGTTTCAGCGACAGAGAGCGTGGTAGGTACCGCGATGGTGGGGATAAAGAGGTCCGGGTGGGTCAAAGGGTTTCTCGCACTCTCCTCGCCGTGCTCCTCCTGATGACAGTAGAACGACACGGCTTTGGCTGCGTCAATGGGCGATCCGCCTCCGACAGCAACGATGACATCGGCGTTGGACCGCTTGATGCGTTCGACGGCCTCGCGAATGCCCGCCACGGGTGCGTGCTCGCCAATGTCAAAGTACGTCTCTCCGCTGTAGTAGCCTTTGGACGAGAGGATCTGTTGGACGCGTTCGATGACTTTGGTCTTGGTGGCGAGACTCTTGCCCGTGAGTATGAAGGCCTTTTTGTTCTTGAGGTTGAGCGTCTCGATTGCAGACGGCAGGGAGGTGGCGATGGAGCCGGGACCGAAGTACACGGCTTGAAGAAGCGTGTTGCGGTAGACGCCGGTTACGGAAGATGCGGCCATGATTGCGAGCGATTGTTCGGAGGCTGCCTAACGAAGATGAGATGGTGGTCAAGTTTTCAGACCAGGCAGCTTGGTTAGGTAGAAATGCCGAGCAAGGCGACTCCCACCGGTAATACACAGACGGCGGCCTTTTTCTGCCGGCGTATAAGCGGGGATAAGCGTCAATTTCAAGATGGCTCATGCGCTGACTGTCCTCCACACACAAAGGGCACTGGCAGAGATGGAGTCAACATCGCATCATCGACTACCTTATTTGGCGCAATCGTTTCCACCCAATCCGCAGAGCATCGACAAGCAACGAACTCGGTCGGGTCCTCGGAACCCACCTGGCAACAGCGATGGTCCAGCTCGTCAAGATGTGCATCAATCACACCGCAGCACATCGTAAGTTACTGTCAAGAGGAGCAAAATGTACCAAAAAAAATGTTCCCGGCCGGGGAATCGAACCCCGATCTCAGCTGTGAAAAAGCCGTATACTGACCATTGTACTAACTGGGACTACTGCGTGAAAGATCCTTGTATAAACAAATATAATACGTAGATCCTATGGGGATTGCAGACAGTACATGTTTGCGCACACCACAATGTCCGTTGTTCGCACCAGTCCGATGAGATGGATGAGAGATGTGTTTGCCATTTGGAGAGAGTGTTAGGAGAGCACGGTGTCACTGGACATCATCCGTCTTGGTGGCGAACCTCAACGTCAACTCGTAGATGCTAAACATGACCACCGCGTTCGGCACCACACGAAGCAGATGAGCGCTCAGTCCACCGTACAGGGCGGCGAAACCTTCCTCCTTGTAGACCAGTCTCACCGTCTGCAGCAGACCGGTGTACTTTGGCTTCTGACCAGCTTCAGGCTGCTGCCTCAATCTTGTCCTCACCACTTCATGCGGATACGTCGCCAAGCTCGCCACCAACTTTGCCACACCGGCTGCACCTACCATGCTCGACAGCTTGCCCGTCACCTTTCCTTGTCCCTGGCCATCTTGCGGTTGATCGACCCCCATCTTCTTCAAGCGTTCGTACAGAACCCACTGGATGGTGCCTTCGGCGACACCGAGGTAGCTGGCGCTCATTCCTTTGTAGAGGCCCTTTACGCCTTCCTTGCGCACGATGTGCAGTGTCATTTGGAGCGAGTTCATGCTGGATCCGGAGCTTGCTTTGGAAGCGTGGAAGAATGCCGGTTCGCCGAACGTTCCGAGTGTTTTTTTGGATCGCACCACGGAGGCGGCGGTGGAGAAATGGGCTACACCTGGCCGGGTAGCAGTGGCGGATGCAGTGCTTGCGATTGGTCTTGTCGGAGATGCTGTTGCTGATGATGGTGATGCCGCTGGTCGCTCGTTTCGACGTGAGTCAAGTTGCAATCGGGTTTTGACGACCCAAATGGGATTCGTTGCCGTCGCCGTGACCAAGCCCGCTAGTGCTGCTGCGCTGAGATGGACCAAAGACGTCTCTTTGCCGCCGTTGAATCGATCCGCGATGAGCGCCTTACCGTTACCATAAGTGTAAAAGTTGATAGATCGGGCTGGAATGACACCGACCAATGTTGGACCTAGTCCGCGAAACAAGGCACGTGGGCCCTCTGTTGTACTGATCTCCTTTAGCAGGTATCCCGTCTCTACAAAGTGGTACGCCAGCCGACGAGCGCTTTGCAAGATTCCGCTGTTTTGCGACGCTGCTGCTTCTGAACTTGCTAATGACGCTGCTCCTTTCTGTGGCGAGCGCTGACGATACAGATCCGATTGCAGACGTGTCTTGACCACGTCGAGTGGAGATGTGATGATGGCACCGCACATGCCACCGGCGCCACCTGCCACAAAGTGCAGCCATCCTTTCGGGGGTATCAACTTTTTCGGCCGTGATGATGCGTCGTCGGTTGGGGTGAGCGGTAGCTTGGAGGAAGATGAAGCGTGCTGTTGTGATTCTACGATGCGGAGGTCGACCTGGGCACCAGCATCGCCTTGGTCGGCGAGCCGTTGAAGTTGCGGTATGGACAGTCTTTGACCAGATTGTACGTTGGCAGAGGGTAGAAGAGGTGAGATTGTCTCGGTTTCTCCCTCTCCCGGAGTCGCTGTGCCAGGATACGGCATGACTTTTCCTTTCGGTGTGCTCCAAGTATCTTCCGATGCTGAGTTTCGTCTGTTGCGCAGACTCCTGGACAAGATCTCTTGTTTGAGCCGACCGAGCTTCGGGACTCTTTGAAGCTGCTCTTGTGAGATTCCTGCTGTGAAGGTCGATTGGAAGGGCCGATTTAGGAAATGGACAACAATGTTGGTGCCAGAGTGTATGATGAGCGCATTGACAGGCTCGGATAATGATACAGTATTCCAACTTAGGGTCGAGCCTCTTTCTGCAAGTTGCTTTTTTGCGCATTCCTGAACTTTTTCTTTTCCGCAAAAAGTAGCTGCGTGGAGGTTCAGCTCAGCTGGGATGTATTAAGTCATCATGACTAAGCATTGTAAGACCGTCTTGATTGGGCCACTGCTGACAGGGCTGCACCCAATTGGCTTTAGCAGGGAGCTCCTTGAAAGAAACATTTCCGTTGCGAGCAAGGATGGCAAGAGGGACACGCCGTCACTGCCATGTGTGCCATGTGTACATCCAACCGGCGATTCAGGATAGGCGTTGTTACGCTTTGCGAACGCGCCTTGCCGGTATGCGATGTAGGCGAACTCCGAATGAGGGACGGGCAAAGACCGATACCAGCCCCCCGCAATTTGACTCAGGTGACCCTCGCAAATGGCAAAGGAAGCAAAGGAATCGAGGATGCCGCTTCGTGCTCGAGTTGGCCGATAAGATGGTGTCGCTCAGCTTGTGCGTGCAAAGATCGAGATGTGGTTGCAGCACCTCAACCACGACCTCCGTTTTTGCGGTAAGTAACATTGTTACTCTGTACCGCAGCTACTACGGAAGGGCCTCGACTTTTGTTGCCAAATTTTACGTCGTTGAGCAGCGACCTGCATTTTGCCTGCACAGCCCGGTGCGATCTCGGGAAATCCATCGTCTGGTGCCTCTTCCGCCTAATTGTGCCTCCGATGAGGGTCTGTCTCCTTTTTCAGTCTCAGCTGTCAGTGCGAGAAAGAGCATGGACGAGAGGTATCTCCTCCACAGCCGCTATTAACCGCCCCTATTCCCTTTTCTCCCGTTCTTGCTCGGTGCTGCCTTCGACATCAGCTCTTCTGAGGCTTCATTTGAGCAGCATGCAGTATGCTTGGACGTCGAGAGTCGAGTAGGTGCACAATATCGATTGTGCGATTGTGCAATCTCAAATATCGATAGAAGCGAAAAAAAGATGGCAGCGGCGCCCGTTGGTATTTTTCCGGGAATGCGGTTCCGGATGTCTTGAGCATGAGCAAGAGTGGTCTAGACAAGCGGGCGACTTCGATCAGCCTCAGGGCCACGGGAGGCACATGGACAAACATCAGCAGAGACCCGAGAAGGATCAGCCATGCGATCTGTGTCAAAGCCGCAAAGCCGCAGCGAGACAGGCAAGACCAACCATTGCCCCCACTCAATGAAGACCTAACCTTTTCCGACATGATACCTTTGTGCTGTTCGATCGCTTCGATGGAAAGCTTCCAGCAAAGATGGAACGGCATCGACCGTCATGTGTTGCCGTCGTTGCTCCCACCAAGTTGCCGCGTGAGAAGCCGCCGTGCTGTACCACAGTCTGCCACTTGACATCGGAATTCCCGCCCTGAAAAGCTCGAAAATATATCTAAAATCGAAGCGAGGCGAAACGATGAAATCACACGGCTGGCTACAGAGCGCATGTTGTGGTAGCTGCACAGTGACTGAGTGAGGATGAGAGAAGCGCGCCGTCGGTCGATTTGCACAACTAATTTGCCTGTCAACGCAAGCACACAAGCAAACGGACGCGGATGTGCCGCTGCAGGCCAGTTCGACGCTCTTTTGCGGCAGAGCGACCCTCGCGCCGCAACTCCACGTCCATCTCTGGCTTGACCATACATTCACTCACTTCGTCCTTCCTCTCACGCAACACCCACCTCCAACTCCATCGCCTCGAGTCTCTGTTTGAGCCTGCACTCACGCACACTCCTTCACTTCGCATCTTTGTGCCAGCCGACAGCAGCGCGCTCTCTTTCCCGCTTGGTCGGTGCACTGCTGCTGCGGTCGCCTATTTGTGACGACGGTCTGTGCTGCATCTTTGATCGGCCGTCATCCTCCCCACGTCCCGAGCACATCTATCATAGCTGTTCCGCTCGCAGCTCATAGCAAAGCGTTCGCAAGCGCTCGTCAGCACTCGCTATCGTCACGACTGCTAAAGCCTGTCTAGTCTCACATCGGATCCCGTATAGGCCCTTGGATTCACGCAAACCCGCTTTGGCCTGGCAGCAATCCCTTTTGCAGTTCCTTCGGATTCCGTTGTGTCACACTGTCCAAATGATGAAACCACGCTGAGCGGCTCCTGTTCCACCGAGAAAGCAAGCCGTCTCTTCAACATTTCATCGAAACAACCACTACACCACCGCATTTCGCACATCGCATCGCCCCTATACCCGCTCCTGCTGCTTCCGCACTTTTCCCGACCGCTCGCGACAACATGCCGGCAGGAGCAGCTCCCGGCGCGCCTCTCGACAAGAGAACCACCGCGTACGAAAACATCTTCGGTCGCCCCAACGCCAAACCCAAAGGTCCGCAACCACAAGTCTTTGCTCAGCATCACAATCCCGGCGCTGGTCCTTTTCGCGCTCCTTCCAGCTCGTATGCTGCCAATCAGCGATGGAATGGCGCACTCCCCGCCGCTGCATACGGTGCTGCGCCATATCCACCTAATGTGTACCTCGATCCATCCATGGTAATACCCAACACCGCAGCCTACTATCCCTCTGCCTACGCATCCGCTCCTTCCGAGGGCTTCGATCCGCAATCAGATCGTAGGATCAGCACCGTTCCATCCATCGCCAGCTCTGACCCGAGATCCTCCTTCTCTGGCTATTCTCAGTACAATGGTCTGACGACCAGCGCACCAGATGCCTATCGCGGCTCCTCCAGCTCAGCAACACCTGCAAGCGCATACGCCACGCACTACCTCGATCAGCACCCGTCAAATGGATCTAGCCAGCCTGCCAACGGCGCAAACGGATCTAACGGTTCCATCAACGCCGCTTCGCCTGTACCCACCCAAACCGGCTATTCGAATCCAAATGCTGCTTCTCCACGCGCCTCAGTCCTACCCGACCAAGATGCCGATCTCGCCTACGGCCTCGATAAGGCCACACTCAACTCGAGCGACAGACCTCCACGCTTACCCAGCTTTGAAAGCAGCGCACCGATCGAACAGAGCAGCTTTTGGTTCGGCGAAAGCGATCGCACACCTACCAGCCCCTTGTCCGTCGCCAGCCGAAAACTCGGCAGCTTCGGCTCACAGGGCCAGGCCGCTCAGCTCGCTGTCACCTCATCCAACGCAGCTTCGCCACGTATCGATGCAGGCACTGCTCCGTCCACGCATGCAAACGAAACGCAGCAGACAGCGTCACACGATCAGGAGGTCTACTCGAATGCGTTCTTCGAAAACTTGCTTGGAGCCCGCTCCCCAGCTTCTTCGATCTACGGCGACGGTCGTAGGAGAGGCTCTGTGGAATCCGATCGCCAGTCAATCGCCAATTCCATCTACACCCTTCCCGGCGCTCAGAATGCATCGCGCGCCTTTTATGGATCAACCACCACCTTGCCCCAGAACGCCAGCGGTTACTTTGCCGGCGGCGGCGCCGCGCTTGGCGGCATGACGCCTTACAATCTTTCCGTCGCCGCCAACTCATCCGCCATTTCAGGCAGTGGCTGGGACCGTCCGCCGCGCGCACGCACTGCCTCTTCAGCAACTCAAGCAGCACAGGCCGCTTATGCGCCTGGTTTTCATCACGGCGGTGCTGCATCACGTTGGGACGATCCGAGCGAAGCTTCGACCATAGGTAGGGGCGACTATCGTTCACTTTCTTTCGGTCAAAGCGCATCTCGTCCGTCGATCGCTGGACCAGCATCTCCGCGAGACAGCATCACAAGCGGACCTCCTCATCCAACGACGTCAAGCCGAAGAGGGCCCCTCGTGTATCCGGCTATGCTTTCTAAAGTCGCAGAAACCTTCCGCGCGCGTGTGAGCCTCTCGGAACGCACCAAAGATGGTCTCACCTACAGCGATGCATTCGACGGACGAGAAGCGGTCGACAAGATTGCCTACATCATCAAGACCACCGATAGGAATCTGGCTCTCCTGCTCGGTCGTGCGCTCGATGCGCAAAAGTTCTTCCACGATGTCACATACGACCATCGACTGCGTGATTCTGCCTCGGAGATCTATCAGTTCAAGGTGCGCGTTCCCACCTCCGGCTTCGGTGCCGAAGACGGCTTTGACGACGATCGCAGGAACTCTGGCCCCGGTCCTCCAACACGCGGCAATTCAGGATCCAGCTTTGGTGCGACGCCATCGATCTCCTCCATGACATCGAGCAAGCAACCTGCCTCGACGTCGCGATCGCCCGCCGCCACCACCCCGGCCACCTCGATCTACAACGGAGTCCAGTCTGGATCCGCACTCGATGATGACGACGATGATGCACTACCCACTGGTGTCTTCACCCTCTTGACCGACTGTTATTCGCCCACTTGTTCGCGCGATCGACTCTGCTACAGTATCGCCTGTCCGCGACGTCTCGAGCAACAGGCGCGACTCAACATGAAACCTCAGCCCGTCCTTCAGCGCAGCGTCAGCAAAGAGTCGCTAAATGATACCAAGGAGCGAGGTGCTTTGTGGGCCGATTCCGTCCCCCGAGAAGTGTTTGACAGCATCGACGATGCTGAGAGAAAGCGTCAAGAGGCCATCAACGAGGTCATCTACACCGAACGGGATTTCGTCGCCGACATGGAATACCTGCGTGATCAATGGGTCAAGCCATTGCGCTCATCGGACGTCATCCCCGAGGACCACCGCGATGACTTTGTCACGCAGGTGTTCTGGAATGTGCTCGAGATCCACGCCGTCAACGCCAAGCTGGCCGAACTGCTCACCAAGCGCCAGAAGCAAGCCGATATCGTGGACCGCATCGGCGATATTCTGCTCGAGATGGTGCCGCACTTCCAACCCTTCGTCAAGTATGGTTCACATCAACTTTACGGCAAGTACGAATTCGAAAAGGAAAAGTCGTCCAACTCGGCCTTCGCCAGATTCGTCGACGAGACCGAACGCCTACCGCAGTCACGCAAGCTCGAGCTGAACGGCTACCTCACCAAGCCGACTACCCGACTCGCAAGATACCCCTTGTTGCTCGAACAGGTCGTCAAGTATACCCCGGACGACCACCCGGACAAGCAGACCCTGCCTAAGGTCATCAAGATTGTCAGAGAATTCCTGACAAAGGTCAATGTCGAAACCGGCAAGAGTGAGAATCGCTTCACGCTCGCCCAACTCGACCAGCAGCTCGTGTTCAAGCAGGGCGAGGCCGTCGATCTGCGCCTCCGCGACGAGCAGAGGGAGCTCGTCTTCAAAGGTCCGCTCAAGAAGCGCGGCGGTACGCAGAGCGAAAGCGCCGAGCTGCAAGTCTTCCTATTCGACCACGCCCTGCTCATGTGCAAGCCAAAGACGGTCAACAAGCATGAGCTGTACAAGGTCTATCGCAAGCCCATCCCGCTCGAGCTCCTCATCGTCACTGTGTACGACGAGGTTCCAACGGGCAAGGGCAGCTCCACGCGACCGAAGTCGATCATGTCGCGCACCTCGACCGGCACGCGGTACAGCAGTACGCCAGGTACAGCGCCCAAGCAGGACGCCAAGACGGGCTACGCGCTCACCTTTACCTACCTGGGCAAGAAAGGCTACTCGATGACGCTGTGGGCCAGCACCTTTGTAAGCCGCAAGAAGTGGTTCGAGAACATCGAATCGCGACAAGAGATTCTGCGACAGCGCAGCAACATCTTCGACACTATCACGCTATCCGAGAACTTCTTCCTGGGTCCCAATCGCGTCAACTGCTCGGTGCCGTTCGACTTTGGCCGCAGAATCATCTATGGTACGGACGACGGTGTCTACCTGTCCGACCTGCGCGAGAAAGCGCGACCGCCCACCAAGGTGCTGCCGTTACCCGGCGTCACCCAAGTGGACGTGCTGGAAGAGTACCAGATCCTGATCGTGCTCGCTGAAAAGTCGGTGCACACGTTCACGCTGGACGCGCTCGATCCGTCGGACCCGATGGGTTCGCTGAAGCGCGGTCGGCGCATCTCTTCGCACACGTCGTTCTTCCGCGCGGGCATCTGCCTGGGTCGAACGCTGGTATGCGTGGTCAAGTCGAGCTCGTTGTCGTCGACGATCAAGACGCTGGAGCCGATCGAGCAAAACGTGCGCGGCAAGAAGCAGCCGACGTTCAAGAAGCTGCTGCAGGGAGGACAAGATACGCTGCGCGTGTTCAAGGAATTTTACATTCCGACCGAGTCGAGCTCGATCCACTTTCTCAAGACCAAGCTGTGCGTGGGTTGCACCAAGGGGTTCGAAATTGTGGATCTCGAGACGCTCGACACGCAAGGCCTGCTGGACCCGGCGGACGCTTCGCTCGACTTTGTGCAGCGCAAGGAAAACGTCAAGCCGATCGCCATCTACCGCATCTCTGGCGTCTTTCTGCTGTGCTACGACGAGTTTGCGTTCTACGTCAACAAAAATGGTTGGCGCGCCAAGGGCAACTGGATCATTCACTGGGAGGGCAATCCGACCTCGTTCGCGTACCACCATCCTTACGTGCTTGCCTTCGAGCCGAGCTTTGTCGAGGTGCGACACGTCGAGACGGGCGCTTTGCACCAGGTCATCACAGGAGTCAACCTGCGGTGTCTGTTTGCGGATGTAGCGCCACCGACGCCCAGCGTGCAGCAGCAGAATGCGCAAGCGGTGGCGGCGATGCGGGCCAACTCGTTCAATGCAGCCATGGCTGGGCCTTATGGGCGACCGATGGCGCCGTTGCAGAACGGCATGGGTCCGCCCATGGCGCCTTACCCAGGTGCACGACCCGGCTTTGCCCCCCCGCACGCCGTCAACGGCGCCATGGTGTCTGGCGCGCCTGGCGTGGCAGCGTATGGAGCGAGTGCTCGCCCGGGAGGGCCACCGATGCGTCCAGGAGGACCACCTTTCCCCGGCGCGCCGGGCGGAGCCATGGTGCATCCAGCGGCAGGAGCAGGAGCAGGAGGGCCCTTCCCGCCGGGCGTTCGACCGCAAATGCCGTATGCGTTCCAACAGGCGCCGACACCAAGGCCTCCACCAGTGCAGCGCAACCCGGTGTGGGAGTCGGTGGCTGCGAGTCGCAACCAGATTGTGTTTATCGGGGACACGACCGTGTTCTGCGTTCGGCTGCACACCGAAAAGGAGTCGAGCAGCGGGAATGTCTCGCCGTCGAGTTCGGTCAAGGGTTGATGGACCTGCGTCTGGTCATGTCAGGATGTCCCGCAGAAGTCGCTTTTGTTTTTCTCATGTATATCACGCATGCAATGTCTTTGTGTCCATTGTGAGTTCTCTGACGGTGCCTGCGTAGCGTGAAGGTGATTTTCTTTATTTGTGAGATCATTTCCGTCGAAAAGGAGTCTCGTACGTGTTCTGGTAAGGATTACAAATAGCAGTGAAATCGGATTGAGTCGGGATTTTTGCGGTGGAAATTCGCACGATTCGCGGGTGAAACTCGGCTCCGTGTGAAGCGTTGGGGCTGCGAAGAAAGGTCCGGATCGCGCACAACACCCGTTCTTGGCTGATGGAGCTTGCTGATTGACGACGATCACCACCCTACACATTCATCCACTGTTCACTAATTCGACAAGATGCGTGCTTCTCAGGTCACGTTCTCGGGCATGCCTACGGGCAAGAAATACGTAAGTTGATGGAGGTGCGAGTGCGAGTTGGAGAGATGCGGAGAGGGAAGGTTGAAGGAAGATTGGAGAGGGGGATGGTTGCGATGGTCGCACTCTATGCCGCCTACACCGTTGATGAGCGGCAGCAGAGGGGCTTTATGCGGTGTCTGCACGAAAGGTGGAAGAGGGGCAGGATCCCATTGCCACGAACGAACGCTGACAGTCTCTCATTCCTTTCTATCTCTTCTCCCAACGTTACTCAACCTCGCACATGATCCATCATCACTGGTTACCTTCGACGATCTTTTGATCGATTCTTCCTCAATCATACGCTCACCTCGACTGCCGATCCCGCTTTCGACAAATCAACACATTCTCCTTCCGCTCGATGCAATCGCACAACCGCTCGCTTCGCAACGCATTCTGTCTCATCTCATCTCGACGTCATTCTTTGCATTCCACGTTTTCTTTGGTACGATGCATGCGTCCAATCTTCGAATCTCTCTCTTTCGCCTACAGATGGGCTGGTGGGGCGACATGGGAGGCCCAACCCAACGAGGTATCACGCAATACTCTGTCTCTCCCTTCCAACAGAACGCCATGAAGGGTGCACTTCACTCGTACGTCTTTTACGGGTTCAAGCGAATCATGCAGCAGGCACCTTACTTTGTCCTGCCTTTCGGTGTCGGTAAGTCTTCTTTTTCCGAATCGCTCTCTCTCTGTCTCTTTTATATCCTTCCAAGTTTTGCTGATCGAGGACTTTTGTTTCATTTCTGCAACGCAGGTTACGGACTTATCGCTTGGGCAAAGAGCAAGAACGCCTACTACAACTCCAAGGCTGGTCACCTCGCACATGGTCACGACGAGTAGAAGTAGACACACAAGCCATGTTCTCCCCTCTGAAACCCTGGTAATCACGCATTCCGGTATCGAAAGGTTTGTGTGCGTGAGAGAGAGAGGGACGCAACGAGCCACGAGATCGTCTTTGTGGGAATGTGAGGGAAGCCGAAGATCAGGCTTGAACCGGGAAAAAGCGGCGGGTTGATGGTGACTTGAAAGGGTCAGGTGCGGAAGAGGCTGAGAAGCGGAATGGGATGGGGCTCGTCCACGCTTACGAGAGCGAATCAGATGCGAGCCTACCCGGGGCACCAGCAAGGATCATTTGAGATCACATGAGCGACTGAGCTGGTGAGAGACATTCGACCTCATCGACCTTGGAACGCGCACTTGGTGGTTTCGAGAAGCGCAAGCCGAGGTTGCTAGCATCGCTATATGATCCAAGACACCGGTTGCAAGATCGCCAACAGTCGAAATGTGCTTTCCCGACACCTAAGTGTGAGCGAGGGGACGCAATGCTGATCCTTCGAGTGTCCTACCCGCATCAAATTCGCATAATCAGCGCTTCGACTTGATGCGTTATCACTGAACTCCCTCGCTATTCTCACCCATTTCAGGCCCCTTCCCCGTCAACCGCTCCACTTCGGTTTCTCTTCCTTACTACCTTGAGTGACGATGGCCTGAACCAATCCACTACAAGCTGAGGCTTCACCTCGTACCCGCATGCACTCAAGCGTGATCAACTGGAGCAACTCACATCTCACCAAAGTCCTTATTCACGCAATCCGCCCCATTCTGACACACCCCCTACACCCCAGCCTTGGCATCCCATTCTCGCCCTCCACCATCACCGCAGCTCGACAAGCCCTGCATCAACAAACACACTCGTCTCGACCAACCCAGCACAATCTCTCACCGTCCTCTCGCTCGCCCCCAATCTCAAGCATCTACCTTCGATTTCGAAAGTGCACCAAGTATTCAAAGTTACATTTTTTCGTCATCGCCAACAGTTTTTGCTCGATCCGTCTGTTTTAGTATGGCCCTCCAACTGATGTACTCGTTCACTTGCTGAGCATCATCTTGACAAACTCGTCGTAGTTGATCTGGCCATCGCCGTCGACGTCGGCCTCGCGAATCATCTCGTCCACCTCGTTGTCTGAGAGCTTCTCGCCCAGGTTTGTCATGCTGTTGAAAGTCGGAATAGTCGATCGGGAAACGCCAAAGTCGATAATGTCAGCCTACTGTCTCTCTGCACTGTTAGTCTGCGATCACGTGGCCCCTGACCCAGAGCTGAAGCGGGTGTGAGCGAGTATGCGATGGCATTCGGCCTCGTGTCCGCTTGTGCGGCAGGGGCGAACGGTCCGAGGATATTGTACGTACACGTGTCGAAGCTCAGCAGCACTGATGAAACCGTTTCCGTCCTTGTCGAACACCTTGAAGGCCTCCTTGATCTCTTCTTCCGAGTCGGTATCCTTCATCTTGCGTGCCATCATGGTGAGGAATTCGGGAAAGTCGATGGTGCCGTTGCCATCTGCGTCGACCTCGTTGACCATGTCCTGGAGCTCTGCCTCGGTGGGGTTCTGGCCGAGCGATCGCATGACGGTGCCGAGCTCCTTGGTGGTGATGGTGCCATCGCCGTCCTTGTCGAACAGGGAGAAAGCCTCCTTGAACTCGGCGATCTGATCTTCGGTGAGCTGGTCAGCCATATTGAATGTGTTGACTGCGAGCGCAAAGACCGAGGAAGATGTTGGCGTGAGAGATGGAAGGCGGCGCGTTTGTTGTAGAAGAGAAGCGTTACGATGGTCAGCACGGGTCTGTTTGACGTCAATCACTTTGCCAATGTCATCAACCATTGCAAAGTCAACAGCGATCGCCATAGATGTGTTGTTTCGCCGCCTATCCGCCTTCTGACTGGATCAAGACTTTGACGTGTTCAGCGTCCTGCGTGTCTGAAGCTGCCTTTTCCTTGCCTGCGCCTGATCAACAGCGCTATCCCTTGGTTTGAGCCAAACCCATCCAACCAAATTCCGAATGCTGCGTCCATAGGTGCTGAATGGTGTCTTGACCAGGGAACTTCCGATGCGTGCGAGTTGCATACTTACGATGTTTGTACTGATGCGCGGGTAGTCCCAAACGAGAGAGGAGAGGATGAGGGTTGAGAAGCAAGATAAGATCGCGTCCGAGCGCAAATGCGAATCCAGCACCGACCAACTTGGAAAGACAAAAGCAACTTGCTTGCCCTCCTCGGCTGTGCGCTGTCCTGAGGAAACAGTGACGAATTGCTTTCTCCACCTCTCTCTCTGTCCTGGTGAGCTGCGAAATCCAACACTCGAATTACAGCGCAGCGGCTAATCGACAGTCACGCACACGGCTTCGCGTCACACAGTCACAGTGTGTCCGTCTGCGTGCGTGTGTGTGTGTGTCTCGGACGGCACAGAAATTAGAGCGTTCAAGAACCTCCCTTTTGGCGTTTTGCGCACAGCCTTTCGTCATAGCTCAGCCCGAAATAACTTGAGCCTCAAGTCCAGGCCTCTCTTGACTGCGACAGTGCGCATGTCAGTTGACGGGCCCCAGCCAAACTTTGCAGTCAAAGGCTGCTGCGATCGATCCGAATCAGCACAGCAGCGTTTTTCTACAGAAGCTGCCTCCCGCCCTTGCCGCCGGTCCAAGAGCCGACCTTGGTTGCAGTTTGTCTGGAACCCTCAAAGGCAATTCTCGACGCTCGGTCCAGCTCTTTCCGTTCTCGTTTCGTTGATGGCAACCCCGCACACAGAAGGCTTCTTGTGACGTTCTCGTGCAAACTGCAACCTCGGCTCGCGCCTTCGCTCATCGGTTCGGCTTCCTTACACAGCAATGTCGAGGTTCTATCAGACGTGTAATTTGCAAATGAGAACAACAATTCCTTCAGTGACAGCAACTTGTACAGATATCAATGCGAGTGAATGCCATGCAAAGGTCCGGGCAACAGCATCTAAGAGGCAGAGAAACTCCATGTAAGGTGATTTGTGATGTGCGACGACCGAAACTACCTCGACCAGGTCCAAGTGACGGGTGTGGTGACACCGCTATTGGAAAGAGCATCCTGGAACTTGTCCGATTCCAAGTCCTCCGACCACTCTTGCGCAAGACGATATGCTCCACGTCCGAATTTGTCGCCACCCGTCCATCCAGCACGATCCGAAGGTGTGGTGGCCGTCGCCGAGTCGGACGATTCGTCTTCGCCGGCGGGAGGAGGCGTCGATGGACGCGAAGGCATGCGTTCCGCACGAAGCAGTTTGGCTTGGAACGTCGCACGAGGCGCGCTGCTTCCTCCTGCTCGACTGCTGCCCCCCGCGCCGCGTGAGCGAGTGCCGTAAGACGTAGCGTTGCCGACACTGCCGCCGCCTTGTCTAGAAGGTGCGACCGAGTTGTAGCGCGACGGCACCATCGACGGCGATAGCAGGTTGGGTGCTGAGGCCGTCTGTTCTGGCGACGTCGTGCCTCGCTCCTCGTCCGCTGCGTCTTCGTCCTTCGTCGCTTCCTTGCCCTTCAGCGGTGAGCTGCCGCTGGCGAGTCTCGAGGTGGATGCGTTTCTGCCCAGCGAATTCTGCATGGCACGACGTCTCGGATCAGTTGTAGCCGTCATGCGCGATGGAGGCGGGCTCGCTACCTCTAGCGGGGTCGCCCAACCAGACCCTGAGGCAGAGCCAGCTGCGGACGGATTGAGGCTCGAGAGGCCCGACTTTCTGGCCGACTTTTTGCCCTTCTTGAGTTTGCGCGTGAGCTGGGCTACCACGTCGCGCGCTTCAGCTGCAGCTGCTGCCGCCTCGAGCCTTCGCACCAGCTGGTTAGCGCGAGCCGAGCGGCGAACGAAGAACTCCATGCCCAGCGAAAGATCGAGCGACATGTACTCGTGACCCTCGTCGCTCCAGATCATCTGAGCTGGTGAGAAGCCTTCGTCCTCATCGTCGTCTACCACGTCGTGCATGCGTCTCTCTACGGACGAGTGGAGGCGGCTGCTGCGCGTCCTGCGCGTGAGCGGCGTAGACTGGAGCACAGCCGGCGAAGCTGTTCCTGAAGGAGCGCTCGACGTGGCTGCTGAGCTGACAGTGTCAAAGTTGGAACAGTAGAAGCGACTCAACCAGCCGTTCTCCGGATCCGGCTGGCCCCAAGAGGCGGCATCATTCTTCTTGATCTGGTACACATCCGCGTCCTGACCGTCATCGGGGAAGCGCCAGACAAGGCCGAAGTCGAGCTCGAGCCTGGCAGACTCGGCTCTAGCGCGCGCTCGGGCAGCGGCAGCTCCGAAGTCTTCCTGTCGCTCACGTCGACCGTTGGCGGCAACATGGACTGTCCCTGCAGCCGGTTGAGGAGCTTCTTCATCCTCGTCGCTTCTGTCCGAGTCATCCGTGTCGTCGACTTGGCGGTTGTTAGCATTGGCGGGCGCAGGGTTGTTCGGTGCAGCATCCTCCTCGTCCGAATCGGGCTGGGCTACTTGGAAGAGCGAGTGCCAGGTCGAGTCGGTGTCGAAGCGCAGCGACACATTCTCCTCGTCGTAGGCCTTGAAAGTGAGCGGAATGACGTGGGTGACCGTCCTGGGCTGCGCGTTGATGTTGAAGGGCTCTTGGGCGCCACGGCGGTTGAGGACATTGAGTCGGAAGAGATCGTCGTCAGCCTGTTGTCGCTGAGCATCGTTGACCTCCTCCTCCGAGAGGGTGCTTGGCAGCTTGCGAGTGACGCGAAGACCGACCCGCCAGTCCTTGTTGGCAAAGTGGGTTGCGATGAGATCATGCTCAACAGCATGTTTCCAAGATTTGTTGAGTGCACGAACCGTGGTGTACAGCGTGGCCGGATCGCAGTACAAGAAGATGTGTCGCAGAAGCTCGTTCGGAAGGTGGGCCTTGGCGTGTCCGGATGCCGAGGATGGCTGGGAAGATGCGGGAGAGATCACGGAAGAGGGAGCAGAGGCGTACGACGAGCCCGCGGAGTCGGAGCGGGCAAGAGGTACTGCACTCATCTTGACGGTCGAGAAGGGTGGTTGTGTTCACGGCGATGGGGGGCTTGTACGGGCTGTCTCCCAATCAACACGTTCAAGATAGGCTGAGAACTGTCGATAAGGTGTGCTGAGCGCTCGTCAGATGGACTCGTGCATAAAGTGACGGAAACCAGGCGAGACAGGGTAGCCGACAAGTACAGGACTAGATGGCAGATTGCTGTCGATGGGTTCCAAGTTGATGTGCCAGGAGAACAGAATACAACGCTGTGCGTCGGCAACGATGTGCGTTGTGGATGGTGGTTCAGTTGATAGGCTTAGCATCGCAGTCGCCGCAATCGGACGTCAGAGTCGGCAGAATCTTGCGGGGTTGATGCAGTGCGTGACTGCACAGTAATCGCGGCACAGCTGTGCAGCCGCTCCTTGTTGCCCTTTTTCTACTTTCCCCACACGAGAGACAAATTTGTGGCATCAGATCAGGCAAAAAGCAATCTCCATGCAACAATCACTCTTGAAGCGCCTGATCGACTCAGGCCCGTAGGCTCAGGCTCTCCACTGCGACCCGGGAGTCTCGCTTCGCTTCGCAGGCCCGTTCTCGGCGATAGCCTCATTTCGCAGCACGTCGTCCTACTTTTGCTGCAGTGATCACAGGGATCGGACAAGGTCAATTGGGTACGATACGAGAGCACAACCCACGGCACGGGACGAAGCAAACGCGAAGGATCAAGTGTGGAATGGATATGGAACGTGCCGGCAATCAGGAGCCAAGAGGAGAGAGGGGACAAGACACGTTGCTGCTGCTACCATGGCTGCTGCGGCAAATGCATTCTCGCCGGACGGGAGTCTCGATGGACCCCATTGCTCTTTCCAGCTAGTGTTCTCGAGGGCCACGGGTGTGTGAGTCATGCTGGCGGACGCGACGGTCGTAGATGCCTCTCTGTCGAGCGCGTACCCAGTCTCTCTCTTGACTAGTTGTCGAAGCAGCAGGAGCGATCCAAAGCGATAGAGGCGATTGCATTGCGGTCTTGGGCTCGACTTCGTGCTCTGTGAGGTGACCGGCTTGCCGTATGCAGTCGCCACGGCAGAGTCAGCTGAGCAAGCTTTCCCTCTCGCCTTTCATCTCTTGCCGCTTCCCATCCGGGCAGCAGACGGCGAGCCTGTGTGCGCAGTCGGGTGGCAGAGTCGCTCGCCTGACACTGATGTTGAGCCTTATCGTCCTGCAGGGTGCATGCAGTCTACCCCGCATTTTCTGGCTTTTTTTGCGCTCGCTTTGGCCACCACAAATCGACGCGACCTTCATCATCCGAATGTTAGAGCGACACTAACACGGCCGAGAAAGTGACGCCAGGTCGAGCTTCGATGCAATATGGGGCTACTCCAGACCAAGCTCGTATCGTTTCAGTTGGTGAGCGCTATTGACATCCTGACAATCTCTTCTGAGGATAGTAACACCTACCGTAAGCATGATGACCCGTTCAGGAACAGACTTTGACCGGGAAGCAGACAACCCCACCGATACAGTCGTGCGGATCACCGTCTCGTGATTGACGTCGTTGCCTGAATTGCCTTGATTTCCGAGAAGTGCTACCTTTGAGGGTCGAGTAGGCGTCTTGCAAGGCGGAGTTGTCTTACCACGAGGCGCCCACAAGCATCACAACCGAGGCCGCTAAGGGGAGTGATGTTTTGATTCGGCAGACTTGCAGCGGCAAGAGTGTCGGGACGGTCCGCGACAGCTCACGATCCGAGACTGACCTAGGCCATAACCCAACCCGAATGCTTATGCACACGCAGCGTCAGGAACGGAGGAAATCAACCGATTGGATCAAATTGGCAAGAATGGGATGCCGCAGAGAGAGATAGACGAGAACTTGAAACTACAGGACCTTTGGATGCCGCTGGGATACTCGACTTAGTGCAATTGGTGTTCTCTGTGGACGATATTTTGCCTAGGCATCAATTGGAACGGCGAGAGCTGCTGCTCGCTTAGGTCGGGAAAGCTTGCCGCTTTTCCGCAAACGCCAAGCAAGCCGCACGAGGTCGATTGTTCGGAGTTCGACCGATGCAGCACTTCTGGTCAAATTTCGGTCGAGCTCTTATTTTTCCAGTCGCGAGCGGCTTGCGTTGGCTCTGAGCTGGCTGCTGCGTCGATAGGAGAATTGTCGGAAGCCTTCATCGACTGTATGTTGCAGTGCCGTTCGAGTCAGACTGATGCTAGGACAAGCTGAATCGACCATCTCGAAAGGCGGTTCCATTTGCAACTTCGATCGCTGCGCCAGTCGCCAGAAATCTATCAAGCCTGTATCTCATCCCAAAGGCAGATGAAGGGTCCAGACAGTTTGGAAAGTTTGGTGCACGGAGAGGCCGGGACTGCTTGCTTGGTTCTTGACATCAGCATTCCTTTGTCACCATGGTCGATAGAACTTGGTCGCAGCATTATGACGTGACGTGACCTCAACGCCGGTAGATCTTTCGGCTGCAGGCCTGCAGAAAAAATTCGCCGTCTTCGGAGAATTTCTGAAAAAGTTTTCGAATTCCGCATGACGTTAAGACCCTGCAATGCGGATCGTCGCGGACAACTCAGTTGCTCGACTGTGCACTGGAGCGGAGCAACGGCTAACAAGTTCGCTGCTAGACATGGTTGTTACAGTACAGTCTTGGCGATGAGTATGCTCTTGGCCTTCTTCATTTCGCTGACTTCATTCAGGCGAATCTTGTCAAGAAAATTGCTCGGACATTAGCTCGCTAAGCCCCGGATGAGCCGATCGAGTTAGTTTGACAAGCTCAAACTCGATCCGACCTTCCTTGTCGTTCTTGTTCGCTTTGTGCTTCTCGCAGAAGTCGTGCTAGACCAGAAGAATGAAGAAGGTGTTCAGGCCATGATTGGCTTGAACGCGGCTTTGTGACCGGATGAGAGGGAACGCAGCGTGATGCGAGAGGGTGAGCGACGTTGGCCAATGTTGGGCCAAATTTTCGGAACGGCCAAATCTCGGTCAGACCGCTGCAGAAGCAGGGCAAAAGCTTAGCCGAAATTGTCGCTAGCGATTGACATTCTTGGTTCTTGACGTGATATTTGTGTGCGGCTGCGTCAACCTTCAGAGACCGACTCGCAAAAATTGTGAACTCTGATCCACCTGCAAGACGATTTCGGCTTTGCAAAGCTCGAGAGTCCGAGGCAGAGGCGATCAGGACTTGCGATGCTTCTCTTCGGGTCCCTTCTGCCGATCTGCTTGCCAGTTCTGTTCTGACTTGTGGAAACGAGGCCAGAAGCGGGCCCCGGCTTTGAGCCCCTCAGCATGAATGCACACTTTGCGAGATCACGGCACACGAAGCGCATTCGCTAGTCTCATTTGCTTGACCATGGCTAATGATTGGTCCATCCCTGTGGGATTCTGAGCAAAACCTGTCGAGCAAATGAAGCAGGATCAAACCGGGGACAACAGTGCAGACGATGCCGCCACGTTGCGACTCGAACACAAGCAGAGCAGGGTAAGCATTCGGGGAGGCTGGCGAAATGCGGAAGAGCCCCGGAAGCATAAAGTAGCCTGGGCTTCTTCTCAGTGACAGTCACAGAGCCGTACCTTCAAAATAATCAGAGGAGTGGAAGGGTGACCGAAAGCTCCTCGCTGCGCTGTTTTCACCGGCTCATCCGATCCTTCCTCTTGAATGACCCTTTGCCTGCTGCACTACAAAAAGTGTTGCTCTCCATCCGTCTTCCTCCTCGTTCCTTCCTTTCACATCCCCTCCGCAATCGACATACGTGGTGTGGACGCGAATCTCTCCCTTCACGGGCATCTATCAACCTTGACTTCCGCATAGCTAGGGGTGTTCTCTGCCCTCTCCCTCCTCTCCTCTCGGCTACCTCTGCGTACCCCTGAACGATCGCCATCATGGTTCTCAAGGCTAGTTCAATTCACACCAACTTCTTGTCGAGTGGCGAAAAGTACGCCACCGACGACGCCTCCTCATCGGCTGCACCTGCGACAGCCCAGGAAGCTCCGCAGACGCCTTCAGCGCGTCCCACGCAATCCCGCAAGAACAGCCTCTGGAGCCGCAAGAGCCGCGAGCAGCCTCGCAAAGATGTCGAGCTGCCAGCAGGCGTCAAGGACGACAACATCATCCTCGTGGTCTGGGATGGCGACAACGACCCCGAAAACCCCATGAACTGGTCAATGGGCCGCAAGTGGCTCACCACCGCCCTGCTTTGCTCCATGTGCCTCTTCATCGGTCTCGCCACTGCTGCCTTTTCCACCGGAATCGGTCCCATGGCTCAGGAGCTCGGTGTCTCCAACGAGGTCGGCCAGGTCGGCATGCTTCTCTTCAACGGTGCTTTCTCCATCGTCCCTCTCTTCCTCGGTCCCCTCTCCGAATTCGTCGGTCGCAACCCCATCTACCTGGGTTGCTACGCCCTCTTCACCGTCTGGTTCATTCCTCTCGCTCTTGCCAAGAACATCCAGACTGTCTTGGTCGCTCGATTCCTCAGCGGTGCCTTTGGTGCTGCTGGAACCACCATCATTCCCGGTACGCTCGCCGACATCTGGAAGACGAGGGACCGTGGTCTGCCTGTTGCCCTTTTCTCTCTGGTAGCTGTGGCGGGCACCGTCGGTGCCCCTCTCTACTGCGGCTACATCTTGCAAGAAAAGGGCTGGCGATGGATCCAGTGGGTCCAGCTCATCGTCAACGGCGCCGTCGTCATCCTCGAGTTCTTGCTCCTCCGCGAGACTCGAGGCTCCGTCATTCTTGCTCGCCGAGCCGCCAAACTGCGAAAGGAGACAGGCGATCAGCGATACCGTGCACCGTCCGAGCTCGAGGCTCCTTCGCTCAAGGCTCTGCTGCACGCTTCGACCACCCGAGCCGCCCTCTTGCTCGTCTCTGAACCCGTCGTCTTCTGCTTCTCGCTCTACATCGCTTATGCTTGGGCGCTCATCTTCGCCTTCTTCGCCGCTATCCCCATCGTCTTCCAGGAGATCCACGGATGGAGCGTTGGAAACGGTGGCCTCGCATACATTGGCCCTCTCATCGCCTGCTTCCTCGCTTTTGGCCTGTCTTTCCACGGAAAATACCTCTACGACCGCGCGCAGGCTCGCAACGGTGGTGTTGCCGTTCCCGAAGCGCGTCTTTACTATGCTGCCGTCGGAGGTATCCTGGCTACCATTGGCATGTTCATCTTTGCCTTCACCTCGTACGAGCACGTTCACTGGATCGCACCCGAGATCGCCCTCGTTCCCCTTGTCATGGGTATCTACCAAATTTTTGAGGCGATCCAGAACTACCTCGCCGATGCTTACGGCTCTGAATACGGCGCTTCCGCTATTTCGGCTCAGGGCTTTGTCCGCAACGCTCTTGCTGCATCCTTCCCGTGAGTATCTTCATCGCACTAATTGGACTGCAAACTGCGGTTTCGTGCATCTAAGCTGACGTATTCTGTATTTCAACAGCCTGTTTTCGACTCAGATGTTCCACAACCTCACGGTTCCTTACGCTGGACTGCTTCTCGCATGCCTGCTGGCCCTCGCGGTCCCTCTGCCCTTTGTTCTCATCAAGTACGGCGCTCAGATCCGTGCTCGATCCAAGTACGCCGCTTCTGACGACGCGGAGGACGGTGGCCCCGTTATTGGCGCCCGACGCGGCGATGTCGAGAAGGGAACGGCTACCAACTCGAGCGCCTCGATCAATACCACGCGCGTGTCCACCCCGACGCAGGGTCTCGAAGATGCTTCCAAGACCAAGGAGAAGTCTGATCCAGTCAAGGCCGTCGATGGTCAAGCCTGAGCGCAGAAAGTGCGTTCTCTTTGCTGTTCATTCCCGAACGATCAACGTGATACCTCGGCAGCCGATGACGCTGCTACTGCTCCCCGTCCATGCTCACATCTCCAATCTCTTTGCAAGAATCACTTCTCGCAATGCTTTCGTGATGGCTTCCTTGATGCCATCATGCAACCCTTGTTCTGTACTATACGATCAATGCAGGCTCAGTCTTTGCGCAATCTTTGACAGAGGTCTGTGCGAGATAGTTATGCAAGCCTGTGAGACGATAAATTGGAACAAAGAGACTGACACGCGTAAAGCGAACAAATGACAATCAGTGAATGACGTAGAAAGACAAAGTGTCTGCTCACTTGATCCTCCAAGTGAACAGGAAGCCAACGAAGCCGGCGATGCCTACGAACCAGAAACCCAGATGATAGTTGAAAGGCCAGCCGTGGGTTTCCGGACCGCCGTCGATGCCTTTTGCCCATACGAGACCGCCGATGATGGGGCCTACGAATCTTGCCGCGCTTGAGGTGGTCTGAGCCAGCCCGTTCGCCAGGGGGGTCAAATGCGGTGGAGTCATGGCATTGATCAAGACGCTGACGGCGGTAAACGCGCACACGTTGGCCAACCACCTCAAGCTGGCGAAGAAGATCATGCCTGCCATGACGAACCCGTCCGTGTCCGGATGCAGCATCCCCTTCAACAGCGGGAACAGCGTGTAGCAGGGCAGGTAGATGGCCGTACCCAACCGCAACATGGCGAGATGCGAGAATTTGCCCTGCGGCGGCCCGACGCGTGGGTAGAAGACGAATTGGAAGATGAGCTGACAGAACGCCATAGCAGCGATCAGCTGTGCGTAGTGCGATGCTGTCAACCCCAGACCTCCGGATGGCTCGGGTGTCACGAGGAAGGCCATGAACACTTGGTCGAAGGTGGAGGAGTGGAACGCCATCAGCCCGTAGTGTGCGATGATGACGGTCGGCAGCAGGGTGAAGAGCGACACGGGTTTGCTTGCGGCGGCGGCAGTTTGGGTGGAGAACGCCATGGAGTGTCGTTGCGAGCCCGGCGACGTTCCGCCAATGGCGCGGTGAGGCACGCTCAAGCTGTTCCGGTTCGATTGCGATTCGGGAATGCCAGCCAGCGTCGGATCCCACGCACTGTCCGACCTCTGCTGTCCACCTAGCGGTCCGCCGACAGTTTCCACAGACGGGGATGCCAGTCCGTAGGCAGGCGACAGCGGACCGCCCTCGACTCCCGTGTTCGCGTACAAGCTGGGCACCCTGTTCCCGCTCGTTCGCCTCATCGACTTGGGCCTGGCCGAGCTGCCATAGGATCTTCCAGCATCGCTCATGCCTGCCCTCGACATTTTTCTCTGCGCAAAATTCCTCGGCGCCAAGTGTCTCGGCGCCAACAAGGCCGATGCTTCGTTCTCCTCCTCTTCTTCATCCTCTTCGTCGATCGACTCTTCGGCAATCGAGTCCTCATTGACGCTCCCATCGTCGTATGACTGAGTGTCCATCTCATCCTCGTCATCCTCGAATACATCTTCGTAAGCCTCATCACCATTGATGGCAGCGGCAACCCACAGATCCGAGATGGTAAACACCGAATCGTCCTGTGCGAGCAGGAAACGTTGTGCAAAGCTGAGCCCGGGTCGTTGGCCGATCTCTTCAAAGTCTGGCGCGTACTGGTTGGTAGAGGAGAAAGAGTTGCGCCCACCACCTGCTCGACTTTGCGAACAGGAGTCTGTTCGTGCAGCTGGACCAGAACGCTCGGCCGCTGCTGCAGTAGGAGCAGCAGAAGCGCGGGACATGCGCCTGTCGTAGCCGTAGGCGGATCCAAGGATGGCACGCTGACGTTCTTCGGTGCGCGAGAGAAGACGTTGTCTGCGTGGTAGATGATCGGCGCGCGAGAAGGCCGAGTCGTTGATGGTGGTGTTGTTGTGCGTGATGATGGTGCCTTCCGTCGGGACAGGCGACGGTGGGCCGCCAGTTTCGTAGTCGACCTGCTGGGTAAAAGTGCGCGTGAGCTTGCTTGGCCCTCCGCCCAAGTGAGCTGCGACATCCGGAGTCGAGTGCCCGCTTCTGCTCTGGTCCGCATTGCCAAAGTTGCGCGACAGGCTGAGGTCGGATTCCATGGCGCTGCGTGAACCATTGAAGTAGCCGCTGATGCGCTGACCAGCGGATCGTCCGAAGCTGCCGACGTGGTTGGCTGCTCGTTCGATGTCGCCTTTCTCGGGCAACTGGATAGCGCCCGTCCTCGGGCCGCCGTCGTGTCCGATGAAAAGCGTCAAGACGGAGCCTACCGCGGTGAAAGCGGCAGCAACCAGACAGGGGAGCAAGTAAGGATAATCCTGGAACAGCTGACTCTTACCAAACAGACCTGGCAGCTTCTGCACCGGGTGCTCCAGCAAACCACCAAGGATGGGCCCAATGATACCGCCCATTCCCCAACAGAAGCCCATGAGTGCGTAGGCCCTGCCTTCGTTGGTCTCGTCGGTGATGTCGCGGATGGCGCCTTTGGCTACACCAACCGCGCCGTTGAAGAAACCTTGTGCGAGACGGATGAAGATGGCGGTGCCGAGGTTCTGGGATGTGCCGAACAACATCATGGTGATAGCATTCCCGAGAAGAGAAACGGCGAGGACAAAGCGTCTGCCGCGCTTGTCGGCTACGGATGCCCACATGAGCGAAGTGAGGAACTGGGCGAAGAAGAAGCTCGCCGACACGATACCTGCCCAGAAGCCGACGTCGCTCTCTCCGCCCACGCCAAAGTCTTCGATCATGAAGAACAAAAAGGGACCGGCGACACCGGCCGAGCTGAATTCGCCGAAGCAGACGAGGCAGAGGACGATGAACGGCAGCGCGGGGATAGGTGTCGAAAATGGATCGGCTTTGGTGGGCAGCATGCGTGGGATAGCGGGTGTTTCGGCGGATGCAATGAGAGCATCAATATCGATGGTGCCGTCGTCGTCGTCGCCGTCAGCACCTCCGGACGGCCCGCCGGTAGTGTGAACTCGGCGCAAGTTCTTGGAGTTTGCTCCGGCATCGCTGCCTGCGATCGAAAGTTTTCGAGGGAAAACGCCCATGGAGGCACGCTGGAGGAAGTTCTGTCGTTGCTGCACGCTAGGCGCGCGTCTCTTGAACGACATTCTGCGACGTTGTGCTGAGGCGGCAGTGCTTGGACTCATGCTGGGGGCTCTGGCGCGAGGAACGGCTGACGGACCAGCTGCGTCGTCCTCATTGGGTGTTCGCAGATCGTTGGCGGTACCGATATACGGCGATGGCGGAAGGTTGATTCTTCCGGGGCCCGAGGCGCGGTATCCGGCGCGAGGTGTGTCTTGCGTATCGGTAGTCGAAGTTGCCGACGCATCGCGCGGGACAGAGCCGTAGTCTTTGACCATGGCTGCTGGCGACGTCGGCCGACGCAGAGGGTCTGGAGACGGCTGGCGATCGATGCCGGAGGAGCCGGACGCCAGCTGATGATGGTGATGGTGAACTCCTAGCTTGGTGGGGGAAGCGTCACGAGATGGACGTGGTGAAGGATGCAGCTGGTCCGCGAACTGGATCGCTCGTGGACTGAGCGGCGGATCCGATGGTGACAGAAGAGAACGGAGTGGATCTTTGTCCGTCATGATGTAGAGTGTTGCCCGCCGAGGGCCACGGCAGGCGTGGTTTGTAAGTCGGAGTGCAGTCGAACCAAAGCAGTCCAGTGCTGCACGCAAGCTGTGCGACGAGAGATGACTTGTGGCGTGGGAGACTGCGCCGCACCACTGCGACCGAGATGCGCGCCTCTGTCGCGATGTGATGAGGTGACAGAAGACGTGGTGGGCGTGGGTAGCAGACACAAGGGTTCAGGGATGTCGGATGAACCGCTTACAGAAGCGACCTGTGCATGCAGTCGCAAGCTCGCAAGCGGCACGGAGTGATGTGCCAGAAAAGTGTCGTGCAGATGCTCAAAGCGTGACTTGCAGCAAGGATCGCCGCTCTGCCTGTTGTTTCGACGGAGAATCCGACCTGCAAGCAGGTTGCCAGAATGAAATTTGGCGCGCTCGCTGGCCTGCAGCGGTCAGCACACATTGATTTTTGCGCTCCCAAATGTCGTTGGCTCGGCGAGAAGAGCGCGCCTTGCCGAGCGAAGTGTCCGCTGACCAGAGAGAGAGAGAGACCAACACACAAACGCACACGATCCGCTTCTTTGGAACCGCGTCTGTTCCATTGCAACAGATGGACGAAAATGGATCGCTAGGGCGATTTGGCATGCCCTCGACCCTGCCGCCGATTTTGGCGCTTGCCTTCAGACAAGACTCGCCCTCGTCTAGCCGCGAAACCCCTGGATGGCGGTCTCGGTGCCCGCAACCATTTGGCGTTAGATCAGGGGTTGCGTACTCAAAAAGCGCGCCTCGGCTCTCTTCGTCTTCACACTTGCGTGACAGAAAAGTGTTACAACACAAGAGCAAGGGTAACTCAGCGTCCATGGTCTTGCTGTTGTAGCATACCAGCGCCAAGATGCAGGCTCCTCACAGAGATTGCCGGCGCTAATCCTCTTTGTTAGGTCGATAAAATCAAACGCATTCTGTTTTTTCGCGTCTTTGTGTTTTTTTTTGGCCGAAACATCATGTGGAGCAGTCGAGCTCGACGCGAAGCACGCATCTTTACGCGCTCGACCCGACGAGAGTCTTCTTGGGAATTTGAGTGACAACGCGAAATGCAGCCAAACGTGCGGCGTGTCAAAACTCGAATCACCATCTACGCAGCAGCGCTCTCTCAAGTCACGTACCTCGGTCGTGTGCTCAGTCGACACCTCTCTCCTCTCCTCTCTGATTCCATCACACCCTCTTCGTCCATCGTCTTCATCATCTCTATTGTCGTCTCTATCGCCCTATCGCACCATCGCATTCGACAAATCGAACCCTCATCAATTTGAGACGCCCGTCCCTACCCCCGACTTCATTGTCGACCGCCAACTTTATCCTCCATCGTGGTCCCTTCGCATCTGCTTTCCCCGACCACTTCATCCACCGCTTTCTGTTCAGCCTACATTTGAACGTGTTCTCGCATTCGCATTCGCTTCGTCCCTTACACTCCATTCGCGCACCACATTCTTGCGCACAATCTTCGCATTCTACTACCAGCTTCAGCCAACCAACTCGCCCATCCATCCGGCGCAATTCAGGCAGGCACACACTTCTACACTGCTCACACAGCAACCGTTTCGATCGATTCCTCTCTTTGCTTTCCGATGCAACACCTCTGCATTGACTCCCAGACGTGATCCTGCTCTGCTGCCACTTCGATTGCATTGACGTCCACGACCCGCGACCCAAACTCGGACTTCAGCAATAGGCACCGACCTTCGACAGGCGCCATGTCAGGTCACGGGCCAATGATGGATGGTGGGTGTTTCATGCTGTCGCCGCGTTCTTCCAATTGCGCTCCTTTCGATACTGACCATCGTGTTTGCCGTTTCCGTTCGCTTATCAGTCAAGGTCCTATACACCTTGGACTCGAGTCCCACCCACACCATGGTGGCACGACTCGGCCATCCCGTTCCTGTCGATGTCATCATCCCGAACATGACCCCGCCTTCGCCTCTTGAGGCCTCAGGTAGCAGCTACCACCAATCGCCTCCGACGCGTCAGGTACGCTTCGGCCGCGTCGCCCTCAAGTCGTGCCTCGGCGCAGTCTGCATGGCCAGTCCTGAGCTTTTGCCAGACGACAAGAGGGACTACATCATATACGCCGTCGACCCGGAAGAGACCATGCGCGCCCAGCAACTCAGCTCCCCCTCTTCTCGAGGACACTCCACTCCCACTCGCTCTTCCTCCAACGCTTCGCGAGATCGCAATGACGCGGGCACAAGCAAGCTCGGCTCCAGCCCGCCGCGACCGAAGGACGCTACCACCTCCATCCTTGTCGGCAAAGGCTTCTTCAATTGGGCTTTGGACGAGCAAGGCGAGGGAGAGACCACCGTCACTGGTCGCGTCCGCTCCGATGGCAGACGTCTGCGCTACGACAACGGACGCGAGTACGAGGAAGATATCAACGTACTCGAGGTCGTCATCAAGCTCAAGGAGTCACAGGCCAGAAGCAAGGACAAGTACTTCAACCTAGTCCGCGGCTTTTCCTCTGGCTCCAGTTTCAGCGCTGGCTCAACCAATGCATCCAGCTCAGCATCCAGCAGTCGTCCTGCGCATCGTCTTCCTCTGCAAAGCGATGTCATCCCCGCCACACACCGTTTTCGATCGTCCCGTCACGTCGAAAACAACGCGCAACTGTCTTTGCGTTCTGAGCCCGACTATCCCACCTCCTCTTCGTCTTCACACGGTGCTGTGGAGCGTCAGATTCGAAGACCTGCGGCGCGTCCATCCCCTCATTCCATGCCGGTATCAGACAAGACCCTCGATCGCGTCATTTCTCCACGATCAGCACACCAGCCTCTCGGCGCTTCGCCGAGCCTGCCGACACTCTCATCATTCTCCGCAGCAGCATCACCACCTACCGTGTCAGCCGCGTCCCCCAATTCGGCACTTTCCTCCGCAGCCTCCAATCCGTCCACGGTGCAGCTTCTTACGATCCTGCACAGCCTGCAGCAAAGATCATCCAAGTCGGCGCCTGAGCCCGCTCAGCAAGCACAGCTGGAGACACTGCTTCAGCAGGTTGCACAGGTCTTTGGTAACTCGGCAGCTCCTTCGCCAGCCGCCGAGCCTCCTTCAACAACGGTCGCCCGCCCATCTGCCTCGCCGGCGCTCGCGCCTCGACCGCTCGACAGCATTTCTGCTCCAAATTCGCGCTCGCCTGCGCCGCCATCTGAATCCTCCCATCCCGGCAAGGAGAATCGCGGCCTGGCAGCCGCATCCAAAGACTCGCCACAGACAGGAGGCATCAGCTCTCGACGTCCATCGGCGGCTTCTCCATTCGACACGGAAGATGCCAACAGCCCTTCCTTGTCACGCCGAGACGCGCAGGATTGTTCAGATCGCATCTGCTACAACTGTGGTTCGGACGTACCCACCACTTGGCGCATCCTCAAGCTTCCTGCTGGAAGCACCATCAACAACCCAGCAGCCGAAAAGGGTGCTGGCGGTGATGGCAATGGCGATGATTCTGCTGACCCTGCCTGGAAGCCACGCTATGCAGCCGACCATGGCCCTGTCGAGACGGATGGCGACACAAAGTGGTCGGCCTGCAATCCATGTGGACTCTACTACCTGAAGTGGAACAACTCGCGGCCAGAATACGTCTGGAGGAAGGAGCACGCGACCAAGGCGTATCGCGAGCGCAAGGCTTTGGCCGATGCTGCCAAGCGACAACGCCAGGAAGTCGAAGCCGGTCCGAACAAACGCGCCAAGTTCGCCGCCTCGGATGTGGATGCTGCTTCGCCTTATACCGTCTCAACTCCTCGAGATGCCAACACCAGCAAGGTATCATTCGCCGCCGAAGGCACCTCGGATGAGTCGATGACCTCTCCCAACTTTGACGCCGCAACACCCGCATCTAGCTCTGGTCGCAAGTCGAGCATGCCACGCACCCTCAGCGAGGCGTGTCATCGGGATGCGGAGAAGCTCGAATCTCAGCGCAGTAGCAAAAAGAAGGACAAGGAGAAACCCATCTGTAAGAAGCAGGCCGATCGCGAATACGTGCTCGATCCTAGCACGGGCAAGTGGCGCAGCAGGAGGAGCATGCGCGAGAATCCCAACGGCAAGCGGCCTGGACGTCCCAAGGGCTCTGTCAAGGTACCGCAGAACGCGAGGCCAGCGTCCAAGTCGTCTCCTGTCACCAGCAGCAGGGAGGACAAGGACAGCTCGACACCTGCTCCGCAGCATCCCAAAGCATCTTCCTCCAAAAGTCAAGCGACCGGGAACGCCTCGAAGCAGCCCAGCACTAGCGCGAGTGGCAGCGCGTCTCAGGTTTCGGAGCAGGCAGAGCAGACCGCGCCAAGCCGTGGTCAAGAAAACGGCGAATTCCGCGCCCCAATGCCACCGAAGCTGGGCCGACAGATGCCAACCTCCCGAGTGGTCAACTTTGCACAATCGAGCCCCGTTCGTCCTTCGATGAGCGCAAGCTCGATGCAGCCAGATGCCATCAACGCTATGCACCAATTCGGCGCCGGCATGCTCGCAAGTCCATCCCGCGACGTCCGCTTCCGTGTACCGAGCTACCTCATGAACTCGAGCCCAGGCACCATGCTCGACACACTTATGAGCGAAGCCGACTTTGACTTCGAAGAGCTAGGACCGCTAGGACCACTGCAGACTCCTGGTACCTTGCTGTCCAACGTGGCCCGCAATGGGCACGGCACTCCTCTGCGCAGAAGTCCTCGCAAGAATCCGCTTGGCACCATCTCTGGCTCGAACCCTTACGCTTCGCCGTCTTCCAAACGATCCGCTAGCCCTTTGCTTGGACGCGAGTTCCGGAACGGCCCATTCATGGTGGACTCGAACGGCTCACCTGGTGGACGAGGCGCCAGCGGATCGTCGTCGAACAACGACAGCCCTGTGACGCGCAGTCGCACACGATCAGGCCAGGACGTGCTGCATCCAGCCCTCTTTTCGTCGAGCGACGGGCCTTCCAATGGCAATGATAAGTCGAGCAGCAACGTGACTTCGCCCGCATCGCCCTCCGAGAAGGTCCACACCAACAAGAGCCACAGCACCGCCAACAGCAACTCGACCAAGACGACGTCGTCGCTGCATGCTACGAGCAAGGCGCATATCTCTTCTAAGCAGAAGCAAGTGGAAGCGAGCGCCAGACGTGGGCGAGCTGCAGGAGCCGACGCCGAGGAGGAAGAAGACGGTCCTGAGGCGCAGTTCACCAAAGGACCTTTCCGCAAGACCGGCTCCGCTAGTCGCGAAGGATCTGCCGGTTTGCCGTCATGCCCTGCCTCGCCGAGTCTCGGTCGTGCCACTCGCAAGTTTGCGCGCAATCTCAGCAGCGCAAGCACGCAGTCGATGATGCAGAATGGACCGGCCAAGCTTGCGCAGCTGGACCTGCCCCCTAGCAGTCCGGCCTTTGATCACCCTACAGGCCGTAGTTCGACCAGCACGATCGAGGTGGATGGATGGGGAAGGACGCCCAGCATGCGAGAGATTTTCCCGACGCCAAGTGATCTCGACTGGCCCAGTGATGGCTCGCCTGCTGCAGGGGCTTCTCAGTCGCCGTCCAAGAATGCCGCTGTCGACAGCAACGACGTCACCAAGCAATCGAACGCGACCCAGGTGGCGGTAGCTCAACCGCAAACGAGCATCGTCCGCCGCAGACCTCTGCCAGCAACGGTGGAAGACGGCACTTCATCCGTCTCGGGCTCTTCGCCTGCGCTGTCCGACGACTCACCCGAAGCATCCAACGGAAACCTCTTTGACCTGCTCGAAGATCCCTACGGCATTCTGGCTGCATCTGGATTCGGCATCGACGCAGATGGATCGCTGACCACGCTCGAAATTCCCGACAACGCGCCCCAAGCTGCTCCTGACACCGCCAAGCAGATGACACCCTCGTCTACCGCTGCAGCACCGCAGCCCGCGATCACGGCCGACAACTTCAACGAGATCCAGCTGCACGCAGCCAAGGAGTTCGGTCCGCATCTCAGCGAGTTCAGCTCCAACGGCGGTGCAGGTGTCGCCGCGCACGTCGCTGGGCAGAGCGGCACAGCAGCAGCTGTTCAGATCGCTGCCAACCCCACATCCAGCCACGTCGAAGGGTTGGACGCGAGCTTCCTGGCGACCCTACCGCCGGAGCTGTCCAACATCTTTGCGTCGCCCAAGAAGCCGATCCCTCCGCAGATCATCGAGATCCTGGCGAGTCCGAGAAAGCCGCGCACGAGAAGTGCGAATGCCTCGCCGGTGAAGGGTGCAGGGGCGAGTGGGACGGATATGGTGCCGTACGCGCCGGGGACGGAGGGGCAGATGAACTCGGTGGAGGAGCAGGATTTCTCCGCCCTGTTCAGCAACCCGGACATCCAGGCACTGTTGGCCGAGTTTTCGGCGGGTGCGTGATCTCTTGTTTCGCGGTTAGCATGCATTGCAACTTTTTCACTGTTGAATCGCATTTCTTCGGTCTGTCGTCGTCGTGTGATGTCAGTGAAAGATATGAGGGATGTGCTGTGGTTGCTATGACATTGCGATGAAGATTCGAGCTGGGGAAAAGATGCAGGAAATGGATGTACATGTCTGAATACTGTGGGTATGTGGGATTGGTTTGGAATACGGATGATGATAACGAATGGAAATTCGAGAGAAGTTGTGATGCGAGAGAGTACCAACGTTGCGATGGAGTACGATACAATTCGGACCGTGCGTGGAAGAGCAAGAAGCTCAGACTTGGACTGCGAGCTCGATGAGGTTCTCGTCATCGTCCTCTAGCGTGCTGGTCTTGCTCTCCTTGCCTTCTATTGACGTTGCAGCTTTACTGGGATTGGCGTCCAAAGGAGTCGCCGCCTCCGCTGAAGATGCGACGGAAGCGTTTGTGACATCCAACAGAGGATCGCGCACAGCACTGAGCGGGGCTGGCATTACATCCTCGGCCTCTCGCCCAGCCGTTGGCCCGCCGTAGGGAATCATTTCCGGAACGTCCTCCACCTCGATAGTCTCTGCCTTTGGCACAAGTGGAGGTGTCTGCGTCCCAGGCGAGACCATGCTGGCTTTGAGAGCGTGCAGCGAACCGATACTCTGTCTGTGCGCCCGTGCAGGTCTCGCCAGACTGGCGGTCGAGGTCGAGCTTCGATCAACCTGAGGCGGTAAAGGCGCTGCAGATACCGCGAGCGTTGCTGACGATGTCGAGAGAAAACGTCCTCTGTATCGACGCTGTGACGGTCGAGACGACAAGGAGCCGGTGTGGGTCAGTTCAGACGCTGCTGGCCATTGAGGCAGCGAAGTTCGGACTGAACTCGATCGAGCGGAGGCCGGTCGCTGACTGCGCGATTGCTGCAGAAATATTTGTGGCGTCTCTACGCCCTCCGGTCGGCAGTTGACATCGCTCCATTCCGCAGCCAACGTCCTTGCAGCCGAAGCACCGAGAGATGCCGCTCCAGAGGAGGCCGCCTTTGCATGGTCTTTGGACATAGAGTTATGGCGACTGACGCTGTCTGCTTCCGTTCGCCGATACAGCCATCCTGAAGACTCGCCCATCTCTGCAGAGCTGACTGACCCTCTGGATGCATGATTGATACGCAGTGGATCGATTTCATGCCCTTCGGATTGCGCCTTGATTGCGCTGGACGTCGTATTGCGGGGAAAATCGCCCGCGTCGAGCGAAGCTCTTCCGGACGTGTCAGCCGCGGTAGAAACGGCGCTCGACGAGAAGAGAGAAAAGGCAGTCCAGGAGTCGAAGCTGCGCCGTCTATCTGATCTGTCCGTCTTGGGAGGGGAGGCGTTGACGAGCGCTGGATCCCTGCCCGTGTTGGCATCCGCCAGTTGCATGGACGGCGAACCTACCACGCGAACGTGAATTTGGCCACCACTGGTGGCGCTGCCGTTGCTGCTCGTCCGCTCGAGACGGTTGGCGGTGAACAGATTGCCCGTCTGAGAACGCTTGATGGTGCGGACGATTTGAGGCCTGATCTGCACGTCGTTATGCGTCGTCGAGCTCGACGAGGCAGAAAAGGTACGATTGCGACTCTTGAGGGGACGGCTGGGACTTGGCGAGGCTGCTGACAAGGATGGTCGCGATTCTAGAGCATCGAGCGACGTATCAGGCAACAGGCTGATGGCGTCCCCGTCCTCGCTCAGCGAGAATACCGAGGGAGGCCGCTGTCCCAAGATGCGACTGTTTCTACGAGAAGAGACACTCGCGGGTAGACCTGGCAACTTGAAGCCTTCGGCATGCAGCCGTGGACTGGCATCCGACGCTGCATACGCGACCTGCTCCGAAGATGCATCGCCATGTCGGAAAAAGTAAGAGTTGCTGTCGTTCACAGAGATTCGATCGGAGGATGCGTCGACCAGAGGAGATGACGAGCGAGGCGAATGGAGAGACGCAGCATCTGCGCTCGGATTCCCTGCGTTGACAAAGGAGTCGCGTACCAGAGGTGTCGTCGCGTTCAATGTCGAGGCACCTGTCGAGCCCTGATGAGATCGAGACGACATAGATCGGACAGAGAGTCCGTCGTTGGCGCTCGTGGAGAGGGACTGCGACTGCGATCCTGTGCGCAAAGGTTCTGCAAGGATGCTGCCGCTTGATCTGCGCCTACAAAGCCGAAGCGGGTCGGTCCTCAGATAGGTAATGACAGCGTCGCAGGTGACGAGTGCCCACTGCAGTTCGGGCGAAGTGGCCGTGTCGGTGAGTTGAAAGGTACGCGCGTAGTACAGCATGCTGCACAATCGATCAGCTTTGGCGCGCGTAAAGACGTAGCTGAGGATAGGCAGCAAATCGTCTGTGCCCAATGGCGGAGGTCGCTCGTGTGAGGAGGAGGTACGGCGGCTGGAAGCTACGTGGACGCGCTCAGCTGCCCAGCCTATTTCGTCGATGGTCGCCCGGAGGGTTTGCAAAATTTGAAGCGGTGTCCGCCGGTGCACGTCGCTACGAGCGTTTCCGAGATGCGTGCGGTGATGGGACGACTCGGCGAGACCTAAATCGGTCTGCATGCGATCTAGCGAGCTGGATTGCGTGACGACAGGTTCGTCCTGGGTCTGGCCCACAAAGGCGCTGAACAGTGTCAGATCACCTGCGGAGAGTGCTTCGTCAAGCTCAGGGCCGCTTTCGTCGCTGAGACCTTGGCTGAGAATGTCTATGGCAGCATCGAGGCGACCAGATCGCTGCCTCAGTGCGACGTTCTGTACGCCAAAGTCGGCGAGAGTGACGTTGAATGCATTGTACGCACTGAGGACATTGTCGGTGACGAGATCAGCATCCAATAGCTGATCCTGTATGGGACCGTACATCTTTGTGTGTACGAGACCCATGACGACGTTCTCGAGCAAAGACTTGATGCGGTGGAAGGCTTCAACGCTGAGACGAGCGATGTGCTCGGAGCCGAGACGCTCTTCGAAAGCTTTCCAGGCTTTGAACCAGATGCCGCGGCGGATACGGTGGGCGTTGTAGCTTTCGAAGCCCCTGACGTAGACAAAGGAGGCGATGAATTGGTGTGCGGCTGAGAAGAGCACGTGGAAAGCGTTGATCAAGGATTCGGCGAGGCGAGGAGAGGTCACGGAAGGATTCGCCAAGAAAGACAAGTCGGTGGCAAAGCGACGGCGTGGTGGAACGTGCTCGAGGATGAGATCTGAAATCGTGGCCGTTTGGTCATCGTCTGCCGGATCGGAAGTGGGCACGACGGCGTGCGAGGATTCGGTAGCTGCAAGCTGTGTTCGTCTACGAACGATGGGCAGATCCACGGTGATGACACGCACTTTTGCGCTGGGTGCTGGCGTGTCCGAGGATGATGGCTGAGGGCGGCTTGTCACCTGGAAGCTGGACTGGTGGTTGGAGATGGTGGGACGGTCGGGACTGGGTAGCGAGCGGTAGATGATTGTTTCCGTCACGATGCCTATCTGCCTTTTGATAGTCGAGACAGATGGAAGGGGCTGCGATCCGGATTCAGACGGAGGATGTGCGGCTTCAGAAGAGGCTCTGGATGCGTGTGTTGTCTCTGTGACGGTGATGGAACGTTGATCGGAATGTATGGTTGCAGTGAGCGTGACATGGCCCCAGTCGTAGCCGTGTTGTCGGACTGACGCATCTGGTAGCGGGGCCGAAGCATGAACAAGGGAACGTATGGAGACGAATTGGTCCTTGTAGAGTCTGGAGGGCGCGAACGCGTGAAGGGCAACAAAGTTCGGATCGTGTGAATCGTCGGGATGAACGGCATCGCGTGAGGTCAGAGCGCGGGCCAGGGGGATAAGGACCAAACTTGCTGTGGTCCAATCGGTGGCTAGTCGCGGATCCTCCGAGAGATTGAGGTAAAGTGGATTGGACTCAAAGTCGTCTTCGTCATCTACCGGAGGCGGAACAGTGGTCTCGTCCAACTCAGATGCGATGTGCTGGTGCGCAGCGACGCCGAGATCGAGCGGCGAAGTGATGTCGAGAGCGCTGAAGGAGCGAGGCAGGCGGGGACGTTGTGCATCGCTGGAGCGGCAAGCGTCGATGGCGAGTGATCTGCGTCGGAGTGTGGCATCAGATATGGGCGCCGAGACGTGGTCGTTGAGCTGTTGTACGGTAAGCTTTGTGGGCGAAGGCGAGCTGGGAAAAGAGGGTTCTGCAGCGGAGGAGGATTCTTCGGGGATAGAGTGCCTGAGGTCAAAGGTGGACGAGGTAGGGAAGCGAGATTCGTGACGACGTGAAGAGGAGGCAGTGGAGGTCCTTTTTCGATGCGAGGACGAAAAGAGCCTAGTGAATGCGCTCGCCATGATGGCTGTGCAATTGGAGCAAAGACAGCAGCGGGGCTGCCAGTGCGAAGGAGATCAAGACGTGAGAAGTGACATGACGGTGACGAGGCTCGTCCAATCAGGTCTACTGCGCATCAGATACCATAAGAGCAATATAGAGATGGCTGTCGGCCGCAACTTGAGATGAAAGTGAGAATTGATGGTGGTCGGATGGCAGGCTCGTCGGGATGGCTTGAGTGAGTCGAGCGTGAGAGTACTTGTGACATGTCTAAAGCGCCAACTGCATTCATTTCGTCCTTCATATCTCTAAAGTCACACATCGACTTGACGCGAGAGAACGCACACACACGCACGCACGCACGCGCTATGCACGCCATGCACGCACCGCTCCCTGTGCACACGGCTGCAGCTGAGCAGCGCCGGCCAAAATGAAAAGAAAGCTTTTCGGATTTTTAGATTTTGGACCCTTGATTTCTGATTTTTCCGGGGAGTTCGTGCAGAGGCGAAGCGCCACTTTTCGCATCTGAAAGAAGAAACACAAGAGGAAGAAATCTTGGACAGCAGCTGGCGTAGTCTGTATGCGTCTCTGTTGCGTTTGCTTGCTACCTTGTCTTCTGACACCATCATACTCAAATTCGAATTCGCCAAAGCTTAGAGCGGTTGCATAATGGCGTACGACCCTGCTCTTGAAGCGGCGACGTCATCAGCAGCCGTCGCCAACACAGCATGGTTCAGAGTCGCACCGCTCGATAAGCTGGCGACCTCATCACGCCATCACCTCACGTTGCGCCACCCTGACACTCACGAGTACCACTCGCTTCTCATCTTTTCCTTCCCACCACCCACATCGAGGACGTCACCAGCCACAAATGGCATCGTAACACACTCTACTTCGGGCTCGAGCGTGCCGAGTCACGACACCTACTACTGCATGGAAGCCACGTGCCCACACCTGGGTGCGCCACTCGAGAATGCCACCATCGAGGCCAACGACGCAGAATTCGACGACGACATCGAAGACATGGTCGTCGTCTGTCCATGGCACGAGTACGACTTTAGCTTGAGGACCGGAGAGTCGTCCCACGGTATCTCTGCCTGTGTTTATCCCTGCTCCGTCCGTCGTGACACGCTCTACATTCAAGCGCCCTTCCCGTCCAACCTGGCAGCCGGTCAAGACGCTGATACCGCTAGCAGCAATTGGGAGCTCATCGAGCTGCGACCTGTCAGCGAGTCTGCACCTGGCGTTGCATCGCGACAAGACGCTGCTCAGACGCTGCATGAACAAACATCGCTGCTGTCCGTCTCATCCACTGGAGCGGGATCTCAAGAACTAGACGAGTCCACAACAGAGGCCACGCCAGAATCCGACAGCAAAAGTGGTGATGGTGTGATTCCACCGCCTTCACCGCGGCCAAAGACTCTGGTTGAATGGGCTGTCCTGGTGCTCAATACATCCGATCCCGTCAGAAAGGTTGAGTACACTCGCATCGCTGCCAAAGCGTTCCGATCGGGCGAGTGCAAGGTCATCGGTGGAGGAAGATGGGATGCAACCCATTCTGCAGCGGGACGAGGCGCTTGGATCACCAAACCGCAAGAGACCGCACCGGAACGACCGCCGCGCATGAAGGAGGAAGTGCGAGTTCGGCCGGGGCAAGAAGGCAAACGCGGACGTGGTGGAACAGAAAAGAGTCGGATCGCCATCCTTCACTCGCTCGCAAACATCGAGCAATGGGCCATCGATCTGGCATGGGACATCATCGCACGCGCTCCGCAGCTGTGCGCACGATTCTTTGACGGCGACGATGCAGATGCAGAGGGACCAACACGCAAGATGCCGCTGCAATTCTTTAGCGACTTTGTCAAAGTGGCAGAGGACGAGGCCAAGCACTTCTCGTTGCTCACCAAGCGTCTGGACGAGATGGGCAGCTACTTTGGCGCTCTTCCCGTCCATCACGGCCTATGGGACTCGGCCATGGAGACGGCGCATTCGCTCACAGCACGGCTTTCGATCATCCATCTTGTGCACGAAGCGCGTGGGCTGGATGTCAACCCAACCACCATCAAGAAGTTTGCCAACGCAGGTGATGCCGAAAGCGTCGAGACTCTCACCGTGATCCACCTGGACGAGATCACGCATGTCTCTGCTGGACATCGATGGTTGACATGGCTCTGCAGCAATGCCAGTCCTCCTATCGATGCTGTGCAGGTGTTTCGGCGCGAGGTGCGCAAGAACTTCATCGGCCGTCTGAAGGGGCCCTTCAACGCCGAGGATCGACGCAAAGCTGGATTGGACAAAGAGTGGTATGATGATCTCGTCGGAGAGAAGCAGAGCACCTACAGTATCGGCGTTGTTCGTCACGAGGTGCCAGGCGGCTAAGCCGGACAAAGCTCGGCATTGGAATTCCGAAACAGAGCTTGACTCGAGTTCATTGCATTGCTTTTGTCAGCAGTACTCTGTTTTCGCACAGCGACCGCTCGAATCCCTCGCAACCTTGATGTGTGCGTGCGAATCACTTGCAGTGCAGAGAGCAACGAATGGTCGAGAGCAGACTAGCATATGCTTTCTTCTTGATGGCCAGGTCAGATCAAGAATCGCCTTCAAAAGCGACAGCCGAAGTCGCATTGATTTTGTAGTCTGGTTATGCACGCCTTGTATTTGAGGTGACACTCGGGCTTGTATTTGGCTAATTTAGGAATTCCATGCACCGAAGCCCGCGTTTGAAAAGGAAGCTTGGCCGGCTGGCTGTCTAGGAACAAAGCGGCGGCAGCGGCCAAAGCGGGTCAAAATTTACTGGGATTGGCTGAGCAAGCAAGCAAGCACGCAACCACAGAGCGCGAAATGTGGGCTGATGCCGATTCTCGTCACAGAGCTGCAGGAGCGTGGCAGCAAAGCAGCGTGCGTGGGGTAAACGCATCGCTATCGCAAAATCACTCGCTGCTCCACCATCTCTCTCGTCTCTCTCTTCCCATCCATAATCCTCTTCCTGAAAAGCTCTCTTCTTCGAAGCATCTTCATGTCAACCTTATATTCACACTATCCTCACCTCAGCAATTGTCAACCTCTCGCACATTCACCATAGGTGCTCTCTGGCTCCTTCACCGCGGTTTTTCCATTCTCGGGGACTCGTTACACCCCATCCGCTTGCATAGATCCTCGGACTCTGCTCCGGGATCGCTCATACCCATCCAGTCTTCGCAATGTCGAGCTTGCTTTCCTTTCGTCGAGCTGGGCCTGAACTCAGGGCACCTCGCGACGAGGAAGCAGCCCTCCCGTCCACCTCGCAGGCTGGCAGCCGCTGGTCTCGTCCTTTCGGCTTGGGCTCCAGCTCTCGTACCCAGAACACGCAGCTCGTCGAAATGAACTCTCAACCTGCTGTCGCCATCGCCGACAACGCCAACCTCGACATCGAGCAAGCACAGCCTCGACATGCACGCGACCCGTCCGGCAGATCCATCCTCTCCGCCATCTCCATCCCCTCCCTCTCCACCTTGCGTCAGCGCGACCGCGACCAGGAGAGGCAAAGACAAGAGGAAATTGTCCAGTCTCAGGGTCAGGGAGGTGGCACAATTGCCCGCCTTGGCGGCGGCAATGCTCTGGCCCCCATCCTGCTCGCTCCCTCCGCCCCTCCCGCATCTCGCACCAGCGCCAACAAGAAATCTAGAAGCAGTCGACGCGAACGAGAAGAGGCCGCCACCTTGTTCGGTCCCAACCTGGCAAATTACTTTGGAAGCGGCATCAGCAGCTCTGGCGCCGTCTCCAGCCACGGCGCTGGTGTTCCCCAACCTTTCGCCATCATCAGCCCGACTTCACCCATTACAGCAGCTGTGCTCGCATCGCCAACTCTATCATCGGCCGCCAACGACTCGTCCAATCCTCCCATCGACCCAGCCACCGGCATGACCTCAACCGATGCCTTGTATCCGCATAACTCTGTTGCCTCGCGCCGTGCTCGCCTCGGCTCTCGCGGTCGAGCTAGGGGTGCCTCGCTTTCCGGCCTCAGCATGATGTCGCTCGGCGCCGAATCCGTCACCTCGCTTGGAGGGGTCGTTCCGGAGCGAACGGTCGACTCATCTCAGGCTGCCACTGGCATGATGCAGGGATCCACCGCCGATCTCATTGATCAGCTCAATCGTGAAGGTCCCTCTGCCGACGGCTCAATCGCCATGAGCGAAGGTGTTGAGATCGCCACGCTTCAACGCTGGATTCAACGCAGCACTGGCGTAGCTCAGGATGGCGCTCCTCCTGCGGCAGCACCTGCTGCTTCGCCTGCCACTCATGGCCCGCCTGTCTGCACCACCCTCCAGTCATTTGTCAATCTGAAGCGCAACACCCTCAAGCTTTCGACAAAGACGACGCCGGATACCGCTGCCGATACCACCAACATCTTGCGATCTCGAACTTCGCTTTCTGTGCTGCCCAGCCTCTCGTACGGCAGCAGCAGCGCTGCAGCGGGTCTGCTTCCCGAGCCGACGCATTCGCTCTACTTTGAATACGACTGCGCTGCGCCCTACGCCAGCGTGCAGATCTTTGTTCGTGCCAGTCGCAAGCACGGTAGCTGGCTCGGGTGGACGCCGCCTCCCGACCGCGGCTCGGATCCGCTCTCGTCGACGCAGAATGCGGATGGTGGGCAGGCGTGGTTGGCGCAGTGCGGTCCGCCTCCGCATGTGTTGGGATGGCCGATCCATGTTGCCAAGTTGAAGAAAGGATTTGGGGTAGGTCATACGGCTAGTCTGCCGTTGCAGCTGCAGTATTATGCGCCGCCGAAGGGAAAGAAGCTGGAGAGCGGTGCGACGGGTGTCAGCGATGGTAGGCGGGAGGTGGGGGGAAAGAGGGGTGTGGAGGTGGCGACGCCTGCGGCGGTTCCGGAGACGCCAGGGTTTGAGTTCAACAGGAGGTTGGAAGTAGGGGATGATGATGCGGATGAGGAGGGGCAGCCTGCGCGGGCGGCGGCGGTGGTGGCGGTGGGGGCGACGGCGGCGGAGGGCGGTGCACAGTCGCTAGCCACGGAGGGTCAGGAGACGCAGCCGGTGGAGGAGGAGACGAAGGAGCAGCGGCTTGCGCGCGAAAAGGCGGAACGTGAAACGCTCAAGCTCGCCATCGTGGTAGAGGCGCTCGACGAGAACGCTCGACCGTTGCGAGAGCCCAACCTGCAAACGAGCTACCTGCGATTGACATCTTTGCCCTCGAAGAAGGTCGAGGTGGTGGAGGAGGTGGCAGAGTCGGAAGGGGTTCCGACGAGGACCTGGTCTTCGCAGGTGGAGGGGCAGGAAGCGGAGATCGGACCGCACAGGTTCCAATTGCAGGAGCTGTATGGGTTGTCCTCGAAGCCTCCTGCTGTTGCGCCTGCTCCGGTGGAAGGTGCGGATTTGGGTGATGAGGAGGGAGCTGCGCCGCCGCCACCGCCGATGGATCTGGACGCTAGCAACGGCAGCGAGTGTCTGATCTGTCTGAGCAGTCCACCGACGACCTTGCTGCTGCCGTGTACGCATGGGTTGTGTCTGGAGTGCGCGGTTCAGCTGAGGGACAGCGTGGTGGGGATCAGGCAGAGCGAGAGGAGGAGGGGCAGGACGCCTAGGAGGAAATACGCGTGTCCCGTGTGCAGGAGGGCCTATACGAGCATGTTGCATTTGAGCAAGGCGGATGAGAAGTCAGTGGCAAAGGGATAGGGGGAAGGTGAATGATAGGGTTTGAACTGGTTTGATTAGGGAGGTTTGTGATGGTGTGTGGCTGTGACGGTGAGGAAGGTTTGACCTGAGTGGGGATCGTGAACAAGTGGTTTTGCTGGTATCACAACACGGCGATGAGAAGCGTCGAAGAGACGCTTTGTGGAAAGAGAGGGCAAGGTATCCCGATATGCCTTCTCGACGAAAAACGCTCTCGAGACTGACAACGGTGGGTTTGAAGGTGTTTTCCATGCATCACTTCAAGCTTGTAGTCCATCTTGAGTACACATGATCTTTGCACGATCATTTGCCACATCGAAATCAAGTCTCGGAAAATGATATCTTCCAAGTGCTGTCGTGCTGTCAATACATCTTCGGCCGATACTTGAGCTTCTTCTCCCCACCTTCCAACCTTCTACTTGCGCGCGTACATTCTGCGTTAGTATGACCGTCAAGTGCGCTCTTACAGTAGTTGCACAGATCGACGGGTTTATCGTTCCACCAGAGTTTGATCCAGACGTTTCCGTGTGCTTCGATGACGTTGAGATGACTTGGAAGGATGAATTTTGGCGCAGCATTGCGTTTTATGAGGACGATGTATGCGGGGATTCTCTCCCATTTGTTCTCCACCTCCAACTCTGGGTTGTGGGGGAATCCGTCGGGTAGTAACCACATAGCGATGATTGAGCCGATGTTGGAGAGACGAGGACAGGTGGAGATGGCGAGAAGGCACTGGGTGGAGAAGGATTCGAGTTGGGATGTGTCGGAGGTAGACATGGATGAAAAGATCGAAGCTTTGACGCGCGGGTGGGAGAATTGAAGCAGCAGGAACCTCGAATCGTCTACGAAAGCACCGTGCAAGAAAGGTTTGAGCATCAACCCCATTCTCGGCACCGCAATGAGATTTCGTATCGCTTCAAACTGTTGCTCTTCCGTCACCCGGATGTCGAGGAACTTCTTCCCGCCAGAATTGGTGATAACGGGGAAGGAGATCCTCGGTTCACCACCGCAGGGCCAACCCGATAGATCGAACAGCCTCAACAGTTGGGGTTTTATCACCTCGGCGGCGGTAACACGCGATTGTTCATCAGTCGGATACGCCCCAGATTCGACCAGATAGCGGTGCGAACAGAGGGAGAGCCAGGACCCACGTTCGAAGGAGGGCACTTCGTCGATGTCGAACGGTTGCGAGGAAGGGGAGAAGTGGGAGGGGTGGTGGTGGATGAGTTGGATGGTGTAGGGGCGGGCGCCGGGCGCGCGAGGCGTGTGGTCGATGAGCGTGTGCGAGTAGGCGTACGAGTCCGAGGTTGAGTCGCTGGTGGGAGATTGGATGTTCGGAGGTGTGGGCAGATTGGAGAGGTGGTCGGATGTCAGGGCGTGTCTTGACGTGGAACGTCGTTGCAGTTCCCAGTCTGGACGATCGCGCAGCACGGATTCTTCCAACGTCATCTTCGCTGGCATCCCTTGCTCTTCCTCAACCTTCGTCGCTCCACCTGCCGCCCAACCGTACGACTCTCTTACCGCCCTCTCCCCTCTTTCCGTCCTCAGCATCTTCGCTCGAGCCTCGGGAAGCTCTTCCACCCTCTCTTTGCGCCGATCCTTCAACCAGGTTGGTCTTCGATACACAGTGTGACGTATGACGACGTTCGCTCCCCCCTTCTTGCAACGTTTCTCCCTCAACTGCGCATTGATGCAGGCGGAGGAGGGCCCAGCTGCACCGAGAAGCTCGATTTCGTCGTCATCGTCGTCAGCCTGTTTATCGTCGTTGTCGTCGTTCTGCTGGTCGTCGTTGTCGTCGTCGGAAGAATCTGAGATGACGATGACATCGGCGGATGTGGGGAAACTTGGTCGCTTTGAGGACGAAGCGGACATTGGACGGGTCGAATTGGGTTGCAGATGTCGTGAGGAAGGTGGATAAGAGAGATTGTTGCTGTTGATGTAATGCCTTGGATGTCCACGACGGAGGTGAGGTTGCGGAAGGTAAGACAGAAAGGGAACGAGCTCGATTGGCAGTAATGAAAATGTGTGGGGGCTTGAAGCTCATGCATGATTCGGGACGAGGGTGATGGGATCGGTGACATGAAGATCAAATTGAGAAGATCTCGTCGCTCCCACACACACTCATGCAGCGATTCTGACGCTCGTGCCTCTATACACACGCAATCACCAGCACCGCATCGAAGACAAAGGGTCTTGATGCATATGCAAGCAGCCCGCACATCCCATTGTTCTCCTCGTCAAGCTGCAGGTTCAAGACTTTTTCCTCGCAGAGGACCATCGTATTTTATGAATCTTCACATCACACCCGGTAGCTTCGCCAACGGCCTCAACCACCTGTCGGCATCCCTAAACTGCGTCACCACCTCCTTACTGATCGCATTCTCACCATCCAGCGTCTCGACCGCCACCAACACGGCGTCCCAAAACCTGAAGCTCCTTCCCAACTCCTGCTTGATGTCCCTCACGTTCGAGAACGTATCATCCAGCGCACCCAACACGCCCTGCTTGGCCTCGACCACCTCCGCATCATCCACCTGGTGCTCCAACACCGGTCCACCTCTGTACGTCAACAGTCCGTCCAAATAGCACTTGACCAGAATTCCCATCCCCGTATTCACATCCGTTTGGAATGGAAGTGACAGGGAAATGTCGATAAAGTCATCGCGATTCCTCCTCGCATCCCCCCTCAGCAGCAGCGAGAGACTGATCATCTCGACGAGGTTCCTCATCGCCCGACTTGTGCTCTTTACGAACGAGTTGAAAACCAACAGCTCGCGACTCAACGGCGCCGACCACGCCGACGGCTTGTACGTCATCTGCAGCAACGACACCGTCCTCATTACCAGCAGCATATGCCTCTTCTCCGTCTCATCCCCATACGACGGTCCGCCGGAATAGCTCCGCCCGCCGAAGTAGTTGGCGTGCAACGCTCCACCGCGCAGCAGCTCGAGCGCCAAGAACAGCGGTTCCTGCAGCTTGTCGTTCAGCTTGGACTTCTTCAGCGCCAGATACAGCGCACGTGCGTACGGTGTGTGGAGGTGCGCATGGTTGAGGAACCCTCGAAGCTCGAGCATTCGCCAGATGGTGTTGGCTACGATCTCGTCTTTTCTCTCCAGCGCCGAGGTGGAGCCGTCTGGCAGTTTGACGCGAGGCGTCTTTGTCCTGCTGGCAAGCTGATCCGAGGTGGTGGCGCCGAGACAGAGTGCGATGTCGATGGTGGAGGAGTTCTGACGTCGAAGCTCTTCCTCGATGAAGCGGTTGGAGACGTTCCACTGGTTGACGCGGTTGATGAGCTGTAGCGTCGCCGCCGAATCGTGTGGGATCGGGTGGTCGGCAGAAGGTGCGAAATAGTAGATGCCGGTGATCTTGCGGGACGACCAGAAACCGTTGAGGACGGCAGCAGCGAGAGCGACCGAAACGCAACGGGGGGACTGCGGCGTCTCTGTGAGCGTCTCGCGGACGTAGCGTCGGTAGTCTTCGCTCTCGCCGTTGTCGAGAGGAGGTGCTTCGATGACGTGCCCAGAGGTCAAGCTCGACAGCACCTGAGGACCGACAAGGCCTCTGGACAGGTGAAGGAAAACCTCATCGGGGAGGCGATGAGAGAAGACGTCGTGTATGTCGAGCGGGACGTCGGCAGCAGTGAGAATGGGCGTTGCGCCGGTGGACGAGCCGATGGAAGCGCCGCCTGCGGCAGGACCGGCTCCGTTGGGAGCGATGTGAGGGGGAGCAGAGCCGATCGAGATGGGTGGAGGCGGCGTTGCGAGCGGCAGTGGCAGAACGCGACCCTCCTCTGCTGAAAGTACGAGGCAGAATTTGACGATGGTCCTGGATCTGCAAAACTGATCCACGTAGTTGATCTTGGATACGATAGGGTGGGCCTCGAAAGCAGCGACGAGCGGATAGCCGCCCTTGTAATGCTTAACGAGGTCGTTGATCTGGCGCAGATTTGGTGGTGCGCCTGCGTGCGGTGGTGTAGCGCCCAGACTGGAATCTTGAAGGGCGGGGAAGGTGGCGCAGAGATCGCTTCCGGCAAGCAGACCGACGTCGAGGAATTGCTCCTCGTTGCACCTGAGCTCGTTGAGGATGGAGTGCTTGTTGACGAACTGGAAAGTGGAATCGGAGAGATTGAGAGTGGTGATGAGACGTTCTACGCGATCAAACAGCAGGACTTCTGTGGGACCGTAGATGGCGTGTACGTAGGATTTGGAGTGTCGTTCCAATGAGACGAGCTGGGCTGTTGCGAGGTAGGGAGCGACGAGGAACTCGACATTTCTGTGACGGAAAGCACGAAGGATGGCGCGGTAGAGGTCCGGGTGATGCAGAGAGCTGCTGGCGGAGAGGAGAGAGTGTGTAACGTCAACTTGACCGTTCTCGTAGGCCTCCCACGCGCGATGTCTCTGCTTGACGCGAGGATCTTCGTATGAGAAGGGGCGGATGCGCTTGTTGGGCTGGATACCGTTGAGAATAAAGACTGGCTTGATGCGGGCCTTTTCGAGCGCGCGAAGGTCGGTTTCGATGTGAGAAATGAGGGCGATGGGAGCGCCTCCAAGTGCAGCAACGAGGGGCTCCGATGTGGATGGAGATGAGAGGAGCTGCTTGAGATAGTAGGATAGATCGATGCCGAGACGGGTGTCCTTGAGCGCAGAAAGCGGTGCAGTCTGTGTAAGACCTCGATCGTGGAGATAAGCCTGTAGCCCACGGATCATTGTGATTGTATGAGCACGATTGGCTCTCGATTGCGACTCTTTAGGGAAGGGATGAGGAGAAGAAGAAGAAGAGAAGGAGCGAGATCAACACTTCAACGCACACACTTCCGCAAGCACTCAACCACTCAAAGCACTTTCAGCCGACCGTGCGCAGCCAGCCCAGCCGAGCCCAGTGTTGCTCGCTCTCCTTCCAACCGTGCGGATTCGATCTGCTCTTTTTTCTGCGGAATTTGTTGGAAGCTTGGTCGATCGCACATTTAAAGCAAAAGACCAGCACCGGCGATTTGAACGGACTTCTTGAATCAGCAACCAACTCCGGTGGAGGCTCGTGCATTCTTCTTCTCCTTCACCATCACCATCGTATCCTGTGCACAGTGCAAACACCATGTCAGACGGCAACCGCATTCAGATTGCCATTGACCGAGGCGGTACATTCACAGATTGCCTCGGGCGCATTCCACCCAGCTCCCCTGACCAAGAACCTACCGACATTGTCATCAAGCTTCTCTCCCACGACCCGGCCAACTACAAAGACGCTCCCACAGAAGGTGTTCGCCGCATCCTCGAACAGGCCTACAAGACCGACATTCCGCGAGGTCAAAAGATCGACACCTCCAACATCGACTACATCCGTCTCTCCACCACCGTAGCTACCAACGCACTTCTCGAACGCAAGGGCGAACGGCATGCACTCGTCATCACAAAGGGATTCAAAGATTTGGTGCAGATCGGCAATCAGAGCAGACCGAGTATCTTTGACCTCGCCATCAAGAAGCCAGAGGTGCTGTATGAAGGCGTGCTGGAGGTCGATGAGCGGGTGACGTTGGTAGGGTACACCTCGGATCCACGTGCTAGGGAGAACGCGGTCCAATTCGATCTTGACTCGAAGCAAGAGGGTGACTATATCACCAAGATCAACGAGCCATACAAAGGGACTGATCAGCCACCAAATGCCTACGATGCCCAAGGAAAGCCCACTGGTCCACCAGAGATCGTGCGAGGCATCTCCGGCGAGGCAGTCGCCATCCTCAAAAAGCCGGACCAGGAGCTTATAAGGAAACAGCTTCACGCCCTCTACCATGAACATGGCTATCGATCTCTCGCCGTCGTTCTCATGCACAGCTACACCTACCCTCTCCACGAACAGATCATCAAGAAGATCGCGCTCGACGTCGGCTTCGACACCGTCAGCTGTTCGAGCCAATTGATGCCCATGATCAAGATGGTCCCTCGTGCAACATCCTCCACCGCCGACGCCTATCTCACGCCTGTGCTGCAAGCTTACATCGACGGCTTCTTCTCCGGCTTCGAGGACTCGCTGAGGAGCGGTGAAGCGGGAACCAAAGTCGAGTTCATGATGTCCGACGGTGGCTTGACGTCCGTAGACCACTTTTCCGGGCTCAAATCCATCATCTCCGGTCCAGCGGGAGGTGTTGTCGGTATGGCATTGACGAGTTACGACAAGGAGGACAAACGACCCATCATCGGTTTCGATATGGGCGGTACGTCGACCGACGTTTCTCGGTACGACGGACAGTATGAACAGGTGTTCGAAACGACACTGGATGGTATTACGATCCAAAGCCCGCAGCTTGATGTCAACACGGTTGCTAGCGGTGGTAGTTCGCGGCTGTTCTTCAGGAATGGGTTGTTTACCGTGGGGCCTGAATCGGCATCCGCGCATCCGGGACCTACGTGCTATCGTAAGGGTGGACCGTTGGCGATTACCGATGCGAATCTCGTCACGGGTAGGTTGGCGGTCGAGATGTTCCCAAAGATCTTTGGTCCGGACGAAAATCAAGGTTTGGACGAGGAGGCTTCCCAACGAGCGTTCGAAGAGCTTACCGAGGAGATCAATTCCAGTTCGGAACGCAAGTTGTCCGTCGACCAAGTGGCGCAAGGGTTCATCCGAGTTGCGAACGAGATCATGTGTCGACCCATCCGAGCGCTCACGGAGGCTCGAGGGTACAGTGCATCCAAGCACATCCTGGCGAGTTTCGGAGGTGCAGGTGGACAGCACGCTTGTTCCCTGGCCAGGTCGTTGGGGATCAAGACGGTGATAGTCCACAAGTATTCGAGCATTCTGAGTGCCTACGGTATGGCGTTGGCGGATAGGGTGTTTGAAGAGCAAGAGCCGTGTTCCGAGACGTGGGAGGGAGAAGGTTCCGGTTCGCAGAAGAGGATCTCCAAGCGCGTGGACGAGTTGCGATCCAAAGTGAGCAAGGAACTGGAAGCACAAGGTTTCAAAGGCGATAGGATCCAACTGCAGACACTGTTGAATCTGCGATACGAGGGAACGGATACAGCGTTGATGACCTTGCAACCCGAAAACGGTGGTTGGGACTTTGAACGAGTCTTTATCGACAAGTACAAGCAGGAATTCGGTTTCGTCCTCGAAGACAAAAACATCATCGTCGACGATATCAGAGTCAAAGGCATCGGCAAAAGCTTCGACTCATTGGGTCAAACCGTACTCGAAGAATACCGTCAACTCTTCACCGACAAAAAAGCCGCCAACACTGATGCAGCGCACAAAGTGGATCCTCTGGCGGTGAGAAAAGTCTACTTCGACCAAGAAGGAAGACTCGACACCCCCATCATCAAGTTGGACAGGCTCGAAAAGGGTACCACCATCAACGGTCCGGCCATCTTGGTCGATCAAACCCAGACCATCTTGCTCGAACCACAGTGCAGAGCGCACCTCACTTCACAGGCTGTACTCATCGATATCCTGTACGACTGAGAACATCCTTTTGGTCTCTCCGCTTTCGCAATGTCATGCAACAGCTCTCCGCCGCGTTGCTCCACGTGTGAAGCACGACTCAGCAGACCGTTGAGCTTGTGCGATGTGGTGAAATGCTTTAAGATTGAAGATCGTATTGAAAATGCGTAAGAACGAGAATGAAAATGCAATGCCGAATCCACGAAAGTGCGTGGATCAATGCTGAAAGTGTACGAGAACGACGATCGCCTATTCTTCGAGTCGAGCCTTGAGCCGAGCCAGACGCTGCTCCAATCCGAGCAACGACCCCTGCAGCGCGGTATGCCTGTGGTTCAGACCCGTCATCAGGCTGACGTCGGCTTTGCTTGCGGGCGAATCGACTTCTTGCGCTCCCACTGCCTCGACCGTGGGAGGCAGGACGCTCTTGCGACCGCCGAGCGCCGTCGTTGACGAAGCCGTCCTCAACGCAAACGACCTCGGCAACGTGTCCCCGAATTTTCGTCCGAGCCTCGTCGATGCAAGATTGCCCTGCTGCCCGTCCGCGACTACACCGACACCCTTCCCTCCTGCAACTTTGTCCGTCGTTGCTCCCCCGTCCCCTTGGCCGCCGACCTCCTCGTTCGGCTCTTCGCACAATGTCGACGAGGTAATGCGGCTGCGGAACCGTCCGAATCCGCGACTTGACTTGGCAGCACCGTCTTGACTTGAAGGTCGTTCGATGCTCACCTTCTCTCGTTCTTTGAGTGACAGCACGCTCGAAAAGCGACGAATGGTGCGGGCAGGTAAGCTGCCACCGGGAGCCATCAAGTGCATGCGGCTCTCGACATGGCCCAGAATGAAGTCGTCCTCCTCGCCCCTGCCGCTCAATGGCGGTGACGATGAAACGGCAGTACCCGGTCGCGCAGTCGCTGCAGCTTCTGCATCGGCCTTGGCACGGTCGCTGAGCGAGAGCATACTGGTGGCTCGTCCCATGCCTTTCGCCTTGCGGTACTGCGAAAGCATCTCGCCGCTGTCTTTGCGACGAATCGTCCTAGTCGAGCGATTCGAGTCGCGCGAAGACCCAAGAATGTCGCCGTGACCATCCGAGCTGGCAGTGCCGTCTCGCAAAGGCGGCATTGCTCCTAACACGGGGACATACGCCATGGGCGCAAAAGTCACCATGGTCTTACCTAGGCTCGTCGACAGAACTTCGCCGCTATTATCAGGAGACACCTTGCCGGACTTTTGCAACGAGCCGGTCCGTGTCCGAACCGGACCGGAAGCGAACTCAATGCTGTGTTCGTAAGAAACGTCGCGGGAGGAATGGCCAGACCGAGCAGATTGGTCGCTCAGAAAGATGGGCGGCGAGCTGCGAGCGCCCGCCGCTTCCAGAACTGCTGCCACGGATGGCGCTGATGCAAAGGCGTCGGTCAGCGGCGGACTTTGTGCACGCTTCGGCTTGGTAGGCGTGCCGCGCTCTTGAGCGCGGATGAGGAGCTGTCGGGCGCTTTTTTTGTGTCGCAAATGGCGTCTGCCGGTGACCGAGTCGTCCGATGCATCCGAATCGTACATGTCAATGTCGAGTGCAAGATGGCTCTGCCGAGGCGACTCGTGCAAAAGAAGTTGAGGCGGTGAGCTCTGTGGAGACTCCGGTGGAATGATTTTGAAAGTAGCTCGCGGGGCGATCAGATTGGCTCTCGAGTTGCGTTGCCGAATCGATGCAGCTGGCTGCGCTATTGGCACTGCTTTGCCGTCTCGAAGATGATCCCCTTGGTCGTCTGATCCAGTCGCCTGTTGTGGAGCCGCCAAGGGTTGCAAGGCTCTCCTGATTGACCGCGGTTGATGCTCGGACGTCTGTGGTGGACCTTGCAGCTGCGTGCGTGTTGGAGGCTGTGTCGCGGTCGGCTTTGCAGCCGATAGTTGTGGGTCTGTAGACGAGCGAGGCAAGCCACCTCCCCGTGCAGCTGACCGGACGTGTGGCGTCGCCGGCACCGGTACTACAGGCTGCTTTTTTCGGACGCTTTTTTGGACGGCGGCCATCATTTCGTCCCAAGCTTCTCGCTCCGACATTTCTCGAACGGCATTGCTGCCTCCTGACTGACGACTGTCGGATCCAACGCTTCCACCGCCTGGTGTTGCAGACCTTGCTCGATCCAGATCGCGTCGATACAGCAGTGGCTTGTTGCCTCCGGTGAGCTTCGAGGTGCGAGCGGCCGAGGCCATGGGGAACGGATAGGGCGATGGTGGTACGGCTGGTGTGTAGTTGGCCAGAGCGTCTTCGGGGATAGGCGCTTCCTGTCCTTGCAGCTGGCGGAAACGTTCATGCATGGCCATATACGACGGCTTACGAGCTGGTGTCACGAAGCTGTGCGGCTGAGAGAAAGGCATCGCAGATGGTCTGATAGGATGAGCACTCGCGTGTTGACTCGAAGTGGCGTCCTGCGGATCCAACACGGCGGCTTCGGGCCCAGCCGGACTCGGTGCGAACGATGGAGGGGTCGGTAGCATTGAGAGCGACTGCGAGGATTGTCCACCAGCCCTGTGAAAGGGAGTAGATGCAACTGGGGTGCTTGCAGGCCAGCCGCTTGGAGATGCTCCCGACGTGTTTGCCAGATCGTCCATGCTGACGGCGGTGGACATCTCACCCGACAAGACGGCTCCTTGCGCTGCTGCAGAGGTAAAGGCATCTCGTTGTGGCAGATAGCTGAAGCCAACAAATGTGACGTCGCAGTCTGACCATCGCGGTGCGGAACGAGACACATGTGGCGAGTTGGCGCCAATCATGTAGGAGCTTGTGTCTCGCAGGGTCAGGGATTGCGAAGATGTGCTCAAGACCACGGCGGGAGACGAGGAGGATCTTGACATGCCCGATGGCCCCGCATCCGCCATTGATGTTGACGCTGGCAGCACAGCAGCGCTGTCGTTGGCTGCATCGTGCGCCGAGTTGTCAGTTGGTGCTCTTTCGCCTTCCCACCAGTCTTGCTGCTGGCGCATGGACTCTGATTCGAGCTCTCGCGAGTCGGTGAAGGCTGGAAAATCGTCTGGGTCGCCGTCGTACAGCGCGGAAAAGGATGGCAAGCTCGACACGACGGAGAAGGAGTTCTCCTGTAGACGAGCTGCGATGGGATTGGTCGGGAGCCCTTGCAGGCGGTCTTCTCCTGCCGTTGCGGCGTGCGCAGAGGAGAGATTGACGACCTCGGCATTCGGTGTAAAGGGAGGTGGCAGTGGCCATTGTTTGGACCAATCGATGCTGGAAATGCGGTAGAAGGCATGCTGCTGGACTTGCACAGAGGAAGCTCGACCGAGGCGGCGATCCGCTGAAGTCAAAAGGCAGCGAATCAAGCTGCTAAGTGGCGTCGAACATTCGATCGAACGATCGAAGACGAGGGAAGATGCGTGATCTTTGATCTTTTCGTAGGTCTCCTCCATCCTGCTTGCAAAGAAGGGAAGGACACCGAATCGCATCTCGTAGATCATGACTCCGAAGCTCCACCAGTCGACCTCTGGGCCATACGCGCCCGCCACCTTTTCCGGACCAGCAGTTGCGTTCTTGGAGCCGGATGTCGAGCTTGCGCGCTTCAGCCCGAGCATGTCATCGAGGCTCGACATTTCCAATTGCTGCTGTCGCTCAAGCACTCGGTTCTCCTCTGCCTCGAGCACTTCGGGGGAGAGATAGTCGCAGGTGCCCGTGGGCTGAGAGCAATAGAAGGCCCACACCTTGCGCTCCGTCGATGACGAGGGGCGTCTCGTGTGGCTCTGTCTGGCCGATGTTGGCTGGATTTGAAATTTGCTGAAGGGCGCTGCGCTGGAAAAGTCGCAGAGCTTGAGGTGACCGCTCTGATCCAAGAGGAAGTTGCCTGGCTTGATATCTCTGTGAGCAAAGCCCTGTGCGTGCACCCAGGCGATGGCCTGGACCATGTCGACACTGTAGCGCAAGATCCAATCTTCCGTGAGGAGTCCTGTCGGCGCACGTCCAGGATACTCGGCGCCGCAGTTGCTCGCAGCCATGAGGAGCTCGCTAAAGTCGCCGCTGGGAACGTACTCCATGAGCACGTGAACCGAGTTTTGGGTTTGGAAAGAGGCAAGCAGCTGCGGCGTGAGGAGACGCGCTCGATCGTCGTTGGATGGATTGTCATCGGCAGGTTGGCGCTGAAGCAGTTTGGTCTCGTTTATGGGAGTTTGGATGGCAGCATTTCGTCGGGCAAACCCCTTGACGAGCGACTTGAGAACGTAGACGCGCCCATCGAGGCGATTTTTGACCACTTCGACGAGACTGCCCGCACTCTTCTGGAGCACCTTGATGGTCTTGAAATCTTGGACTTGCAAGCTGGCTTGGCGCAGACTGTGTAGGGACGGAGTCGCTGCCGCTCTGAATGGGTTGGGATCCTTGGTGGAGGGCAGGCCGTCGGCGCTCCATGCTACGATCAAGCCAATGTCGAGCAGTCTACCGAGCGTTTGCGGGTTGATCTCGCCATGACTGGTGCCGTCATCTGCATCTTGAAGGGTTGCGAGAGATGACGAACTAGCGCTACCAACGCCGGTGTGACTGATGTGAAAATCGCGAAGTGCGGCCCTGACCCTTCTGGACTGTAGCACATGGCGTATCGTGTCATGTCGGTCTTGCCATGATGACGGCGAGTCGGCCGTCATTGTGAAGAGGTCGGAAGGCCGCTTGGAGTTGGTTGCAGCCTAGACATTGACCAGGTCTGACGACATTGGTGAATGCTGAGCGAATGGGTGTGAGTGGGAAGAGAGGTTGCCGAACGAGCTGAGGCTAGAAAGAGGAGCAGCTCGCAAGTCGCGGAGAGATGACTTGGCGTTGTGATTGTTGTCGAGGCAGAAAAGCACGTTGTGTGAGCTCCGAATACGATGCGACGGCGCAGAGCGTCGATCGAGTGATCACACAGCAAAGGATACGCAGAAGTGAAGGGTGGAAGGAAACGGAGACGCCGACGCGATTGATAGGCCTCTGCGGAACGATCCGACCGTGGCGTGACTAGGTTGGCGGATGTTATGGAAGTGGCGTCGGTAGCGCGCGATTGTGATGGCAATTAGAAAGTGGCATGAAAGGGTGATGGCGCTTTCGGCTGGAGAGGTAAGTCAAGCGATGAATCCAGCCGACCGATGTTTGAGAGACTCGGGAAGGTAGTTGGTCGAGCAATGCATCGACGACAGGCGATGCCGGATGCTGCACTCCGGACGAGACTTCGATGCAGCAGACTGTGTCGGGCAAGCAGAATGAGCTATCCCTTCCGACGAACGGAGCTGGTGAGCAGACTCTGATGCTGACCGAGAGATGCGGCGATCCTTGGTGCTTGTCTACGGAGAATTTGTTTGTTGACTGCACGGCGGGCGGGCTTGTCCATGTGACCGACCTGCTAGCTTGTTCACTAAGCTACTTCAGCCGTGCTGAGAAAACAATGGGAATGCAGCCATGAACCAGATAGTCCGAGGGTTGAATACAGAGAGATCCGCTGGCCTGGTCGGACCGACGATGGATTTTGACGCTCTGTGTTGTCGTGTGTGGTCTGTCCCAGGCTGATGTGTTGCTCCACATCCGCGACGTACTGGCAGTCTGCGCAGAATCACAGTCACAGTCAGTGTTTTTGGTGTTTGTCTCGGCTGCTGTGTGATTATTGCGACGCGTTCCCGGCTTGTGTTGTTCTTTGCTCCCAGACAGGACTCGGCAACGCCGAAATCCACAAGAAGGCCGGTAAGTTGATGGCTGCACATAAGACGACTGCAAGCTCCTATTGCAACTCAGACGCATCCTTGCGGTTGCCAGCAGTATCGTCCGCGTCATAGCTATGTGCCTTTCTCCAGCTTCCCAGAGCACTGTTGTCACCGTGACGGAGAAAGCTGTTGTTATTGCCCTGCAGGCTGCATTAACTCGACCATCGCTCGTCGGCAACGGTAATGGAGGCACGCATTTCTCGCCTGCTCGTCGGTGTTTGTTGAACTCGCTTCCGTAGTCTGCTACGACGTACTGCAATTCACGACGACCAGATCGGGGTGTGCAGTGTACAGCACGCTCAATCGACTGTCGACCCTCTTCAGAGCAGTTGCCCACCGGCATAGCACTTGGTTCGTGGTCAAACCTGATCGCTTATCATGGACTCCGAGTCTTCGCCTTGAACTTTCTTCCGGAACAAGGCTGCTGAGCAATGTCGGTGCATCTCGCGCTGATTGCCGTCAACCACCTTGGCCAGGTTTTCCGCGCTGTTCAACTTTCCGACTCGGCTTTCCCGCTCCCGCGCTTGTCCTCGACTCCGACTCGCACTGGACCCATCGGTGCCGCTGCCTGTACGAGATGTACCCCATCGCTGCCGTTTCGCCATGACCCGTGATAGCCATATAGAACTGTCCTTGAGCCGGCTCGAGAACAAAGACTGCAAGCCGGGCAGGTGATTGCAGCTTTCCGCCAAAAGGTAAGGGAATTTGGCTATCGCAGCTCAAACCTGGAGACGCGTTTTGGCTCCCCCACACGTGATTCTGAAGGCCTTTTTTTAGAGCTCGATTTTCACTGCCGCTGTTTTTGAGGACATTTTCCACGCCGACCGATTTGCATCTTCTCCTTCAATTCGTTCAGCCACTCCAGCGAGCAAGTCGAGACGCACAGCACCGAGTTGCTAGCACCGACGAGGCCTAGTTCTATTACAGATGCGATTGGGAGCAGCCATCTGAATCGGACCCACTGTCGACACTGGGCTTGCTTGTCGTGAGCAGTCGGACAGCCTTGGCAAGCTTTGAAGATGACAACCTGACGTAGGGCAGCTCACTTCCGTCTTAGTCGAGCTTCCTGTCGTGTTACTCTCGGCACGGTCCTCCAGCTTTGAGAGCGAGTGCGGGGCTCCACTGTGGAAAGCCGAGTGATCATCATAGAGGCTGTCGTGACGATCCTGCTGGCTCGTGTTCACGGCTCGGTGGCGTAAACGTGACGCTGGGCGCATTTGTTGGGCTGAAGCGACGCGGGGTAAAGGTTGTGGTCGACTTCTAAGCGAAGTCGCCTCGGTGAGCCAGCGTGGGAAAAAGACGTTTCGCTAACCATCCTCTCGACCTCGCCTAGGGTTTCCCTGCCACACTTCAGCCACTTATGGAGCAAAGGCCGTGACATCCATCCGAAAGTCAGACTTGGCCGCACCGCCTCGTTGCATGAACGAGTCGATGACACTCCTTGCCGTCGCACTCTCAAGCGTCAGAATACGTCTCCGAGCTTGAGCTGACGCTGAAAGGTGGGTTGCAGAAACGTTGCGTCGGATGCAAAGTCACCGGTCATGCGAGCCTGGTACCATGACAACCTTCTCTTGGATGCTGCCAAGATGTCCTCGAGGAGGACGCCACATGTTGCGATGCGATCAAGATCGGTATCGAATCGGGACGAGAAGATAAGACCCGATTTTGACGTGTGACATTGTTTTTCACGCGACGTCGACAGGAGGGCCACGCGCTGCAGGCACAGACACGGTGGCCAGGCTTGGTCTCAGATATGCAGGCAGTATATGATAATATTATATCATGAGGATGATGTCCAGATGCGTCCGACGGTCTGCTTATCGTCGCACGAAAGCTGACGCAAGAGCGACCCAACCACCCGGGCAAAGATCGAGATTGAAAACAGACCGAGTCAACTACGACACGGGCGGTGACGACGTTGCGCGAGGCATGGTTGGATAGCCTTGGAGATTCTTTGCCCCTCTGATCCATGCATAGAACCGCACAACAATGCTCCGGCGCGATCGACGAAAGACAGGATAGGATTCCTCAGCTACCAGGCGCTGTTTTCACACGCTGCCACCGAAGAGCGCACCCTCCGACACCTTGCCGATATCTGTCGGATGAGCTGCGACTGCCAGGCTTCACTGTGAATTGGGCGACGGAAACGTCAACGAGCGGCTCCTGCCATGACCGTCGGGATCTGTGGCAACCTATCATTAGGCAATCACGAGGCATATCCTTCGTGATGAAGCGTCCACGAAGTGGCCGATCAAAGGGTGATGAAGGGGATGTGGATCTCGCGGTTGTGCTTCGTCGCAAAGATTTGCGTGTCTCGATGTTCATCCGGATCAAAAGCCAGGCTATATTTTTGTTTGCTGACGACATCCACGACAACGCTCAAGAATTCTCCGAGGGCGATCAAAGCCGATTCAAATGAGAGACAAGCAGACCAGCGCCGACCTGCATTCATATGTCGCTGACGGCTCTCATCAGGTTACAAGAGATGTTGGCTGGGTGGTTTTGAATAGCTGTATGATAGCTGTACGGTCCTGTATAACCTGCCGCGGCGTCGGCAGCTTGCACCGAACTACGGACCCTTTTCGGTCGCTTAATCCAAGGACTGGCGACCACAAACACAGAGCTGCTGTCACACCGCGTCCAAAATCCAATTTTCAGAGTCAGACTGACCCTGCACACTTGGAACTTGGGACGCGAAGCCAAAGGGATCAAAAGGGGTCAAGAAGAGACAGAGTGTGAAAGCCTGTCAGAGGATGGTGAAAGTTCAACTACTTCTGCTTTCACATTTCCGTTGGGACGACCTGAGAAGAAAAAAGAGGTGAAAAATAAAATAAATTCGAGACGCTCCTTGCGCCCCGCACAACCTTTGTCTGGCTGACGCAATGCTAGCCTCTTCTTCCGTTGCTTGGACCCTCTGCCATGAGCAGGGTTACTTTCTCGAATGTTTTGAGTCAGTCTGGTGGAGCTTATGGAGATCATTCAAGGGCCCGGACCAAACCAAGAATGCGTTCCCGAAGATCGTGACAAGTGTGCTGCTGACTAGTGCAATGGATTGGGTTGAACACCAAGGATGAGCAAGATGTCATGAAAACGCATTCGGGAAGCCTTCAACAATCGAATTTCAGGTCGTTCCGCGGCATGCTTGCTGACGGGAGGCTAAGCAAAGAATCAACTGACCGGCTCGTCGTCCGTCGGTCGACCAGGCCGAAAAATAAGATGCGACCAGAACACAGGCGAGGAAGAGAAGGGAGAAAGAGCAACGCACTTTGACGGTCTGCTAGAAGGGATGGCTCTGCAATCACGTCAAAGTTCACACGCCAGTTCTACCTCGTCTACCGACTCTCCAACACTCGCCGGTGCAGCGTCTGCGTCCCTCCGTATCGGTTCTTCCGCCGTCTCTCTCACGCGCGTGCAACTTACACTCACCTACATTTTTTTTCCGTGCCGTGGTGTACTCGGATTTATGTGCCTAGCTCGCTTGCTTGCCAGAGCGCCATTCGCTAAGCATACGCACTTTGGGGGCATTCCCTTTCAACATTTTGTCCTGGCTTGTTGAAAAGCTTTGGTACTGCCGTCTGACAGCGGAGAGCGCAATTCTGCGACTTCAGCTTTGCGGTGCGCATACTGCGTTGCGGGAAGAGGCTGCGCAAGGTTTGCTCACTCACCAATGTGACACTCCAGAGCGCAGCACAGCCAAACTCAAGCTGCCACCATTCCGGGCAACGCTGTGGCTTACGATCAGCTACGCCGTCATCATCATCACCGCCTCACCACCACCACCATCACCACTGCACCATTCTCATTGTCACCACCACCGGCAGCATCGTCACCACTGTCGTCGTTCCGTTTCGGACTACCGTCTCACCAACTACACTCACGGTGTCGCAGTCGATTCAGTTTCACTGGAGACCCTCAGCACCTTGTCAAAGTTCAATCCGGCCACACGTTGGGAATCATTGCGGCTCGAGCTGCGACCTCATTGCTCATCCATCTTATCGGCACATCGGAGGTACTGCATCCTCGCTTGGACACAACGACGCACTTCTGGTGCCAAGCCCACCATTCATCGTCCCCGACAAGCTCTTTCGCTTGAGCTTCCACCGACAAGAGCCAAGCGCTTTGACGACTTTGTTCTCCGACGACAGTACCAGACTGTTGCTCGCAACATCTGCTCGGAGGATTGCTAACGTGTCCATTCTGAAGTCGACCTTAGCTGGAAAAAACTTGCAACCCTAGTGATAGCTCGTACCACGTTGCGTGGATGTCGTAAGCCCACTTCCTCACCGCCAACAAGGTCACGCCCTCTCCTCGCACTTGCTCTTGGCAACAGCAACCTGCGATTGACGGTCTGCACTTCTCTCTGCGGCGAGCGAGTGATAGCTGAAACGCTTACATAGCCACAACGCAGCATTTGTCAACAACATCATGGCATCCACATCAGACACCAGTCTCTCCCACGAGGAGCGCTGGAACGCCCATCGCGCTGACCGCGACACCGATTCAGCACAGCCCTTTAGCGCTGCATCCACACCTGCTCCCACAACGCCCGCCACACCACCAGCAGACGATCTCGCTTCCTCGCAAGAGCTCGCGCGTCCACCGCCCACATCGGTGACGCCTTCCAATGGCCTTGGCGTCGATGCAGAAGACGAAGATGTTCGCATCGCCATCATGGCTCTGGGCGCCATGAAGAGTCTCGACGGCACGAGCCACGGCCTCGGTGGTCCTACCCCCAGTAGCAGCTCAATCTCCCTGGACACACAAAAGGATACCAGTAAGTATTGAGCTCCAAAGTCTTTGTCCTCGACTGTCCTTTCGTAGTTGCCTCTTGGTCAGCTACTGACATCGTCATCCTACCTTATCAAATTCCCGTCCAAACAGCATCAGTACGCACATCTTCAGCGATATCCAACTCCAGCGTCGCTTCTACCGCCATCTCCTCGCCCAGCTCCACACCAGCCACCGACTTCACGCAGGATTCGGGCGTCGAGTCGCCTGCAGGGCGCATGTCCGGGCCCGCACGACTGGGTGACCTTCCACCAGATCTCAAGCTTCCCGCCGTCATTCAGGACGAGAACGGCAATGAGCTCGAAGTCGATCCAGAGATGATGAACGACGCTGACTTTTTGAAGCGTGTCAGCCACCTTCCCTTGGTACGCGGCACTCTCCGCGCCTACGAGCTCGGCAAACAGCGTAGCAAGGTCGTCAAGTACGGCGCTGGTCTCGTCGAGAGCTCGGTCAAGACCATCTCACGCCCAGTAGTCAGCCGTCTCGGCGCCAGCTTGGGCGAGCGCGGAGTTGAGCAGCTCGACGATTTCGCCTGCCGACAGCTCGACCGCATCTACCCATCCGCTGTCTCTTCTCCCAGCAAGGAAGAGAAGCGCGGCATCCTCGAAGAAGTCGACCGCAAGGATCAGGAGGAGTGGCAAAACATGAGCCCAGAGGAGCGCGAGAAGCGCAGGACAGCCTACACGGCCCTCCAGCTCGAAGAGCGCGAACGCAAGCTCATGGCCAACGAGCTTCGACAACGTCGCGGAAAGGGCACCGACCTCGAGATCGAGACTTCGGCCGTTCCACATAGTTCTTCCCTCGCATCCAGCAGCGCCAGCAACACGCTTGTCTCGAACACGAGAGCGCAGAACGACAGCAACATGGACGACGTCGATGACGAAAACAAGGCAAAAGCCAGTTCCAATGGCGCACTTGTGCGCGCCAACGCGGCACAGTCGCTCCCATTCAAGAACAGCCGGTGGGGCTCCATGTTGGTGGAAGCCGGCGCCACCGCAGGTGGTCTCTCGGCCGCCATGAGCGAGGAGTCGATGAAGTCGCTCAAGTACTGCCTTCAATGGCTGCAGTACGCTACGGCGCACATTGAGCATCAGATCACCATCCTGCGCGACCTCATCGTCAAGCTCAACCACGGCGAGCTCGACATGTCTGCCACTGCCGTTCAGAACCTCGCGCTCATCAAGGGCGACGTCGTCAACACCATCCGCGGCGTCGTCGACGTGATCGGAAAATACGCAGGAAGCGCACTCCCCGAGCCAGCGCGAAACAGCGTCAAAGCTTTCATTCTCAGTCTACCGGCGCGGTGGGCCACTGTCAACCGCAGCTCAGCAGCGAGCTCGCCTTCAGGATACTTTGGCAGCAGCCCATTGTCGCCCTCTTTTTCGCCCGCACACATCAGCGAGGGACCGCAGTCACCAAGCCACCTCACCGCCAATGCGAGGTACCGCAACGGTGCTGGCACTCCTCGCGACCAGATGCAAGCTGCAGCTACGGCACAGGCAGCCAACCGCATCTTGACGCTCGCCATCGAGTCTCTCGATATCCTGCGCAGCGTCACCATCGTGTTTGGCGAGTCACTCGATCGTGCCGATCTGTGGGTCGAGCGTCTTCGCATTCTGGGTTTGCAGCGAAAACGCGCGCACGAAGCCAATGCGACAGAACAGCACATGATCGCTGCAGGTCCCTCGTCCTCTTCATCAGCACTGAGCGCTCCTCACTGGGAGAGTGCGCGAGGCTCTTCGATGCGTGGACGCGCCTCATCTCCTGGGGGCGATAGCGATGTCAGCATGGGCACGAGTGCATCCACCAAGCGTCGACGAACGCGACAAGCGCCGTCTGGAGGGTTTCACATGTCGCGCACGCCCTCGGCCTCTCAGGGTGAATTGTCAGAGGACGAAGAATCGCTCACCGAGACGGAAAAGACCAAATCACCGCCAATTGCAAGCACCGTTGCCTTTTCGACCGGTACTGCTACGGGCAACGGTATGCATTCGCATCATCATCACCACCCACACCACCCACACAGTGGCCGGCGCCCAGGTACACGTTCGCGCGCCGGTACAGGGACGGGCAAGCCGTATCCCATGCATCCACCTACACTCCCGTCGCCTCTGCACGCCACGTTCGCCTCGTCCTCTTCATCGGCATCGCCACCGATGGCGGCGGACAAGGAAACCACTGCTTGAAATGCAAAGTGTTTCCGATCCAACTTGTCGTCACTCGTTTTACCTCGATTCAGTTCGATTGACCTGTATTTGTACTTCCCTTTTGCCAATACATTCTTGTTGGCGTAAACTGCAATTGTGTTGCGTTGAATGATGTGGCGAAGCGTGTTTGTGAGTTCTATTGAAAGGGGTGAGATTGAGACTCTTGTGTGATGCGGAGGTCCAGACTGAGCTGCAACCATGCTGAGTGGGGAAATCGACAAACACACGACACACGAGACACACATACACACACAATGCATCCACGTTTTTCTTCTTCACATCTCGGTTTTCCCCGCATCCGCATCATGCCAGATAATTGTACATACCCCTCTCGCCCTCGCTCCTCTCGAGATACTCTCTCTCGATCAAACTCTCTATCCTCTTCTTGATCATGCCCACGCCCGGCTGAAACCTGTTGGTCAACTGACTGATGGTTTCCGCCACCAACTCGTTGTGACTCAACTGCTTGCGGTTCTTCATGATCCTCACGATGCACGCTTCCACCAAAAACGTCCGCTCCTCCTCCACCTTTTCATTTGTCGCCTTCCTCTCCTTGGCCGTCTCAACCCTAGCTGCAATCTGCTGGATCTTGAACCGAGCCAAGGGACACGTAAAGCCCGAGTTGAAGGTGAAGGTGTCGTCCTTGCCAATTTCTTGTCCCTTCGGATTCTTGGTGAGGATGCGGAATTTCGCACATGCCAACGACTGCAAGGTTCGCTGCAGGTCCAAGTCGGGGATGTTGGTCGACCTTGCAATGTCTGCGTACGAAAGCGTCTGCTCTCCATCGTCTGCGTTGTCGAACATGAGCAAGACGACGAGCGCAAACGTCGATAGGTTGATCTCGTGCGTTCGAGACTTGAACGCGACCTTGACGTCGGCGTTTCCCAGATTGGCATGCCACGTCAGTACTCGACCGTTGTGTTTGCTCTGGTAAAACTCTTCGAACCTTCGTCTGGCTTCCATCAAGGTGTCCGGCATGGTGCAGCTCGGCGCTTGTGCCGAAATAGGCCAGTTGGTGCTGGTGAGCACGTTGACGGATAACGCAAACGGCATAGAACGGTGCGAGTTCTTGATGGTCCGGTTAAAGTCGTCCATGGTCTCCTCGCTGGTCTTCATATCGTTGAGCATGCCTTGCAGCTTGGCGACGTAGCCGTGTCCGCTCTCGACCTTGAGCTTGGCCATCATGCCGCGCTCGGCATCGTCCGAAACGCTTCGGCCTTGGAGCAGACGTTTGGCGAGATGCTGCTTGTAGTAGCGCTCAAAGGTGTCCTTCTCGTGGAGGAAGCGGAAGACCGAGATGGTCTTGCGCAAGATATCCTCGACCTCGGCCTCCGTTTTCCCTTTGAGACCCTTTTTGAGGTTCTCGTCGATGAACAAGGAGATGAATTCGGGTGCGCGCTTGTTGGTGTTGATGAAAGACTCGAAGGCTTCGTTGATGGCGGTCTCGCACCCGGTATCATTGACAAAGGCGATTTCGAGGATAGAGTCGAACTTGTTCTTGAACTCGAGCACATCTTCGACCCATCGGATGGCAGTGGCAGCCTGGGGTGTGGACGCGTCAGTTTCGGCACCGGCCCTGGCTTTGGCTTTGGCTGCAGCTGCCGATGCGTCATCCTGACCATCGGGGCGGTCAGTAGATGGCGCTTGCTGGTTGGTTTGACTGGTGACGGCATCGTTGATGAGTTTGCCCTTGGCGGCGATGTAGCTCTTGAGTCCGAGACGCAGGGTCTGAGGAGCGCCAGAGACCTTATTGAAGAGTGTATACAGTCGACCGAGATCGTCCTTGCGATCCTCGTCGAGCATGGCGACCAGGCCGGAGCCGGGCATGTTGATGATGGTAGACTGATGCTTTGCAAGGAAGTTCTTTTCGAGGAGATGCTGGAGCGGCTTGTGAGTCTCCGGCTTGAGATAGACCGAAACACGATCTGCTTCTTCCTGCAATCTTCTCGCTACGTGGGCCAGGTACTTGGCAGCGTCTCCCGCGTCGAGCCAGCGTTCAGCTTCGGCCGAGTAGAAGGCGGCAGAAGTCTGGAGGAAGGCAGGTTCAAAGTCGGTCGAGTAGACCGAGGGATCCTGGTTGACGGGCGAGCCAGGCTTGTGCTGTGTGAGGTCGGAGAGCATGTCTACGTTGGACTTGACGAGGGAGCGGCTGATGGCGGACCCTTCGCGCTCGATCTGAATGTGAGTGAGGAGAGTGCTGTAGAGGTAGATCTGGATGGGATACGTTGATGATCGGATGACCGAATCGCGAAAGATCTCGAGACCGAGGCGGTTGATGGAGGGGACCTTGTGGTCCTCTACGTAGACGCGATCGACGTACTTGAGGACCTCGGAAAGCTTGGACATGCAGCTGCGATGGTCGAGCCATGTGTCTCGGATAGCAGTCATTAGACGTTCCCCTGCTTGAATGCGCGCGACAGCATCGGCGCGATCACCTGCTTGAGTGGCCGACATTGAGGCGGCTGCGGCGGCTGCCGAGGTGGAAGAGGCTTGGGTGTCGGCTTGGGCAAACGAGTCTAGGTCAGAATCGGTCGCCCTTGCTTTGCCCTTGCTGGGGCTACTGGTGGGTAGGTCAGCATTTGTGCGAGACGAGGACGAGGCTCGGGACTGGTGTAGAAGCGATTCGGGGAGGATGATGCCTGCCGAGACCGAGGCGGCGCCGCCCGGCGGGAAGGCGGGGATGATATTTTCTCGACAGAGTTTGTCGAGATGCTGCTGGACCTGCTTCTTGACGCCATGATAGAGCATGTCTCCCTGCTGATACAGGACGAGGTTGTAGGCATATCGGTAGTGCTCCTCGTAGCTGAGTTTGGAGATGTTGTGATTCTGGATCTGGGAGATGGCGTGTACGAGCCTGAGCCACATGTCTTGGATGGAGACATCCAGACCAATCTTTTTTGGTGGCTTGAGCTTTGTACCGCGAGTGCCACCAGGCCTTCGCATTGAGCCTGGTGCGTTCATGTTGCGAGCAGAGCTGTGTGAAGCGAGAGTAGTGTGGTGTGCAGGTAGAAGAGCTCGTGATGGTCAGATGAAATGTTTGCTGCTGAGGGGTGATGAATGTGATAAGCCCAGGAAGGGGAGAATGCGGAAGGAAGCGAACGATGCTGAGTCGAGAATGGGAGAGAAGAGAATGAGGAGGAGAAGAGACAAGCAGGACGACTTGCTGCATGCCAACCACACTGCGACCTCGCCTAACGACACCGACGACGCTGCTCCACTCGAAATAGTCACAGCAGCACACGGCGTAATTGCATTTCCAGGGGCGTGCTGCCGTGCGAGATGGGTGTTGCATACGAGAGCGAGAAAGAGAGCAACAGTCCAAATGTCATCATTTTTGGTGTGTTTGTTACATTTTGAGACGCGTCGAGAGCAAAAGCGCTTCAGCTTGGATTCGAATCGAGGATCCGAAACTCGAACAGCAATAATCAAGAAAGCCGGCTTGTTGTGTGGCATCTCAGCTGTGTGCGCGCTTTGTCCGGATGTCGGTGGTGCCTCGTTGCCTGCTGCTTCTGTCTGGCTGATCCGGTAGATTTGGATTTTGGAATGGAATCCGCCGTTGCGCCGCTGTCTTTTGCTCGTTTGGAATGGGCAAATGCATCGTCGTTGGTCCGCTCGCATCAAACTCGAGCACGGTAGCTGAACGCTCTCCGCTCTCGAACCTGAACAGTGACTTGCTCTCATCCATCATCATCGTTCACACGCTCCGCTGCGCATCCATCGACATCGTCGCATCTCCTCACAAACGTACTCAGCGTTCGAGAGCGCGTCCTGACACTCGTCGCTCCTCCACTACACGCTCAAACAGCTCACGGCTACGCGCACGACACCATTGTTCTGTCCGTGGTTCCACACCTGCTAGCGAGCAACGCTTCGTCCCATCATGGCGTCCTCGCTAGACCGCCAGCAGATGGCCCCGCAAATGCCTGGTGGCCCCAAGAGACATGCCAATCATCCGGATCCGTACGATCATCCACCCATGCCACACCATCTCCAACAAGATCCCTACCAGAACGGTCCAGGTACGTCACTTAGTCACCCATACATTTCTATCGCGTCATCCGTCCTTCCAATACCCGTGTTGACAACTCATCTCTTCTCCTTCATTCTTTGCTTTCCACACTGCCTCCCCACCTCTGCATCTCTTGAACTGACAGGCTATCCACCAGGCCCGTCTTATCCTCCCCGCGGCGATCCTGGTCGTCCACCAGTAGGTATGCACCACCATCGCCCACCTTCGCCGCCTCCCATGTCCCATCGTGATCCTCGTGCTGGTATGGGCCCACCAGGTCCCAACGGTCCTCCTCCGCCCGGCATGATGCCCATGCCACCTAACGACCGCTACGCTATGCCGCCCTACCGTCCCAGCCCCGGTCCGCATCCACCATCTCCCTCTTGGCAGAACCAGCAGCTCTACCAGGGCCCTCCACCACCAGCTGCATCCTCGCTTCCTCCTCACCTTCACCAGCCCAACTTCAACAACGTCCCTCCTCAGCATCGAGGCTCACCACACATGGCTCCTCACATGCCCCTGCCGCCGCCTCACCATGCAGCCGCACCGCCTCTGCCTTCTCACGCTGGCGCGCCCGCCAGCGCCATCTCCGAAGCGCACGCAAAGCATCTCGCATCGCCCGCAACCGCGAGCCGCAAATCGCCCAAGCCTTCGGGCAAGACCAGCCGCAAGGACAAAAAGGAAAAGGACGCCGCTTCAGCTTCCACCGCCATGGCCAAGAACGCAAGCACAGACACATCCAGCTCCAAGCGCGGTGCAGTCAAGGCCGAAAAGGCCGCCGCCGCCGCCGCCGCCGCTGCTGCCGCAGCAGCCAACGCCAACAACGCAGCGCCCGCCGCTGCTCAAGCTGCCCTCGACGCTGGAGGCGCACCCGCCGCGACCGAGAGCAAGAAGGACAAGAAGCGCAAAGAGGTCATCGATCGCATCCACCGCATTCACTTTGAAACCATCGAGAACCGCGACAGCCTGTATCAGGAGCTCTACCACGCTCTCACCTCGTCGTACGCCACGCTGCTCTCCAACCCAGCCAGGTCAAGACACTACACGCTCGAGCTCACTCGCCTCACGCTGCAACGTGATGCTGCTCTGCGTGAGACGGCCCTGCTTCACGCACACCAGCTCGAATCGGCGCGACTCGCGTACGAGAACGAAAAGCACAAGGTGGACGAAGAGGCGCGTCTCGCCAAGCGCGGCGCGCGCGAGAAGCTGCTCGCTGTGGTCGAGGCCACCAAGAAGCGTTTGCAAGAGGAGAAGGAAGGTGGCGACGTTGCCGTCGATGCTTTCTTCGACAGCGCTCAACGACCGCACACTACGCGCAAGCTGCGTAACAAGGCGACCGGCAAGCGTGGAGCTGGTGCGGTGGCCGGCAACGATGAGGACAGCGATGCTACTGGTGCGGGCGCGCGCGGCGGTGCCAACGGACACACCGGCGTGTCGGGACTCGGTATCGCCAGTGGACTGCAAGAGCTCATCGCGCTCTCGGGCTTTGGACGCGACGAGGTTGGTGGTGGTGGTGCAGGCCGTCTGGGTCTCACTTCGGCGCTCGACCTTGGCGGACTCGGCTTGACGTTTGGCGGTGGAGGAGATCTGCTCTCTGGCGCAGGCATGGGCGACAGCAGCTACATGGGTGGTGGTCTCGGCGGTGTACGCAATCTGAGCGTGGTAGGAGGAGCCAACGGTACCGTCGGAGGTGTCAAGGGCAGCAGCAAGAAGAAGGGTGCGTCAAAAGCGGCTGCTGCAGCCGCTGCCGCTGCGAGCGCTGCTGCGGCTCGCGAAGCCTCGGCGACGGGCGGTGACGACGACGATTCCAACAGCAGAGTAGCCGCCGCCGCCGCCGCCGCAGCGGCAGCAGCAGCAGCTGCAGCGGCCGCAGCAGCCGTGGTGACCACGTCGGGAGGCAGGCTAAGATGGGATGCGGGCAAGTCGCTCAACCAGCTTACGTCGGCCAAGGACTTTGAGATCGAATCGGATCTGATCAACATTCGCAAGACCAACGGCAAGCGTGCGCGACGCAAGTGAAGCCTGGATCCTCTCTCGAAAGCACCCATATCCTCTCTCTTCCCCTCTCTTCTCTTTGATATCAGGGTTTTGTGTGTTTGTAGTCTTCTTGACAGTAATTGTACGTTTTCTGTACACTTGACGAGACAGAGTGTGAGCAAGATCGGGTGATTGCTGGTGGATCGACATGCCAGATCTCGACATGTGAGTAGAGCATTTCTGCAGAACGGCGAAAGCAGCGAAGAGAGACAGAGAGATATTGCGTCGGAAACTGACCGATACGCATCTGCAGAAGCGCGTTGTATCAGAGAGATAGAATTGCGGCCTTTTCGGGGCTTTGATCCGAACGCGCCTCAAGGGTCTCTTTTTGTTTTCCGCTCTTTCTCGCTAACCCATGCACCACGCTGACCAACATTCTGCGCCGCGGACCTGAGCGGCATCTGCTCGGGACCCAGCCAGCGGAATAGCTAGCCTCGACAGCGATGCTCTTGTCCATAGCCACGTTCGCCATGTTCAACGACTGTTTGAGTGATAGTAGAGAAGCCCTGGATTGGCAATCGAAGTCGCAGGAGTTGGCGGATCTGAAGCCTGGAACGAGGGGAAAGAGCCGAGGGCACTCCGGGATTGACACCGAAGAAGCAAAGAAGCAGCGGCAGCGTGGGGCAGCACAAGGACGCGCTTATCATGCATGCACCGGGAAATTGGGTCGAATCGGCCCACGTCGATCCGCGTCTGACTCGAGCTGATCATATGGTCTGTCCGCATGCCTTCCTCACAGCAATCTGAAGCGAGTGCCTGCGCCTTGGCTACAAACCCCCACTGCGTGCCGAAAGCACACCGCTCAACCCAAATCCGATGCCCGCGTACGTCTGCGAAATGCAACCATGTTGAGCGGTCGTATCAGGCATTTCATGCAAAGCCAACTTTGTCCCCTTGCCCCCAACATGCTTGCACCATCGGTTGTTGCAGTGAACAAGCAAAATATTGCTGTTTGCGCTGGCGAGTTACACTTAGTCTTGTGTGACGGAGGTCGTCTTTCGAGAGAAACAAAACTGTGATACTTGCGTGCTGTTCGTGGTCAGTGGATCTGCAGGCTGTTCTTTTGTGTGCAGTCGAAGAAACTTGCATTGCCGCGGCGAATCCGTTGGGCGGGCGGGCGTGCCTGATGATAGCGCTGTAAATCATTTGGCCGGTCTTTTCTCCACTTTACGCCGCCGCCGTCGTTTTGCGTGCCGTAAAGTGAGCGGAATTTGCTTGCGTTGACCGGCTGCAGTGCCGAAATGCGTGCAGTTCGCAAACTTTCCTCGAGAAAATCAAACGCGAAAGGCGCTGCTGTCAAACTGCGAATTGATTGTGACATAACCACCCTGGCTCGCTACGGCGCCGCCGAAGCCGCTGCACGATGGTGTACCGCAGTATGACTGTGTATATCGGCAATCCTCCGCTAATGCCGATGTCGCTTTGGCTGTCAGAGTCATGATGGTGCTGAGTCGTTGCATTCCTTCTCGACCATCACCATATACATAGACGAAGTCGACCGCACCGCGCCGCACCGCACCTCGCCATCGCCACCGCAAACACAACTCGACTGGAATGAGTAGCCATTCTCAATAACTCGCCTTTAGTCCCTCCTGTCATCCTCAACTATCTCTTCTAATCCGACAGGACAGTGCCGAACAACACACTTCGACACCATGGCACGCTCGTTGAACGACCCATCGACGCCTGCGTCGGCTCCACAGTCTGTACAGCTCACCACACATCATACGCCTGCAGCATCAACATCAGCGTCATCGTCACCTTCAACGTTGTTGCCAGCAGCATCTCCAATACACTCATCACATTCACTCTCCATGCCTCCAGATCTAGAAACTCAGCCTCATAGTGCTCATCGAGTACATGGCACTGACCAAGACATGAAGCTCGACCAGACCGGTTCCAACGACACTCCACACAGCCTGCATCGTCCTTCTCACGACATTCCCCACTCCCATCACCATCACGACGACGATCATCATGACGACGCGACCACCGTGGCACCTACACCGGAAAGTGCCACAGAGCACAAGGTCACTTTGCAAGACCAGACCAACTTCCTACCCAAGAAGCAAGTCATCCTCGTCTTTGCTGGTCTGTCCGCTGGCCTGTTTGTTGCCCTCCTGGACCAGTCCATCATCAGCACTGCTCTCGGCACCATCACCGCTTCGTTCCACGCCGGCAACGAGTCGTCCTGGCTTTCCACCTCGTACCTCTTGACCTCCACTGCCGCCAGCCCGCTATACGGCAGATTCAGCGACATCTTTGGGCGCAAGACGTGCATGATCGTTGCCCTCACCGGATTCTTGATCGGCAGTGCGCTCTGTGCTGCCGCTCAATCCATCACACAGCTCATCGTGTTTCGTGCCATCGCCGGTTGTTTCGGCGGTGGCATCGTTTCGCTTGTCATGGTCATCGTCGGCGACGTCGTCTCGCTACGTGAACGTGGAACCTATCAGGGAGTCTTGGGAGTCGTCGTTGCTGTCTCCAACGCGGGCGGTCCATTGATAGGTGGTGCGCTCGCCTCCGTCGGCTGGCGATGGTGCTTTATCCTGGCGGTTCCCATCGTCATCGTCGCACTCGTCATGGTTGTCATCCTCTTGCCGCTCAAGAGGGTCGAAGGCAGTGTCAAGAGCAAGCTCGCCAAGATCGATTACCTCGGAACTGCTCTTGTTCTTTCGGGAAGCGTGCTTTTGCTGCTCGGCCTCAACTGGGGTGGTCAGCAGTACTCGTGGACCAGCCCACACGTGCTCGTCACCATGATCCTCGGAGTCGTCATTTTCATCGCATTTGCCATCGTCGAGGCTCGTGTCGCAGCATTGCCGCTGGTGCCCATGCGACTATTCAAAGTGGGCACTGTTTGCAGTGTCCTCGTCCAGACGGTCTGCTCCGGAGGCATCTTCTACCTTTTGCTCTTCTTTGTGCCGCAGTTCACCCAGGTGGTCAAAGGATATTCGGGTGTCAAGGCCGGTGTTACGCTGATCCCGCTCATGGCGCTCCAGGCGACCACTTCGACCGTCGCAGGTGTCCTCACATCGAGGACGGGCAAGTACAAGGTCCTCATTGTCGTCGGATTCGGCATCTTTTCCATCGGCGTCGGGCTTCTCAGCTTGCTCAACGAGCGCTCTAGTATCGGTGAGGTGATCGGCTTCCTCCTACTAGCGGGCTTTGGTGCCGGTGGCACACTGCAAACCACGCTCGTGGCAGCGCAGAACGCTGTGGGTCGCGAGGATATGGCGGTGGTCACTTCGACACGCAACTTTATGCGTCTGTTTGGAGGCACGCTCGGTCTCGCCATCAGTTACGCCATCCTCAACAATACGGTTCGAAGCCAGGTCAAGACTCTACCTTCGGACGTGATCGCTCAGGTGGTGCGCAATCCCAAGATGATCACTTCGGGCGAATTCGATGCGGCCACTTCCGAGTTGCTGCTGCGAGCTTACGTCCAAGCGTTCCGCAACGTGTTCAGGTTCGGACTGGGTATGGTGCTGCTTGCGTTCGTGGTGACCTTGCTGTTCACCAAAGAATTCAGTTTGGACAGGAAGGACGACGAGAAGCGCAGGGAAGAGGGCAAACAGTGGTACGCAGAGAAGAAGGAGAGGAGACACGCAAAGAGGCACCCGGACGATCACAGCGTACAGCCCAGTCGGAGGAATAGCCATCATGAAGGCGAGCACGTTGGCGCAGAGCAGCGGCAGGTTGAGGGAGATCTGGAGAAGGGACTGCCTCTTCCTGCCACTGCCTCGAGATGAGAGCATCTCAGAAGTCATATTTTGTATCATAGATGCCTACGCATTTGCAAGTCGAAGTCAAAGACATTTTCAAGCATCGTTCTGAGGGCCGTTCGTCTGAAGCTTCAGCCAGAGCAAGCGTGGTGTTGTAGCACACGAGCGGTGTTTGACAGGCGGTGCCTCAGACCAAAATTAAGATGAGGGTGGGCGCAAAGGTCAGAAAAAGTATGCAGAGGTGCAGTTTGGCGGTTCACGGGCGTGAGCTGTAGCCGGCGGCGTGGTGGGCTGGTATGCGGAGCGAGAAGCGAGTATGAAATTTTAATTTTGGTTATCTTTAGAGGGATGGCGAACGCTCACATGGGTTGCGCACGGGGTACATACAGAAACTACCATCATATTCGTCCTTCCGTTTCATTCACCACGTATACGTTGAGGAGATCGACGAACTCAGACCTTGTGGAGGTTTGAACGGCAGACACTTTGAAACACAGTGTACGAAGGCACGCTTTTCTCTCACACTTCGAGTCGATCACAAAACGCAATCGTACTGTACACCACGGGCCATCAAACCTCGGTTGATTCCAAAAACCACACGACGGAACACTTGACACACATCAAAACGAAATACCTTCGGAGAGAACGGTAAAAAACAGGATGATCACAGATCTGATCTTGCTCATCGTGCTATTCGCACTGCTATTCGGGATCATCAAAGCAGTATCCCTCGCCTCCCCACCATCGCAAACGGCCAAACCTTCTTCTGGTTCGAGCTCGATCGGTGCAAGCGGTACGACGTTCGACTGGCAGAGTGGAGAAGTGAAACTCAAAACAAACCTCCGCCCCGTGACCCAACAGGAGCTGCTGGAACGTGCAGAACAAACAGGTGGTGAGGGCGGGAGGTTCATGACCGATCACAAGAAGAGCTTTCACTTTGGTGGGAAGGACGAGTGAACCTTTCAGCACAAGAGGGTGATGGAGGTGGGGTGTGAGATACGGCAAACCCCCGGGGAGGTGCGGGAAGGTGTCATACCCCGCTACAGCCAAGAGAGAGATGGTGCGGAATCATCAGGTTCCTCTCCGGTGAAAGTAGAACGATGTATCGGCTGCTGAACTGCTCCAAAGACCGCGACTCGGTCGGGACGAGCTCAGCTGGGATCATGCGTCAACCGCACACAAGTCTTCCTACTCACACCAGCTCATATCGTCGACACAACGAAACTGTAACATGTTCACCACGCTTCTCGAGAATTGCATCCTCGTTGTACATTTGACCTTTCCCACTACCGAGCTCGAAAAAGCCCTTTCAATCGGGGTTCCGCTCCACCCCACTCCGCTACCGCTCACCTCGCGCTACCCGAGCGACTCGAGGAGACGCTGCTCGACCTCCTCCCGCTTCTCGCCCTCAGCGTCGCCGGGTCGACGCTCGGACTTCGACTCGGCGGCAGAGACGCCACGTCGTCGAGGGACATGTTCCGTGCAGCATGGAGGTTGGCACGTGCTTTGCTTCCGCGACCTGTGGCGGATGTGGTGCGACCTCGCGGTGCTGGTTTGGCTCTGCCTCTGCCTCGACCGCGGGTCGTGCGCGGGGTTTTGGTGGGAGCCACGGCAAGCGGCTCGTCGCTCGAGGAGGATGCCGATGAAGAGAGGTCGTCTTCGGGGTTTGCGGGGCGGTTGGGCTTCTTTTTGCGTTTCGAGGCGGATGTGGGTTTGGTGGGGGCTGTACCTTCCAATGCTTCGATGGCGGCGTCGAGTTCAGCCCGTCTAGCTTCTCGAGCGTCTGATCCGCCATTGGAGGTCGTCGCTTCATCATCCCGACGCACGATAGGCCTTCTTTTCGCCATCTCCTTACCCAACATCTCCTCCGACACCATCGGCGTCTGCATCCTAGCACCCACCACCTGCACCTCGTCATCGCTCTCACTGTCGCTACTGCTGCTGTTGCTGCTCCTCCTCCTCCTCTGAGCACCAGCCGCCTTCTTCCTCCCATTCGCAGCTCGGAACCCATTGATCACCTCCTGCAAGCGATTGCTTCCGTACTGAATCTTCTTCCTCCCCGCATACACCCCCGTCCCCGCACTCGTATCGAAGAAGCCGTTGCGATCCAACGTACTCTGATTGCCCCTCGCCCTCAACCTCGCATTCTGGCGTTCGATGATCGGCAGCAGATACTGATCTGTCTTGCTCACCGGCCAGTGTAGGTACTCGCCCAAGAACGTGCGCAAGCTGTCCAGATCCGGCAGACCCCACGCGAACGCCTCCTCGCTCTCGTCCACCGTCGGCTCGTAGTACGCCTTGAGCACCTGCGGGTCCGGCCAACTCGTTTCCAGGTGAACCTTGTTGCTTAGGTTCTTCTTGATCCTCCGCATGGTCTTGCCGCGCGTATCCTCGATCGTGTCCTGTCCCATTTGAACCTTGCTCCACCAGTCTCGAAACTTCAACAAGCCATCTTCGCCCGGGAACAACGCCAACAGCTCCATTGCCACTACAGGGCCCACTCCTACCAACCCCTCCGTATAGTCGCTCCCCAAGTAGTACGCCAACCGCACCAACTTTTCGCGATCCAGCCCCAACTCCCTCTGCATATCCGACAGCAAAAAACACTCGACGACCTTGTTGTTGTTGAACATGTTCTTGTAGATCCTCGTCCCGCCGAAGAGGAAAACATCGCTGTCATCCGTAATGATCCCATCGACCAGCCGTCTCGAGACCAACTCGGCACACTGGGCTTCCGCCTCCATCGGTGCGGTAATGTACGGCAGCCCAAACAGCCTCAACATCATCTGGATCTCCTGCGCCATCTGCCGCGTGATATCCTCCTCCGACCGCCGACTGTTGGCGAACTCGGCGCGAAGAGCGTTGACCTCGCTCTCGACCTCCCGCTGCACATCCAACAGGCTGCGACCTTTGGTGGCGGAGAGGAAGGCGACGAACTCGTTCTGGTCGGCGTTGAGACGAGCGATCTCGTGCTCGTCCTGTGCGTCGAGCAGGTCGAGCTCTTCCGCAGTGGGGAGGGGGAAGCCGTCGGCGCCGATGACAACGGGTTCGGGAGAAGGCGATGGTGTAGGAGACCATTCCAGGGGTGTGCGTCGTCGGTTCGGTGGGCTTGAGATGGCCTCTGCTGCGGGCGCAGGATCGATGGGCGGGGCTGATTCGGTAATGTGCTCTGCGGCGGCAGCGGGAATGTTGTCCATGGCGACGGCGTCAGGGTCAGCCCCGTTTTCTGTGATGCCAGGACCTTGCGCTCCATCCAAAACGTCTTCAGGAGCAGATAGGGAGACCGGTACGCCAGTTTCCTCAGGCTCTTGTGGATGTGCAACCTGGCCATCCACCGTTTCGACAGCCTCGGACGCATCGTTGCCGAATGCGCCTTCCCCTGCTGGCGGCGACTGCACCAAGGGAGGTGTAGCATCCCTCAACGTGATGGCCGGCGCTGTCCGAGTCTCGGACTCACCCACACTCTGCTTCAACGAACTTGGCTCAATCACCTCAAAGTCATCTTCGTCCTTCGCTCCGTCTTCGTCGAGACCAATGGCGATCTGGCGGTTGACCTCCTCTGGCGTTGGCGGCAGATCGTCCTGAGCGGGCGATGCAGCCACAGCACCACTAACAGGGGTAGCAGACTTGGGCTGTACCGCGGCGGTCTCGAGTCGTTGCTGCGACGCTGAACGAAGAGGAGGACCCATGCGGCCTGGGTTTGCCGCGGGAGCGCGGGGAGGTGTTTCTGTCGCTGCATCCTTGACGGTCGTTATCGACTCTTCCGCCTTGTTTGTCGAGACCTCGGGCGAAGGAACGGGCTCCGGCTGCTCATGCTCGTGTAGGTTGGTTGTCGATGTCGATCGACGAGCGGCTCGAAGACTACCGGCCAGGCTTTTGCGCGGTGGCGGTGGTGCTAGTGCAGCGTCACCGTTGGATCTCTTGCCGCGGCCAACAAGTGCTGCCAGCTCCTGCATGCGATCGGACTTGTCGGCTGGACTGTGGGCCTGACTGGTTGCGTCCGATGGCAGCACTGGTTCCACCAGTGGTTGGACCTCGCGTAAAGTAGACGGCGCCTCTGGCTGCACGTCCTCGAAGTCGTCCTCGTCCATTTCGAGGTCGTTTCCGTTCTCAGGCTCGGCGGCGGGACCGGCTACGTGTGATGTTGGGCTCCTCCCGTTGTCAATCGGTGACATAGTCGATTGCTGCCTCTGTGACATAGCATCGTGGAGCGAGATGGGCTCGCCGGTCCGATGAGCAAGCTTGAGACCGCGTGAAGGCGCAACCTGCTCCTCTGATCGACTGCCGGAAGCCTGCGACTCGGCAATAGCACGAGCCAGGTCCTCGGCTTCGTCCTCGTCGAGCTCGTCATCCTGCAATACCATCCGAGAATCTTGGTCTTGATCATCCGAGTCTGTATCGACGTCGATCCAGTCGGTCTGTTCAGGAGTCTGACTTGACTCAGTACCGTTGCGCTGACCACGGATAAAGAGCGGTCGCTCTCCGCGTTTACGTCGAGGTTGGCGAGCGCGTTGGAAGTCGTCGTCATCCGCATCTTGAATACCTGCCTCTCTGCGCTTCTGCTTTGCGTGATGCTTGGCTCTGGCTTGGAGAATCTCGAGCGCTTTCTCCTTGCGTTTGTAAGGATCTGCTTCTGACTGCAACCGATCGAGGTCGGGATCGGCGGTGCGGCTCGCCGAACGGGAAGGTGTCTGCTGGACTGGGATTTCGACGTCGTCCATCTCGATCTCGGAGTCCGAGTCGGAGTGCTGCGCCTCGTCGTCTGTGATGTTGATTTCCTCGGGCTCGTAGTCAACGTCGATGGCCTTGTCCTGAGTGGCACCTGCATCGCGAACGCCAAGCACAAAACCACCCTCGGCACCTGGATTGCGCACAAGCACGTACTCCTTGTTTCGCTCACCGGCGACACGGATGGGGACCTTGATGTTGGCATTGCCGATCTCATCGGTGACGGTGAGCACCTTTTGGGTGAGGTCGTTGCGCGTCTTGAGGCCGGCAATCTGAGCGCGCGAAAAGTCGATGGGAGTGGGAGCTGTGGCGAGCATGGACTGAAGACGCTTGTACGAGGTCATGCGCGATTGAGCACGCAGGTCACCTACCAGCTCGTACTGAAGCTCGGCGGGTAAGCTGCGGAAAAGGTCCGAGGTGGTGTCAAGATCTTCTGGAGCGATGGTGTTCATGACAGCGCGGAGCTCGTCTTCGGTGGCAAAGCGGTAGTCCTTGCGTCTTGCCTTCTTACCGTTGGCTGCTGTGAGTTTGTCGAGATCATCCTGCATTGCAGGCAGCGCATAGGGATCCTTGTGCCAGTCGACCTTACGGGCACCAGACTTTGTGGGCGAGCTGCTATTCTCTCGACTGGGACCAGCCGAGTTGGCGGGTTGTGCGGACTGCGAATCGCGGGAGGCGCGGGCTGCAGGAGTGCCGGACTGAAGGTCGTCAAAGTAGACGGTATTCTCGCCCAGACCAGCAGGACCTGTGGCGGTCGAGCCTTGCGCGACATCAGAGGAAGATGGTGTACCTTGAGCGTGTGCGACATGCTTGATGGCGGCTTGCCTCATCTGTGCTGCAAGAAGCTTTTCGGCGGTACGTGCGTGCGACTCTTTTGCGCCCTGTTTACGAGCCTTTCGACCGGAAAGCGTCTTGCGCTTCATGACGGGAGCACCGCCATCGAACACGAACACGGGACGAACACCGTGGAACAAGAGCTTGAGGATTCGCCATAGGAAACCGAGAATGTGGGCGTTGGACAGAGTGCGACCCTCCTTGTCACGCATGGCCATCTGGAAGTGGTAGAGCCATAGTGACGAATCGATGGCAAGACGCTTGCCTTCGAGCGTCTCGATGTTGATAGGACGAGCTACAGGCTGGAGTAGCTGCCACAAGCCTTGGACACCCATGTTGGCTGCGTCACGCGTGTATGCGAGGCAGCAGAAGCCGTCGAAGAGAGGGACCAACGTGTTGACGGCTATGACATTGGAGCGTGTATATGTGGTGTGGGCGTGCCAAGACGAACGATGTCAGCAGCGTCAAGGATTATATCGAATCGCGCTCTGGCTCGAAGAGAAGGCAGACGAAGGTGAGGAGGACAAGGTCAAGAAGCGACCAAGAGAACTCAGCTTCGAGCTTCTTTGGGCGCCGACTGAGCCAAAGTCGTGTGCATTGTGCGTTTGTGCGTCAGCGTGCGTGCATTTTTCAGGGTCCAATTCAAGAATCTTTTCTGGATTATTGCAACGCGGCTCCGACATGTTCATTTGCTCGCAACCAACACCATCCGCACCTTTGCTCAACCACCAAGACACCTTAGCGGGTACCATCGGCAAGATTGCGCATCAGCGTCGCATACCACCAACACGCTTGCGTTATTGATCAAACATGCTGGTGCCACCCCCCAACTACGGCATGGTCGAGGAGAACTTTTACCGCTCAGGCCAACCCGACCAACTCAACTTTCCCTTTCTCGAAAAGCTTGGTCTCAAGAGCGTCATCTGGCTTGCTCCAGAGCAGCCTGAACCTGGCTTCCTCGACTTTTGCGTCGACCAAAACATCGAATTGTATCACCTCGGAGTGCTCTATTCCACCAATGCATGGGACCCCATCACCGAGGAGGTCGTGTTGCAAGCCTTACACCTCCTCGTCCAGCCAGCCACATATCCCGTACTCGTCATGTGCAATCTAGGGCGTCATCGAACAGGCACAGTAGTCGGCTGCTTCCGCAAGCTGCAGCGCTGGAATCTCAGTGCCATTCTCGAAGAGTATCGAAGATTTGTCGGCGGGCAAAAGTACCGCATCCTCAACGAGCAGTTTATCGAGTTGTTCGACGAAGAGCTCGTCTTTGGCGCGAGCTATTGATACGGAACCCACAACCTGCACGCGTACCACTCCATCATTCGTCAGCACGCCTGCCCACGCCAACGTCAACAACCTCAGTAACGCGTGGCTGTGACTCGTGGGCATGGCGACCGCGGTGTCTCAAGAATGCTCTGCTAACTCGGTCAGATTTAGCAGGCCCTTTGATCATGTCGTCGAGCAGGACAGTCTCATCGTTAAATCAAATCCGATCGAGGTCTCGGTACAGTCGACAATAGCCATATCGTTGGCCTCTTTATCGAATGTCCGATGCTTGACAGCGTCTCACGCAGCTGTGAAAGCAACTCGGTCGAGATGCAGCAGAGCCCCTCAATCTCCGCAAATTATTGCCTGTCAGAGCGCAACAAATCGGATGATCCGGCAGAGACATCCGCAGTGGAACCACTCGAACCCGATCCACTTTTACGATTCCTTGCGAAGCCGGACCAACGTGCTCTTCAAAACTACGCTGCACGCCTCGAGGGTGTCGTGTGCAAGGGCAAGATCGAGCTGGTGCCCGACAGAAATGGAGACGAACGCCCTGGTGGTGATCAGAGCGGGCGGGCGAGCATCTCTATTTGGATCCATTCGTGCTGCGCTTCAGCTATACAACTCGGTATTTGCCGCCAATTTTCTCGGAGTGAAGATGGAAAACGTCGTTACTTTTCATAAAGACGTGCGCTATCTCTCCTCATGCTCCGAATCTGCTGCCGGCACTGCGGGTTCCGCGCTTTCGCCTGGATGCCGATCCGCCTCGGCTGCTCTTGGCTGACTCCTCCAGTCACCGCCGGATTTGCCACTTCTCCAGTCTCGTTTCGCCTCTCCCGTCGCGTCGGAATCACTTCGCCCGTCACTTGTTTCCGACAACGGCTCTCCCTGCTCAAGCGCCAGCCTCTCCTTCCAACCTAGTCTCTTGTTTACACCCTTTGCAGTGTCTCTGCCTTGCTGTTTGCGCCTTCTGAGCTCGACTGCCAGTTGATGGTTCAACTCCTTCCTGATGGGTCTGCTTGCGTATCTGAGATGCATAAAGTTGCAGAAGCCGCCTCTGTTGCACTCGTTGGTCTCGTTCTGTCGACAGCACGCCTCTTGGAAATCCGTCACTGGACTCAACTCGGCGAACAGGGGCTTGCCATCGTACCACCGGTCATTCAACGCATCCACTGCGCGTTGTGCGTCAGCCTCGTATTTGTATCGTGCATACACGTTGCCGATCAGGTGATCTCCCACGTTGTCGCACACGTGCATCTCGACGAGTTGGCCGTATTTTGCCAGTTCGGTGAACATGTCTTGGTAGAAGGCGTCGAACTGCGCTTGCAGCTCGGTATCTGTGATGGTGCAGTCCTGCTCATGATGTCGTGGGTTGCGATATACGTTGGAAAGAAGCAGCGTGCATGAGTATGGTGGGCGGATGTGTTTGCGCGAGCACCGATCGCCGTGTCGACAGGCGCCGATCTTGTAGTAGAAGGAGCAGTTGACCTTGTCCTGCTCGGTGCCGTAGATGGATGCCAAGTAAGATGCCATCTTGGTTAGAGGAAGCTTTTGGCGAGGTTATCGCGCTGTAAGCGATGATCCGCTTCAGATGCAGGCGAGTGCGGGAGCGATGATGGTTGTAGCTGAGCAAGATTACGACTCCAAGCCAAAGATGAGCCGAAGAAAGCGTTCACGTCGGGAAGTTCACGACATGAGAAAAGGGTCCAAACCGAAACCCGAGCGCAACAGCGAGGCGAGGCGAGGTTAGGCAAGGCTCAGTCGAACGATTTACGGCCGGTAAGAATTTTTTTTGGTTGCAACTCCACACACTCTCTACTCTCCTGAAATTTTGCGTGCCGGACCAAAAAAAAGAAAGGGTCTTGTCAAGCTTATGTGCATTCGCTTTGCTTCCATCATCTCTCTGGACACCATCTTCTCATACCGGTGCGACATGTCGGAGCCATCATCGTCCAAGGTCACGGCGGACTCGCTGCTGCCACCTTCGAAGCCGACATCGATACCCGCAGGCACGAGCAATGCCTCGGCCAACACTGCTGCATCCCTCGCCACAAAGCACGGCATCGAGCTGCCTTCACAAGAAGATGCAGAAAGGCTCGGCTTCAATGTCTTCTCGCACATCCTCGACGCCCGACTCTTGCGCGCTTTGGCAGATTTGGGCTATGGTATCCCAACGCCGATTCAGCAGAAAGCCATCCCGCTAGCACTCGCCGGCAAGGACATCCTCGCGAGAGCACGTACGGGTTCGGGCAAGACGCTCGCCTACGGTCTGCCACTGCTCCAGAAAGTGCTTGATGCCAAGAACGCCGTTGCGAAATCAGATCCGAATCACCAACTTACACGAGCACTCGTCCTCGTTCCTACACGTGAGCTCGCCGAGCAAGTGTTCCGACACCTTTCCGTAGTCATCGAATACGTTCGGGACGACATTCGACTCGTCAACGTTGCAAGAGACGCTTCTGAGAAAGTGCAGCGCCTGCTGCTAAGCGAGAAGCCAGACGTTGTCATCGCAACCCCATCCAAAGCTCTCAACTACCTGCAGAATGGGTCGCTCGATCTCAAAACTGGCATGGAGTCGCTCGCTATCGACGAAGCCGATCTCATCCTCTCCTACGGACACGACGCAGACGTCAAGTCGTTGCTGGGAGCCAACTTGCTACCCAGCCATTTCCAATGCTTCCTCATGTCTGCCACCATGACTTCGGACGTCTCCAAACTCAAAGGCCTGCTGCTCAGGAATCCGGTCGTCCTCAAGCTCAACCACGACGACGAAGCGGCTTCGGGCTCCAACCTGGTGCAATTCTACACAAAGACGACCGAAGAGGACAAATTCCTGCTCGTCTACGTCATCCTGAAGCTCAAGCTGATTCGAGGCAAAGCGATTCTGTTCGTCAACGAGCTCGAGAGGGGTTACAGATTGAAGTTGTTCTTGGAAAAGTTCGGATTGCGCGCTTGCGTGCTCAATGCGGAACTTCCGATCAACTCGAGATACAGCATAGTGGAGGAGTTCAACAAGGGCAAATTCGACTACATTGTTGCGACGGATGAAACGACAGGGGCGAGTGGCAAGCTGGACGAGGACGACCAGGACGAACAAGACGAAGAGCAAGAAGCAGACGAGCAAGCACAACCGTCGACGGAAGCGGGCGAGAAGCGCAAAGCCTCAGACCAAGCGGCAGCGAAAACTTCAAAAAAGTCAAAACCGTCCAAGCAGCGCAAAGGAAAGAACGGCGCTTCCGAGTACGGCGTCTCGCGCGGTGTCGATTTCGTCAACGTCTCTTGCGTCATCAACTTTGACCTTCCCACCAGCGTCGACTCGTACATCCATCGAGTAGGGCGTACAGCTCGTGGAGGCGCTTCCGGCACAGCACTATCGTTCGTCGTACCCTCGGACGAGGTGGGTCGATCCAAATACCTCTACTGTCCCACCACGACGCGCGACGAGTCCGTGTTCAAGCAGCTCAAGAAGCCGTCCACCGCCTCCCTGCTCGGCAGTCCACTGCAGGAATGGAAGTACGACTCATCGTCCGTCGCTGGATTCCACTACCGTGTCACCGACACGCTGAAAAGCATCACCAAGGTCCTCATCCGAGAAGCGCGCATCAAGGAGCTGAAGAACGAGATCCTCACTTCGTCCAAACTGCAATCCCACTTTGAGGATCATCCGGACGACCTGGCCTTTTTGCAGCATGACAAGGCTCTGCTGACCAGTCGTGCCCAGCAGACGCATCTCAAGCACGTACCGCAGTACCTGGTGCCTAAGATCATCAATCCGGGGGCAAAGTTGACCAAGAACACGGGAAGCGAGTACAAGGGATATGTGCCGAAGAACAAGATCAAGGATGGCGGTGCGGATGGTAAGAAGAAAGGTGGGAAGGGGAGGAGTTCGACTGGCAAGGATAACAAACGTCAACCTGGAAAGGCGAGGAAGAAGGTCGATCCTCTGCGCAAGTTTTCCAAAAAGTAGATAGCACGCATTTCATTACATTCTACACCATCGATTAAAGAAAGCATTTCAACAACAGTCTGGTGCGGAGGAGCCTTCACTTGGCATAGGCAGCGTGGACCAGGCTCTCGACTTCGGCGAGCATGTCCTCGGAAGCTTTGTCCGGGAAGGGACTCATCTGGGTGTGAACCATTCCGCAGGTTCCGTCTTTGAAGTCGATCCACCCTGTGGATGTGAGTAGGGGAGGAGATGGGAGAGCGTGTGTCGAGTCAGTGATTTGCTGGAGGGTGAGTGAAGGGGATTTTTGGAGTGGAAGACTTACAGTAGCTGTTTTGGACGCCACACCAGCTGAGTGACTGTCAAGGAGAAAGGCGGGAGAAAGGTGAGGGATCATGGTTAGCTTTCGGGAGATTTGAGCGACAGGAGGGTAGTGAACAAACTTACATCGTCGCTCAGTCCTCGAGTCGGGTGTTTCTCTGTCGACGTTCCAACAAGAAAATAAAGAGATAGTCAGCACCGTGAGCAGCGTTCTAGAGGCGATGTACGGGATTCGGTTGGAATACTCACCTTTCAAACGCAGCCCACCGTAGGCCCAGTTCTTCTTCAGTCCAGGCGACAGACATCCAGCAAACCGATCGCTGATCACCTCCGGAATCACCCTATCGAACTTCCTCTCCAAGTCGTCCACCAATTTACCCTCCAGCTGGTCCTTCTTCAACAGCTGCACCGTTTCCGGTTTGAGGATCGTTCCACCCGCGGGATGGGTTCCGCCGTTCAAGAGTGCCACGAGGATCTTGGTGTACTCTGCACCGTTGCCGAAGAGTCCTGCTCCTGGATAGATCGATTCCATCTTGTCCTCTTCGGGTAGCAGGAGGGGGATGAAGGGGAGGATTTCGCCGTCGGGACCACGCATGTGACTGGCAGCGAGTCGATCGAAGAGACCGGCGGAACGAGGCTTGAAGGTGATGTCCTTGATTCCGAGGGGTTCGAAGATGTTTTGACGGTAGTAGGTTTCGAGGTCGAGTCCGGTGACGACTTCGATGGCTAGACCTGCCCAGTCGATGTTGAAGCCGTAGTTCCACTCTTCACCTGGCTGGGAGGCGTACGGGGTAAAAAGGCTGGCTCGGGTGGAATCGAGGTTGGCGGTGGGCGGAAGACCTTTTGCGCCAAACCAGTTGGCGAGATCCTGGTTGAACAGCGCACACGCTTGGCCGGAAAGGATCAGCATCGTATCCCGCACCGTTGGGATCTTGCGAGGTGCAGACCCGTCCGACAGCATCTTGAGCTCGCCTGCTTCGGGAAGGAATTTATCAATGGGATCATCGAGGTTCAGCTGCCCGCGTTCGACCAGCTGAAGCGCTGCGATGGAGATGAGAAGCTTGGAGCAAGAGGCGATCCAAAAGATCGTGTCCTTCTTCATGGGGTTGGGCTCGGCGATGGAGATGCGCCCGGAGGACGCCCAGGCAACCTCATTGCCTTTGGTGTCCGAGATGTAAGCGACGGCGCCGGGAACGTTCGAAGCGCCGTTGCCGGACGTGTACTTGTCCAGGATGGTTTGGACCGACGTTTGAAGCTCGGACATTCTGGCGACTTGGGATCGAGGGGAGGTGTAGGGAAGCGTGTCTGTCACAGGGGAAGAGTTGGGGAAGCGTACTTATGGCCACAGCGAGTCGGGGGCGCAGTATAAGTACTTCTGTTAGAAGGGCCGAAGCTGGTCAGTGCGGACCGAATTTGTGGGGAAGGGGCCATGCAACATGTGGGGAAGCCCCTTCCCGAGCTGGACGGACCAAGTCCCGCTCCTTCAGTCGAGCCCACACAATCTGTCTTGACCCTTTGGGAACAGTACACCTTCAGTTGCCAAGATGCTCCCTTGCATCGTCTCTCTCTTCTGGTCACAGGACCACACAAGTACGAGACGAGCTAGAAGAGATAAGACGATGCGGGGTAAACAGACCAACGAAGGGTTGCAGCGGACGTTGTCCGCGGGCAGTCGCGCAACTTGAGAAAGCAGCATAAAAAAGTTGGAAGGCAGAGAGACGCGAATCTCAAATTTAAAGTAGGGCTGGATGCAGCCGAGTCAGAAACGAGACGGGCATGTCGGCTACGTGGGGATCTAGAACAGATGCAAGCATACACGATGATGAAGGCACGGGGCCAGAGCGGCTGCATACGAGCGGATCTGTAGCTCGCAGCAGAGAGTACCATTACGAAGTGTTCATCACGCAACCACTGTGATCCGAGCAGAGATCGGGTCCACTCGTCGCTTCTTTCCGACGCAGACCTGCATTGAAATTGTTTCAAAACGTCCTTTCTGCTCGCTCGTTGAGGCGTGTTGTGGAGACGAGGCATTAAATGAAAATCGCACGTTCCTGAAGCAAAAGCCGACAAGAAGAAACATGATTGCGAATTGCGAGACGGTCGTGCGGAGTAGATGCATCGAGATGTATATGATACAGAATACCTGATAGACGAGAACAGTGAGTATCCATGAAAAGAAATGATCTGATTGATCGCAGGTCAGTTCAAGCCGCTCTCGAACTCGACGGCGCCGCAGTCGGAATTGTCGAGATGCTTCAACGTCTTGTCGAGCGAGCTGAACTTGACAAAGCAAGTCGGACACCTGGTGCTGGGCGTAGCGGCGTCCGATTTTGCTCGAGTGTGACGACGGTTCCTACGACTGGCCGAGTTTGAGCTTGAATTGGCGGGACGAGGGAGGGACAAGGGCGGAGCGACGAGGGGAGCGTCGTCGAAGAAGGTCATGGGCGTCTTGGGTGTTGACGGAGAAGGAGATGCCGAGAAGGACGAAGATGGAACGAGAGGAGGGAGGGAAGCATTCGTTAGTTTGGCCTTCATCGACGGTCGAGAGGTCTTCTCGGAGCGTGGATTGTAGAGATCGTCTTCGGCGTCTTGCTCGTCGTATCTGCTGGTTGAGGAGAAAGTGACGGGGAATCGAGATTCGGACGCGAAGGACGGCCATGCGTTGGTAGCACGTCGAGGTCGTCGTGGTGCGTGGGGACCGGAACGGCTCACAGGTGAACTCGGCATGGTAGCGAATCCATCGGATCGAGATGCGAGGTGACGGGAGCGATGTCGCGAGCTGGTGGCAAGATCGTCGAATGGGTCCGAGTCTCCGTGCAGCTCGTGGTACGACGGCGGCGCATCGTAGTGAGGGGTCTCTGGCGTCTCGAGCAACAGGTTGGACTCGCTAGCGTGTCGAGCTGATGCGCTGGTGCTGCCTTGCTCGGTCCGAAGTACGCCGTGGCCGACACCAGGAATAGCGGAGGCGGTAGCGCCAGAAGAAGCAGCGTCTGCAAGTGGGCCGTGCTTCTGCGACTTTTTCTCATCCGAGCCGTACATTGCTTTTAGCTGAGCCTTCTCGCTGTACATGTCAGTGGATCCAGCGGTCCGGAAGCTGCTGTCAGAAGCGATCGAAGCTGCATCATCCACTTCACTTGCGATATCGGGGAGCGGCTTCTTGTCAAGGTTCTGCCAGTCGAAAGCGGGAAGCTTGGGAGGAAGCGAGGGAGCTTGTCGACTGCGTCCACTGCTTCTGGAAGCCGTCGACGAGAACGAAGCGCGGGGAAGCGAGGATGGGACGGTCTCTGCACTCAGCACGGTAGCGCTGCGGGCTCTGGAGCGGGTGGCGGTAGGAGCATCGCCCTCCTCGTCAGAGGACGCGAGTGGCTGACCGTATTGAAAAGAGCCGTCTCGAGGCAATCGTGGCAATGCACGTTGCTTGCCTCTCGCTTTTGGAGAGCGCGGCGACTGATCCCCATCTTGATCTGCGTAGTCGGTGCCGAATGGCGATCTTGTCAGATCATCAGTGGTGGTCGTGGTCAATGCGGTGAAAGTCGAGAACTTGCGCAGAAAGGTGGGACGGCCTTCAGTAGCATTCTCCTTGTCCTTGTCCGCCGCATCGTAGAAAGCCTGAGATTCGCTGAAGTTGGTGGTAGAAGGAGAGGTGAGATCGTCGCGTGCCGCAGCTTTGCCGTGATCGAGGCGCTGGTCGAGCGTCCTGGTGCGCCTGCCTTTTGGTCGTGTGAAGGAGTCAAAGTCGTGACTGTCGCTGTAGTCGGAGTGGTGAGGCAAGAGATTGAAGTGGGAGCTGAGTTCGAGACGATCGCGAAAGCGGTTGCCGCATCTCCTGCATGTGAGTGTGTTCTCCTTGGAGGTGGTGCTTGAAGGCGAGTCAGGAATGATGCCTGTAATGTTGTCAAGCAGCGAGTTGGTTCTCGACCTGAAATTAGATAGGAACGGCGGCATGATGGTGGCGATTCGATGAATTCGTTAGTGACCTGATGACCGGTCGGGTGAACTGCGCAAGGAAGCTTGAGACAAGGCAAGCAATGTTGCAGAAGAGGCAGAGGAAAGAGCTACGATGCCGGGAAACGCGATCAATCACACTGCGAACAAGACGCCAAGTAGTGCTACGCCGGCGACCGGGACTCTATGTTATGGTGCAAGAAGCTGCGGTTGTAATAGGAAATGAGGAGGCTAGTGTGATATGGACAGCAACGTAGGGAGAGGCGGATCCCCACGATTTGATCCTTTTTTGCGACGATCGGAGAAGCCGCTGCGACAAGCTACGGGGCAGGGTTCAGCAGCAGACGCACACGGGGAGCGCGGGGAAGCCGAACCCATCTGCAACTTGACGGAACACAGCAGCAGCAGCATCTTGACGTTGTCACTCGTCTCGAACTGTGATCACACACTCTTTGCTCGGCTCTCACACGCGCCATGGGGTCTATCCGAGGGTCGTGGGCAGCACCCTACTGCGTGGCATCGAGGTTGCGAACGGCAAACGACCGTACGGCGGTTCCCAGCTGGTTTGCGAATGGATTCATGGCTTGGAAGCGGGGCCAAGAAGAATTGCTTTGTGGTTGCAGCCTCCAAGATTTCTCATAATGCGGGAAAATGTCAAATTTAGCATGATGGGCGCAATCTCCGTTGATAAGCAGAGGCCGAAGATGCTCTCGATCGGAGACGCAAATGCAGAGACCATCCTCATTTCTCATCCGCTCCAGCCGGGTGAGTTTCGACATTCTCACCGCCCGCCGCAAAAGGTTGGAGTCAACGACCAAGACCATCATCGCATGTCAGTATGAGGACGAGAGACCATGCCTCTCCCTAACCAACCGCATTTCAAACCTAGAGGTGAGACTCTCTTTTTGCTGTTGCATCAAACCTTTGACGAGTCGCCTTCTCGCTTAGAGACCTTGTGCTTCTCGCAAACAAATTCTGACAACGCGCGCATGAGTCCGTTACCTGCATGAAAGCCGGACAGGAGATTGGGATCGGGGCACCAGTCGGCTTGTTAGACCACCTAGGCCTGACAGCGGGAACGATTTCAGCGCCAACACGTGACGTTCGCTCGAGATTTGGCGCCGTTTTCCGAGCCTTGATGTCGCCAACACTTCTTCCCACCTCCATCTCGCGGTCGAACCTCCATCCTTCCACGCATCAACGCCATATCCTCTTCCGCCACCTCGACATTCGCTGCATTGATCTGAGGCATACAAGATCTCTGCACGTCTCTAAGAACACTGTCGCAATCTGTATCAGCGACACTAGCCCTTGCGCGACCTCGACTTGCGTTCCATCGCGCCCTCCGACTTCATTATATCCATCTCAAAAAGGCAAAGCAAGGCTCCATTCCGTGTCATCGAACCGCATAGAGCGTAATTGATTGTCCAATATGCCTCCTACAAAGCCCAAGGGCGGCAAGATGATGTCGCTCATCAACTACCGCCTCCGCATCACACTCAACGACTCGCGTCAAATCGTCGGCCAACTGCTTGCCTTCGACGCCCACATGAACCTCGTCCTCGCCGACTCGCAGGAATACAGACAGATCAAGTCGCGGAAAGCCAAAGCACGTGCAGCTGCAGCTAGCAAAGCAGGAAAAGCAGCTGTGCAAGATGAAGAGGACGACGATGACGCAGCGGCAGCGGCAGGCGCTCCAGATGCCGTCTTGGAACAAAAGCGGACACTGGGTATGCTCATTTTGCGAGGAGAGAACATCGTCAGCATGGCCATCGAAGCGCCTCCACCGGCCGATGACAGGAGACAAGCGACTGTAAGTTCGATGATGAGGTACCCTCTGCAATTCGATTCTTGACCCAACTGACAAATCTTTTCATGGGTTCGGTACCCTTTCTTCACTACAGATGCAACCGGGACCCGGAAAAGGTGTGCCTATGGGCCGTGGGATGGGTCTCGCAGCACCGCCGATGGCAGGAGCTGCACCTCCCATGATGGGTCGACCTATGCCTTACGCAAGACCACCTCCTGGAATGCCAGGAATGCCCGTTCCTCCTCCCGGTATGCCGGTCGGTCCACCTCCAGGCTTCCGTCCACCTGGTTTCCCAGGAATGCCTGGTGGACCTCCGCCCGGCTTTCCAGTTCCGCCACCAGGAGGATTCCCTCCTCGTCCACCCCCTGGGTAAGTGACCTGCTACTCGATGCGCGATGACTTCCTTGTTGATTGACGGACTGACCAGTGCGTTTACCGGCCTTGCCTTGAAACAGATTTGGCATGCCACCTCGACCGCAATAAGCAAGGGCACCTCAGTGAAGCTTCTCCTACCCGAAAATCTCAACCCTCAGCTGTGGCCGTCAAAACTTGTACTCTTAGCACACCTGCGGAAACATTGCTTGCCTTCAGCTGCTACTCTGCTTGGATGCCTCGACGCCAGTGTCTGCATTTGCGTGGCTGCGATCGGATCTGCCGACGAACCTCTTTATTCCCAGGGGCAGAATGCACACTCCTTTGATTCAGCTGTTCAGCCTGTTCACACACAAAAGGTGACAGACATTTCGAAAGATCTTTGATTCAAGTACATGTGATGACGCGGAAAGACCAGCAGGGACAAAGCAAAGCCACCAAACGGCCTTTTGCGATCACGCAACGGAAACCATCTTCTGCGCCTTGCGCAGCTTTGCACCGAAACCCAACAGCACTGCCAGCGTGATCAGTGTCAAAGCGGCCGTGACCACCGCCTGCACCACAAATGCCTTTGTGAAACCTTCAAACGCCCACTCCGGTACGAAGAAGGGAGCGGAAAACGCCAGACAGCACTTGACAAAGTTGAACAGCGCGATGCCGTGAACCGCCTTCGTGATGTACGACTCGATGATGTAGGTCTGCAAGATACCACCAGCTGCGGAGTTCGAAACGTAGTAGACGCCGATACCGCCGATGACTTCGACTGGCCAGCCGAGTTTGTTGTTGTAGCCGATACCGTAGAGCAGCAGACCGATGGTGAGGAGGGGGACGTGCGGAAGGAGTGCCCAGAGACGGTATTCGGGTACGCGGGCGGTGGAACCGGATCGACGGACGAAAAAGTTGACGGTCCAGTCCGAGAGGTAACCTCCAGCGAATTTGCCGATGAGTGCTCCGACGGCAGCAGCGATGAAGGCGAGACCCACTTGGACGTTGGTGAATTTCCAGGGTGGTCGTGGGAACACTTGAGGGCTGACAACGGTGAAGCCTACAGACCACATGAAGATGACAGCGTAGAGGATCGCGGGGAGGAGGAGCGGTAGGTACATGGCCATCTTGAGAGGGGCGACGATTTCGTTGAGGAAGCGAACCGGTTCTTTCCATGGGTACCAGGCGGCACCGACGCGACCGTAGGTGCCGCTTTCGAGGGTGGTCGAGTTGGCGAGGGGCGGTGTGGATGTGCCGTGTTCGATCGAGTGCGAGTCCTTCTTCTCGCTCTCATCGAGTGTCGATGGAAGTGCGTGTTGCGTGTTTCCCGTACTGGGCGCATTAGGGTTGGCGACGTAGAGAGTCTCGGGAACGAACAGCAACACACAAACCCACAAGGCACCACCCAGAATCAGAGTCAGGTAGTACACCCACCTCCAATCCTCTGTCCTGGTCAAGATCCCGGCACCGATCACAGGAGCCGTCACGGGACCTGCGATCAACAACACGGTCCAGGCCGCCACCGCAGCACCACGGTGTTCCGGCTGGAAAGTTTCCGAGATGAGCGAAGCGGGTACGGTCTGAGAGACACTACCGCAGAAACCGGCAAAGTAACGCGCAGCGGCGAAGCTGTCGTAGCTGCCTGCGCGGGAGAGCCAGACGGTGCAGGGGATGTAGAGCGTCCATGCGATCAGGTAGGCGGGTCGACGACCGATGGATTCCGAGAGGGCGTTCCAGAGGAGCGGACCGGTGCCGAGACCGAGAATGCCGATGCCGATCGTGTTGGCGGTCGCGGCGATGGTGCGGTGGAAGGTGACGGAGACTTGGTGGAAAGCCTGTGAGCGGGACAATAGCAATTGCAGAAGAGGAGGGAAGGGTCAGTATCGCAGCCTTTCGCTCGCTGGAGACGGGGTTCAGGAGACGCGTACAGTCAAGTGGGCCGCAGCCATCTCGTTAGCTGCAAAGGCAGTGAGCGAGACAGTTGCCAGCATGAGGAGCTTTCTCCATGTTGGAAGGTTGTATGGGTGGGCAGGGTCAGGGTGGTTGAGTTGACCGGACCTCATCGTGGTAGTGCGCCGGAGGGCAGGTTGGACGAAGATGTGTGCCGGGTGGTTGGAAACAGAGCAGTAAGAGGCAAGACAAAGGTGGGAAGGGCGATCGATGCTTGAGGTGAAAGCGGGTCGAGGCCGAGGATTGGATGAAGATGTGGGGAAATGAAACACTGCGATGGTCGGGACGGGCAGACTATATGTAAGCTACGCCAGACGCTGATCGATGGGGGCGCGGGGAAGTTGAAGTAAGGACAGGAGGAAGAGGCTTTTGGTGCAGACGCGCAAAGCAAGGTCCCAACACCACGGCAAAGAGGTGTGAACGCGCAGCGACCGTCAAAGTGCCACCGTCTCACAAAGAAGCTGACCAGGTACGGGCAGGGAGAGCCAGCGACGGAATACACCCAGACTCGGAAAGATGCGACCGAGCGAGACGAAAAAAACGTGGCGAACAAAAGTGATGAGGAACGGAGGGTCAACGAGAGCGCTTCTGGTCCAGGTCGGAGCGCACATTCAGGAAGCAAAGCGATTCCTGTACGAGGAAAGGAAATCCCGGAAGCAACGCAGGACGGACACAGACACATGCTCAGCAGATTGTACGCGCTAAGTTAGCGGTTGATCAGCCAGGCACATCTTGCTGCCTGGCGGTCAAGTGCGTATGCGAGGAGCGCAACGGAGGGCAAACCCGCGCAACGCGCAACAGCATGGTTTCACTGAAGAAGCGGTCACAGTGAGGGACCTCGCTCGGCTATCCAAACGACAAACCCACGAGAGCACATGGGGGAACGACAGAGTGGCATGGTTTAAGGTACGTCGAGCGAAAAAAAAAAGAGACAAAGCCACGCTGCAGAACATAACAAGCGAGGTCTGAAAATTTTGCTCGCCGCGTCGAACGACAAGATGCAGTGCAGTGTACGAGCTTTGGTGTTGTCCTCCGCGGCGAGCTGTGTCAAGGCAGACGTGTGCAAAAACGTTGATTTCTGGGTTAGAGTTCAGTTGGGTCAGAGAAGGGGCAATCTGTGCGTACAACCAGAGCTTGTCCACTCGAGGACGGGAGGAGGGTGCCGAATGAAATGCGGCGGAGTTGGTTTTGTTGGACCCGAAGGAAAGGGTTCGCGACGCAGCACAACGCCAGCCGCTCGCCGACGGTATCGGTGCAAAACGTCAAGTCCGCTCCTGTGGTTAGCGCCGCTCAGACCGCCGCTGTGCTCGAAAATTCTCCTTTGCCAACGCTCTCTCGCGCGCGCTGGTCACCGGTGTTGCTCTGTTGACTCGAGCCTGGCAACTCTCATTGGGCCTGAATGCCGAGCCGTTGCCACGAAGTGAAGCAGCGATGGCTCTTTGTCTGGCTCAATCGGGCGGCATCGATGCGCAGTGGTCCGGAGATGCCAGTGGCCACAGATGCAGGGAGGACACTCGCAGACACGATACATTTCGATTGTGGGGTGCATCACGCTCGCACTCCATCGGCGGAGCCCCACGATTTCTGGAGGCATGATTGGATCAGACTGATCACCCACCCAGCTGGCTCGGTGTCGAACATCAGATAGAGCATTGTGGGGCAGATTGCTTACGGCAACAGCGACGTTGATGGTGATGGTGGACCTTGTGATTTATACAAAAACGTCGGAATCCAGCGCTGATGCCGCGACTTCCATTGCAAATTCACCGACGAGCGCGTTTTACCGCACGGAAGTGAGCAGCAACAAAGACCTCTCTCGACCGACATCTTTCCTGCCAACTTACCCCGCACTCCAAGTCCCATACCCTCGGTCTCGCCCTGTTGGACGTCCTTTCCCCCGCAAGGCATACTTCTCTGTCGTCGAGTGTCAGACTCGACGTTCATGGTGCGGACTTGTACACCGACCCCTTCGTACGCCGTCCAAAATAATTCTGATTCCGACGACGAAGCTTATGCCCGCTGCCTACGGCTTCCAAGGCCGATCGTTGCGATAGATGCTTTGGTCGTGTTCGTGTTCATGTGATCGAGTCTCATGCTTCTACACGGATGCAGTCGCCCGACCGATGTATCCGCTGAGTTGTGCTGCTCGCTCGGCCGGCTGTACCTAAAACAGAGCTTCTGACTCGTGCGTCTCAATCGGCATTCTTCTCCGGCGCAGTTCTTTACCCCACACATGTCAAAGACCCCTGACCCTTGCCAAGCATTTGACGCCGTCATCACTTCTTGTCCGGATATCATGCTTTGACACTATCGATGTGTAAGAGGGTGCCAACAAGCTTCGATAGACAATCTGGGTGTGACCATGCTGCAGGTCGAGACCATGATCGCGGGGCCAGTCATCCAGACAAACGTCGCCGCGCCAATCTGCCTCGCAGTGTCCTGCATTCCTGATGTTCGGTCCTGATGGATAATGAACGCTATGCACCGCTTCTTGCGACTTCGGACGAGGAACTTCGAAGAGCATCGGATCTTTCCACCTGTCTTGTCAAAGCAAGAACACGTCAACCTGCGCCGATCGGAATCCCCTCCGTGTGTTCCAAGTAGGCCACAAGTCTTGCCGTGCGGCTCCTTGTACGCTTCTCTCGACCAAGCGATTCTTTCTGGAAAGCAAATCTCGATTCGGGTGACTTGTTATGCTGATGCTTGAGATCCGATCTGATGGAAAGCCGGTGCGAACACTCGGTGTCAAACAAAGCGCCATACTGTATTTCCTACTTTCTTGTTTCCCTCCCCCTCTTTTTCTCGTTCTTTTTCTTTTTATCGGCCTTCTACCCCGCAAAACGCACGTCAAAAAAAGCATGACGTCGAAACCTCCACAGTTTTGGCATGCTCAGCTGCCGAGGTCCCTATAGCCGTCATCGATGACTGAGACGCAATGCCGATCCGGGATACTGGAGTTCCTTGACGATGCTCAGCAAAGGAGGTCTGCTGTACGACCATCATCTGCTTCCATTTGAACAGTATCGATCACACCCAACGGCGGATACTAGCCCACGAACCACCTTCAGCAACAGCAGCTCAGCCAGGAAAAATGTCGGGCTTTGATACAGGATCCGGAAGCTACGACAAGATAGCACAGTCTCAGGGTGGTGAAGGACTAGACATTGATGCCCAGACCGCAGGTGAGTTCTCATCTTCGACCCAACCTGATCCAGCTTCGGAACATCTTCTGAACACCTCGTCTGCTTTCTACTCTCCATCAGGCCGTAACACTGGACCGGGAGAAGGAGTATCCGCAGGTCCCGGAGCCAAAGACAACACTCCAGGAATTGGTTTCGACGGTGGACCTGGTTCTGAAGACCTCGATGCTAAGATCACCGGCTCTGGAGAAGGTCTCGATGCCGGTCAGAAGGGAAACAGCACAAAACCCGGCGGTGGCGTCAGCTTGAATGCCGGTAGAGAGGAGGAGTTCCACGGTGCAAGTGATGGGAAGTTCTTCGATGCTGAGGGAAAGGTTCAGAAGGTCGCTGATAAGGTTATGGACAAGATCAAATCGTAGTTGTTCTAAGTTTCTGTACCATAAAGCATCGTACGAATGTGTTAGTGACTGCGTTGTCACTGACCCGTGTGAAGCCGTTCTGGCAAACCTGTGTTCGTTTCATGTCTCATTGTTGCCACGAAATCGCTGCCTGGTAAAGCTTGAAGGCAAGATGAAGACTGTGCACGAATCTTGTGGCAGAGCAACCATTCAAGCGAGTTGAGGCATGACTATAGACTCCTCGGCCCTTTCCGACCGGCGATTAAGGCTGCATGCCAAGCCGTCTGTAGGGACCATCAGTGCGGAGTGCGAAATTCCTAGAAGCCGCTTTTTCACGAGAACGGTCTTGCACCATTGCAGGTCTCAGAACTTCTTCCGTTGGGTAGTCCTTCATTCCGGTCCACCAACATCCTGCCTTCTCGGTTGTTCATCATAGTCGTCCTCGAATCAACTGGCAGAGATGACGACCGAAGCCTCAACATCCGACTTTCGTCGTGAAGACGTCGAGTTCGCCTCTGGCGGTGAACTGTGCGCAGCCTGGGTGTATCGGCCCACCAGCGCACCGCTACGCTGCACATCGAGCTCCTCAGCGTCAAAGTACCCAGCGATGGTCCTCGGTCACGGTCTAGGAGCGATCAAAGAAATGGGTCTCGACCGCTACGCTTCACGCTTCGTCTCGCTCGGCATCGTCTGCGTCGTCTTTGACTACCGACATTTCGGCCAAAGCGGTGGTCAGCCGCGTCAGTTGCTCGACATCAACCTCCAGCTGCAGGACTGGGATGCGGCGTTGGACTACACTGCGAAGCTCGAGGATGTGGATAGCGAGAGGATCGGCATCTTCGGGAGTAGTTTCGGTGGAGGACACGTCATCTCGGTCGCAGCGAAGGATAAGAGGGTCAAGGCGGTCATTAGTCAATGTCCCTTTACGTCGGGATTGTATTCGTCGCAGACGGTGGGGTTGGTGCCGCTGTTGAAGCTGGCAGTGCTGGGAGTGAGAGATATGTTGTTCTCGAGCAAGGACCAGATCGTTACAGTCAAATTGGCTGGTCAGCCAAGTGAAAGTATGTGCTCCCCACCCGTCCACGGCGGTTTTGCGAAACCTCACACTGACTTTTTCTGGTGCTCATTCTCCCACAGCCGCACTCATGAACGCCCCCGACGTCCACCAGTACCGTCAACTCGTACCTCCCCACCTCCAACCAACCTTCCCCGACTACGTAGCCGCCAGATTCGCCCTCCACATCGCCCTCTACAACCCAGGCTGGAGTACTTCCTCCGTCACTTGCCCAATCCTCTTCGCCATCTGCGGCAAAGACTCCGTCGCCCCTCCAGCTCCCTCCCTCACCTACGCAAGGAACGCACCCAAATCCACCATCAAACACTACGAGCACATGGGTCACTTTGACATCTACACAGGCGACTACTTTGATACCGCTACGAGCGATTACCTTGACTTTCTCAAGAGCAACTTGTAGTTCCGAAGTTCGCAGATGGACGAATCCAAGAGCGGCTCGACAGACACACTTCGACGTTGCATTAAAGATCTTTGTTTGTGTCTGAACAACATGGAACGGTGAAAAGCGATATTGAAAGTCGCTCGTCCCACCTGCACCTCCTCATCGACCTCCCGCCCGCTTCACTGCCACCCCACCCCTCCGCTTGATCGGTGTAACCTTGCTGACAACATCCACATCCACCTGATGCGCCTCCCACCTCGTCTGCTGCTCGAAAATGCCATCCGTGATCAACTGCTTCCTATACAACCTAATTGGCTCGCCCTCGCTGGTCGGCAAACCAACCAGATGACGCCACTCGATGGTATGCTCCTCATCCACGATCAAATGATACCTTTCCGGCTCGCCCAACAACTTGTCCTCCTCAAACGGTACGCTCAACACCTCTCCCCCTGCGGCATGGATCAGCGTCGAGAAAGACCCGTTTTCATCCACCCCACGACCCAACCAGAACTTGTGCCCGTGGTAGATCCCACGAGGATACTCGTCGCGACGACGCTGCAGTACTTCGGCGAGTACGATGCCGTACGTCTTCTCACCTTCCTGATCGATCAGCTCGTGACACTGCTCGACTGCAAGACACTCCTTCGTTTTGAGACATGCTTGCAGCCATTCCGGCGAGACAATCGCAACGCTACCGGAAGCAATCGCGTAGAGCATCTTTGGTGAACGCGACAGTTTCGGTGACACCAGGACGTGAGCCTGCTCGATGTCGTCCACCAGCTCGATACCGAGCGCTTTGAGTTTGGCTTCGTCGCCCTTCTTGAGCTTGTAGTTGGTCGTGGCAACACGCAGGGGCGCATCGCTGCGCGTGTCCTCGTCATCGCTAGGCGATGTGGTCGAGTCACGTCGCTGGGTCGGCGGCGGAGACGTAGACCTCCTCGACTTTTTCGCGTGCGCCAGTTCGTCCTCTACCGCCCTCGCTTCGAGATGCTCGCTTGTAGGCTGATGGAGGCTGTGTTGCAGAATCATGATCCGACTTCGTTTGGTGCCTCGCTGCGAGAGCGGATTCTTGCGTGGACTTGTAGCGACATTTTCATTCGCATACTGAGAAGGACAGGGCGAGCTAGGCATCTCGGAGGAAGTGTCCAGCGTAGTGGAGCCGTCGAAGCGCGAGCGATCGCCGTCTCGCAGCAGCGATGGTGTTGCTGGTGGCGACGTCATCAGCTCTGTACCGGTCGTGTCTGCCTGCACCGCGACAGGCTCCGGCAGATCGCTCGTCGGCTGTGCTTCTCGTTCAACGGGACGTGTGGGTTGTGCGACCGTCGACGGCTCAGACGCTGCATAGGCCGCCATCGGCGTAGCGGGATCGCTCGTTGGCATGTCGGCCGGCTCGTCCTTGTTCAAAGCATCATCAATCCACGGACCCAAGCTCTCGTCCGTGACCCTGGTATCTCCCACATCTACGTTGTAATCTACGCCTTCCGGAAAATCAATGTACTTGAGCTTTGCCCGTTCCACGGGCGCCCAGGCGAGGAACGAGTCGACGATATACTTGTGGTTGACGATGGGCACCTTCCATTCCTTGGCCTTTTGCGTCTTTTCGCTGTCGAGATTGGCTGCAACGCAGATGGTCGTGCGGGCACTCAATGCGCCTGAGAAGTTGGCACCCATGAGTTTGATCATCTTGGTAAGATATTGGCGAGTGGTGCCGCGGTAGCCCGAGATGGTGATGCTGGCCTGCTTGAACTCGTCAATACCTTGCCGAGGTACGGGGAAATGCAGAGGTTCTTCCCTAGGGTCGCTGAGCGTGTCGTTGGATACGACCCAGATCAGCCAGGTCAGGTTACCCACCTGCTTGGTCTGTCGAATGGCTTCGCGGAATTCTTGCACCTCTCGATATCGGCACACGACGAAATCCGAGTTGCGGACCGCTTGCGCGATGCCGTTCAAGTCGTTGGGTGCCCGCCGGGAAGTGCCGCCCGAGAGCCGGATGAAATGCTCCAAAGATCGAAGCTGCTGCTCGCTTGCTCGACAGACATCACGAGCCAGCAGCACGCTTTTGCCGCGAAAGACGTTCTTTTCCCGATCCGCGCCATTCGACTTGCTTGGTACGTCAAAGATGGAGGGCCGGTTGCTGTCTCCGACTAGGCTCATGGCTACACGATCCTTCCTGGGTGAGCTCAGTGGCGATCCACTGGCGGTGCGACCGGCAAAGCAAGGCGGCGGCTTGTCCTGGCCGGGAAGGAACTGATACGAGTCCAAGGGTAGCAGCTTCTGTAAGCGCCACGAATCGCTGATCCACTGCGGCGCTGCGCAGATGGTGTGCTTGCCTGGAGCATTGACGATCTTGTTGAGCTTCGTACTGGAGATGGAAGTGGTGAGAAAGACGTTGACGTCGGAAAAGTGGTCTTCGCGCCAGAGGCCGCCGTAGTTGGAGACGATGCTGCTGATCAGGTCTCGGTCGGCTTTGGCGAGCTCGGATTTCGAGGCGGTCACGGTGAGGCCCGAAAAGATCATATCGCTTCGGCAAGAGAATCGATCCTCTTTGAGACGCACGCCCAGCTGAGCACTTCGGCGAACCCATTGTGGCTGTCGGATCGATAAAGGGTCGCGCGAGGTCCGAGATCGCAGAATTGATGTGAAAGCGTGATGGGTGTGCCGAAAAGGGACGAGGACGGCGTGAGGGAAAGATCGGAAGGGCGCGACGGATGGTCCGCTGTGTCAGTGTCAATGCTGTTATCATGATGCGGAGTATCCGACGAAGGTACTCACTGTAACGACGAGGGGACCTCTGGGTGTCGGGGACTGCTCCGGTTGCGTAGGCTCTCTGCATTGCGGGTACTCGGCAAAGTCGACGCTGAGAGCAAGGACGTGGGTGACTGTATCCAATCGAAAGCGGACATTGCCATCGTCTGCTTGACTGCTGCTTGGTATGGAGTGCTCGTCGTGTTGGCGTGCTCCACCCTGCGAGAGCAGGGTACGGATCTGGAATGAGCATATGTACGAACGGATCAGTAAGCCAGCAAAAGATGGGCTCAATTACAGCGCGGACGGATCGAAAGCCACGGCGGGGGCTGCTTACTTCTTGTTGAGTGGTCTCATCAACGTCGTTGTTGATGAAGTATTGCACACCGCCGAAGAGATCGGCGGGCACAGGTCTAATGGTCGCTGGAAGCGGGGCTGAAGAGGTACTGGCCATATCGAGTTACGTTGCTACAAAGGTGCCGATTGATATCGCATGCAAAGATGTCCGAGGTTGACTGGTCGGATATGGGATAGCAATAGAGGCTGTTTCGGACAGTTTCTGCTGCGCAGAGGGCTAGGTGCTGTTTGTCCGAGTCCTTTATCCTCAGAATGTCGATCTTGATCAGGGCTGGACCTGCAGCTGATGGAGACGATTTGTAGAACTTCGTTGGGCTGCTGTGCTTTCTTATGGGAGGAATGGAGATAGGCATAGATGCTGTTTGAGAAGGGAAAGGATAGAGAAGACGGGTCACTCAGCCATGAAGAGAAGACGGTCTCGTGCCTTCCGACGAGGACCGGCAGCATGATCCGTTGGCCTTGCGTGGCGAAAAATTTAAGAAAGTGGAGACGTGCAGTGCAGGGTCGTGGCGCGCCCCTGCTTGAAAGGGTAAGCGTGCTCAGTTCGTGACGCGTAGATTAAACCGAAGATTCCAGCCGCGTGCTGAGAAGTGTTGCTCTTTTTCAAGAAAGAGGACGCAGACGCGAAGGAAGGACGCGTCGGACGCTTTCCCCACGTGTGTTAGAGCTCCAATCCTCAGGCTCACTACGCCGTGATGCCACTCCCACAAACAAGTTCTGGAAGGATGTGAGAGGCGGAGCGGCACGGAAACGTCGAGGCATTCTTCATTGACTCGACCGAGAAATACAGGAAATGTGGAGCAGATGTAGGTGGTAACGGAATCAATGCCAGGGAATGCCGTTTAGGCGGCAGGGGCGGCGTCGGTGGTGGCCTGCTTGTTGTAGTCCTCCATCTCGGCGTCGAGGTCCTCGACCGTCTTCTTGGGTCGCGCCTCGCGTTTGGCGCCACGCGCACGGCCACGACCACGGGTCGAAGCGCCGGCAGCGGCACGGCCGCCCTTGCCCTTGGCTGCACCGGCAGCAGCGGCTCCCTTGGGCCCCTTGGGAGCGGCAGCAGAAGCAGCAGACACCTTGGCGGGGTCGACAACGACTTCGACCTTGAGCGGCTTCTCTGTAGGTGTAGCAACACAGCGAGGCAGCAGAAGTGTCAAACGTGTTGAGAAGATGAGCGAATGATCACGAGTGGTGTGCGTGGTTGGCTTATTTGCCGGGGCTGATACTCACTTCCATCGATCAAGCGGTTGTTGTACTGGGTGTATGCTCGACCAGCGTCGTCAGCACGCGAAAATTCAACGGTGCAAACACCGGTCGACTGACCGTTGGCTCGGTAGCTCATGGCGACCTTGCGAAGTGGTCCGATCGTGGTGGCAAAAAGTTCCTGTGGGTCGTCGGAAGCAAATGACACGAGACGGCGTGACCGGATTGAGAGCGAGGTTAAAGATCGTGTCCTTCGAAACGGTCGCGCTACCCAACGGCGGCATGTCGATAGTGCCAACAAATACGAACCTTGACTTGAGCCTCGGTGACATCGAGAGGCAAGTTGCTGAGGATGATCTTGCTGCCGCCGCCACCGCCTCGGCCGGGGATGACGACGGGAGGCTTGTTGCGGTTCGAAGCTGCGATCACGGCAGCGTTCTGAGCGTTGCCGCCGACGGCGGCGGACTTGGCGCTGGGACGGGCGCCACGGCCTGCACGACGACCGCGCTGGCTGGTACGGCCGGCGCCTCCCTTCTTGGGACGATCGGCCATGATCTGGTCGAGGGCTGTAGAGGAGATAAAATGGGGTCAAGAGAGCAGATAGAAGGGCGATGGCACAATGGGCGATGCGCGGTGAACGAATTGCGAGATGCATCATCAAGTTCGTTCGCAATCGCCGTTCGAGTTGTTTGCACAAAGCGAAGGGGAAACGGCAAGCAATACGTGCGTATCCAGCATGTGGTCGTAATTTCGTCGTCAGCCTCGGTTGCACACTGTCTTGGCCTGCAGTTCCGCGCCTACATGCTTTCTCCCTCGGCTCTACGATTGGCGACTTGGCGTCGTTCGCGATGCTAACAGCGTGTGTCGTGCTGCCGAGTACGAAGCTCGTTGCTCGGAGGCTCGTCCCGTAAAGTGGCTATGTGCGAGACGCGGGCCATCGCGGACCAACAAGCTGGCGGCGTTTGCGTAGGAGCCGGAGGGAGGAGCATCGGCCCTGTTTGCCGATCACTTACGCTTGTCAATGTTCATGGACTGTGGAGCGAACAGCCATGCAACAAGGATGCGAGCGTTATAAGTGCAAAGATGGCGATATTGGTGCAAAGCGCGTTCATGTCGAGACGGGGTCGATCGAAGCGAGCAGCAGTGCAGCACCAGTGATGGGAAGGTTTGCACGCGGACAAGTTGTATCGACGAGTGTGCAACGCAAAGTCGGAGGCAACATCCATGAGGACCGCGGTGCAAGGACCAACATGGGCGACAGCATCATTATTGGGCGAGAATCGAGAGAGATTGGAAGGTGAGGGTGGCAAGTTTGGTCAGAATGCGTTGTTCCGAAAGGGGGATATCTCCAGCGCTATCGTTCACGATTCGGCAACAACGAGGGGCGACGAAGCCGACCGCATTTCGCTTTCGCTCTGTTCGTCGAGCTTGCCTGGCCACACAAGCATTGCGACTTTTGTGTCCGCCCGCTATGCTCTTTCGCCGTTGCCGCGGTGCGCTTTCGCGCTGGGTACTGCGGATGACCCATTAATCTGGCGCAAAGCTAAAGTAGCCACTTGACCGTTGCAACGTGAGCCACGGACTGCCTGCTGCAATCAGAGGGCTGACTGGACTGCCGTGAATCGAGCAGCGACGGGACGGAACGGATGCAAGCATTCGCGATGCGGAAACGGGATCACTCTCCGGGAGCGTCTCTGACGTGGTCGATCGGCGCGCGGATGGTAAGTCTGAACGTCAAGATGACTTTGCAAGACGAGAGCGACATCATCTCACAGCGCTTCTCGAGACAGTGACTGGGACGAGCGGAAGCACCGGCAGGTGGATTGCAGAGGCACTGGCAGGGATCGCAATGCAAGGTGGCCGTGGAGCGAAACGGTGTGCGCGGGAATCAGGGAGTCGAGAGATGCTGACCATATTGTGCAGATGACGCGTGTGTCTGTTTGGTGGGAGGTGTGTGTTGGTGTGAAGAAGCGAAGAGGGATGCCTTGACGTATGAAAGAATATGCGGATGTGGCTGCGGATGCAGTGGATGAGATGATGGAGTGTGGTGGTGATGGAAATGTCGACAACTCTGGGCAGAAGAGGGTCGGATTCGCCCAAACCTTCGCCCTTGCTTTCTACCTCGACTCAGCGCGTAAGCGAGGAAGGCCGACAAAGTGCCTTGCAGGGCAGGACCAGCGCGCGTCTCAGTTGTGATCGTCGTTGTACCGGACGACATTTTATCAACCAAGACCGTAGAAAGACACAACCTAACAAAATGAAGTCCGAGAAATAAAGATAACAATTTTAAGATGAGATGTGCGATCGCCTTCGCTTCCACAGACCTGGAAGCCAAAACAGTACGCGGCGCGGCACAACGCAGCACGATGAGCCCTTTGTGCGTGGAAATCGAGCTGAAATCAGCCTCGGAGATGCAGCGACGCTGTATGAATAAGAATTTCGGCGGCTGCCACAGCTGAACGGCACAGCCACGTTGCCGTCATCGCCCATTTGTACCATATCATTCGTATCCAAGGTAACGTGGCTCTTGTGTAGGTCAATCTTCGATTTCTCTCTCCCGCGGATGAGCTGTACAAGTCTCTCCGTCAAGGTGAGAGGCACCCGACACCTGTTTTTCCAACATCACAGCGAGCAAGAAAGGATTGAGAAGGTGGTTGATGGACCGTTTCGTGTCACTACGCTGTACGAAACGAAAAAATAAAACTCAAAAAATGAATAGATACGAGACCGAAGGGGGTTTTCTGCAGCTGCGTACAGAAAAGGGGTTCGGCCCCTCATTTTCTGCTCTCCCTTGACCCTTGAGCGCTTTGCTCGGGCGATGCCTACGCCATCGGAGGTCCACATCTCGCGCCTCTTTCTGGTGCCATCGTTCCTATCGGCATCATGGCAGGGATGGGGAAGACGAAAGCTGCCCACATATGGAGAAGGCCGAAAGGTTCGAGCAGCGACAGCGGTCTAGCGAGACCAACCATGCGTACCTTAAAATCTGATCAGAAGGATTGCCAAAAAAAGCTTCGTCTCGCTGATCTTTTTGCCGAGGCTGACAGGCAGTGGAGCGAGCCGCCGTCATTTGACGCCATGGTATAATAATGGACTCGTTTTCACAACGCGACCAATCGGCGGTTGGAACGGTCACTTCTGACATCACACCTTCGGCGACTTGGCTCTTGAACCTTCTTGAGAGCACGGACGATCCGATCTGCAAACCACGATTGCGCTCGCAATCACTACTGACAAGGACCGCGATCGTGTGGCTCAAACACAAGACCTCGCGACGACCAACCAACCAGCCGTGCAGTTGCGACTTCTGCGGTGACCATCCCACTTATCTCGTCATTCGAATTTCGTGCTCGGATTTCTGCAAGAGTGGTCATCGACGATGCCGAACGTGATCTGACTGCTTGGATGTAGCGCAGAGAATGTAAAGAGGGAAGCAGGCGGGCCCGGGCTGCCAGAATTGGCAGTGAACCAACCATCCTTCGGCTTCCATGATTGGATTGAACATACTTCGATGAGAAAGGGGGGAAAAGGGGATCCAACTGTCGGAGGGAAAAATATTTTAAAAAGAAACTATAAAAATACTTGTCGTGGCAGTGACCGAGACTGACGTTGCGATGCGCCCCGGACTGCGGAGCTGCAAGAGTCGCAGAGTGTGCCGATGATAGCTCGCATTTCCAGCGTGGCTGAAACGCACACACGCTCTAATTGAAACTTTATCCAACTTTTCCATCTTTTTCGGTCGTGTGTTCGCGTACAAAGCCACGAAGTACACTTGCGAATTTCCCAGGATTAGGTTAGGAGAAAAGCGTACGCGCTCCTTTGTTTCGCACCTTCTTGGTGGTCTGACGCAAAACCGCTCATCTCTGCTTCTAACCCTATCATCACCACCTCCTTACCTCCTCACCAACCTCCAACTCCTTTGCCATCTACCTTCCGTTCGTCACCGCTCTTGTGTAGATTGCTGGGCCGGGGCACTTGTATCTATACCTCGACTACCAAAACCTTCGGTTGTCTTGGCCACTTGACCCTTAGACATAGATCAGCTGATTCTCTACGCGTCGTCGCGGCTCACGTCGATCGTTTCATCTCCTGCGCAAAGCGCACTGTCACCAACAGCTGGCGAGCAGGTCTCCCAACTCGATCTTCGACTTCCTGATTCGGCCTTGCTAGCGTAACGTGCCACTTCGCGCTCACACGTCACACGAGTTTCATTGCTCTCGTACCAGCGGGTGTGCGATCTACCTCCACCGCCTATACGACGACCACCACGACCATCACCAATCCTTATCTGGCGCCCCCATCATCGTCGCTTTGCAATAGTCTTGACTGGAGCTCATCGTCTTTGTTGAGGCGAGGCGCTTGTGGCTCGTCGGCCCACCCCACCACCATGTCGCACATTCTACACCACCTGGCATCTAGGGCGGAGCAAAGCAATGGCCCCGTGCCCTCGGCGCTCATCGAGCAGCTCAACGCCAACGGTAGCACCGAACCCAAGAAGGTCGCCATCACCATCGTCGCCTTTGTCGCCCTCGCTCTCTTCACCCTCATTGCCTTCCAAATTCTTCGTCCCAACAACAAAATCGTCTATGCTCCCAAGTACAAGTATGCAGAGGAAGGCAAAGCGCCGCCAAAAGCGTCCGAAGGCTTCTTCGGCTGGCTCCCTCCCATTATCAAGTACAAGGAGCACGACCTCTTGCCCCTTATCGGCCTCGATGGTGTCACCTTCCTTCGCTTCATTCGCATGATGCGATGGATGCTCACCGCGCTCGCCGTGCTCATGTCCGTGGTGCTCATGCCCGTCGACATCGCATACAATGTGCGCAACGGCGGTTCTAACCTCGTCTCGAACAAGCTCAACTACCTCAACATGTCCAACGTCCACGGCAGCTACATGTGGGCGCACGTTGGCATGAGCTACGTCGGTACCATCGTCGCGCTCTCCTTCATCTGGTTCCACTACCGCGAAATGGTTCGTCTTCGATGGGCTTACTTCCGCTCCGAAGAGTACCAGACCAGCTTCCATGCTCGAACCCTCATGATCACCGACGTCACCAAGCGCTATCAGGCCGATAACGCCCTCGGCGCGGTGCTGTCCGAGCTCAAGATGCCCTACCCCACCACAGAGGTCCACATCGGTCGTCGCGCAGGCGTTCTGCCCGACCTTATCGAAAAGCACAACGACCTGGTACGCGAGCTCGAACACGTCCTCGCCAAGTACCTCAAAAATCCGAATCAGTTGCCCTCCAAGCGCCCTACCAAGACCGTCGGCGGCTTCATGGGCATCGGCGGCGAAAGAGTCGACGCCATCGACTACCTCACCGCACAGATCAACCGCGTTGAGGCCGCCGTCATGCATCAACGCGAGACCATCCAGCAAAAGCAGCCCGAGATGTACGGCTTTGCTTCGCTCGCTGCCGTTCCTTACGCACATGCAGCAGCCAAGGTGCTCCAGCACAAGAAGCCAGGCGGCATGCGTATCACCCTCGCGCCGCCTCCTACCGGCATCATTTGGCAGAACCTCACCAAGTCTCGTGCCAGCCGCGCCAAGTCGAGCTTCCTCGGTTTCCTCATGCTCCTCGTCCTCTTCTTCATGAACATCTTCCCGCTTATCGCCGTATCGCTGATCTCCAACATGGCCGGCCTTACCAGCATCTCGTGGCTCGGCTGGCTCAAGGGTTGGCAGAGTTCGAGCTCCTTCACCTTTGCGGCCGTCTCGGGTCTGGGCGCTCCCATCATCATGGGTATCGCCTCCTTCTTCTTCCCCCTCGCCATGCGCAGGATCGCAAAGTATCGAGGTGTGCAGACGCGGTACCGCCTCGACCGCCTTCTCGTAGGCCAGTACTTTGGCTTCCTGGTTATCTCGCAATTTGTCTTCTTCTCGCTGATCGGCGTCGTCCTTTCGCTCGTGTCGCAGCTTGTGCGGGACATCAACCACAAAAGCGCGGTCTCCATCATCGAGTCGCTCGGTCGCAACGCTGCTTACGCCGCCAAGCAGCAGTATCTCAATCAGTCCAACTATTGGCTGACCTGGCTGCCTCTCCGAGGATACCTGGCCGTGTTTGACCTGGCTCAGGTCATCAAGCTCATGCTGGTCTGGATCCAGAAAGTCTTCTTCGGACGCACGCCACGCGATGTGCGCGAGTACACCAAGCCACCCGTGTTCGACTACTGGATGTACTATGCCAACTTCCTCTTCATGGCGGCTGTGGCCATGATCTATGCGCCGCTGGCCCCCCTGGTCGTTGTCTTTTCAGCCGTCGTGTTCTGGGCCAACTCGTTCATCTACAAGTATCAGCTCATGTACGTGTTTGTCACCAAGCACGAGACGGGCGGCATGCTGTGGCGACCCGCCATCAACCGCCTGCTGGTGTGCATCGGCTTCATGCAGGTCATCCTCATCCTTGCCGTCGTGCTCGATACGCTCAACTACTACCAGGCCATCGCTGCGCTGCCACCCGTTCTGATGCTCATCGCCTTCAAGATCTACTGCCGTCGCACTTTTGACAGTCGCTTCGACTGGTACATTCCCAACGAAGCCGAGATCGCCGCTTCCAAAATCCACGGCGGAGATGCGCGTCACAACCGTTTGCAGCGCCGCTTTGGACACCCGACGCTTCACTCGAAGCTTTTCACGCCCATGGTGCACGCAAAGGTCAAGCACCTGCTACCGCAAGTGTACAAGGGACGTCTCGACACAGGTGTGGCCGTGGTCGACGGACGAAAGGTCGAGACCGAGCAAGTGGCAGGTGGACTCAAGATCGCGGCCATCGAAGAGGACCAGCTGGAGTACGATCCCTCCAAGGACTCGGACTCACGCTCGGTCATGTCTGGCACCACGCTCGGCGGTATGTCGATGGCGGGCGTCGGCGTCACCACTCCTGGAAGCATGACCGGCGGCCCACGCGGCGACTACTTCAAGGACCAATACGCCAACTACATGGCAGGCGCACCTATGCACGGCGGTGAAGAGTTCGAGATGTCCAACGTGGCGGCGCGCGACAGCCGCGACAATCTGCTTGAAAAGCGTCAGAACAGCCTGTACAACGAGTCGCTGGATGGCACGCTAGCCGGCACCACCTACGGTGGCAAGGCGTCGCCCGAGGCGGGAGCGGGTGCGCATGGACACTACCATGGCTACTCGGCAGCAACGACGCCAGGACTGGAGTCGGGCGTCGCTCAGCAAGCCGGCTACGTCGACCCGTACAACCAGGGCGGCGGAGCATACGCGCCACACATGGGGATCAACCACAGCGCTCAGGGAAGTCAGACAAGTCTGGGCTCGTACGGCAACATGCTGTACGGCACTCATACCCCGGCTTCCCAAGGCGGATACGGCTCTCCCGGCTCGCATGTCGCCTATGGCGAAGGTCTTGCAAGGAGCAACGCTGCTCCCGGACACATGGCATCGGCTGGCGCAGCGCAGCAAATCTCGCCAGGCACAGTGATCGCGCCTACAGCGACACAATTCGGCGCAGGCGGCTACACGGCTTCACCACCGCACATGCAGCAGCCACAGCGCTACATGGGCGCTCCTCCATCGCGTCAAGCTTCGGCGGATTACCCATACCAACCAAGCGGTGGGTACGGACACCCTCACGCTCAGCAAGCGCCAGCATACACATCGCAGGGACAGTACACAGGCGCACAGCCTCGCCAGCAGCAACAACAGGACCCTCGTGGGCCGCCCTCAAGTGGAGGCAACCCCTACGCCTCCGCTCATGGCTCGCAGCCCAATTCGGGCTATCATGCGCAGAATGGCTGGAATGGCTACCAGTGATGATGCGGTATCAGCTTCAGCCAAAACCCAGGACACTGCATCTGATTCTCTATTTCACGGTCTCAACGGTCTCAATTCTAGTCATCCTTCAATGTATCTGTGCAAGGTTGATTTGGTTTGATCTTGCGTGCTTTCTAACGGCCTTTGAGATCAGCGTTTGCGAGTCGTCAATGTGAGGACGACAAAGGTGTTTAAGTCCTGTTCATTCACTGATGTACTACACTCTATCGTTACATTTTGGTGGGTGCCGGTCAATTTGCCGCAAAAAAGCGAAATGCATGGGCCAAGGCCCTGAGTGGTGAAATTGTACCGCCGACAGCAAAGCACTTTTTGCTTCCAGCGTCTCTCGGAACGGTGCCGAAAGTGTTACTTTTGGTATTGGACCCTGCCGACTGCATCCATTACGCTGGGGGCTCGATACCTCACCTGCTTAAGATCACATTTGCCAGTTCGGTCGAGCCACAAACCCAACCCGACCATTCACCGTCACCGTCGGAACAACCCACAGAGACGAGTGCGTAGCTCAGTGGCGAAGAGCTCTTGGCTTCTCCCTCGCGACCCTCTGTAATAGACAAAGCAACACCCTCGTGCGCCGCCAGGATTGTCGACGATAACCAACCCACATGGGAAGCTGGCGCTCGGATACGTACGGACATGACGCATGCGATTCGGAAAAGTTCGTCTCGTTTAAGCTGAGCCTCCCATGATGACGGACAGCCAGGGAACGCAACAAGAACATCGTATAGCCTTATCTTCATCTGAAGGATCGCAAGCCTCGACTCTGGACGCGCATGTTCAAGCAACCGTACTCGGTGACGAATACAGAGACCTCGACGCAGCCTCGAATCTGCATTCGAAAGATATCACAGCTCCCGAGACCGCCTCTCCCGATCTCAAAGTGGATCCCAAGCAAGACGTTGAGAGTAGCAACCGAACTGATCCAAGGTCAGCAACGACAGCGGCATCAGTTCAAGAGCAGCATGCGAATGGCTCTCCAAGCTTGGCCCCACCCCCGTCGCCCTTGCCCGAATCTTCCATCGGCAGTCCATTGAGCAGCGCAAATGCCAACAGTCCTGCCATGCCATCGTCCGGCTCAGCAGCCTGGCAACAAGCTCGGAATGACGACGCTTCCGATCCTTTCCACGACACCTCGTCCAGATCGCTCCAACGCGATGAGCTGCTCGCGGTCCTCGAAGCATTACACAGGTGTCCCGCATCCGATTTGCAGACCAAGCTGCACCTTGGCGGACACCTTCATCGCATGCTCATCGAGGGCATCTCGACTTCGGCATCGGCTCGCGCTCATTGCTACCGCGACGATTTTCGCCAAGCAGGTGGCTTCTTGGTCGTTGTGCAGCTCATCTCCGCCCTCGACAGTCCGCCGAGTCCATCGGACTCATCCGATCATGCGGCACTACAGATCGAGATCTTCAAGCTCGCCTTGTCCATCCTTTCGGCGTCGCTCGTTCAGCACCCCCTCAACATCAAAACCTTCGAGCAGAGCGTGGGATGGCAGGCCCTTTTGGACGCCATCGATATCGCCGCTAAGGACGCCGTCCCTCTCGACCACGTTTTCGGCTCGCTCTTTGGCCTAGCTTTAGCCGACGTCCCCACTTACGCTGGCCGCATCGTCTCAACGCGCCGATACCTGGCAGATCAATCTGACCAAGCAGACACGTCAGCTGCGTCCCAGGACAAGCTTGCGCAGGCCAGGGTCGGAGACCAATGGACACCCGTGCCAGGCCTCGTCTTTCCTCACGCGATTCGCATCTCGCTGCAATTGCTTCTGAGCAGATTACCGCACAGATCTCAAGGCGGCGAAGCTGATTCGTTCGACTCAATTGGATTGCGCCTCGTGCTGCACACCCTCATGCACCTCGTGGCCTCCAATCGGCGGAACCAGGCCGCGCTTGCCGACACGGGCGTGACCGGTCTTTTACTCGACGCCATTATGCCAGCCGACTCGGTCGATGCCGGTATCTCGATACCTTCATCCATCTCCATCTCGACACTGAGACAATACAATGCGCCGTCGCGGAGCTCTCAAGACACAGCGGAGGGCCATCCGTCCACGACAGATTCCGAGTGGCAGCATCGCGATCTTCTCGCCAGTGTCCTGGGATATCTTTACGCGGCGGCCGGCATCCCGGACAAGGACGGCCGCCGTCTCCTCCTCCATCTCGCCACCGGCCCTGCATCACCTTTCGACGAAACGACATCGTCCTCGGTGGAGGAGGGCCGCGAGCGCTTGCTCGATCTGCTTCTCGAAGTCGCGGACACTTCGCAACAACCCAACGCAGTCCTGTTCAGCATGGCCGAGCACGGGCATGCCTCGCTGGCGTTCTCCTGTCTTCGACGACCGTTCCCACCTCTCGCTTCCTCCAGGGGGTTTTCTTTCGTAACCACATTCTCGATAGAGCGTATCGAGCCAAGCATTCCAATTGAGCTCCTCACCCTCTTTGATGCACAACGGTCGCTCCACGTCCAACTCGCCATCGAACCGGGCACGGGTCACTTCAGCTATGCCTCTGCGCTGCACGCTTCTGCGACTCCGACACGCTTCAACAAGACGAGCTTTGTGACCGGACAGCGCTACCAACTCGCCTTTGTTCATGTCCGTCCCCGAGGTGGCGCACATATGTCTCAAGCTCGGCTCTACGTCAACGGTGAGCTGGTCGAGGAGAAGCTAGCGCCTTGGCCGACCCACAGTCGCGGCGCACCGTCCTCAGCGGTGCCAGCTCATCGTGACAACCCGGTGCGCGCCGTGCTCGGGTCGCCGCCAGGTTTCAACATTGAGACCCATCAAAGCCTGCAGCACAATGCTTCAACACGACCACGCACAAACCGACTCGTCTGGTCGCTTGGACCTACGATGCTGATCGACGATGTCCTTTCCAACGACTTGCCCCTCGTTTTCCACGAATTGGGTCCTCGCTACACTGGCAACGCGCAAGACTCACTCGGACGCTTCCTGACATATCGTGCCAGCGCTAACATCAATCTGCGACTAGACCAGATCGCTCGTAGGCAAGCCCAAGCGACGTCCGCCAGCGGCAGCTCTGTCCTTTCCGAAAAGGAGATTTCGAGTCTACCTCTTGTCATGGCGATTGCTGGTCGGGCAAGCGATCTTGTGCCTGAGGAACGTCTGTACTTTGTCATCAATGCGGCGAACACCGCCACCTTTGATCGGTCTGCTTCGAATGCTGGCAGTGCAACATCTCAGTCAGCGTCTCTTTCGCAGCCGGCCAAACGATCGGGATCGCGCATCGTTCTCAATCAGGCGGTCCCTCTAAATCGCGAGGCAATCGGGTCGTCGTTCGGCATTGCCAAACTCTACGGCGATCCAGCACTGCTGGTACCTCGACCTCTTGACGAGGTCATCTGGAAGCTAGGAGGCTGCGCCATACTGCTACGTCTCATCTCTGACGCCAAGACTTCAGGCGCACTCGCCAAGACGCTGCTCCTCTTTGTGCGGCTCATCTCGCAGTCATGGCGTCTGAGTGAGGACGTCGAACGATGCAAAGGCTATGAGGTGCTCGGCTTCCTTCTACGCGACAAAGCCGGCTTGTTCGACAACGAGGTCGCTGCCGTCGTCTTCGAGGCGATGGGTATCGATGCTGACAGTGCTTCGACGACGAACGACTCGCTCTTGATCAACCCGTTTCTTTATCGCATTGTCATGCTCGACTTTGAGCTCTGGTCGCAGACCACCCGCGAGCTGCAACGCCGACATTTGGCACACTTTCACTTGCTGCTCCGGTCGTCCAGGCACAAGAAATTCAATATCAAAAGAGTGGCCAAGATGCAGATCGTCAAGAAGACCATCCATGCAATTCGCTCCGGTCTCTATCCGACCGATTGTACGCCTGCCTTGACGGAAGCCGTTCGCGCCACTCTCGCCTCTTCGTTCTCCGAAACCTCGGTGCGCATCATAACGTCATATCTAGCTTCGCAGCTGTGTCGCACGACCGCAGCGACGGACATTCAGCCTTCGAAACCGACAAGACCCAAGCCACAGCGAGCAGCGACGCTCAACTCGCATCGCATAGCGTCGAACCTCGCAAACACTCGTTCACTAGGATCGGAACGAACCCCAGAGCCGCTTGCTTTGACGACTTCCGGTGCCTCTTCGGCAAACACGTCGCAGGCAACTCAGCAAGCGCTCGATATCTTTGAGCTCTTGGCCGATATGCTCCAGGAGCGTCGCAGCCACCTTCTACGCTTTGCCGACGCAGTCAACGTCAAATGGTTCCTCCTTTTCTTCCACCCTCGAGCCGAGCGAAGAGCCGCAGAATTAGCTTTAAGCATCCTGGCTCGACTATTGCTGCTCCCGGAACTTGGCTATGCTCAGCGCCTGAGCACGTCCGGAGGCTTCAAGGTGCTTGAAAGGCTCTTGCCTCGCTTCTGGTCCATCCCTTTGCTCCTTCCTACCTTGTGGACAGTGCTGTTTGGGCACGACGTGCCACAGATATCAACATCCTGGTTCGAACTCATTGTTCCACCCCGCAGCAGTAGCCAAGCGAAGCCCATCCACTGTGCCCCTGTCCTACGAACAATTCTGTCCTGCTTGAAGAAAGGCATGCAGGCTTCAGCGACGACGCAAACTTTATCGTACACCGGTCAGTCTCGCACGCTACCGCCACGGCCAACGGCCACAGTGAACCGAGTCTCTTCCTCTTCGGCCTCGCACTCGGATGATCTCGAAGTGAGTGTCCTGCAAGCTCCACGACGCACACACACCCGCAAGCGTAGTCAATCGATGGATGTCGACGTCAAAGCCTTGGAGCGGGCCGCTCAGGCTTCGGTCGAAAGGGCGATGTTGCGCGACACTGCAGAGCTCCTCTGCGCATATGGCGTTCAATCTGAGGAATTCAAAGAGCTGTTGTTCTCGCCCATTATCCTTCGTGGACTGGTCGACTGCATCTTTGTCTTCATCGACCAAGCTGATTCGTCGGACAACACGATGGACACTGCAGGCGCAGCATTCGGAGAAAGTGCTTCCGCGGCGAAAAGCAGATCAGAATTCCCTCGAAATCCAAACTCGCCACGGTCAGCATCTGTGCGAAACGAAATCCGCGGGATGGCCGATTCCATGCTGGACTTGCTGGCAGATCTCGCCACGGACTCGCTCCTCTCAACGCACTCGATAGCCATCGTGTCGGCCATCGAACAGGCGCTGCCGCCCTCGGAGTTGGCGCAGCAAACCATCTTTCGCTGTCACCTTCTCGTCAAGATCACACGGAGGCTGCGGCTGTCCATCGCAGAACATCCCCTCGGCGCAGCCACATCCGCCGAGTTCATTGCGCTCTTCATCGAGACGGCTTCCGGCGAAGTTCTGTCCGGCCAGGTCAAGCTGGAGGAGGAGCTGTACAGAGCCACGCTGGATCTGCTAGGCGCTCTTCTGAAAGCTGCTCCACGCGATGCAAGACAGTCGAGCCGTGCTGTAGCGACACTATACATGAGCCTCAACCGTATCGTGCTGCTACGTCTCGCAAACGAGGATCGCCACATTCAGACACTGAGCGAGGTCTTGCAGAGCCAGGACGTGATTCTGCACCCAGCAAACCAAGACCGCATCTTCTTCGAGTGCCTCGTCAACCGGCTGCTTTTCGTGTCGGAATCCACGGCTCTGAGCTCTGACCAAGAATTGGCCGCCGATGTCCACATCAAGACGTTCACGCTTTTCAACCTCGTTGCCCTGGCACGGCCTGCCATTGTGGAAGGTGACGCTATGGCCATGTTCAACGCAACGCAGCAGAGGAACGCGATTCCAGCAGCTGTTGGACCTGCTGATCACATCCAAGAGGAAACTCCAGTACAGCGGTCGGCCATTGTGTACGACGCAGCTTGGAACAGCATCTCAAAGACTCGAGAAACCCTCAAGACGGCGGCCCATATGGAGCGACTGCAACAGCTGCATGACTCGCTTCGTCGAACTGACACACGAGAGCAGGTGGTGACCAGCACCGAGAACCGCATGATTGCGTGGCATGCCAGCCTGGTTGACGCGGAGCTCGTCCGCAAAGCCAAATTCGTCAACGACCTGCGTGAGATGCAGACGTTCGCCGAAATGCAATGGCGCAGGCTGCAAGCAGGCCTCACACGGGAGCGGGCATTGCTGCAGGATGCTACGTCCAGCAAAGACGACAGCGCTAATCCGAAGAGCCGAGGCATATGGCGCCTTGATCCCACTGAGGGTCCAGACCGCATTCGTCTGAAGATGCACCTGCTGGACGCATCCGCAGTTCGTGCAAGCGACGTAGTTGCGCCTCAGCTGGCCGAGCATGTACCTGCTAAGACCTCGGATTCGCCCGCTACGAAAGGCTTGCACGGTGATGCTTGGGGCAGTGCGGACGGTACGGGCGTCGAGGTAGATCCATTGCCGTCGCTGACGGCCTCCGGAACAGCGGATAGCCTCGTCGAGGCCATTAAGGCGGGCTCCGATCCGTCCGCAAGCCCCGTGGAAATCTCTGACGCTACAGCAGCAGAGGCTTCGAACGAGACATTCCACGAGGACAAGTACCGTCGCGTGCTACGTTCACTCGAGCGCGGCGATGTGATTGAGGCGGTCTTCAACACCTCGCGTGTGGTTGGCATCGAATCGAGGGGATGCCTGCTCATTCTTGGCAAGTTGTGCGTATACCTGATGGACGACTACTTCCAGCGACCTAATGGCGAGCTCATCAATGTGTGGGAAGCACCTGCCGAGGAGCGTGACACGCTTGTGATGGCAACATTGGCAGGCGATGCCTCCAAGCCGTCCGATCTCTTGCGCGATCTCGAGGGCGACGCGCAAACGCGAAAGTGGTCCTGGTCCACGTTGCAGGCCTGTCACCGCCGTTCGTGGCTGCATCGCCGAACAGCTGTCGAGATCTTTTTCGAGGACGGACAAAGCTGCCTGCTCGTATGTCCGGAGACGGCCACCGCGCAGAAGATGCATCAAGAATTGCAGATCCGCGCGCCTTCCGCCGTCGCATCTGCAGAGGCGATGCGGGAGGGCATTCGGGAACGCGGCGCAGGAAGCGGTGGCTCATCATCATCTTCGGCAGTATCACCGTCTGGTCTTGGCTCGAGGCTTGCCGGAGCTGTACTGGGTCGCAATGCTGGTTGGGGAGCGATGACGACAGCATGGCGCGAAGGTCGCATGAGCAACTTTGCGTATCTCATGGCGCTCAACACGCTAGCGGGGCGGTCGATGAACGACTTGACGCAATTCCCGTGCTTTCCGTGGGTGTTGGCAGACTATACCAGTGAGGAGCTAGACCTGGAACAGCCTTCCACTTTCCGCAAGCTCGAACTGCCCATGGGCGCTCAGACGCCCATCCGACGCAAGGAGTACGAGGACCGCTACGTGCAGCTGCAAGAAGTCGACATGGAGCCGTTCCACTACGGCACGCACTATTCGACTGCTTCGACCGTGTGCGGCTTCCTGATCCGAACCAGACCGTTCGAGCGGCTTCTGATGGCACTGCAAGGCGGCAACTTCGATCTGGCAGACCGGACGTTTGGCTCAATCGGCAAGGCGTGGATGTCGGCGTCTGAGCTATCGCGCGGCGACGTACGCGAGCTCATTCCCGAGTTCTTTTACTTGCCAGAATTCCTGCGCAACACGAACCGCTTCGATTTTGGCATAACGCAGGCTGGTGAGATCATCGATGACGTCGAGCTGCCTCCTTGGGCCAAAGACGACCCGCGCCTCTTCGTGCTGAAGCACAGGGAAGCGCTCGAGTCCGAGTACGTGTCGCAGCGGCTGCATCACTGGATCGACCTGGTTTTTGGCTCCCGATCGCGCGGAGACGAGGCGGTGGAGAGCACAAATGTCTTCCATCCGCTCAGCTATGAAGATGCCGTGAATCTGGATTCCATTGAGTCCGCCTTGGAGCGTCAAGCGGCGGCGCAGGTGATCCACAACTTTGGACAGACGCCTTCGAAGCTTTTCCGCCATCCGCATCCGCAGCGATTGCGAAGGCTTCACGTCTCGCTCTCGGCGTCGGAGCGATTCGGCATGCTGGAGCATCCGAGGCTGATTGTCCAAGGCATCGCGCCGATCCGCACGCTCAAGAACGCGGTCCACTTTATCTATCCGTTCCACCCTGAACGCGCCTTCGCTTCTCCCAAAGACTACCTCATCTTACCCAAGGCAGGAGTGTCGCTATCTACGGGTCACCTCGATGGCAGCTTGCGGATGTACAGCTCGCGGGACGCCAAGCGACCTCTGGCGGTGGTGGAGCAGATGGTGCCGGATCGCATCACGTGTTTGGCACAAGCTCGTGCCCATTCGATCGTAGCCGGCAGCTCGGACGGCATGGTAAGCATTTGGGACGTGGACGGTGCCAAGCGAGAGGTGACGCTGTCCACCTTGCTGCGGGGTCACGACGATGCGGTCCTGTGTGTCGCGGCTTCATCGGCGTGGAGCGTCGTGCTGACGGGATCCAAGGATCGCACCGCTATTGTGTGGGACCTCAATAGGGGCACGTATGTCCGCTCCCTGCGGGGTCACGACTCGGGCATCCAGCTTGTCGTCATCGATGAAAAAACGTGCAACCTGGCGACGGCAAGCGGACCGGAGGTGCGATTGTGGTCGATCAACGGAGAGCTGTTGGCGTGTTTGGCAACCAGTGCCAACATTTCGGAGCCAGTATCTAGCTTGAGGTTTTTCGAGCGCGACTACCACGTGGATCGACTCGCCGTGCTCCTTACGGGTCACCGCGGGAGGGTGATTGCATGGGAAGCCGTATCAGCGCACGACGCAGCATCGTCGAAGGAAGGTCGAGCATCGTCGTTACCCTCTGTGTCTGATTCAACGACGACGGTGAAGCAATCGCACAATCAGCGGCGTCTAGCTTCAGAAGGCAGCTACCACCAAGCAGCAGCCGCCAAGGGTCCTCTATGGCGACTCGCGCCATTACACGTGCTCGAGCACCAGGACCGTCTGAACGCAGATGGAGGTGCGCAAGGTGTCACGAGCGCAAGCACAAGCGCGCGAGCCCGACCGCTGATCACCGCCATCGCCACGACCCCCAAGATGGTGTTGACGGGCGACGAATACGGCAGGCTGTATCAGTGGACGCTGGTGGGAGACGCCGTGGCGGTGCCGGACTCGTTCTCTCCGCACTGCATGGGCGCAAGCTGCGGTAGACGCTTCGGACTGCTGGAAGGACGCAGAAGCTGTGCGGGATGCGGTGGCCTTTTCTGCGGTGCGTGTGCAACGGCGCACGGCGAGTTTGCAGCTCATCAACGATTCTGTGCTCACTGCCGTGATGTGACGGACAGCTCGGGATACTTTGACATCTGATCCCCCCAAGTGAGGTATGACAACTAAAGGGATCTCGCATCGTCTGTTTCATCTTGCACCATTGGTCGTACACAGTATCGCAAAGCATATTCATCAACGGTCAGAACATTGTGATTTGCTCTTGCCTGTCTGCGTATGAGTCGCTGAATGTGGGCGTCGATTGTCTGTTCAGCTTGTACTGCTTCCTCTGACCATGGTGGTCGAGCGTCGTCTATGAAGCGGCAGGGGAGGCGTATTCAAAGTAGCTCAAGAGCGCTCGAGCCAGCATGTAGGGTGATCTAAGAGGGTTCGTCGAGATGGCTGAGTCGCCATGTTCGAACTGAATCCTATCAGGATAGAAAATCCGAGTGGGGTTTTGTTATGGAAAATAATTCTTTAAAAAAAAAGAGAGAATTGCGGGGAACGAGAAGGGAAAGCGCTGGTAAGTTGTAGAAAATTCTAGAACTACGCGAGGCGACTAGTCGGAAACCGAGAAAAAGGACTGGTTGAAACATGGCTGCAAACAGTGTGGCGTCGTGAGAGCTGTCGAGCAACGAATGCAGATAATAACTGTCACTTTCTCACCATCGGCATCGTTCGCAGTTCTGTATCGCTCTTCAAGAGTGGCGACGAAGGGTCGAGAAAGCTCGGGAGCCTTCGTAGAGCTACTGGAAACAATCGGCTGTGGCTGCTAAAATCGACAGGCTAAGTCTGTGCTCTGCTCCGTCAGCGGCGGAGGGCTTGGCTGCTGAGCGTCGTGTGTGGTCTGTCCTGAGTCCCGAGAAGTGACTTGGAGAGACGGACTGAAAGGTATAAGAAGAGCTCCGTCCGGCCACATCTCGTCGACATCACCCATCGCTCAACACTACTGACACCAAGCACACGATCACTAAGGACTCAAAGCGACCATCTTACTCGCTACAATCCAATTCTTTCATGCGTCAAGCGCTCCGACTTCCACTGCCCAGCAAGCAGATCTCTTCCATTGCTCGCAACACCGTTTCACGTCCACGCTCATCTACACTTGCAAGCGCTCCTTCGATCCACAGTCGATCACTTTCGACCTCACGCAGCAACATGTCTCTTCTTCGACCGTCGAGCTTCTTCGCGTCGCCTTTGGACGACTTTGACCTGTTCCCTTCATCGGCTCTTCGCGAGCTGATGACGATGAACCCGTTGGCCATGGCGGCTGCCAGTCGACCCAACGTGAATGCGGGCGACTATCGGATTTGGTCTGGCCCCAAGGTGGACCTGCACGAAGAGGACACCAAGTTTGTGCTGACGGCTGAACTGCCGGGCGTCAAGAAGGAGGATCTCAAGATCAATGTGGACGCCGACCGACGCAGGCTGACTCTGGAGGGACATATGAAGAGCGAGTACTCGTCGCAGCCCGCAGCTTCGACCCAAGGAGATGCCAACGGCGGCAACAACGAGTCGCACACGGATGGCAAGGACGCCGCCGAACACAACGGAAAGACTTCGACGCAGGTGGCCAAGCAGGACCAGACAGGAGCTGGACAGGTCGGCACGGTAGGTCACGCCCTGGTGTCTGAGCGTGTCTACGGTTCGTTCAGCCGCTCGTTCACGCTGCCTCCAACAGCCAACCTGGGCGACGACTCGAGCCTCAAGGCGCGCTTCAACGACGGTCTGCTTCGACTCGAGGTTCCCAAGAGGAAGGAGGAGCACTCCAAGACTCGCCAAATTGCGATCGAGACGAGCTCTTGATGAAATTGAATCGCTAGCAGTCCACAACTCACCGGGCTTCCGATCAGTTGCCGTCTCGTTCTCATACCACCCGTTTCTCGTCAAACATCCTAATTCGCAATTGGTCATCGTCTCCCGCATCGCAACTTGTTCCCTGACCGTGTTCGCAACTTGACATCTGTCTTTCTCATCATTCCCCCATGTTTGTTCGTCCGTTTGCAAATTCTAAACAGTTTGTTCGAATGTATGCTCGAGGAATGAATGGGAGTGTCGAGATCTGGGCAGATTGAGTCGAGGTGATGTCGCCTGCTGAACTGAGCATTGTTCGTCGAGTGTTAGAGCATATCCCAAACCTTGTTGCCTGCTGAGACTCGGCTCCAGAGCAGTGTGTTGATGCTGATGTACACTGTAGATCTCCACCTCGGCAAACATGCAGAACGGCACGGCGAATTTCAGCAATGATTTCAAACACAGCACAGCAACACCGGCAGAGAACAACACATACAAGCAGGACCCTTATGCTGCTTTTTTTTTTTTTTTTGAAAAATCGGCGCGCATTCTCAGTCTCTCTTGGCAGCAAGCATATGGTCAGATTCGGCCAAAGAAGCAGAGACTGCAGCAGCACTGCACTGCTCCGCACCGCCACTCTCTGTCGGTTGGAATATATCATCTTCCGGCCTCCCTCCTGCCTTTTTTGTCGCCTTCATCTTCGACCTGGTCACCACGATCGAACAAGTAGCAACGACCACCACCACCATCTTCTCGATCGATACTGCTGGTCATCATCCCCACGTTACAAGTGACCGGTTCACTTTTGCCATTCATCCATAGACGCCGGCGTCTTTTTCTTCTTCTTCGAAATCATGTTCCGTTTCACTCGTCTATTGAGCGTCGTCGCGGCGCTTGCGGCTGCCTGCAGTCTCGTGGGTGCAATTCCTCACCCGGACCTTGCGAAGCGTGCAAGCGTTTGCAATGGAGACGCCTCGCTCTGCAATCGTCTCTACTCCAACGTCACCTACATTGGCGCTCACAACAGCTACGCCGTTGGCACTCTGCAAGGCGCATCCACTGGAAAGAATCAGGAGCAGTCGGTCACTCAACAGCTCACCGACGGCATCCGTTTGCTCCAGGTGCAAGCTCACAAGAGTTCCAACTCCACTTCTGGCTCCGGCATCGACCTTTGCCACTCTTCGTAAGTATTGCATCGGCAGTGCCCTGCCTGACAGTTTTCAACCCACTTGTTTGCATGTGCAGCTCGCTGACCCTTCTCGCAATTTTCTCCCACCCGCTTTGTTGCGCTTTCCTCCATACACTACAGCTGTCAACTTGAAAACGGCGGCACACTTGAAAACTACCTTTCCCAAGTCAAGTCGTGGGTCGATTCGAACCCTAATGAAGTCATCACGATCCTCATCGTCAATTCGGACGACCAGCCAGTCAGCTCCTTTGGAAGCGCCTTCCAGTCCACCGGCTTGGCATCCAAAGCCTACTCCCCCGGCACAGCTGCACTTTCAAAGTACTCGTGGCCAACGCTCGGTTCGCTCATCGACTCTGGTAAAAATCTCGTCGTCTTTATCGACAATTCTGCCGACGTTTCTTCGGTCCCCTACATCCTGCCCCACTTTCAAAACACCTGGGAGAACCCGTACGACCAGACATCTACACCTTTCAACTGCACCGTCGATCGAATCAACTCGGGCAGTCAGGCCAGCAACTTGATGTACCTCATCAACCACTACCTCGACTCGTCCTTCAACCTGTTCGGAACCACTGTGCTCGTCCCCAACACGGCGCAGTTGAACACCACCAACAGCTTGAGCTCGATCATGACTGACGCCAACAACTGCGCAAGCATGCATGGCTCCAGCTACCCCACCTACGTCTTGACCGACTTCTACGACGTCGGAAGCGGCAGCGTCTTCCAGGCCGCCGCTAGGATGAACAATGTCCAGTACACTGCAAAGGCCATCGGAAACGCTACGAAGAGTGGTTCCAGCAGCTCCAGCAGCTCAAGTTCCGGTACGGCGCAGAGTCACAACATGCAACGTGTCGTAGCTGCTGTTCTCGGCCTGACGGGCGTGGCGGTCGCTTCAACGCTGCTCTAGAAGCCCACATGGGCGGTCTGATGATATACCGAACCCGTCGTGGTGGCACCTTGTTCTCGGCGCTGTCAGGGCGTCACATTCTCTGTCGACCTCAATTCTCAATCGGACAATTTCATTGCAATTTCAATCCTTTCGTAATTCGTATTCGCCCGTGTCGACGAGCAAAGAGTCAGCTTGAGCGAACGAACTTCTATTTCCGAAGACCGGCAAGGACCGAAGTGACATCTTCTCTGGCACATGTCTCAGTCGCGAAACTGAATCTTGGCACCCGGCGGCATAGCGCCCCATTGAGGAGGGGGAGGCTGTTGCTGCAGCGGTGATGCTGGCGGCTCTTGTTGCTGGTGTTGCTGCTGCGAAGTCCGTGTTTTGGATCTCGTCTGCCTGGCCGGCGACGACTGGATCTGCTGCGGCTGAGCGAGCGGCGCTTGCGGTGCCTCGTGCTGCTGCTGCTCGACGCTCATCCTTCCCATCTGGTGCACCAACCAGTGCAGATCCACCTGCCTGGCTCTCGCCCACTCCTTGACTCCATCCCTGTATCCGCTCAGAATCTTCGCCAGGCCATTGTAAAACTCCAACCCTTCCACCAAATTGCTCGACAGCTCCCGGTACTTGACGTAGGCGGAATCGAGGTTCTGAAGTGCCTTCTCCCTGCGCTGGATCGTCGCATCGCTGCGGCGTGCATTCACAAACGCGGCGTTGCACTCTTCGATCCTCTTGAGCAGCGTTTCCTGCTGCGCGGAGGAGTGGGAGAGGTCGGAGGTGTATCGAGAGTACTTCCGCAGTTGTTGGTCGAACAGCTCTTCGAAGTCGGCGGCAGAGACTTCGGAGGTTCCGGAGATGTTGGTGGAGAGCGAGGCGGCTTCGCGCAGGACGAGCGGGCGGATGTCGTCGGATGCAGCGAGCGATTTGGCTTCCGTGACGCAAGCGGAGCGCGAGTCGAGCAGGTCGTCGAGGTGTTCGAGTTGTTCGCGAAGCGCTCGCACCGCTGTGACTTGTTCGTCTGAGCCTCGTGCTCCCGCGCCGGTAGACAGATTCGGGTTGGAGGAAGGTACGAATGCCTCCAAGCCGACAACGTTGCCACCGAGCACGCCAATCAGATCTTCCCAATCCTCCAGCTTGCGCCTGACGATGTCGTCCGACGCAGCAGCCTTCATCAGCGTACCATGGTACTCGGCAGCTTGCGCCTTCAACTCGGCGTTCACCTCGGCGCTACTCTGCCGCGCCCAGCCGGATTGCTCGCCGAACGACGATCGAACCGACTCGTCCTCCCTCTCCTCGTGCTCGATTAACGCCAACGCCTCCGCTAGCGTATCTCGATCGGTAGCGGCGATCCGAGCTACGTCGTGTGCGATGCGTTGGAGGCGTTCGAGCCCTCCTTCGGCGACCACCTCTTCGTGCTTTCGTAGCAGCGAAGGTGGTAGCCCCATGGGCTGTTCGAGAGCCTGCAGGGAGCCGGGTAGGTTGAGGCTTTGGAGTGTGGATGTTGCAATGGCGTCGAGTTCGTCGCGTTTGCTGGCGATGGCGTCACGCACGAGGGAGTCTTTGCGATCGTCGTAGATGCTGATGGCTAGGTGGACGCCATACGGTACCAGCTCGGCGAACAGCGGTCGGCCGTACGCTGATCGAGATCCGCCCGCGGCAGCATCGCGCAAGTGTGCGATCGGTTGAGCCACTTCGGCAGGTACGACAGGTTTGACCATGGCAGCGGGTTGAATGGGCGAAAGCTGCGCGGCGGGTGTCACGGCCTCGAGGTAGATGAGGTCGTTGTCGCGAGTAGCGCGTGCAACGTTGTTCTTGAGGATGGCTTGCAGACTCTCCAGATCGCTGGTGATGGCATTGCTGACGCCCCTCTTGGCTGAATCGAGCGCCTTCTTGACGTTTTGCTCGGCGACATGCAATCTGCCCAGCTCGTCGCCGTAGCGATTGGCAGCCAGATCGTCGCACGCCTTTCGGTATTGTGCTGCTGCTGCGAAGTGCCAGCGCTTCACTGTCAGGTGGTTCGCCCATCCCGAAGGAAGCGTCAACTTGGCAGTGTCTGCTGGATCCGGTTTGGTACTGTCGTCTGATGCAGGTGCTTCGGTGACAGCTTGTAGAGCGGAAGCGTAGTAGTCTGCAACTTTGGCGGCGAGTTTCGCTATGGTGGCATCCTTCAAACGATCCATGACCGCTTTCTGCCAGAAGCACTCCTGTGCCTGTGCCAGCATGAGGTCTCGCACGCAGCTGAGCAGGCGTGGATTCAGATCGGCCGATGGCGGGGAAAGATGGCGTGTCGGCTCGACAAGATGGTCGATGATGTGCTGGAGCACTCCGGCTGCATTCTGGAACCAGGCAGTCGCGCGTTTGATGCTCTCGTTCTCCGCCCTTGATTCTGCGCATCCAAGCGCCGAGTACAGCGCGGCGAGGCTGAAGAGTAAGTTGGCGCGTTCGAATGCGAGATCAGGATGCGCCACACTGTCGCTGGTGGCATACGAGATTCCGGAAGCGGTGCCTGCCTCGGCTGACTTTGTCGCCTCCATTGCTCCCGAGATTGTAGTCGTCCATGATGGCAGGGATGGCGGGAAAGAGAGTGACCAAGGGAAGGAGAGGTTGATGTTTGCAGGGAACTTTGTGGAGAAAAAGACGAGCTGAGCATGGTAGCGAAGCAGCGGCTGGATGCCGGATACGTGTACCTCTGGTGTGTTTATCTGATCTCGTAGGCGGACAAACTCGCGAAGATCGTTGGAAAAGGCGTCCGGATGGGTGTCGGTGTAGTTTTCAGAGATGTAGTTGCGAATGGCAGTGGTAAGTGCGCTGGAAATGGAAGGAGTGCGCTTCGGTGGGACGGCCAAGATGTTTCGTGGCATGGCTGGCTGAGTGTCGACTGCAGCTGCGTCTGCCGCAGCGAGCGATGGTGTGTGAGCAAGAAGGATAGGACGAAGGTGACGAAGAGAAGGACAAGGTCGGTTGAGCTGCAAACCTCCACCTCAACACGCACCACTCACAGACTGCCACTTTGGCCCTTTCAACACGCCGAGCCAAGCCAAGCCAGGCCAAGCCAGGCTCGCACTGTGACGCAACTCGGCCGTAAATCTCCCAATTTCGGAAGTCGGAATGCACAGACGACGCAGCTCCGAGAAATTTTTCGATTGCCGTGCTTCTTCTCCACCTTGCTGCTGTCATCTTCTTCCTCCTTCTCGTACAGACATCGCCGTCATGTCTGCCCAAGCTTCAACCTCAACATCCGGCGCAGCGGCGGCTGAAGAGCAGCCAACGCCGCAGCAGCTCCTCTTCGCCAAGTCCATCATGCTTACGTTTGAGCTGTGGCCTGCAATGCGTCTCGCCGTTTCGGAAGAATGGGGCGGCCCCGACTCCGCCGACAAGCGCGACTTTTTGCTATCGCACCTTTGCGACGAGTACGGTAACCCAGGCTCCGCATTCGAGCCCGATCTCGATGACCTTGCAGACGTCCTCGAGCACTACATGATTGACGAGTACGAAGCGCGCCTCGAAGACGGCTCCCCAGACTGGGTCGCTGGCCGCATTGTGGGCCTGCACCGCGTCATTTTCGGTCCCGACGACGATCTCGCACGCGCTCAAGCTGCAGTAGCTGAGCTCGAAAAGGCCTACCAGGATCTCAAGGGCAAGAAGGCCACATTTCAACAGGGTCCCAATCAGGATGGAGAGGTGGATTCGCACAGCGAGGACGAAGACATGCGTGACGCGAGAAGCATGGCGCAGCAGCATGGCGGGATCACCGAGGCGGATAGGCAAGGTGCACAAGCCGGGCTGGAACAGGACCAGGCGAGATCGACAAGAGAGCCGCAGCAGCCCATCATTGACGAAGATGGATTCGAGACGGTTGTTTCGCGAAGGCGTCGCAAGTAACTCTCAAGCGCATGTATCATCCGCCGAACCCTGAAACCACACTCTCTGCTTCTGAAGGATCTCAATGCGATATGAGTCTTAAGCAAACTACGGTTCCGTTACCATGAGTTGAGACTTCATCACAATCCGTCCTAAGCGACGTTAAGGTCAAGTCGTTCAACCATGAAAAAAAGAAAATGGAATACGAAAAAAGCGGCCCTGAAAATTGCCAAAGAAATTGGAATTTGAGACCGCCGCCGCAGGCTGGCACGCGATCAACTTTTACCGATTTTGCCCTAATTCGACAGCTGTCCAATCCTGCCAGATATATCACTTTCCCTCGCTGCTGTTTTGTGACGTTCGAGCAGCAGCATCAACCTGTCTATGCATTGTCGATCTATTCTGCTCTTTCAAGACCTGCAGGTGGATAGCTATCCACAATGCTTCAACTCGTATATGTCTCACTTGTCTCTCCCATGTGAACTTGGCCTAAGCGCTAAAAGCAAACTTCTACTTTCGGTCGGGTGTTTCCCAGCCATGGCCTTTCCCTAATTTGCACCGAGTCAACCGAGTCCGTTGACCCTATCAACAGAAGCTACTGTACCTTCAAGAATCGAGAGAAGTCCGTGAACCTGAAGAGTGTCTTAACTTCGATACGCCAACGCCTCACTTTACAATCTATCATCGCCTCAGATCGCTCTGTTCAGTTCCGTTCGTACCACCATCACCACACCATCTTTCGCAAGGCACCCATACACATCTCACCTCGCTGTCCCTGCAGAACAGCAGGCAAATCTGCACTTCATGTGGGCTGGTGCCTCTTCAGGCTGGCGGAAGCGTCAGCAAAACACGAAAGCAAGACTGGGTATCAACGTCGAGCGACCCAATCCGCTTTCCGATCCCTCTGGTTCTACCTTGGCATCCCAGGGCTCTATCATCGACAGCGTGGATTCGCTTTTGGTGACCAAGAGGCAGACCAATGATGAGACAGCCGGAGAGATAGAGGATCAGGGTGCTCTCGAAGCGCTGACCTACAATAACGGAATGTGGACAACCCCAGCCGCAGCGTCTATCGCAAGCCCAACGCCACCAGCTTTAACAGCCACCGTCCCCGTGGCTCCCATGGCCAGTCTCACAGACCTTGATTCCGAATCAAACACCATCTCAGCTTCAGCAGTATCGACAGATGCTGCATCTCTCACCTCCACGACGGCGGCGAGGCCGACATCCGTCACCCCTCTCCCTTCGTCTTCCTCTTTGACTGGGACCTCGTCCTCCAGCAGCTCTTCTACGAGTGCAACTCCCTCGCCGACCGACAAAGCACACAGCAATGCTCATTCAGGCAGCGGAGGCTTCCAGCTCATCTACTTGACCCCAATCTTGGTTTTCGTGGGTCTTTTCCTCCTATTTTCTGTAGGTGGTCGCATGTGGGGCCGATACCAACACGCCTCTCGTGTCGAAGCCGCCCGTCGCGCACAGTATGACAAGCGAGCCTCTCGTCAGGCCAAGAAGCGGGAGATGCAGCGCATCAAGACCATGTGGGGTTACGATCAGACTCCTATCCTTCCACCAGAGCTTGCACCGGGCGAGCACGACCTCCACTACAAAGACCCAAGCGCTCCTTCATCGAAGAAGAGCCGCTCAGCGCTGTCCGGGCAAGGCGAAGCAGACAGCTCGTTCGGCAGCGACTCGGAAAGCGGCGCCAGCGGTAAAAGCTCAGAGATCGACGACAGATATCCCGGCACTTTCAAGATCCTTTCTTTGGCCCTTCTCGGTGAAGGTAGCAAGTCGGGGCCGCCAGAGACAAGAGGTGAAGGTGGCAGAAAGTATGAGACAGGAGTGCAAAGCAACGGGTGGATCGCGACCAAAATTCGTAGGTGGGTTGGAGCCGATGAGAAAGACATGACTATTGATGACGAGAGGTACACGGCTGCGCCCTACAAGGCTGGTGCGAGACGTATCAGACACGCCCTCAGTCGCGATCAATTGCGCGGTTCAGGTGCTGATGAAGAGTACAACGAGAAAGATCTCCATTCGCCAACGACCACGCTCTCGGTCGGTAGCGGGGAGATGAAGACGAAAGAGAGGTTCGGCTCCATTGACCTCACAACGCAATACCAGCCAAACACTTACTACGGTCTTGGCCACAACTACAACCAAACCGGAACGGACGACCCATTCCTTACCACTTCGAACGATGGCGTGGTTCCGGGATGGAAGAAGCCACTGCCACCACAGCCAAAAGAATCTCCCTTTCGACCCGCTATTCTCAACTTCGGCCTTCGATCTCGCTCCAAGCAATACGATCCCATCGATCCTACCAATGAGGCAGATACACCTGTCAAGCGCGCTTTACTTCAACAAGATCACGCCGACGAAGCTGGCGGTTTCCTGCCGAAGACTTTCGGACTGGGCATCTCTGGTGTTTGGAAGACGATTACTGGCATGGCCAATCCCGCTGCAGCGGATGCCGCCCGTGTGCCCACAGAGGACGACGAGGAGAGCTTCGTTGGTCGTCCTTACCAAGCACATTCGGATGCAATGATGAGCGAGAGCGACACGCCCTATTCCACTCGAGACGTTCATTCGTCTCACGGCTACATTGAAGCAGGCACGCCCACCAAGTCTCGTCAGCTCGGACGAGCGGGAACTGTGCTCAACGTCAAGTCGACCAATCAGCCTTGGAACGCCTATCAACGCGAGCAGAACGTCACACCGCAATCGGCAGCAAAGAAGATGACGGGTGCAGCGTGGCATGAAGCGCTACTTGCCAGCCCTCCAAACAAGCAGCAGCAACAGGTGTTCCAGCCCTTCGTCCAAACCACAAGCCCTTCTCCCACCCGACCGGCAAAACACCACAACCTGGCACCTCGTAAATCTCTCCTTCTGCATCAAGCTGTTGCGTCGGCAGCAGCCGCAGCCGATTCGAACCTAGCCAACGCTACTTCCCCTGCGCAGTCATCGACAGGCTACAGTGATCTGGTTGCGTGCTACTCGACGCCTAGTGACGCCGTCCAATCGCCTGCCGAGGACGTGATGAGCCCGGCATCGATTCGTGTCCTGTGCCCTCCTGTAGCAGTTCGCACCGATGCTACCTTGACGGAGGAGAGCCTCGGAGCGAGACAAAAGCTGCAACGCGCAAAGACGGCCAAGTATGCAAATGACGGGCGCGGATACGAGCGTGAAGGCGATGGGGGTTCGACAATGGCAGGCAGACCTATTCAGAGGAGCAAGACGGCTTCGACTGACGCCTCGGCTGCCCGTAGCGAGGCACGTGTAAGTCGAAAAGGAACGGTCCACCATAGCATGCGTCCTGTCGCAAGCAGGGCTCCAAGCGTTGAGACGCAAGAAACGCAAGGCTCAGAACAAACTAGTTCTGCACTGTACCCTTCCACATTCACCCAGCCGCTGCGAGTAAGCAAGCAGCCACCGCCCATCACTTCACCGGCATCGTGCTACTCGTCAGCTTCGTCGCCCAGCAGAGGATCCGTCTCCATTCCCGCGCGTGCCTCGTCAACATCACCATCGAAACCGTCCCCATCAACCTTCCCCGGAAGTCGAACCAGTACAAACCTCCCTTCGGCTTTGCGGATCGCTTCACCTGAGCCGCTTTCCTCTCATCATGCCCAACATCAACCGCTCGCTCTACCGCTGCTGAGCCATCCGCACTATCGTCCCGAATCCTCCGCATCTCCGCCAAAGCGAACCAAAGCCGTGTCGAACCGCTCCAACGCATCCGCCAACGAGGAGGACGACATCGACGAGCTGTCTGCTGCCAACCACGTTGCGGCTGCGGCGCGCTCCGCGGCTCTCAAGGCGCACAATCGCACGACGGCGCTTCAGACGGTGGATGCCATCGTCTACCAGGGCTATGCTCAACATCGCTAGTCTCTCTTCGCTTCTTTAATTGGTCTGCTGTCAATCGGTGTCAAATTGTGAAAAGTCATGACAAGTCTTTAATTCATTGCTGTTCCGAGAGCTGTTTGCAAGTGATTCTGAATTTCGCGAAGTGCTGCGTCCAAAATCGTTGCTATCGTTCCTATGTCGTTCGTTAGATTCGTGAGAAAAGTTTTTCGTCATCCGGCGCCCCTACTCTCCAGATCACAGAGATACTATCCTTCAAGGGGAAATGCCGATCAAGGCTTGTTCCTGGGTCCAAGTGGGGTAAAAGTGTAGCATATCCTGAATCTGCGAATTTCGAAAGTTGCGTCAGTGCCCGTCCTTGCCTTCTTGCTCCATGTCGGCCAAGAACTTCAGATAGCTCTTTTTGAAAATGACACCCCTGTACAGACCGCGTTCGTCGACGACGATGAGGTACCTCACACCCAAGCGAGTGAAGTACTGATGCACCAATTCGAGCGGCGAGTGAATCTGCACGGTGATGGGCGCTTTGTCGACGTAACGACTGAGGTCGAACGGGTCAGAAGCCGTGAAGAGGACCGAGTCACGGATGCCTGCCTCGCCTTCATGCTCGGCCCTGACAAAGGGCAAGTTCTTGAAAGCGCATCGTGCGGTTTGCAGATTCACGTCTGGATCGGATCTGACAGCACGGGCTAGGGCATGCTCGAGCTCGTTTGCCGCAATGTAGCCCACCATCTGATACGCTACCGTCGCCGTCGAAGATGCAAAGTCGTCGTGAATAGGCAAGCGAGGGCTGTGATCAGGCATCAACGATCCGATACTCGCAGAGAGGCCGGGGGAGACTGGCGGATTTGCCGATTGAGAAGATGTCGCGACACGCGAGACGATTGGGAAGCCACCGTCAGTGTATCCCGATCCCCGCGCGAGACGATCGAGCTTCTCGCTGAGTGACTGGACAGTGTTGAAAGCCTCTAGACTGATCACTTCCACCTCGGTTTCCATTGCATCGGCGACATTGACACCATTCCAAATGTACTCGGTCTTGCTGTCGAGGTAGGGTAATCCGGAAAAGTCGATGACCAGATCGTAGATGCCCTTGTGCTCGAGTGCATCTGCAATCGTCTTGGCTACGAGAATGGAGAGCATGACTGGCACCGAGTAGGTCAAAGTGTCGGTGAGCTCAAACATGATGACGGCGAGCGAGACGGTGGTTCGGGTGACGCCGGAAAGCGCAGCTGCCGCTCCGACCATGGCGTAGACGCCTGGTACGATGCATGCCGAGTCCGAGGTAGGGCACCAGCCGAAAAAGGCAGCATCTGGATGAGTCCACTGCACATACTGTACGAGCAAGCCGACGATGCGACCGAAGCAAGCGCCCACAGCCAGCGTTGGAATGAAGATACCAGCGGGCAGCTTGATGCCGAACGTGATGATCGTGAGCAGACCCTTGAGTATCATAGCGCTCGAAATGGCAGTGACAAGCGGGCCGATCTGCGAGGGTTGCGAGACGCAGAGCCCTTCGAGCGATTCGTGCTCATGACACTCGCTGAACAGGTCGGCGATGAGCTCGACCCCGCCCATGCGCGTGTAGCCATTGAAGTAGGAGAAAGCAGCGGAGACGATGGTGATGGAGACGACCTCGAGGATCGGATGACGGGCCATCCAGGTCTTTGCGCGGACGTTCTTGGCCCAAAACATGTTGAGTTTTGTAAAGTAGGCACCGTACAGGCCGCCAAAAATGCCAATGAGGACAAAAAAGAGCATCTCGTAGAAATGCCAATCCTTGTCGTAGGTGACCTGGAATAGGACGATCTTGCCGGTGCCGAAGGGATCGATGGCGCGAAGGGTAGCAGCGGCGACCATGGCGCAGAAAAAGGAGCGGAACATGACTTTGCTGGGAAAGTAGTAGCTCACCTCTTCGAGCGAGAAGAGCACGCCGCCGACGGGAGCACCGAAAGCGACTGCGACACCAGCCGCGCAGGCGCAAGAAAGCATCTCGCGACGCTTGCCCTCGTTATTTTCGTACTTGGGAAAGATACGGCAAACGATGTTGCCGACGCAGGAAGCGATGTGGACGAAGGGGCCTTCCTTACCGAGCGAGAGGCCCGAGGCGACGGAGAGGGTGAGACCCACCGACTTGGTGAAGAGAGTCCAAAAGCCGAGGTAGCCGTGGATTACAAAGCCGCTAAGGATGCATTTGACTTCGGAGATACCTGAGCCTGTTGCAAAGTAAAGCACCTTTCTGGGCAGGAGCGCATCCTTTGCTCGTTGATCGTTGGCGAGGCGAGCAAAGTTCCTCGACGTCACACGATCTGCCTTCTTGACAGCGGCGGCGGCGGGAGTAGAGGAAGAGGATTGACCTAAGAGAGCGGTGGTCTCGTTGGGCACACGGTCCGGGTCGTCGATATCCTGATGCTCCGCAGCTAGTTTCTGATTCGCGATTGAACTCGTTGGCGAAGGAGCATCTTGAGGCTTGAGGTAGAGCTCGCTGGAGGTGAGATAGATTGTGAGAATGCTGGCGATGGAGGCCCACAAAACCGCTACGGCAAAATACATCGAGTAGCCGGCAAACCAGTTGTCATGATTGGGGGAGCCAAACTTTTGACGCCAGGTGATCCATCCGGGACAGGTCTCGGTCTCGGAATCAACGGGGGCGATCGAAGCAAGCAAAGTGGTGTTGACGAGGTTAGCGGAGGTAGATGCCAACTTGGACCAGGCAGGACTGCCAGCCACAGGTGCTGACCAGCCACCTAAGACGCGGTTGCCCTTTCCAAGGCCGGAAAGTAGGGAATGTGCGGTTTGGGCGGGTGAGGCTGAGCCTGGGACAGCGTTGGACATGAAAGGCGTGCGATAATACCAGGAAGAAGCAGTGACCGAGGGGTGATCCCAGTCCGGAGCGCCTCCGTAAGGGCAACAGAAGCGTTTTGCGAGCCTCCAGTCTCGGGCGCAGTAGCCGTCCTTGAGATCGAAAAGGACAGCTTCGGACTTGACGATGCACCCTGCGATCAAGGCGGTCACAATGCCGGTAATGGTGACGATGATCCAGCCTTGTAGGCGATCCCAACTGTTTGCAACAAACCCGCGGACGCCCTTGAGGTTGCGAATGCGACGAAGGCGCGAGCTCTCCTTGATGGCATCGTGAATCCAGTCGATGGTGGTGTAGGACTCGTACCATACACGTACGCCGTTTCCGCTCGCCCCTGGAAGGTTCATCTCGTCCTCGAATCTAGCATCATCATAAGCGCGTACCTTATTCCTACGACTCCTGCGAGAGCCAGGGCCAGCTTGGCCAGTGATGCCGCCATAAAAGGAGCGTATGGGACTTAAAGGCTCCTTGAGGAATTCTCCAAGACGCGACGAAGATGCTGCTGCTGGGTCGTCTTGGTCGGCCGAGTGGGTAGGCGGGGGAAGAAAGAGGGAGGAAAGACGTCTTACCTCCGACTTTGCCGAGTTGGTGCGTCTGCCGGCGAGGCGAGGACGTGCGGTGCTAGGTGCAGAGCGAAAAGCATGTTGGCTCTCCGAGCGGTCTGAAAGACCATCGTGCTGCGAAGTGACGGGACGTGTTGAGATTGACAGACCAGGATTGTGCGTCAACGTATCGTTGCTTGTATTACCGTGATCCGCCATCGTCACCGTCGACAGGGTGTTGCCAGCTAGTGGACGAGATCTTTTGATGTCTTCCGTCCGTAGGCGGGACGCTGGAGGCAAGAGGGAGGGCGGGTCGGAATGCGAGGCGGCTGAGATGAAGGCGGTGGAGCAAGTCGAGCGGGGTGTGAGAGCTTTCCGTAACCCTAGGCCTACCTCCTACCAGACCAGACAAGCCAAGCTCGAAGAAGAGGAGAGACACGGAGGGAGCAGAGGGAAACGCAGAAGAGTTGTGGCCAACGTTGCAGGCCGAACGGTTGAATGCGCCCGTCCGTCTCAACCGGATCAAATTACAGCCAAAACCAAGCTGCTGCGTGGCGTGTGTTGGTTGTCTTGTGGATGTCGAGCCCCTGCAGCCGCTTCAAATCCATTGTGGAGTGCTTGGCGCCGCGTGAACACATGCGTGTGTCTCTTTCCTCAAACCTTTTTTTTATTTCAATTTGATGAATTCTTTTGATTGCAGCGAGTGCCTATCGAAAGTGACACCTGCGTGCGGCATCGCGCTGTCCGACGACTGCGACGGTGCACCGCTCGGATCGCTGCCGAACCGAGTTCTCGAATGCCGAGGGAGTGTTCGTACCCATGTTGCCGACTGAAGTACCGCGGCGACTGAAGAGGGGTGCTTCTGATCTTTCACCCGGAACGTAGCCGTCAAAGGTGTGCTATCGGCGTCCGCGGCAAGCGCGCCGAGTCTTGGATTGCGAGAGCCATCACCCTGGGCGCAATATCACAGCCAGAGCATTGAAAGTTCACATGTACAAAGCCTGACAGTGTGGTAATAACGATACAAATACATAGTTGTGGCAGTGGTGTTGCGCGTTACAAGTTCGGAGTCCTCATCGCACAGAGACGACTGACCAAAAAGGAGGCGGGCAAATCGATCCTACGACGGTGCGAAAGTCTGGCAAGACTATTGCTGCGCTTCGTCCATCGGTTGAGCGTCTTGCTCTCGATCGACTTCGTGGAGCACCGCCATGAATCTGGTCAAGAAAAGTTGATAAGCCAATGCACACAAGAGAATGTACGAGGAGGTCAGCAATCTGCCGATGGGATCATCGTTTCAACCATGTTTCAGCACTTACGTCGACGCTTGTGCAATTCCGAGTTTGCGCATGTAGAAGGCTTGCTCGGCTGCCAGGTTGAGGTGCTGCTTGGTGGTTTCAAACGAGTTGGCCAGCGTTCCTAGCTTTGCTGCGAGCTGTGCGTAGTGTCTTTCCTTCGTCGTGAGCGACGATGTATTTGATGAGACCTGCGAGATCATGATAGCAATTCGATACCTAGATCGATGTGAAGACGTGGCTGACAGCGTAGCGGGTGCGGCCCGACGATGATGATGAAGTGGAAAGGATGGAAGCGTGTTTTGGCACCGTTTGCAGTTGCGAGCGTCGGCCTGGCTGCAAGACCCTGAAATGCGACGCGTCCTAAGACCAACACTTTTGACGGGTCACCCGATCTCCACCAAAATTCCATCAGATCTGACTTCCACAAGTCATCTTGCGCCGCTCCCGACGCGTTCGAGCCGATCGCGGTCTCGTGCCTTGAAATTTCCACCCGAGAAACAACTGAGATCGCGTTCACCAGCCGGGATGAACAACTGAAATGAAACGCTCCCTTGATACAGTAGAAGGTGGGAAGCAAGAGGCCACACCTATTCGTTCGCTTTTTGCCAGGCTTGGTCCGCCTCAGGGATCGTTCCTTCCTTCCATCACTGTGATTCAGACAGCAACGATGGAGTCAGTGTCGGCACCAGCCGCGACCAGCAGCCCACTGGCCAGCTCCTCGTCGTTATCTGATTCGGCCTCGACTCCGGCTCAGTCGCGCTCGCCCATTGTGCTTTCAGAGGCCTGGAAGCAACTTCACCTCAGCTCGCCCTCATATACGTCCCTCACACCCCCATCACGCAACCCGCATGGGATCTCTTCCGGCCAGCCAGGCTCGCGCTCCCAGCAAAACAATGGCGACGACTCGTCGGACGACGGCTTCCTTTCGGACCACAGCGAAGAGCTTCATCCCGAGACCGGCTTCGATCCTTTCCTCGCAGCGACACGCCGAGCAAGGCAACCTTCGACCTCGTCGCTGCTCACACCACAGCAAGCTTCTTCAACTCTTACACACTCCGTAGACCCTTCTACGTCCGGGTGTTCACCTGCAACCTCGGATGAAAATGTCGCATCAAGCGAAGTCACGCTGAAACTCCAGCAGCAGCAAGATGAGCTCAGGCGGCAGCAGGACTACCGATGGTCCCGCATCGCAAAGTACTGGAGCAAGGTTGTTGACGAAGCCATGTTCCAACCAAAGCAGCCAAAGCAAGGCACTATCGATCTCAGCGACAAAAACATAACCGACATACTTCCCACCATCGCCGATCTTTCCCGTTTCGTGGCACTTCCGCCTCCCCGCTATGATCGCGACGAAGATTCTTCGAACGCCGCCACGACACAGCCTCAAAGCTTGTTCCAGTCCAAAACAGGCGGTCTCGTCCGCCACGAGTCCTACCTGGCCCCCTTCAGCGCAAACATCCACAACGATTCCACTTCTGCCATGAACAGCCACTCCTCCGCCAAGCGAACCTTGTCGCGTAGTCAGTCAGCCTTCCAGCCCCATCTCAATCGTATGCACTCCTTTGCTCGTACCAACAGCGCCATGAGCACGCTCAGCTCTCGATCTGCCGGTTCCTACCGCGACCATCGCGACCGTCAGGCAACGCTCAGCATCTTTCTCGGCTCCAACGCCCTCACCAAGCTTCCGAGCGCGCTCTTTCAACTCCAGAATCTCCGCGTGCTTTCGCTGCGCTCGAACAAGCTCAAATTCCTTCCGCCCGCCATCGGTGACCTGCACAATCTCTCCGAGTTGCATGTTCCCAACAACGAATTGCAGTACCTCCCCGCCGAAATCCTGCGTCTGAAGCTCGATGTTTTTACGTGGTTCCCCAACCCTTACCTCATCAAGCCACCCAAGTCGGGCGTACTCACCGTTCGGCCGCTTCTCTGCCACCGCGCGAGGCTCATCCGCCAGCAGCATTCGCTCAATCAACTCGCCAACCTGGACGAGATTGATGAGGCCGATGACGCCTCTTCCACCACACCCGTCCGAGAAACGCCTGATTCGAATGAGAATTCTGTCAGCACAATACCAGTATCGCAGCAGCCACCGCCGCTCATCCGCGCCCCTGCACCAAGCTCAAGGCGTCAGCAGAGACACTTGGATCGCACACGGTCCGACATGCAGGTCGAGAGCTTCCTTGCCAGAGGTATCGATCAGCTTCGCGCCGGCAGCTTTGCATCGATCAGCGAGCAGGACCCTGATGCCAATGACGACAGTATCGACGCAGCTGACACCACCGTCGATGCGGATGAGACGGCAGCGCAAATACCTGCTGTCTCAGAGTCTCTTGAAAATGATGCACCTGCGGCGTTGGACACTCAAGACGATCAAGAGCGCGAACGCCAACGCATCCTCGAAGCAGCTTTCGAGGATCAAGACGACGCTGACCTGTTTGATCTGACGCCTTCGACAGAGCAGGATACAAGCACGCGAGGGAAAGTGGCCGGAAGGTCCAGAGTGCTCGGCAGCAAACACGTTTCGGGCCTCCCGAGCCTGCAAGAGCTTTGCATCCGCAAGCTTCTGGGGCCCTACGACGTAGCCGAGGCCGAAGCGCAAGGTGTCGCATCACCCTTCCTCTCCCCCATCGTACAGACTTCCGGGGGACCTCAACGTCGGCGAAGCAGCAACGGCAGCAGAAGCAGCTCGCAAGCCGGCACGCCACTCTTCGAAGCACACATGCGAAACCGTAGCACCTCTTTCGGCTCGAATGCATCGCGTACAAGAAGCTTCAGCTCAAATGGAGGACCAGAAGACAGCAAGTTTGGCAAGAGGATCCCCACATTGCTCGAGGCGTACGAAAACGGCACGCTGCAGAGCCTTGTCGGTGAGCTAGGTCACGGTCTGGTGCCATTGCTCGAGGCAGCTCGTCGCAGTGCAACTCAAGACTGGGGCACACGGGCGAGGATGCGCAGCAACTCTACCGCGGCCACCAGAAAGACTGGATGGACGAGATCGCAGTCCCTCATGGATGCTTTCCCTGCTCCTCATTCAAACGAGTCAGGCGAGAACATGGCACAAGCCTCAAAGCCTGCAGCCGCAACATCGCCGGAAGAGGAGGACGAATCGTTCGACGTTTTCGGTGGCGTGGAAGCGCCGGGATCGCTGGACCGCGGCGACGACGCATGCACGAATCCTTGGTTCTCGCGTTGCCCCAACCCGAAGCACTGCGACGAGAGATTGCGCGAGTCTCGGCTCGATCATGGCGTCAAGCGCACGGGGGATATTGCGTTGCACCGGGGCAAGCGTGGCTTTGGCTCGACAAGCAGCGTCTCGAGTCTGGGCACCACGCTGGGAGGCGGAAAGGTTGAAACAATGTCGACCGACATGGAACGGGCTCCGTCGACGGCAGCCAGCTCCGACAGCGGTGCTGCACCTGCCTCGCCTTTGTCCTCTTCGGCCTCCTCTTCGGTGGGCACTGTAGCGGGCTTTGGTTCCGTCTCCACATCGTCCGTACCCTCGCGGCCCGAATCTCAGATAGGTGGCAGCACGCCTTTCACGGGCCACCAAGTTAGGTTCGCCCCCAATTCGCAGAGGGGCTTCGCGTCATCCGGTCTCGGCCGTACATGGTCTTCGTCGCGCCCTGCCTTCGGAACGGATCGAGGCATGGCGAGACCAGCAAGCACTCAATTCGTTCGTGGCTTCTCCAGCTCTTCTGCCCTCTCAGCTTCTGGTCTGAATCGCAGCACATCCTTCGGCCGAGACGCTGGTGAGGACGCAGCCGAGCGCGATTGGCCTCTGAGCGAGCAGGAGCATCGACGAGCGCCCGTCTTCAGTCAAGCGGGCGAGAGTCGTCTCGAATGGATCTCGCACATCGGCGGCATTCGCGTAGCCAAGTTGAGCGAAGCACAAATCGAGCTGGACCAGGATTTCAACACAGCCGCAGCATCAGCCGCAGCTGAAGCAGAGAGTTCGCAACCTAGCGTGCTTGGAGCGATGGGGGGCTTTGAGAACAAGGACCTCCTCCCAATCATGTGGAGAGGTTGCAGCCGTGGCTGCCTGGACTTTCTTGTGTGAGATCATTTGCGACCTTTCAACCAGCCGGTTCAAAAATACGTTGCAGCTCGAATGGCACTGCTGCAAGCACATATTTACTTCTCTTGCAATCTGCAATGATGCTTCCCAAGCTTCAATAGCCTGATGAATCGGGCACAGTCGATGTCTGGCGAGCGTCTCGAATATGATTAAACCATACTCCAAGTAGCGTGTTGAGGCTGCGAGGGCTTATCTCTCCAATCCCTGACGTGCTGTCTATTCGAGTCTGAGTGTCGTTCCGAGGATCCGAGCGGCCGTGTCGGGAACGCGCACGGATTCGAGCTGAGAAAAAACCAAGCAGCGAAAATTTAGAGCGGCTCGCAGCGCACCATGCACACCCTGGTGGCCCAGAAGCGCAGGTGGAAGCGTCGAAAGGTGTTTAAGCTTTCGCACGACGCAGCACGAGCAAGCCCACCGCAAATCTTCATCTTCATCGTCCAGTTCCGTGTCATTCAGCGCTACCTTGAGCGCACCATCACTCCGATCGTACAACCAGCATAATTTAAACTTATCGGTCCACGAACACTCTCCCAAGGATCGCTTCGCAAACCCGAGACCAAAGGCCACTCGCACACAGGAGGACGACAGGAACTTTCACTTCTCAGCACAAACGACACCTGCGCAAGGCAATCCACTACCGCTGTAGCGATCATAACATGGCTTCGACGGCACTCGAGCAGAACGGTGCTGGTCTGGCACAAGCTGGACCGACGTTGCCTCCGAATGCATCTCGCCTTCCACAGACGGCACAGCTGGATGCGCTGCTGACCATCATCCGCGATGCTTCGACGCCTCGCTCCGACTTCATCTTCTACTCGGATCGAATCATTCGTCTCTTGGTCGAAGAAGGGCTGAATCACCTGCCTACGGTGCCTCAGACAGTCATGACGCCGACAGGATTCGAGTACTCTGGCGTGTCCTTCCAAGGTCGAATTTGCGGAGTCTCTATCCTGCGTGCCGGTGAGGCCATGGAGGCGGGTCTGCGCGAATGCTGCCGCAGCGTACGAATCGGAAAGATTCTTATCCAGCGAGACGAGGAGACAGCCAAGCCCAAACTCTTCTACGCCAAGCTTCCAGAAGACATCGCAGAACGCTGGGTGCTGCTGCTCGACCCCATGCTGGCGACAGGCGGAAGCGCCATCAAGGCAATCGAGGTGCTCATCGAAAACGGCGTCAAGGCGGAACGTATCCTCTTCCTCAATCTCATCGCGAGTCCGGAAGGTCTGAACAACATGTACTCGAAATATCCACAGGTCAAGGTGATCTCGGCGTGGGTGGATGAGAGGCTGGACGAAAAGTCGTACATCATTCCCGGCCTGGGTGACTATGGCGACCGATACTACAGCGGCTGAGTATCTAACCCTAACAGCTGCATCACATTGTACAAGGATCGGGAATACAGAGAGGCTGATCGTCACCTCGCATCTCGGAATCGCGACTTTGGAGAATCTGTGGAACATCTCTAACAAGTCATTGAATACCAGGACGACTCGTACAACTGACCACGGAGTGCTTCCGGAATGGCGTGGCATACACAGCGCGAGAGGAGCTGCGCACGAACGGGAGAAAAGTGAGGGCAGTCGGATTGAGGTGCGCAGTGACTACGCCTTGTGGGTATATACTTGATCTATCTTGGTGCGATTAGCGCTCTCAAACGGCTACACAAACTTGACACCTTCACCATCGTCTGCTTCTGTCCCTGCAAAGATCTGCGCCTTGCCTTGAGTGCTGAGATGCTTCAAAGCCTGTCGCAGCATGGGTGTGGGAAGCTGGTAGAAGTCCCGACTTTGCACGAGTTCGCCCTCATTGAGCTCGAAAAGCGTCATGATGCTCTTGTTCTGACCCGTCTGCATCACCCATTCGTAGATCGAGTCCGCCCACTGAATCGGCGTCTTCCAGTAGATGTACGCCTTGGCATTTAGATTGCTGTTGCTGTTGGTTTTCGATTTGGCTGCTGACGTGAGCTGCTCTTCCCAAGCTGCTTGCTTGTGGTCGACAAGGTCTGCAAGCACCTGTCGTATCGATTCAGGTGAGAGCGAACGCTGTATTGATCGATTGGAGAAGAGAGCGGCGTGCGGATCCGATGCATCGCCCTTGGTCACCGAAGAGTCGGATGAGCCGGGAAGAGGAGAGAGCGTGAAGATGCGGTGATGCCGACAGTAGTCGAGGATGAGAGCTCGCCATTGCGACAGCTGCTGAGCACGCGATACCGGGTTGTGCTGTATCGTGTAGAAGGGTGGGAATGCGTGGATCGGCGGGGGCCGAAACGTGCTGGTTTCCGTCATGGTAGCGCCGGTGACAACAGACCTTGCAGCCGCTCCAGAAGACGCGATGCTTGCCGGTACGTGTGATGCTGTCGCTGCCATCTTACTGCCCAGCTCTGTGTGCAGATGACGGTCTGAGCTGTGCAGAGTGAGGGTCGATCGTGATGCAGGTTCGGACCAACGGCAAACCACCAAGTGGAGTGAATCGGATCTCTACTCGAGCGAAACCGGTCGGGCAACTTTCCGAATTGTTGGCTGGCCTGAGCACAGAGGTTGACCCTTTCGAAGGGGCAGACCAGAGTTGTCACGCGGCAACGGCGCCGGTGAAGCTTCTCTCGCCTCTCTGTTTCTTAATTTTTATTCAATTTAATGCTGTATGTCAGGGCGAGGGCAGAGCCAATCAAGCGAATTCTTAAGAAATAAAATCAATTTTCATCCGGCTTCGAATGGTTGGGTCGTCGCAAGAAGCGGAGCGTCTTGACGAGATACGACTGCTGCCATGCATGAAAATCCTTCTGGACACGGATGCGACGGTGGTCAAGGGCGCGTGCGCTGTCTGTCGCTCGTCTCTGACCGGCGAAATTGCAGACCTGCGACAATCAGCAGGGCAAGACGCGCGGATATTTTGGAAGACAGGCAAGCAAAGCAGAGCACAGCCAACGGGCGTGCGTCTGACCGACGTCTCGTTTCATCACACTTCAACCTTTCGGCTTTCTTTTTCTTTCTTCTTACGGTCCCTCATCCATCACCACAACCACGGTCTCGAAAGCCATTCGACATCATCCACCGAATCTGATTCGATCCGCTCTTCAGCATCGTACAGAAGCAGATCAGCGTCTGTCTACTCACGGTTGTCTCTTGCTTGTTCATCTGCACCGGTGTCGTGTGAAGATCATTGTCACAGAGACTTCGGCCACCCAGCTCTGGGATCGCGACCAGTTTAATCGATAGGCCAGGCATCACCGTACGAGTGTAGTTTTTGGTGCCGCGTCACATCATGCCGCCACCGCCACCGCCCCCTCATCATCAGCGATCACCGCCAGGTGCTTCTTCTTCCTACCATTCTACGTCCTCACGTAGCTATCCCGTCTCTCCATCCGCGGCAGCAGGTGCAGGCCCTCTGCCGCCTCTGAGACCGCCTTCTCGCACCTCTTCTGCCATGGACGACGCCGCAAGAGATCGGTGGAGGCAGCCAGGTCCAGGTCCAGGTCCATCTCCTTCGCCTCGGTCGGACGTTATGAACATGCACTCGCTTCTCGGCCCACCAGGTTCTGCCGAACCATCGGATCCAAGGCACATGATGTACGACCGCGAACGCGATAGAGCACGAAGCGACCGTGAACGAGAATGGGAATGGGAGCGTGAACGCGAACGCGAACATTGGGAACGCGAACGCGAACGAGATCGAGCTCGCGCCGGTCCACCTTACGCTGGAGGACCTTCATCGCGCAATCCGCCTCCTCCGAACCACCCAAACGACCGTCGTTCCCCGAACATGCCATACGGCCACGTATCCACCAGCCCGTCTTCTCAATCAGCTCCTCCTCGTCGCAAGTGGAGCGGATCCGATGACGCTGCCTCTGCCTACCACAAGGAGCGCGAATGGGAGCGCGAGAGGGAGTACGAACTCGAACGTGAGCGCGAGATGCGATGGAGAGCTTCTCAGAGGTCCGGTGGAGGTCCCGACATGCAGCCTTCTCAGCACGGGCGTGCACTCAGTGGCGACATGCGCTATGCTGTCGGCGGTCCAGTCTCGGGAATGCCCGGCGAGCTCAATCAAAGTCCTCGCGAGCCCTACGCCTCCTCCTTACCTCCACGACGCAGTCCAGCTCCTGGCCTTTCGAATCGCGCTGGAGTTGCCGGCGCTCGAGTCCGCGAACAAAGCGCAGATGTGCCGCTCGCCGCCATGGGCCCTGAGAGCTCACCTCGCCACGCTCCTTATCCCGGCGGTCCTTACGACGACCCAAGGTCAGGATCAATGCCTCCAGGTCACGCCGGCGGCATGCTCCCACCCGCTGGTCGATCGCCTGAACGTATGCGTGCACCCCTCTCTCACGGCCCTTACGATGGACACATGTCCGAGCGCGAACTCATGCAGCGCGAAAGGGATCGCGAACGAGAACGCGAAATGATGGCTGGCGATCGTTATGGCCGTCGCATGCATGGTGAGTCCATGGTCATGGACGATCCCTACGATCGATACGGTCCTCGAGGTCCTCCTTCCGGCGCTCTCGGCCCTCCCTCCTCCAAGTCTGCCAGTGGTAGGCCATATGATGAGCGCGGACCTCCTCCACCTCTGCCGTATCCTCCTGCCAGCCCAACACAGAGCCGCGATGGCGATCGTCGCAAGGACAAGGTCAAGCAAGCACCGACTCGCGAGCCCTCCGCACCTGCTCAGTCCCGGCCAGGTGGACCCGGCGGTAGCGGACCCCTTCCGTCTCACTTTGAAGCTGATCGCCATCCCAGATCAGGTCCTCCGCCTCCAATGGGCTCTTCTCGCGAGTCGTCTGTCAAGCTCGAATCTGGTCCTCGACGAGCACCTCTCTCGCCCACAAGTGAACGAGGTGCTCTCTTCCGCGACGGACCTCAGCATCGTGGACCATCCATACCGCCTTACGGAGGTCCTGCCTCTGACCGAGACATTCGCGAGCGCGATCGCGAGCTGGCTCTCCAGCGAGAACGCGAATACGAAGCCGAACATGAGCGACAACGGCTTCGCCTCAGGGAAAGGGAGCAGCGAGAACGCGAGATCGAGCTGGAGCGAGAGCGCGAACGTGAGATGGATCGTGAACGCGAACGCGAGCGTCTTCGCATCGAAGAACTCGAACGTGAACGACAGAAGGAACGGGAGAGGGAGCTCGAACGCGAGCAGGAACGTGAAAGGGAAAAGGAGCGCGAGAAGGAGAAGGAGCGCGAGCGTAGAGAGCGTCGTCGCGAGAAGCAGCATGCCGAAAAGATGGCAGCCATGGAGCGCGAAAAGGAACGCGAGTTTCAGGCACAAGCCCAGGCACAAGCACAAGCCCACGCCGCCGCCGCCGCCGCCGCTGCTGCGGGCATGCATCCCGGTGCCATTGGCGAGTTGCCTTCTCACATGCGGCCTCCGCCTGCCAGTCTGGAGGAAGCGTTGATCGCCACCGCACAACAGCAGGCAGCTGCTTACGGTCGTCCGCCCAACATGGCTGACTTCCACGCCGCCGCTGCCGCCATTGGCTACCCACCTGGCATGCCTCTTCCTCCTGCCATCCATCCTGCCATGTTTGGCGGCGGTATGGGTCCAGGATCTGAAGCCATGGTGCCACACCAGCCTCACGTGATTCGTGACCCTAACGCAGGTCCACGAGTCGATAGCGAGCCCGTGTGGCTCTATCTCGAGCTGTGCGAGCGCGACGAATCTATTCGCAGAGCCGAGCGTCTGCCTCTCGACATGCTCGCCGAAGAGCAGAAGAAAGAGATTGCAGCCGAGCTAGCGGGTGTCGCGCCTGCTATAGCCGCCGAGCAAGCTCCTCCCGCGTCAGAGGATGCAGGCGAAGCCAATGCTTCCGCCGTCGCTACCGTTTCAACCTCGCAAACGGTCTCTGTCGCTGCTAAACAAGCTGATGCAGCCGCGCTTCCGACAACAGCAGCCGACAAAGATACCACCGTATCCGTGACCGAGATTCCGATCGATCCATTGCCACGTCATCTCATTGGCATGGACAAGGGGCGTCCGGTGCGCCACCTCGGCTCGTGGATTTACGATCCTACTGTCGATCCCCTTTTCCCCGCCGAGCTGCTTGCTCGCAATGTTGGATCGACCTTGGAAGTGCGCATTCCAGGCGATCTGCTAAGCTGCGGAAGTCGCGGAGGCCCTCACTGGGAGCAGTACCGCAGCCTCGAAACCGAGTGCCTAGCTCGTTGTCAAGTCGGCGATCCGCTCAAGGACCTCCTGGAAGGCGAACGCGGCCGCGTCGCGCTCAACGGCGCCAGCAACAACTGGAAACTAGGCTGGCGTGGCAAGGAGCATGCACGCATGAGCCTCGAGATGCGTATCGAGGAACGTATCGCTGAAGCGCAACTTTTCGGACACAAGCTTCCAGGCATCTCTCAAGAGTCATCTGCAAGAGAGGAAGTCAACCGCTCTGAAGAAAAGAAGCAGCCGGATGGTGTTGCTGCGGCGGTAGAGACGAAATCTGAAGCGGATACCAAGGAAGGCGAGACAGCCGGCGAGGTCACCGTTGCCCCGACCGAGAACGGCATGGCTCTTAAGACGAGCGCTTCGAGCGAGGCTGTCTCACCCTGGCGATTCTGGCGACTCAACCCTCTCTTTCGTCGAAAGCTGTGGGGCACGGATGTGTATACCGATGATTCAGACGTCTTGGCCATGTGTGTCCATGCGGGGTGGGTCGAAGGTCCGTCGCTTGAAGCCGAGGGTATTCCTGCCTGGGTGCCTCCGGGTCGGGCTGCTCGCGCCTGGAACGGTCTGACGCTGGCTGGGTCCACCAGCGGTACTGCTGCTGGGAGTACAGCAGACGTACAAATGTCGGACGCTGCCTCGCTCGATAAGCAGTCAGCAAGCGTAGCTGTCCGTCCAGACATCTCATGCGATCTTTCGGTCATCCTGCGCATCGCACCGAAGCTCATCGCCTACAAAGGCTGCCAACGCGGTGGTATCAAGTCACGCTCGTGGGGCAATTCGCACGATGGCGTCTCGCTTGTCGTCGAATCCGTCGAGCTCAAACAGCCAGGATACGCGCAATCCAAGGGTCGCAAATCAGCCAAGGCTCGCATCGACCAATTGGCCTTTTACCGCAATGCCATGGACAACAGTAGCGCTGCAAAGCCTTCCTCCTCTTCCTCGGGCTCGCCATCACCTGTCAACGCAGAGCTAACCGCCGACAACGGGCATCTGGACCTCAAAACGATCATGCAGGATACGCAGCTCATTCCGCTATCGTCAGTGGTGGGAGAGCTGAAGAAGTCGAGTCCAGCAGTCGACAAGGAGCAGGCCGAGGCCGCCAAACAGCAGCGGCTATTCTGGGAGATTCAATAGCTTTATTCCATGTGTGCAAACGATTTGTCGTCCTCATCAGATTGGAATTCTCGCAGCCCTTTTCAAATTCATCTCAGTCGAGGAGCTCGGCGTTGTTCAAGTGGCCGAGTTTGAATCAGCCTGACCTGTCTGCCCGCAGAGTGTACGATACGCATGAGACTTTAAATTGACCGCTAGTCTTTGTATCCACGTGAGATTGCGTCTATCTCTCATTCGCTCTCCCCATGTTTCGACGTCGCTTCAGCCGCGTTCGGGGAGCGGCCGGTTCGCTGAGCAGCTCCTTCCTAGTCCACCTTTACGATGATTTTGCCCAATGCCCTACCCGTCATGAGACGCTCGTATGCTTTTGGGGCATCTTGGAAGCCAAAAGTGCTGTCGACGGGGCATCTGACTGACTTGTTGACCAGGTACTTGTCGATGAACTCGGGAAGACCGTCGCGAATGGAGCCGCCCGGCGTCGATTTGCGCGGTACGCCGCCAAGCCACCAAGGGAGAAAGATCGAGGTCATGTTACGCAAAAAGTTGAGGATGGACCAGATGGAGCCATCTGGTCGCATGTCGGAAGCGCCGACATTGGCGTATTCACCGCTTTCTTTGAGGAATGCCGGGCAGGCGCGAAAGACCGCAAAGTCGCCCACAGTGTCCAGGATCAGGTCGAATGGTTTCGCCGAGTGATCACGCCTGAGTGTTTGCACGACATCGTTCTCACGGACTGCCAGGCATGTCAAGATAGATGGTAAGCTTGTGCGGGACGTCAATCTCGCCATCATGCCTGGAATTTGAGGACAGAACGCCCAAAAGATACTCACAGTCAATCACTTCGTCCGCGCCAAGCGCTTTGACCGTCTCCTTTTTAGGTCCACTGGCGGTCGCAACTACGCAGCCAGCCCCTTCGGCTTTCAGCAGCTGAAGTAAAACGAGTCCAACACTCGTGCTACCGCCGCAAACGAGCACTTTGTCTCCTGCATGGGCCCTACGCACGAGTGCCATGGCTGTGGTTCCTACGAGTGGTAGGCCAGCCGCGTCCTGCAAGCTGAGCTGTCCCTCTAGAGATGGGGGCACAGCTCCTAATTGTTTGACACCCACACATACGTGTGTACCCAAGGCTCCTTGACCATTCTTTAGTGAGACCTCGACTGGGACCATACCAATGACAGACGTGCCAGGTTTGTAAAGTTCGAGCTCTTCCGAGGTGAGGCCCGGTCCAGTGCGAAGGACGGTGCCAGAGAAATCCGTGCCCATACCTCTTGGGAATCTCTGTATGAAAGCTGGTGCGTGCGCCGCAATCTTCCATTCGACTGTTAAACGAGATCAAAACGTGTGGTTGCCAAGTTCATTCTCTTGAACGTCGTGCGGGGATTTCAAAGAAGTGGCAATCTGATATGAAAGCTGAGCCTTACTCACCTGGGTTCACTGCGGCGCTGTGGACCTTGACAAGCACCTCGTCCTGTTGAGGCTCAGCTATGGCTACCGTATCTAACTGCATTGTGACAGGAGGCAAACCCTTCTTGTGTATGCGCCATATTTGAGCCATGTCCTCAGACCTGGATGCGCTGTAGCCAGACATGATGTAGGTAATTCTGGCTGTGGAGGAAGAATGTATGGAGAGGACGTGGGAAGAGAGAATCCAATTTCGGGATGTTCAGGTAGGTCCATTTGAGATATTGCTCGGTCACGGAACATGGACCCTGTGCGCTCGGCACAAGTCCGGAGCGTTGCGACAATTGATCTGTTGCTCGGACGGAACTGCGAGGTGTGCAATCACCATCTTGAGCGCCTCGGTTTCGGTCGCATAACCCAAATGCCGTACAAGTGCCACGGACACGGTCACCTCTGTTGCAACGCTGTTTGTGTTCTCTCACCTTCGTTCTGGTTCCAGCATTTGGCATCGGAAGAATCTCGGTGAGTATGCCAAGGTATCATGTTTTCAAAGGACCATCCAAGATCTCGGTACGGACCAGCAAAGAAAGGTTTTAGATCTATGGAGGCTGAGCGCGAAGCGGATATCTGGTGGCACCGGACCCTGTCATCGTTCCCGCTCTTGTGCGGCACGGACATAGCCGGCATTTGCACTACAACTCCGCTTCCGACAAGTTCGGCAATTTCTGAGCACTCAGTCTACGTCCCAGTCTACACTGGTGTCAGGTGACGCAACGCACGTGAGGCATGAGGCATTTCAATGCATCCCTTGGTTTATGGTAATTCCCCGCCGATAAGCACAACAAGTCTTGTGACATTCCGTATTGCCGAGTGGTGACCATCTTCAATTTGGCACTGTCCACATCCATTCAGGTTGATTCGTGGCTTCCGGCTCCAGGTCCGCTCAGACCCCATCGATGACGCTTTGTGAACGTTCCCAGCCGTTCCTGCACTTGTGGTCAAGATTTGCCGTTACGCGTCTGAAAACCTCCTGACGATTGTATTTCGACATCAAGGCAGGCTGGACACGTGAGCGGGAGCGCACATGTACTGGCGTTTTGGCTGGACCGTGCATCGTACTCCTGACAGTACTAGCTCTGCGGACATATATATGCCCGACCAGAGAATCTCCTCGAAGCAGACTACATCCAAACACTTCGATCTTCCGTCAAGATGTCTAACATAGTTTTGGAGCCCGCCGCTCAGAGCTTTGCCGAGTAGGTCCTTGAAAATTCGTTGAGCCCGTCTGCGTTATTGGCATCTTGCTGAAGGTCTGATACTTTCCATGATCCGATTTGCAGAGCCACATCCAAACCTCCCTTTTTGTTTCAAATTCCGCCGGAGGAGGGCAGAAAGATCTTCAATGATGTTCAGAAAGAGTCGATCAATTATGCCGATGGAATCACCACTGAGGTTATTGCCTTTCCGGACTTCAGCTCCAAGCTGATCAAGCCAAAGACAGACAACAACGCAATACTCCCCGTCGTGTTTTACATCCACGGCGGGGGTTGGGTGTTTGGCAGCCCGAACGCATTTGGCCGTCTACTGGGCGAAATTTCCAAAAACGTGAATGCTGCAGTCTTCGCCGTTGACTACACCCGATCGCCCGAGGCTAAGTACCCCACTGCATTGGACCAAGTCTGGCAAGCGTTCGAGTATATCCTTGCGAATAGCGAGAAACACAATGTGTGAGACTCGTTCAAAAACATCACAAGTCAGTGCACGCGAAACCTAGGCTCAATCATTTTTTCTTTGACGTTGCGCTACTCTTCTGATACAACAGGGATTCTGGCCGCATTGCCATCGCAGGCGACTCAGTTGGCGGCAACATGGCGGCTGTGACTGCCTTGAAAGATGCCGGCCATCGACTCCGGGGGCAGGCGCTTTTATACCCTGTCTGCGATTTCTCGTTCGATTCCGGATCCTACAACGACTTTGCCAAGGGTTACTTTCTCCAGCGCGATGCTATGAAATGGTTTGTACTGGCAAAATTCAATAGCGCGCGCAAAGATGCTACAGTGTCATTGACATACATTTTGTTTTGTGGTTTGTAGGTTCTTCGAGCAATACAGCACCGGAGTCAATGACGCCGAGCCCAACAATTCCAGGATCTCGGTCTTGCGCACTACGAAGGAGGTCTTGAGCAAGGCACCGCCGGCTCTGATCTTGACTGCCGAGGCTGACGTCTTGCGCGACCACGCGGAGGAGTTTGCTAGCAAGCTGCGCAGCTCCGGTGTCCAGGTGACTAGGTAAGCGCAGCATATTTCAAACGCGGACATGGTAGCTTGCAGAGGCTAACATGACCCACCCTCACACTTGATCCATGACTTGTTCAGTGCTCGTCTCGGCGGAATCATTCACGATTTCCTATTGCTGGATCCTCTCAAAGACACGGGCGCTGCCAGAGCTGGTCGCACGCTGCTTGTGAGTCAGCTGCAAGAATGGCTCAAATGATCAAGTCCGCGGCTTCCTTTTCTCTCCCCAAAGAACGGACAGGCTGTGCCGGAGATCATGCGGATCTTCCCCCCCGAGGGCTAGATCGAATAAATGAGACGAGTTGTCCAAACCTGTCGCGCGTTTGGTAGTTCGATCAAAGCTAGATCAGAGCTGTCTTCTACCTCCAAAGCTTTGGACATAAATCGAGCAGCCGAAAGGGTGAATGCGTCCTGCCTCAGTTCACGTGTAAAATGGATGCTGCTTTCAAAGGTGTATCGACAATGCGTGAAAATGGGCCGAGCTACTGCAAGGTGATTGACTCCAAGCTGCCTATGCTCGTCTGTTGTAAGGTTTGCCCACATGAAATGCAGAATAATCACGAATAAGAGATGATTGATTCAGTAGCTGAGTTTGAAGAGATGCCTCTGATCCGAGCACTGAACTGGTGAGGGTGATGAACCCTTGCGAGACCCCGCTGGGTGGTAACCTCACGGGCAAAATGGAGCAATTTGATCAGTCTAGGTTCGAAGCGCTCCTCAAAAACATCGAAATAAGAAGACAAGTAACAAAAGAACACCCGGCCGCTGGGCCGGGCAGAAGCCTGACTAAGGGACTGGCAAGCAAAGTCACCTGGAGCCATGATGGTACCGAGTCCGCGTTTCGGACGGGCCATCCTCTCTGTGGCACACCTATATAGAGCGCTGCACGTCTCGCAGTCAACCCAATATTAATGCACGCACTCTCTCTCTCTCGACACCCACAACACGCACCGATTGGCCTTCTCTTATTTACTCACCTCATCTCCGCTAACCAAGATGAACGCAGGCTCGAGACGCTTTGATGTCGTGCTGTTTGGTGCAACTGGATTCACAGGCAAGCTTGTCGTTCAGTATCTGGCGCGCCATACCGACGTCAATGGTTGGGCGATTGCAGGACGATCGATTGAGCGTCTCGAGAAGCTTCGCGTCCAATTTGATTTGGAGTCCTCTGTCGGCACCATTCAGGCCCATGCAAACGACCGAGCCAGTCTGATTGCCATGGCCTCGCAAGCGCGGTGTGTCATCAATGTTGTAGGTCCATTCCAGATGTTGGGAGGAGCAGAGGTGGTCAGCGCGTGTGTGGAAGCAAAGTGCCACTACGTCGATTTGAGCGGCGAGACTGGCTACAACGAGATCCTAATTAAACGCTTCCACTCGTCTGCCAAAGCGGCTGGCCTTGTAATCGCACCCTCTTGCGGACTAGACAGTCTTCCGTCGGATCTCACCACCTACCTGGCGTGTCGCCATCTGCTGCAAGGTCGTACGGATTCGACAATCACCAGCGCTACAACCACGCTCAAAGAAGCGGCGCCTTTCTCAACAGGAACGCTCCTCTCGGCTTGCGACATGGCTGACAATGATCATCGACAGCTCATGTTTGTAGATGCAGGTCGCCTTGTTCATTCCCATGCCACGAGCGACCAGTCGATCCGCTTCAGCTGGCCGAAATACTCCAAGCATGTCGGGCGGTACGCAACGTCATACATGCTTAGCCCTCATAACATCCGGGTCAGTGATCATTCTCTGCATTTCTGCGTTCAACACGTTACACGACAGACTGACTCTTTGTTGCATCGCGATCTCGACAGACGGTGTACCGCACATGGTCCCTACTGACGGATGCGTTATCAGTAGAGGCGTACGGCCCCAATTTTGCATACGATGATCTGCTCAGCAGCCCAGGGCTGTTTTCCGGCTACATTCAAGCATTGTCGCAATATCTGACGGGCTTCATCTTAGTGAACGCATCGTCTGTCCGCAGCATCGTTCGCAAATTCGCCAAGGGTGGAGATGGCCCCTCTGTCCAAACCCAGCAGAAAATCCAAACGGATTGTCGAACCGTGGCAACAGCCTCAGACGGTCGTTCGGCCATGTGTACCATGATTGCGCCTGGAGATCCAGGTAAGTTCCTTCCGCCACAACTTGATTCAGGAACTCGCAAATTTCGCGCACTGACATGACAAACACGTTGTTCGGACCGTCTGACTGCACCGGCGACCAGGTTACTCCATGACTGCTCGCATGATTACCGAAGTCGCTCTGGCCCTCGCCCAGGATCATCAACGCCTCCACTCCCTGGCAGCACAGGGCGGAGTGCTCACGCCGGCTCTTGTTGCGCCAGACTCTCTTGTGTCTCGTCTCGAGCATAACGCCGGTTTCACTATCTCCCTTAACGATCTTTGAAACGCAGCTCCCAGAAATTGTTGGCAATCACTCAACTTCGAGTCCGATGCCGGTCAAATGTATAAACATGACCACTATAGTTCTAGCAAGTGGGGCGCCGATGCTGGGCAGCGCACTAATCCGCCCCGCCAACTCCCACGTGGAGACAAGGTGCGCCAACCGCGGCGGACACAGAGAAAGACACTGCTCCCATGCCGGTGGCGATCCAATTTTGTTTTGGCTGGAGCGGCGCACAGGACCCTGGCAGACGCGTCAATTTCCTCCAATTTTAGCTGGCGGCGCAAAGACGGCTCAAGTGCCTGGCGCTCCGCCTTGGTGTGCTGCGCCTGACCATTGCCAACCCCTGCGCCGCTGACTGCTGCGCTGACCGCCGCTGCGCTGACTGCTGTGCTTCCTGCTTGCCGCCGCCAAATGTTCAGCTGACTGGCGCGCTGCTGCGCTGACCGCCAGTTTACTGTTGACTGCCGCACAGCACACTATCACAGGGTTGCAGCGCCGCATCAAGTTGAGAGGAGTGCAATACATTCACAGAGAGCGCTTGCCGCTCACGGTCTGAAGCGCAGCGCAACACACACACTTCCAATCACTTGTGCGTGCTCAGGTCTCCCAGAGCTGCCCAATTTTCCCATTTCCACGCGTCTGTCAGAGCTGCTTGGCTTCAACTGACTGCGCGTGGCAGAAATAGCCTTGGTGACGGTCAACACACTACACGTCTGACCAGCGCAGCTATTCCACGTGCGCTCTTCCAGACCCCTTTGTTCACCACTTGAGTTGAGCGCATGCACCGCCAACATCATGCTTCCCTTTGTCCGTCCCTCACCGGCAAGTGTGGCTGTCTGCTACCGGCGTCTTTTGTCCGTCACCCTTTCACAGCAGCACATGTACATGCAGAATGGAAAACTTTTGACACTGCTGATCTGCGCTGGCCCTCACCGTCTGGTCTTTGAAAATTGGAACCGGTGAGCGGCAGACAGACTTATGCTGCTGTGAGCTGTTCTTGGCCTACACAGGAGAACACATACATATATATACAGTGTTGTGCGTACACTCCATGATTGAGCGCCGTCTATCCTCTACATACCAACACTCTCTCTACAAACCGCAACCTGTCTCTACATACTCCTGAACGCAATGCCTCAGCCATCTCAGCCTACTTCTCCAGTTGATGACGGTGACATCCACACCATCCTTGGCGCCATGGTCAATGATGACCATGATCACGGCGGTGATGATACTCCAGAGCGCACTGTGTAAGTTCATTATCAATGTGCAACACGCGTCTCCACACATCACTCTGTAGTATTTCCAACTGACACCATATCATCCTTCTCAATTTGTAGCACACCGCCGCTCCCTGCTGCCAATCAAGATGCAGCGGCTGCTACAATGCCTGACAGCATCAAGTACACCGCAGAGCTGGAGCGCTTCCGCCTGCGCTTGGTGGAGCATCCGCGCCTGCTGGTCTGCACGCGCCCAGGTTGCTACCTGCAGCTGCTATTGAACATCGCGTACAAGGAAGTCAGCAACCACCTCAAGAAAGTTCACCACTGTCAGCGGTACGGTACCGAAGACTGAGCCTGGCGGTAGAGATTACAAGGGGATCCCCGCCTAGGGTTAGCGACCAAACATACCCTTTTCTATGCGTGAATAGATAGTCACAGGTGTGTTTAGTAAGAGTCATTAAGTGACCCTACGCAAGTTGCCTATGAAAATGGGTCGGGACATGCTGTCAAAAGTAGGGTTGGCAGGCCGGGTCGAGGTAGGGTCAAAGTACTTTTTTCAGATTTTGGGTGATCCAATGGTGTAGAGAGGTGCATAAACATGAAAAACTAGTGTATGCAAGATATCAGGCATGTAGAAAGCATACTGAGCGGGTAGGGGTGGAATAAGTGCAAAATTGGGCAAAACCAAAGGGGGGACCATTGCAAGGTTGAGCGACAAGAAAAAGTTGCTCCAATTGTCTTGGTTCCTTAATGAAACATGTGTCAAATGGTGCAAAACGGCTGTATGTGCAAGCTCAATGAGATAGCAGATGCCGTCACGGTGTGGTAGGGTCAAACGTTAGGGTTAAGGGTTAAGGGTTAAGGGTTAGGGTTAGGGTTAGGGTTAGGGTTAGGGTTAGGGTTAGGGTTAGGGT